GCCCCGGAGATTAGTGCGCGGGCGAGTGACGAGTACGAAAGGCCCCGGAGATTAGTGCGCGGGCGAGTGACCAGCTCCGGGGCTTCTGGCGGAGTTGACAAGACGCGTGGCTTCTGCCTTTGTGGCTGACAATCGAATTATGGCCACGTAGTAACTACTTCCTTCGGGGTGTCCGAAGGCTGCAGAAGAGTTCTTATCTCCGCGCCTCCGCCACGCCTTCCGGGGCCTTTTTCCCTCCCCTCGCAATCAGACCAATGAAACAGAGACAGGAGACAGCACCAGGACCACAGGAGCCAAGAGCCCTTTCCCTCCCCTCGCAATCAGACCATTAAGCCGTTCCTGCCCCTCGCAATCAATGAAAAGGGGACAGGAGAGACAGCGGGAAGAGCACTGAGCAACTACCACAGAGGACTGGCGGTCAAAGGCAGACAGGACAAACGCTCACGGGAGCGATATCTTCCTTGTACGAGTCACTGGACTTTGTCTTGCTGCGACACGGCAACATGTGGCCAAAGCGCGCCGGCTTGCGGGATGGCGAGAATGTGGGACCAAGCGAAACGACTCCTCGCCAATGGTTGCCGCAAGACCGTGTCCGACAGAGTGCGGTATCACAGAAGCATCGGCAGCAGTCGCTCTTTGCCGAGAGACGCGCAACGTCATGCGAACGTTGAAAGTCATGGGTGCAAGTAGTGTATGGTATAGGCGTGATTTGTGCACTTGTTCTGTACCGCAGATGTCTGTGCTACGGTACCACAGTCTTTGAGTTGCTGTGCATACGCTACTCCACACTCGAAGCACGGAACGTCCTAATCTAGACTGGAACGTCAGCGCATTGCTGCCGCCGGCGTTCCTGCATACGTCGATCGAAGCGGCAAATCGGGGGATCGGACTTCTGCAAGGGGCGAGCGAAGTGTCCAGATATCAGACGAGTGTGTCCTGTACTGGAGCGAGTTGGCTCAGTCGTCGGGCGGGCGCATGCAAATGTCTCTCAGCTGGCATCCAGGACCGCCGACAACATGAAGGCACGGCGGCTCTCTTTCCGTCGATGACTCCGCGAGACGCTCATGAAAGTCACAGGTCTCGGCTGTTCTCAACCATCGAGGGCGCGTGCTTCGATGTTCCGATGATGCACAATTAGCCGAGATTCGGGCCTCCGGCTCCCGCATGGACGGAGCGGGAAGCACCGCAAGCTCGGCAGCCACTTGCTGCTCCTCGCTCAGCGCTGAAGAAGCGGGGAATCGCAATCGCTTAGAGAAATCGCCGTGCTCAAGACGCCGAAGCGTCTGAAGGAGGCGGGCTGCCCACGACGGGGACGGACTACGCACGACAGTCTCTTGCACACGACGACAATCCATCTTCGAGCCTCGGAGATCCCTGGTCAAACAGTACAGCGGCAGAAGCGAGGTTCCTTGGAGAAAGCGCCGTTATTGAGATGTCGAAGCGTCTGAAAGAAACGGACTCCCGACGATGAGGACGGAGGACGAACAACAGTGTCTTGCACCGCCATCGAGTCTTCGTTGATCACCAGTGCGAGTATCGGCGGCAGCGACGGCGGCACTGGTAGCAGCAGCATCGACAGCTGACTGAGCATGACATCACACGGGGCAAGAAGTATACGAGTACTACCTACTGGTACACAGATCGCTGCGAGCGTGATCAAGCTGCATGCAACCTACATAAAGCGAGCCCAAATGAGCATCTCCCCCAATCCTACACAATCATTCAACAGCCTTCTCATACATTCTTAGTGCATCCCGTCCACCAAAGAAAGCACTCCACGTCCATCATGTTGAGCTCACTTGCCTCTCAGATCCTCATGTACGGCCTACCGGTACTGGCATCCAGTGCTGCCGCTCATGCTCGTCCCCTCGCCGGCCGGGGAACGCCCATGAGCTGCTCCACGTCGAACGATGGGTACCTTACCGGCAGCCTCGTCGTCAGACCAATCGGCTTGAACACCAATGACGGTCAGACCACCGGAGACACCACGTATGTTGGTACCGTTCCTGGAGTTACTCACAACGGCATTGATGGAGAAGCAGCTTCCATCTTGGTGACCAAGAATTCAGACGGCACTCCTGTGGCCCCCCAAGAATGGGAGTTTGTGCCCTGCACCGACGACACGGGACCTCCCCCTCCTGGCTACGTCGCCCCTTCTGACGGGCCCAGCAATCTGTCCTATGGCATCGTCCGACCCAAGGGTGCTTCGCAGCACTGCTTGACAATCGAAAGCAACAGCGATACCAGCGCTGGAGATCGCAATTCGATTTTAGATTCGAACTGTACCTCCGTTGGCGAAGTCTTCCGAAGCTGGGTTCTGCAGAACTACATCTATGGAACCTCCGACTACGGACAATTCCTGTTTTTTCAGGCGGACAATTTGACTTCTGTCGTCAGCAACACGGCCCACGCTGAGCTGCAATTCGTCACCAATGCGACGACTGCATCTCTCGCCGGACGACAGGCCATGCAGTTGATTCTTGTGCCCTGGACGTCTGTAGAAAAGTAGACACCGCAGGCTACCAACGGACCAAGAATTAACGAAGGTCCTCACAAGCAGACGCACACCTGGCCGTCTGCGCAGCTGTAGATTGGAGAAGTGCTTTTGAGAAGACCGACCCCCAGACATGCCGTACGATGCTCAATTGAATATGCTGGTTCACACATTCACCCCTTTGAGCCGTGACTCTGTCTCGCCACCATTGCTGGTCAAGTTATGCATTGATCGACGTTGTGACAGGAACATGAGCAGCACTCCTTGCAGTCACTAGAAGATATGCTTCCATGTCCATCCTTCGCACTCTTCTACATGTCTCCGAAGGCTCATAGTCAGCGCGAGCCCCGTACGATAAGGAATGTTCATCCATCTCTGAAGTCTACCTACCGAGCCCGAACGCTCGGGCCATTGCTGTCCGCGTGTTGTGTTGGTTGGTCAGCGCCTATCGCTCTGCGGCCATGGGACACGGCCGGACTGAGCAACATAGCCATGCAATGCTGTACATCAGCTTCGATCATACCTTCGTGTTCCACGACTGACGGAGACTAAGAGAGTTGATTGAGAGCTCTGCGTAGCCTTTACAACTGTCTACGGTGCCAATCAAGTGCCGGAACTGCTTACGCATCGGACAATCCCCCGCTTCGGTACTGTCACACGGCGGGTATTTCACTCAGCGGCAGGCCACCAAATCATGACAGGCAGTGCGGGTGAGATTGTGACGCGTCACATTGTGGCAGCTTCGGAAAACGCTGCCCCGATCCTGTCAAGCAGCCCCTCCCTTCCCTTGGCTCAGCTTGAAATGAGTGGCTACTTCACAGCTTAGTCCATGATCTCACCTGCCTCCCTCAGCCCCTGCTCAACTGTGCGCGCGTCTTCTGCCATCTCTTCGAAGGTGGCAGTCCGCTCGATGAAGTTGGCGGGTTTGCCATCTCTGAAGAAACCTCCCGCCTGCTCTGAGCTTATCTGGGATGCCAAGACGATAGATCTCGCTCCCGTCGATGCTTTCCTGGGTCCCGAGTTGCTGTTGAGGTCGGTAGCGCAGAATCCCGGACACGCTACGGACAGAATGATGCCTTGCTTTTCCAATCGACTGGGGGCTATATTTCGAACGTAGGCGTTCAGGAACGCTTTACTGACTGCATACGGTCCGATCATTCCCTCTGAGATCGGGAATTCCTTCTGAAGCTCGGGCGCAGATGGGTTGTGGGTGTTCAGACTCTCAAGATATCGCTCTGCCAAATCATCAAGCTGAGCTGGCGTAGTCTTGCTAGGTTCGGTTAGGAGGTTCTGGAGGGGTAGTGGAGAGTGGTACGTGGCCCAAGCACCCATCCCGGATGACACGATGACATCGTGGCCACCACGTACAATCAAGGGATCGAACACCTCCATCATCCTCTTGACTCCGTAGTAGTTGACCTGCATGAGTTGCTTCGCCTCCTCGTACTCAGTCGTCGATACGACACCGGCATTATTGTAGACGCAATCCAATTGACCTCCGTACCCTTTCTTGACCGTCTCCGCAGCAGCTTGAACAGAGTCCATCTTACTGACATCAAGTTCTAGGATCCTGACGTTGGTCGTGTCCAGTCCACGTTCTTGTAGTCTGCTGATGGCTGCTTTTCCGTTGGACAGTGAACGGGTACCTAGCAGGATTGTCTTCGATGCATCAGTGCGCAGCAAACGCACGATGATCTCCAAGCCGAGGCCTTTGTTGGCACCGGTCACTACAACTGGAGCCATGGTAGATTTAAGATGAGGCGCAGCTAGCGTGAATGCAAGTGTGTGATGGGAGGAGATGAGGCACAGTCGGAAAGGAAGACAAAATGGGAGGCATTCGTCGTGCGCTTATATGCTTGCCATTTGCCTAGGAGCAGGACGGTGAACCATTCTAAGCTTACCGCCCATCCAGTAATATTAGCAATAAGCTTACCGCGCATCCAGTAATATTAGCACCCTTTTCGTAATCAGCTTAGCACCGGTGGCTGATCCTGCTTAGCGCCGTCTAGCCGAGGCGGCGCCAAGGCGCACAAGTGGAAGCAATGATCGGGGCTTGAAGCGGAATCTGTTCAGGTTTACCAGCGCGTGTTTGGGAGCCCGCCGACCGCCCAGGGACCAGACACGGTGCGCCCGACATCAGCGCCCGGCAAGCCTTCTGACTTCCCTTTTTGTGGCAGCTCTTGTACCCACGTCCGCCGAAGGCACAAAGCTCGTCGTAGCAGCGGGGTACAAGACAAATCAGGAGCACGCAATCGACTCTGTGAATGGCGAGATTCTGGCGCCGAGGAGGCCCACTCTCGTCGGCCTCGGTGGACCAGTCACAGAGAAATGTCCGGGGAGAACCTTCTCCTCTACCGCTGCTTTGAATGACTACTTGCCACACTCCATTGGTGGTTCTATATGCGGGCACATCTCTCATGACACATTGAAGCGGTACCGGTCCTCATCCGCTCGCCCTTCATGACATGGCACCTCGACGTGGTGAGCTTCAGAGGTGAGGCGAGGAGTGAGCATCCTGCCTCACCCTTGTCAACGAGGACTGAGCCAGCAAACTTCGAGATCCAGATATGCGGCCGTACGTCGATTGGACGACGGGCGACGGCTCCTCCAAGGAGAGTCGGATACCTCTAGCACGACTCCGTAATTGCCGTCAGCATCGAAACCAACGTGCTTCTCGAGCTTGCGTGCTGCGGTAGCGGAAGCTTCGTCTTGAAGATGCATTCGAGTTCGAACTCGCTGCACTGGCTCTCGTAACGTGTGAGTCTCTGTTGCCTCTGTGGCAGAGGACTCACATCACCCGCCGCAGAGGAACATGTTCCGCAAGCCGTTCGTGGCATCAAAAAGCGAGTGACCCCTTGGAAGGAGCTTCAGACCCTGATGGCTGAAAGCAAGCAGCTAAGAGACAAGATCAACTGTTGCTCAGAGCTTGCAGCGCCTCTTTACAATGCGAAATCTCCTGCCGAAAAGAGTGTACCAGCGGCCATGCTTCCGCTAATCCGCCTAGCGAGCCCTCGGCTAGATCGATATGGCTTGCAATTTCTGCTATTCTCAAACGTCTTAATTGTTGCTTTGGCTCCGGGTGTTGACGACCTGGACAGTCGTTTGCGACGAATGCGATGAGCCCTGCGTAGGATGCGACCATTGCGCAGCAACCGATGTAAGGCCAGTGCTGCAGGCTTAGCATGTGATCTGAAGGTAGAGCCCCATTGTGAATCTCGAGGGCCTTGGGACCAGACTCGAACAGACCGACCTGGCTTGCTTCTTGAAATGGTCGCTCAAGCTCCATTCTGAGGAGCCGGGAGATGTTGCGAGCGGCCTGGAAGGGATGGAAGTGGATGGTCAGCGGGAAGTGGTGCCCGCTGTAGAGCAAGAGCTTACCTCAAGTATGGCGGCTACGCTTGCTTGACGGCTCATAGTCGCCTTCGGTGTTGAAACCCCTGACAAGCAGGATGGCCCTTGCCGTGATACTTGCGCTTCAAAACTACAGGACCCCAACCCAAAGTTGATGTCAGGAAACCATGCCTTTCTGTGTAACTGGATGCGACAGCTGTTGCATTGAATGAAAGGAACACAGACGCAATTGTCAGATTCGCGGCTGAGGTTGTGAGACCCTCTCAATGGCTTATGCTTACGCGTTCAAGAGAACGGCCGTATCAAAGAGACAAATCGCCTGAGTAGCAAGGTAGCTCGCTTTGTGATATGGTAGCATGCGCACGCTTTTGAGCCAAGCACTTTGAGCCCTGGCAATGAGATTTACCAAAGTCCCGTCCAGTATAATGACACGGTCTATGGTGGTCGCCGAAGAATGGGGCGAATCTACATCCTTTACGCAGTCGTCCATCAGCAGGGCAGCTTGGATGCGCAAAGAGTATACTGCATCGGAGCACGATGCCTTGGGCTGTGGAGCTGGGAACCTAGGCTCCTGTCTCGACCGCTGACAGTTGGCCAGTCGACGCGGTATTTGTCCGCTCGTCGTAGCTGACATCATGACATCAGTGACGCGGAGCTCCCACCATGCCGCCCTTCCAAGCTCTCGGGCATCCGAAGTCAGCAGAGGAAACAGCAGAGTACTTGATGCTTGACGTTGTGGATCCATATCACCCAAACCGTAACGTCCAGCCAGGTCGATGGACTTTCCGAGCTGGAGAGAGGCTCCTTTGAGATCATCAGTCGCATAGAGAACAAGCGCCATCAGCAGATGAGCAAGTAAGAGATCGAGGGTAGCAAGGGCAATGGCTTCGCTCCTTTGGGTCACAGCCGGTACCGCTGATAGAGTCGCGCACATGTCACTGATTTTCTCTCGAGAAGAATCTCCCCTTGCTCCATCTAAGGTACAGTAACCGATGCAAGTCGCTGCCCCGACTGCATGGGAGATCTGCAGAGGCTCAACGGTAGCCAGGAACGTTGTTCGATCGCCAAGGACTGGTATGGAGAGAGCAAAAGTATCAAAGAAGTGTAGCAGTCCTGCCTCATCGCAGCGATCAGCCTGATAAAGTGGACGACTGGAGACCTCCGACTGTGTCGTCGAGGACGAGGGTGAGTTCCCCTGGATTCGGTGCCGCAATGAGAGCCAGTCATCCGAATATAAGGATGCAGCTTCCGAAGGAGTGGTCGACGCTGTAATCGAAAGGTGTGTTGAGTTTTCTGGTGCACAACCCAGATTGCAAGGGGTGATTTGCATTCCGCGTGATCCCGTAGGATCGGGTAGCGGCAGCGGCAGGCCGCTGCTTTGGTCACCTTGTGATGGAGTATTACCAGGTATTCTGGGCAATTGCAGTGCGCCTGTGGACTGCTCGAAAGGACTGGCGGACAAAGACTCAGGCCGTACGTTGTGGAACCAATCTGTCCACAGATAGTCTTCGAACTCCCCATCAGTATGGGCAGTGAGACTTGTGTCTGCCTCGCCTGATGCGCAGGCTGGGACAGGACTTTGAGCAAACGCTGCTTCGGCAGGCAAGTCTGATGTCGTGACACTCCTCGCTTTCTTTGGGCGCCCATTCCTCTGCGATGGCATCCAGACACATGCGATCGCTAAGCCAACGCATCTGGTGCAGGACTCTGGTGAAGTCGTGGCGGAAGGCGTGGGGCTCGAGGTCCCATCGCATCGAACCTTGGCATTGCGGCAAGGTAGACAGGCGAGGGCATTGCGGGACCTCTTGATTCCGCTCATCGTCTGCACTCTGAAAGAGGGCGGGAGAGAAGCTGGCGCAATGTGGAAGCTAGATCGGTCCTTAGTACCGACACGATGCAGTGGCCAGCGCCTATCTATGTAGCCCGGCCGGATAAGTGTGGGACGGAACAGCTTCGGCTACTTTCGCGTCGTGCCGGCTCGATTGCCGTGCCGAGCTCACGTGGCGCAAGCAGTTCAACTCAGCGTGAAGGCCCAGTCTCAACGTAGGGGCCATGCTTTCGCCCCTACACCTGCCTCAGTCAGCGTACGGAGCCGTACACTTCTTACAACGCAAGACTCAAGCGGAGACTATACTCTCCTGGAAGACAGCATTAGATTGAGATTTGGTACAACGACTCTGTCGAGCACGGAGGCAACGGATCGGGCGAGACGAACAGGCGACTTTTCTCGATCAGCTGGCCGGGTGAGCTCGTACCTCCAACACGCCCAGTCAGAACGAGATTCAACACTTTCGTCCCCCTCTGTCGGTAGACCAAGCTGCGACGTGGCGAGGGAGACAACGAGAAACGAGGCGCTCGGCGGATCACTTGGTCAGAGCCAAAGCAGCCCAGAATCCAACTCGATACACCATGATGATGATGACACTAGAGGATGCGAGAGGGTCTCATTTAGCAGCGGAAATTGGTGCATAGCGCGAAGAACGCGACACTTACATCAGGAAAGTGTAGAGAACATCGTTGGAACCAGAATAGTCTAATTGTGCCACCACCGCCGACCCAGTGACGGCGCAGGATTCAGCGTCGGGCTGAGCAAAAGAGCAGCTGCAGACCTCGTCAACGACTTGGCAGCCAAAAAGCAGGCCAGTAAAGTCGTTCTTCACCATAAGCTGGAAAGCATACGTCTGATAATCGATCCAATGAGCCCAGCTGTGCCAGAAAGCAGGCAGGTTGCGCATGAAATACCCTGAGGGAGGAGCGCACGGTTTCATCGGCAAGTACTGGGATTTCCTTCACATCCTCTCAACGAAAACTCACCTTGGACCGCCATCCAGAAGCCATTGGCGAAAGCAGCGACTGCCAGGGCTGCTACAAAAATTGGTATAATAGCAGCGATGAGAAGGGATTGGGTCTCGGCAGCATACACGCCCACAAACAGGTATGCAAGGAACTTGAAAAAGGGCACAGCACCAGCATGTAGACCGACAGACCAGTAAACAATCACTGCATAAATAAGTGAACAAAGGAAGAGATACGCTGCAGGGATGAGAAGCGATGATGAAGCGGAAAGTGAGCATACAGAGGGCGCACCACGTCAATGAGTCTCAGTGGCCGAGGCGCACTCACGTATGTTGACTGCAGTATTCGATACTACGAAGGGCAGTGCCCCATACAGTCCATTGCGTTTCTCTCTCAGCAAGACCGAGCGCTCCTCGAGGAAGCTTGGGATTCCAGCTACGCTCATGAAGCCAAGGAAAGCCACACTGAAGAAGTGCACACTGAGGCGGTCGTTTATTCGCGAGTCTTCTTGGGGCAAATTGACCCACACGGTCGCCACGAGAATGCCCATGCCAACGTACATTCCGAAACGTACCCCGTAGGCTAGGAGGTTACGATTATAATTGATGACTGTCGGAGCCGGCAAAAACATGAGCTCTTCTTCATCCGCCCTTCGCAAGTCACACCACATTTCACTCACTGTTCCTTTGGACCAGATACCAAGTCTTGTAGATGAAACCACTCCAGCGGCGCCGTGTGGCGGAGCCCATCGCGCTCAATGGACTCGATGGAATGTCTTTGACATTCGCGGCATAGCTGAGCTGCTCGAGCGCATGTGTTGGCCTGTGCAAAGCCCAGGCACCGAGAAATTTTGCAAGCGTCCACCCGGCTGCTGCTTCGGCGTGGCCGAAATCCGATGATACTAATCGCATCATGTGGTCGGCTGGATTTGAATGCGCTGCCGGTGGAAAACCGAGGCCAGCAAACCATTCACTGACACCATGAACAGAGCCCTGGTAGGCAATTTGACCCTTGGCTAGGAGCAGAGTGTTGTCAAAAAGGGCAAACGTTTCCCAAGAAGGTGAATGAATGGTGGCAATGACTGTGATGGAATGCTTTGAAGACAGTGCTCGGATGGCAGACATGACCTCGTAGGAAGTGGCACTGTCAAGGCCAGATGTTGGCTCGTCCAGAAAGAGGATAGCAGGTAGAGTCACCAAACTGGTGCCGATGGTGACTCGTCTTTTTTGCCCGCCGGAGATGCCTCGCTGGATTGGTGTGCCAATACGATGTTTGTCGACTTGAGAAAGACCCAATCCCGAGAGGATGTCATCCACTCTCTGTTTCACCTGTGCTTCTGTGTAATACGGGAAGCTGCCAGCGAACAGCAGCACTTCCGACTCAACATCTAGACATCTGGAGCGTCGTCTTTTCAGTACTCACCTTAGGCGCGTCGAGTACCAAAACGTCTCACCTACCGTGAGTGACCCCAAGAGAGCGTCGTCTTGCTCGACGTAGCTGCTGCCACGCGCGAGATCTTTTTGACTTATTTCGCTCCCTCCCCAATAGATCTTTCCGGTGTCCAGCTTCTTCCGTCCGGCTAGGCAGTCTAGCAGAGTAGATTTACCTGCTCCCGAAGGCCCTAGTACTGCGTGCAAGGCCGGGCAGCACGCGGTGAGTGAGTGAGTTCCTGTAGCCGTGCCCCTCCTGAAGACTCACTAGCAAGCATCTGACCGACTGAGCATTGCCCGGACACCTTGTTGACCAATTCGATGGGCTGTTTGGTCTTGCGATCTTTGACAGTGTACCTAAGGTCCTCCCAAGCCAGCTTGCCCCGTGAAGGCTCAAGTCCTGCCTCGAGATCTCGCGTAGTTTGAGGTTCAGCCATTGTAAAAAGTGGACAGGACAGCGGAACAGCGAAACAAAGTCATGAAGGGCTGGGTGTTGAGACTGGCTGCTTTTGTAGGTAACGCTCTTCTCGTCTACGGGCAAAAAAGTACCCGAAAGCCCGCTTCGGCATTGCACGGTGTGCCGGCAAAGTAGCCGACGCGTTGACTGATCTCGACATAGATGTCTTTCCGATAGCCGGCAAAGAAGGAAGCACATACTGGAGACAACAGCCCGCTGTCGGCGACGACTTGCGAATCTATGTACTCCTGCTATCGTGTGTGTGGAATGTGAGCCATGTGATCTCTGATCTCATTCGACAATACAAGTATAGCGCTCGATCCGCACAGGCATGGCGACTTTCCCCGCCGGATGAGTACGAACGATCAGGTAAGCAAGCAGTGTGGCTCGAGCACTTGGGCGATTCGTGGGGAACCCGACGGCACAAACACTTGACGGGACTGTTGTCGACTGTCAGCGGTGCTGCTCTCGCTTGTCCTAGTCATGATAGAGTGACAGGCCATGCCGAATGTTGCACACGAACATTGACGCTGTTCTCTCAGCCGATGATCTCTGGATCGAGAGGAAAATTTCAAAAGCCATGGGACGGCTCACCTGACTGGCATAGGATGCAATGGAGCTGCAGAAATCCCGGAAAGGAGGAGACGGACCGCGATCGGAATTCCAATGCCTCAGTTGTACTGTATGTCAGGTCGAAGAGTGCACCATAGCGTGGAAGCGAGGTTCAGCATTTACGTCGAATGTAGCCGGCTACTTCTGTGCGACATGTCACCGCTACTTCTTCGCTTACTTATTGGGCAGTACCATGGTACGGTGCAATTCGACGCTCGCTACGTGAATCCGCACCCGGTGAACTGACTGTCGCATTCGAGCAAAGCCGACACCCTCTACAGCGTGTGACAACAAGCCCAAGCCGCCGCCATGATGTTTGTTGCTTTTGCTCTATACTTCTAGAATGTGGCCTCGGTATGAGCCGGGCTGCTGGATACAGACTCGCGCTTTGTGGGTCCACTCGAGCAACGGCCAATGCTGTAGCTCGTGGCGCGTGCAACAGCGAGTCATCTTGCTTTATTGTACTGTACCGTAGACGGTCATTGGAGTCGTGCTGGCCAGTATCCTCACCCAGCTGCGCCAGTCACATCAAATCGGAGCGACTCTGATGACACAAACAACTTGAGAACCTGTACAGTACTGTAGGTAAGCAGTGCTTTCCATGATATAGGCACCGAAACGACTGTCCAATACTCCTTTCGTCACTCAATTGTAGCCAGCTGCAGCAGGTGCACCACAAGCAGCCAGAACACCTTTCTCCGGCAGCATCCACGATCAAAAGGACCTACATGACACTGCTCTGGGGCCTGACCTTGGCTCAAGTGTGGCTCAATCTCGGGCTCAGAAATGCTCGAGCGCAAGGCAAGCTGCCAGGATGTCTGCCAATATAGTAATTCAGGATCTATGGTGTCTGACTACGAAGGAAGTACAGTACTCCCTGATGCGACCCAAAGTGTAAAATTTGCACAAAGCGCAATGTCATGCGGCTACAATGAATGGAAATCTCGTCCACAGCTATAGTTCTGCGTTCTCTGCGTGTTCTTGCACAGCAAAAGCGTAAAAGCTGCAGCAATTGCAGCAAGTCGCGTGTACTGTACTGTCTTTCAGGCGAGAGATGTGTGGGCTTCCGACGATGCTGCGGCGTTGCTCCCCTGCGTCTCTACAGCAACACTGACACTCTGATCTTCACCTACACTTCGCTGTTCCATCTTTGTAGTGCCCAGCGCTCCGGCATCATTCTGAACGCCAGGCTGCTTTGAGAATTGGGCAGCTTTTATTCATCAGAGTGACTCTGTCATAAACCCCGCATAGCCTTTTCGGTAGTGCCCTTCACTTTGTTTATGACATGGTTGGTGAGGGTGTCATGCGTGTCAGTATCTTGCTTGCCAACACATACTTTCTTTTCGCCAGACCAAAGACCCACTCGCACAGATTGAATTCTCGTGTGCAGTAATCCTGTTGCAGTCAAAAGCATGATGGTTACAAAAAACGGTTCATCTTGCTATATTAGCAAGTGAATACACTCAATTGCGGAATCCCGCACACTTCTTTTGTCACTCAATTCTACTCTAGCAAACGGACGTCAGATTAGCAGGGTGACGTGCAGTCGGGCAGCATGCCGCAGACTTTGGCGGTCCGAGCATTGAATTCAAGCCACGGTATACAGTAATCAGGCTCAAACACTGCAGCAGTGTGGTGCGGCCGAAGGTCATCCTGCATCCTGCCGAAATCTGTTTGTCTCGGCTGAAATATCGCAAGCCGGCTAAGGTACTGTAGGCTGCAGCTGGTTGAAATTCAGGGACAGAATCGGTATGGTACACTACTGTACTGTACCAGATGTGTGACATTGCAGCATTTCGCGCGACATTTGACATCGTCTATAGGCAACATCTGCAGACTGTCATCTTTTGAGTGCGAATGACCTTTGCTGCTTAGTGCTACAGTCGTACGTGTGAAAGCTGGCTTGCAACAGAAGACCTCTGGTTTCAATGTCCACGATCGAGATGCCGCTTTCGCGCACTGCTTTGCAACATGTAGCAGCTTTGCAACTTTCTGCGATTGGCTGAAGTTCTTTCCACTGTTGCTGCATGTCATGTACAGTACAAATTTTGTGCGACATGGAATACTGTATTTGTCACTCGACCCTACTGTACAGTAGAGTACTGTGAGATCTAGGCCCAAAGACTGAATCTGACGCGCAATTGGCTAGAATTGAGTGACGAAAGCAAGAAGCAGTCTAGTCGAAACAAGCTTGCCTCGCGCTTTGACAAAACGAGTGAAACCGCTTTGGGAGACCTTGGGACTATTCAAGCTCTGACACAAAACTCAATTTGTGCAGTCCGACGCAAACACAGTGCTGCTTTGCATGCGTCTGACCGCAACGGCACGCGCACTCCTTCCGTCGCTCAATGTTGTTTCTTTACAGTAAGTAGTGTCGTTTTCACTGTAGCAGTATCGGCTTGGGAATACACCGCACTCTTTCCCGCAATCACCTCTTTTGATTACTATATTTTGTTTCGCAGAGGGAGTCTTGGCAAGCTACTGTAAGTGCTGGATCTTGTTTTGTCGTACTTGGCTGGTGCCTTACCCTTACACGACTTGCTGAAGTAGACACTTCATGCGCTTTGCAACTTCCAATCACCGCGCATCAGCGGACGCAATCAGTGTCATGGATAGACAATCTCGGACAAGACTTCGTAGGGAAGTGAACGAGACTGGCTGACAGACTTGTTTCACCTAAAGACACTGAGCCTGCTGAAAAGATAAGACCTTTCACCGCTATAGCTTCTGCTACTTGCCATTGTACTTGATACTGGTACCGTAGCATTTTGGCCTTGGAGATGACGCAAACGAAGCTAAAGCAACACTAGGCAAGGAAGGAGTATCGAAGTAGCCCTGACCATAAGGAAATCTCGTGGGAACATCCGCTTCACGCTGTTCCAGTGTGTCCGGCACAACATCTGAGGTGCAATCGTAACCTGTACTTTGGGAGACCGTTGTCGTCGTTACAGTAGATAGCTCGCAATGTCGCGTCAACGAACGCGACCTTTGGCGTCAGAGAAGGGAGCGCACTGCCAGTCGTATCTTTTCGAAGATCCTTATTATGCGACTACACACCAGGTCATCCTGGAGTTCACCCAGAATGGTATACGCCGCGGAAAACGACGGCGAAAGTTCAGAGCGCGTCATGCTGCCATGAGGGGCAGGGAAATACTTCAACGTCAGCAGGAAGCAGTGTCTATAGAAGTACAGCGACAGCACGACGGGCTCGCGGCCTCGCATTAGTATGGTGTAAGGCAAGTGAGGTAGCATGCCCACAATGTCCACTGCACAGCATTTTGCCGAACGCCTGCCCTGTATATAGGTCATCTATTCACATCGAGATTGCTCTGTAGGACTCCAAACTGATTTTTCACTATACCCATGGACACCGTGACATGCTCAATGTAATCATATGGTTCGGTGAGGTGACAAAGCTTATGGACACAGGTCGACGTGCCAAAAAGGTACAGGTGAGCATCGAAGTCGGGCGCTCGGTATGAGTGTGCCTGTCTCGCTGGGTGGAGCCTGTTTGCAAGCTCGGACGCTTTCGTGACCCACGACACTGACTGTGCGCTCCCTCTTGCATGCGTATGGCTAATATGCGGCTAAGTGCCACTGTGGGAGAATGTGGAAGAGGGGCTTGTTGACGTGCCGTCCTTTTGGAGTCGCTAGCCGGGAAGCGTTCGTTGCTGGTGACCCTCAACTCGTTCAAAGCAAAGATGATCTGAGGGGCTGCCACTCGTGGTGGGCCATCTCGAACTGGGTGGCCATTTGAGCATCGTCAGTGTGACCGTCCTTGTGCGACCCTCACGAGGACACGTCAGGAGAACCATCCGCAAGTGTTTCGATTGACCGCAAAAGGGAAGTCTACGCCAGCTGGTCCTCGGAGCAAGGTGTAATGGAGCCGCCATTCCACCCTGCCTGCCCGCGTGCGCGTCTGAGCGCGCTTGTGCCTGTGTGTGTGCACTGAGCTTAAAGGAGTGGCTCGACGGCGCGTCCCGGTACTCGGCCAGGGCAAACCCAATCAGAGTCAAACTCAAACTATAGAATATGCCTAGAAGGGGCTACACAGTGCTGCTTTCAGATCAACGATCGGTCTTCCCTACGGCGCGTACCGGCCATCTCAAATGATGTGCCAAGATATGCCCATTTCTACGCGCACAAATCTTAGGCGCCCTGCCACAGCGTCAAGACGCCTCCTCCGCCAGCGACACTGGTATCCTGGAATATGCTCAAAGAGAGGATTCCAGCCATATAGGTCTCGCTTCCTCACGACCTCCCTGCAGTCCGTGCTGAGCGCTGCAAATGATGTGCCGAGCGCGCAGACTCCAACCCTCCGCGAGTCTCGCTCACTCTCAATCACTCTCATTGAGAATGATTCACTCTCAGTCACTCTCATTGAGAATGATTCACTCTCTCTCACTCTCGTTCACTCTCATTGAGAATGATTCACTCTCATTCACTCTCGTTCACTCTCATTGAGAATGATTCACTCTCAATCACTCTCAATCACTCTCACTCACTCTTATTCACTCTCACGAGACTCATTCATTCTCGTGATCCAATCCCCAGATGAAGACCTACATAAGAAGCCGCCCGGGCATCCCCCACTTTGTACTTTCCTTTCTTTCTTCAGAGCAATACACACCCACTTCTCTGCCGCTACCTCCTCCTCTACATCATCCTCGACCACCAGCCTCTACTTGTAAGACTGATCATCTTATAGTAGTACACCCTAGCTGATTACCTGCCGTACACTTTGCTCTCCAGGTACCAGCCCAAGCCCCTCCTCGTCCTTACAGCTACTCTGCCTGCTATTTGGTTCAAGACAACAAATAGTACTCGGAGCTTACTCTAGGATTGCTACCACTACAACCACCTACCGTACAACTACAACCCGTGACCACCATCACACAGACAACAGAAATGCCGGATGCATGCAAAGTGGGTCAGACCGATCCGATATCCTTGTACACCCTCAGTCGCATTTCTCCTTCCGTTTTTCCGTCTCCGCTCCCTCTTCATTGCCCCGTGGCCTCTGCTTATTGTCCGCTCATCATTCTGATACCAGGATTCCCCAACGCCCTCTCTTTCCAGACCTGGACCACACGCACATATGCAGAACCAAATCTACACCCCAGCCGCTCGCTGGTGGCCCGGAGGCAATCTCATTCTGCAAGATAGTTCTGGCGATACACTGCTCACCTTCCTCATTGCCTTCCTGACCCAAGGTCAAGTGGCAACATGGGATTACATTCACGAAGTCCTTGGCATGTGTTTCACGGGAGGCGTCAACCTGACCACGCTCGATGGTACGGAAAAGACCAGAGCAGACCCCATCATAGCTGAAACTCTCGTTGTAACGTCAGACGGTGAGTCCATCGTGACAGCGAGCGATGCAAAGCGGAAGGGACGGTGGCAGAGAGTCACTGTTTGATCATGGCATGATGATCAATGCTGCGAGACCTTAACTCAAGCGCATCTCTCACCAACACAGACGCAGGCCTGACGCCCGTTCGAGGCCCTCGATTCAAGGACAAGTTTCGGGCCCCCGCAGATGTGGCCGACGACAGCACTATGAGCCGCTCTTCGCGCCCAACGGTGAATCAGGTAAGATCTGGTCGATCACACACGGCAGGTGATTGCGTCGTTGACACAGGGCCCTTTCGCACAAACGTAGTCGCACTTCTACGACGGATTGATTGCAAGGGACGCCTTTTGCTTGGTCACCGATACAAACTTTGAGTCTTGCATGGCTGCACACATTTTGCCCCTCTCACGCCCTGAGGTCAGTCCAGATCCGGTTGGTGGCTGTTCATGAACAAAGCGCTTCCCTCGCCACGCTGCCTTCCATCTGACAGTATTACGTGGAGGTGCTCGGGCTTCCACGAAAGAACGCCTATCGCTTCTTGACGGCATACGGCCTACTGCTCAGGAAGGACATAAACTCTGAGTTCGCCTCAGGAGGCATTGCCTTCTACCCGGTCGTGAGTTGGTCGTGAAAGCTGCGTAACAGATGCTACTGTCTGTAAGTCTGATCACACCAATGCATACTGGCAGGGGGAGAATCTCGTGATCCATGTCTTCAAGGCGAGAGGGGACTACCGCCAGTATCATGGCAAGGTACTTGGTCCCGACCGATTCCGCGCTCAGTACGGGGCTCCCAACGTGGACCTCCTGCGCTTCCATTATCGACACTGCTGTATCAAGTACATGAGGGGCTATGCCGCCTTCATGGACATTCCCCGGGTTCAGTGATGGTAGAATCGAGGGGCCCTTGAGCAGGCGCTCAGAAGGCGTAGAGGAAGAGGTATAACACTGTCTTTTGTCACCATGTCTCGTTGGTGTTCCGTGGGCCCAATCGACGACACTTCATCTACTATGCACTATCGTGTCTTGCACTGAAATAATGCTCTGAAACGTCTCACTGCCCTCAGAAGGAAGGCGGTGTAATTCTGCGCCGGTATGTGTGAATCCAGTAGGATGGCCGACCATGCCACTAATAGGAGTCTGGCGGCAAAGGTGCGGTTCAACGGTGAGATAACTTGTCTCTCGCCAATGCTCTCTGGCGTTGGGTCCGCAGGCGAGAAAGCTTGCTCGATCGCCGCTGAGCTTCTTCGCAAGGACCTCCACATTCCCACACCTACTGAGATGGGCACTCCAGGATCTTCGCCGATGTTTTGCCTTATCCAAGAGACGTTATTCCCATACACAGACTTCTCGTCGCAAGGCGAGCTCAACCATCCGAGAGCAAGGTAACGAGGAAGGAAATGTAGGGTCCCCGCGTGTGTACTGCAGGCGCCTCGCTTATTGCTGAGTGGCTTGCGAGCTCCGCCAGTCCGCCGATGCACGGCCGTGTTCGGCACAATAGAACTTGCTCCGCCCTTGCCGGACCTTTTATCTGATGAGCACCGCATCGGCCGACACTCGTCTTATCGAGGGAGCGGATACCCAGCGTAAAGAAGCCATGAAGCGGGCGAGCGTAGATGCCCCAAAGGCCATCGCGGGCCTCCTTTCCCCGCCCCCCCTCAATCCAACCTCTTCTCTACGAGAAGCTGTCCTTGTCTTCCACTCCACGAGCAGTTTACACCCACCTCAACTCCCGGGAGTGACGCGCAGTGCACAACGGCTCAGTAGAGTTTCAGATCGCGCTTAATGATACAGGTCACTGCCTTCTTCTTTGTACTTGCGCTTTGCGCAGCCGGGGCTACTTCGGCTCCAGCCCCTACTTCGGAGAAGCCCACCCCGTTGGATCCCCTCACCCACGCCAATGACATCTTCAATGCCATCCATAGCTCCATGCGGCAGTTTGGTTCCTCCCTGAACCACAACGGCCTGGGCTTCTACATTGCCTCTGTTCCTCAAGACACCGAATTCTATCACGGTACCTCTCACGAGTTCCGGATCAATGGCACCGAATGGCTGGCTTTCGAAGCGGAACATGCTCTTCTGTTTGCCTCGATGGGTCTAGGGAGATTCCCTGGGGGAGGTCCTGGCGGGGGACCAGGACGCGGGCCGCCTCCGTCGATCCGTGAACAGCAGGAACAGATCCCCTTCAGCAGCTCGACTTTCAGCAGCGTTGCCCGGTCACGCCATGGCTTTTTGCACACCTACAAGACTCGTCGTCCATTACGCCTCCTATATCTGGATGGCCAGTCGGCTGCGAAATCTGACTTTGGCACCCTAGACACTCAAGATCTCGTCATTCGTAAGAAATCAACAGCTGATCCCATGCCTGGTGGCGGAGAATTCGAGAGGGCCGAGGACATGTGTCGGATTGCTCAAGAGAGCTGGGCAGGAAAAATCGATGGCATTCTGCGGATGGAGGGAGGCTTCGAAATCATTCTTTGCTCCTTTGCCGAGGTCCTCGACGTCATCGACATCAAGCAAGTCGAAGCTCCCGGTAAATTCGATCACTACGCCTACTACGAGGCCGTTGCATCACGGTACCATGGTATTGGAGGGGGAAGGGTGACTCTCGACTATGACAGCTTCGTCACTATGTTTGCTCTCCCGAATGCTACCTACATCGACGAGGAAGGAAGACCGCGCATGTACGCCGACTCTGAACAGGTCCAGATCACAAGAGATCTGCTACATGCGTTGGCTCTCAGTGGAAAGACTCCTGAAATCGATGCCATTAATTGGCAAGCAGTAGTAGACATGTACGTAGCTAGATGGTCCAACCGTCTCGAGTACCTGTTCACGCTCGTTGGCGAAAAGAAGTCGTTCAAAGAACAACTAAAGATGATGCGCCGGCCTTACATTGACTTCGCAAACAGGAGCAGGGAAGCAGAAGTGGGGAGATGTGTCCATCAGTTCTGGCCAGACAGTACACGCTCTTCATCGGCGACCAAGTCAGTAGCTGCGCAAGCTGTCCATCAAGTCGTCCACAAGATGTGCTCCAGCATTTGGACCGCTTGGGACGCCATCGACGATGGAGACGCTCAGAAAGCATTCGACACTGCTACTGAGTTGAAGAGCTACCTCTCCTGGACGACTTGGAAGCAATGTAGAGGCTGCCAAGCTCATGAGATCTGCAAGTTGCCAATTTGGCCAATGGGTTCCAAGGAGGACTTCGCTCAACCTCAGTGTACCGCCGACTTTGCCAGTGATCGCGGGGGGTATTGGGGGCATGGAGGACCTGGCGGGCCTGGCGGGCCGGGTGGACCAGGTGGACCTGGAGGACCTGGAGGACCTGGAGGACCCGGTGGGCATGATGGGTCCGGAGGCTCTAATTGGGCATGACTCATGGGTTGTCTCGTCCGTCGGCCAATTACAGCATACTTCATCATATCAGAGCTACTTCCACTTGAGCGTCTCACCGTCCGCCGCGCGCCGTGCGCCGTGTTGCGGTCTCCTCTTGCCCGTCCATAATGAAGCTTCGCCCAATGAGCAAGACATGGCTTGTGAAGTCTGCAATACAGCAGGAGCTGAATAAAACTGAAGCCAAGTAGCTTCACGCCTTTGACATTAGCTTGTCCGAGCTTGATGAGGATCATTTAGTTGCATGCGTGCCAGTACCATGAAGCAGATTGCAGAAGCAGCAAAGTCAAAGACAGTGTGTCAGCGGACAAGGTGGCGAAATCACCACTGAGCTTCGACATTCGTCAAGCGGGGATTAGCAAACAAGGGTGAATGAAGTAATGCTCGATTCTCCCTCACTACGTGTGATCGGAGGCGGACATAGATGGTGTGCGAAAAAGAACATGAAAAACGATCCTTATTACAGTGAAATTGAGTGATGGCGCGACAACGAGGCAAGGCGGTGTCTACTGCATGGCAGCGCAGAAGACGTACATGACCTGCTAAGGGCCTCGGGGCCCTTTCTAACGAATGGAGCCGTTTTATAGCTGAGCTGCTGCCGCCTCCTTGGGGCTAGCACCTGCCTGAGGTCTCCGCCTCTCCGTGAACTTCATCCTGGCACCATCCTTTGGGAAGATGGTGGCAATGACCTCAACTTCCTCGCTCAGCGGAGTGATTTCGTGCTCCCAATTCATGCCGATGCTAGCAGCGCCAAGGACAGCTGTAAGATGCATAAGAGCATACTGTTGTCCGATGCAATTGTGAGGTCCCGAGCCAAAGACTAGCCAATTCTTGACGCCCTTGTTGGCCGAAGATTCAGGATCGAGCCATCGCTCAGGAATGAACTCGTCGGGCTTGTGGTAGACCTCTGCGTCGTGCAATGCATTCCAGAACGAGGGGATGACCATCGATCCTTTGGGCACCGTGTACTTGTCGTCGATTGGGAAGTCACGGTGGGCCAAGTACGGCACCATGATAACGGGCGGCTTCATCCGCAGAGACTCCTTGACGACGACACGGGCGTATTCCATACGATCGACTTGGTCCAATGTGACTGGAGCGTCGAGGTCGTCCCCTCGTAGAGCGTACTGCTCTTCCCTCACCTTTTGGAGGATGTCGGGTCGGTCAGCCATGTGTTGGAAGAGGTACACTACTGCAGAAGACATGGCGTCCTGACTCGCAAAGAGGAAGCTCATCAAGACCATGGCAATCTCACGATCAGAGAAGTCGCGGACCAGGAGACGTCGCTGCTCGCTCGTGAGCTCCGAGACACCATTCGATGTCTCTTCCCTAGCATCGAGCATAGCCTTGACCCAAGCATCTGTCAAGCAGTTCACCTGGCCCCCTTCGGCCATACGCTTCTTGCTCTCCCGTGCAGTGAGCTCGAACCACTTCATTGCGAGCTTCCTGGCCTGGATAGCCTTGTAGACTTTGGTTCCGGGGAACGCAAAAGGGAAGTTAACCAGCTCCAGCGCCACGGTGATCAGCCAGTAGTTGTCAGAAACCTCCTTGGCTCCATGCTCGGGGATGTAGTCGCCGCAGAAGACTCTCAATGATGTGTCCATGTTGAGATCTCGGAAAGGCATCTGATATGGTCGGAACGATCCATCTTCGGAGTCTGACATCCACTTGCGGAAATGCTGCTTGTAGATGGACTCCTGGATGCTCAGGTAAGTGGCAAGAGCCTTGCGGGTGAAGAGAGTGTTCAAGCCCTTGCGGAAGTCAACGTGAGCTTTGCCATTGAGGAAGACCCTGTGAGGAGAGTCACATGGGAGACAAAGTGAGAATCTCTGAACGATGCGGACGCGCTCGGGGGGAATCTACGTACCAATTGTCGGGGTTCAGGACCTTCTTGGCAGAAGCCACGAGGCATGGCTCTGTGTATGTGGGCGAATTGAGAATCTTGCGGGTATGTTCGGTCGACGAGGCTACGACGATGAAGCTGACGAGGTTGCGGAAGCAGAAGAGGTGTGAGCGTCGAGAAAGGGATCACACGGAGCAACGCCGCTCGAACGCCGTTCGGGCCAGCTACTGGCAAGACCTTTGAGCCTGAAGAGAAAGCTGACTTGTTCCCACGGGGGCGGCGCAGGGCGGAAACAAGGGGGAACGCCACGCCCTCGCTTCCAATGGTTTCGGTACTCACATGTGGAATACGCTCGCGACGCTCAGAGGACCGGAATTCCATCCTGCCTGGTACTTTTCCAAAGAGGGATGCAGCGAGTCTGCGAATTTTCCAATGATGGGAATCGTCCACTTTGGGCCAGGAAGACCCCCCTTCTTTTTGCGATACGTCACTTGCTCAAGCACAAGCACAGTGGCGACGATGGCCAGGATGGTGAAGATTGTTCTCGTGGCCGAAGCGCCCTGGAGAGATGGCAGGGAAAGGTAAGACAGATAAGGCGAGACCTTGCTCCAAACCGAGGGGGAATCGAGGATGGTGAAGGGTCCTACCGATGCCGAGGAGCCCGCGCGAGATGCGTTGGAACTCAAGAAGGCGGAACGCAGGGTAGCGGTGGACTCAGAGGCCGCATTGACCTTGAAAGACTTGAGTACCGAGGCCATTTGAGGTAAGGACAGTGGAGCAGGGACGTCTATCTACTGGAGGCGACAATGGCGCGATGTTGAGATGAATCCCCAAATCTCAAGACTTTTGACTGAGAGCGGGAACGCCCAGTGGGGGAGCGGATTGCCGTACAGTGAGCGAAACGCGACTAAAAGCGGGCGGGAATGATGGCGCGGACGCGTATGGGCGGCAGCGGAAGGAGCCAGGCGTAGTACCGAAGGGGGAGGGAGACCGTAAGGGTGGAACTGGTCAAAGAGAAGGTAGCGATCTAGGAAAGATGTATAGACGGGGAGGGAGAGAGGGAGAGAGAGGAGAGACGACGACGACGACGAAGGGAAGACAAGTAATCCTCAGCGGCAAGCAGCCTGGATATGGTAAGGAGCTGCTGAGGCAAAGAGGGAAACAAACCCCACGGCGGCAAAAAAAGGAAGGGCCCGGGTCAGAGGCAGGCGGACGGGCGCAGGAGCGGAGGGAGGAGGACGAGGAGTGCAGAGAGCGGAAGATTAGAAGTCAAATCGAACCAAGTCAAGGACGGAGTTGCATCTCCGCCGCCGCCTTGGCCAGGGACGCTGGCCTGGATGCAGACGCAGGAATTGCCACGGGCACCCTGCCACACCCGCGACTGCTTTCAGCCATCGACAGAATTAGCAGCCACCGTCAGAGAGAGAGAGAGAGACAGACACACGCTTAGCCGAAGGGCAGGCTGAGTCGAGTCGCTCCTGCTGCGCATCCTCCGTTGTTGGCACCCGCACCCACTTCTCTCACACATCCACATCCGAGTATCGGCCCTGGTCTGCAAGCTACCCACAGTCGACGGTGCCTTGCGTGCCTGTGGTCCACCGCTGGAGGGCTACTGTAGCAAAAAATTGAACCGAACACCAAAGGCGCGGGTCACACGCCACGCGCAAAATGGCAAGGGCCAAGGTTCGGCAAGGGCTCCCCGGAAATGCACGGCCGGAAAGGACCGTGGGGGCGGAATGACGCGAATCTGCCTGATTCATCAATTGGCTGGCTTGACAGGCACACACGCGCGGAGAGATAGATACAACGCCAGGACCTCGTGAGCCCTGCAGGCATCCTCTAGGCCTGGATACCGTCAATCAAGCATTCGCTCTGCCGATGCACACGTCGACACGATCGCCTCGCAGTCAATTGCCAACCACCTGGACAGCCAGTGTCTTCTTACTGATCGTCGCAGCAGGGGGAAGCACAATACTCAGTCGTCGTCCCCGAGGGCCCAGCAAGCCAGCCACCAAAGTCTTCGGGTCAGGACATGACTGCTGAACAGCGAGAAGGGTTCGAGTGCCAGGTTGAGCTTGCGAGTGATCGGCATCGAAGATCGAGGCTCGCCTTCGAGAGTATGTAGGGGGAGGCTCGAATGTATTTGGGCGCTTCACAGTCGATTGTGATTCTGCTGAAGTGGAAGCAGAGACAGGATGCGAACAGGACCAGGCCCACGGCTGCCCTGCATCAATCTCGATGGCCTGGCTCACTCCTTTGTCTGAGGTGTCATTCGGCACAGAGTATGGGATGGGCACCTTCTCTGGCAGATTTGACCTGGCCAATGTTCGAAGAGAGTAGTGGCTGCAAGGATGGAACATTACCGGCTCGGGAGGCCGAGGGGGTAGGGCATTCTCGCACACGGATGGCCTCTGCTGCTCTAGAGTGCCCCGATGCCCAACAAGGGGTTGCTTCAGGCTCTTGGATGCATCTGTAGCCCCGTCTTCTACCATTGTGTCTTCTGTGGACCGGCATGGCTCAGACAGAGCTGCGGACGAAGCCACATTGCTAGACATTGTCCCGCCGCTGCCGATCTCACAGGCACCCAGCGACGCGGGTGTGTTTGCGCTCATCACCGGAGTACCTTCGAGGAATGGTGTCAGGGTCACCACAGGTCTTGCCGATCTCAGGTTGCCGCCTACGCCAGTGGGAAGTGCCGAAAGCAGACCGCCCTTTGACGTTCGAGAGGTGCGGCTGGGACCCCACAGTCCAGACTGTAGGGCAGGAAGAGCGGACGGACGGGAGTACACCGACCCCTCTGAGCTTGCTGAAGGCGAAGCGATCTCGACGTCTTCGTCTGACATTGGACCCGTGTCTCGGTCAGATGCCGGCAAACTTTTCGTGCTCTCAGGCTCTGTCTTGGCCAGCCCGCTCTCTACTGTCCGGGCCTCTGGCTCGTCCAGCTCGGTGTTCATCAGCAAGCGGACTGATGCTCCTTCTTCGAAGGAGTGGCACGCCAGGTCCGGTGCCATCGGCGATTCTTCAGGAGGCTCAGCAGTCGTTTTGCTAGTCCAGATGAGGTCCATCGAAAGTCGTGGAGCGTGAATTGCCTTTCTGATGGAGCTGTCCAAAGACTTGTTTACATTCGTCACTTCAAAGCCAGGACGCATTGATGAGACTTCGTCGATGGAAGGTTGACGTGCGCTGAGGCGAACTGGTGGTTGCACCTTACCAGCAGCCTGTCTGTCACTGCCGACTGAAGTTGCTGAGCTCGTGCTCAGTCGACCGGGGTCGAGACTCCTGGGTCTCTCGGGCGTAGGTCTTGAACATGCTGGAGGTTCCTCAAACGGCATGGAGGAGGCTCTCATGACTGGTCTCTCCCCTTCCAATCCGAAGTCTTTCACCTTCAGCTGACCGTCCACCCACTTCTTGCCAGCATTGGGCTTGATGGCTGGCATGGCCGCCCGGGGCAAATCTGCTGGTAGTGAAAATTTGTCGAAGCTCCGCGAGACCCTCTTGCTGTGCGCAGCGGACAGGTTCAGCGAGGTAGGTCGCTGACGACGGTTGCTCGTAGCTATCATGCCGCGTGTGGCCGGTGCGCAATTGGAGCGAAGGGGGAGCCCTGGAGACCTCGGTGATATTGGGAAGGATCGCATGGCGAAGGTCTGTCCAGCAGCTCCACTGCGAGAGGGTGTCTTCACTGAGATCAGCCAGTGAAGTCAGTCTACGCTACCAGTAGCGTGGAAGCACGAAGTGATGACGATGGCACCTGGCCGAAGAGGAGAAATCCGAGCTGGAGAGGAGGGTGATGTCGAGACAGGGATCTAACCAGAGGTGTAGCCGGTTTCACTTATGTATATGAGGGAAATAAGAAGCAATGCGTCATTGCGACGCAGCAACTCATCAACTGATGCTGCACCACGTGTCACCTCATAGAGAGCAAACAGCACTGCGCCCTTCGAGGCGACAGTCACAGCAAGCGTTGAGGACAATTGCGCAATGGTCCGATGCTGCTGCTCACAGGCAGCGTCACACCGTCAGACAGTGTGAGTGCACGAATGCTTGGGCTGCTGTCACCTCCTCTTCCGTAACGTACACTGTGGAGCTGAATTTACATGTAAGTCTCGCCAGAGCAAAGTTGCGCCTCAATGCTGCACTCAGATACCCCTTCCTCCAGTGACCTCCAAGACCTGTCCGCTGACATAGCCAGCGAGACCACTGGCCATGAACAGGACCGAGGATGCAGCTTCCTCGGTCCTGCCTGGTCGGCCCAGAGGAATGTCGGCAGTAGCATTGACGGAAGGCTTGTCGCCGCTTCCACTAGGCGCAGCAGGTCGACCTGGAATACCAAGCGGCACAGACTTCCCGTCGATGACGATGGTCTCTCCAGACTCCTTTGCTCGAGTGAGACGAGTGTCGATCCAGCCGAAGGCCTGAGCGTGGAGGAATGATATGTAGGCAATACGAAATCAACTCACTAGTCCAAGTATGCACGCTCGCAACACGGAAAGACTCACCACAACGTTGGCTCGGACGCCGAAAGGACCCCACTCCTTGGCGATCGTCTTGGTCATACCGACTACAGCAGCCTTGGCTGCCGAGTAGTTGATCTGTCCGACGTTGCCGTGGGTACCAGAGGTGGAAGAAATCTGTACATGGAAGATGGAAAGCTCGTTCGTGTCAGCAAACGAAGAGGGGCAATCGATGGGAGTCCCATGATGTTCAGAGCCGGGCCACCCACGTTGATGATGCTCCTGTTCTCCCTCTTTGACTCCTCCTTGATCCTGAGGTAAGGCGCAGCAGCACGAATGATCCTGAATGGAGCTACGGTATGGCATTCGAGCATCTGTCGGAAGGTAGCGTCGTCAAGGTTGTGTAGCATCTTGTCGCTGCATGAGGCGAGAGACGAAGCAGAGTGCGATGTCAGCCACGATTCCCCTTGTGTCCTTTGCACTTGCCCGATCTCAACTCACTTTGTGAAGCCAGCGTTGTTGACGATGACATTGATCTTTCCCCACTTGTCTACGGCAGCCTTGACCAGCCTCTCTGCGAAGCCGTCCTCCATAACATTACCGGCCACAGTGATGGCAGTATCCTTGCCTCCAGCATCCTCGATCTCCTTGCGAACAGAGTCAGCCTTGGCTCCGTCGAGGTCGCTGATGACGACCTTGGCGCCATGAGCAGCAAAGAGGAGGGCGCAGGAGCGACCGATTCCTTGGCCGGATCCGGTGATTAGACAGACCTGATCCTGGAGCAGGTTGCCAGTCAGGGGAGCAGGGATGGGACCTCCCGTGCCGGGGTGGCCGGTGATGTGAGAAGCCAACTGGGCAAGTCGCGAAGCCATGGTGGGAGAAGACGATAGAAGAGGAGGGGAGGTATGAGTAGCGCGGCGGAAAGGGCGAGTGGAAGTCAGGGAAAAAGACCGCAAGGAAGGTGCTCTCGCTGCTGTTCTCAAGTGGTGCAGAGATGCAAAGATGGTACGGCCGAAGAGCATGTACCCGTAGAGGCGTGATGATGAGAGACGAAGATGAGGGCAAAGGAGTCTGGCCCGGCTTCTCGGTGGGAAATGCGGGGTAGCCCCGCTTGCCTCTGTCCCCGCCTTTGCCGGCCGGTTCATTGCCGGTGAGCTCAGAGCAAGCCGGCTCATGCGGGCCGGAACGGAGCGGAACCGAGCCCATACTCGAATCGATACCTGGAGACGCCGCTCGATCTTCTGGTGAAGACTGCATCCATCGTCTGACATAATAACACTGCCCATGGTGCAGACCATCAGACTCTCGGTCGCACTTGGCGATCTACATCAAGCGCAGTGCAAATGTGCAAGGATCCAATGACCACCGCCGAGACGCTGCTACGAACAAACCATGGTTGCTGATGGGTTGGGCTGTGCTACATGGTCAAAGCAAAAGCAAAAGCAAAAGAACAGGTACTTGAGCATGTACTCATGCCAGCACCGAGGGCGAGGCTCTTCCGACCCCATTTTACAGAGCAACAGCATAGGCGTGGGACTGAGCGAGCTGTGCCTAGCCGGGTCCCTGGTCCCGAAGGTCACAGCACCGACGGGGCCCTCCCATCGCCCACTTACATTGACGAGTGGGCAAGGTAGCCACCAGTTTGACCCGTGCCTGCTATCGCGACATCGTGGCTCCGGATAAGGACGTTGGAGGTTCATGAGCATCCCCGAAGGACCCTCGAGTGGTGCCAGATGCAGGGCATAAGTGGGCGCCTGCTACTCAGCAATCAGGGGTACAGGCACAGTGTTCCTGATACCTCGGCCCGCTCATGAAAGATCGAGGCTGGGGACATGGCCTCCTTGCGCCCTACAAAAGGTCGCCCTCAAGACGGTATTCAACGATCACTTCCCTCATCAATCTCTTCCCACTCCATTCAGCAGCCGCATACTTTCAATACCTTTGGCCGATCATGCAGCTTCCGGCACTTTGGAAGACTCTGCTAGTTGTTCTGCTCTCTTCAACATGTGCCATTCTCGTCAGCTCTAGCCCTATTGGAGTTCTGGGGTTAGCCAAAGGAGACCTCCAGATCCGAAGCGACAAAACTCCCCTCTGGGATCTCGCACGACGACGGGGTGAAAGCGGGCCAGTGGCGGCCGCTGATCCTCCTCCCGGCCACAAGCACGGTCGAAGGGATGGAGACACCGGAGAGTTCCCATCTTCTCCACCTCCCCGAATTGGTCACCCTCGACGAGACGAATACGAGGACCCTTATCCCCCTCATTCCAACGGACGACGAGACGGCGACACTGGGGAGTTCCCATCCTCCCCACCTCCCCCTCCTCCTCGACTCGGTCATGGCCGACGACAAACTTACGAAGACCCTTGGTCGCATGCGCCGAAAGATAACCCGTTGGTTCCCTGGCGTCATATCCCCCGCGTCAGTGGCCCCAATCACCCCCATGGACGAAGAGACGGCGACACTGGGGAGTTCCCCTCCTCTCCCCCTCCTCGACTTGGTCATCCCTGAAGAGGAGGTGACTCCGTCCCTCCTTGCTCCGATGGCCGACGTGCCGCTGAGGAGTAATCTGCGCAACAGATGGCGCCGCCTGGCCAACTTTGAAGTAAACGCCCTCCTTTCCCTGCCGATGATGATGCCTACCTCGCATATACTTAGAATCAGCCCAACAACGCGCTGATATACATTTGTCAAGGACCCAATATGAAATTCCATGACTGGACATGCGTGACATGAGCGATTGATGCGCAACCCCTCTGGTGATGACGGCCTGCTTGCCTGGCAGACTCAGTCTGAGCTACAGCCTATGCATCACGAACCCGCCGCCTCCAGGTAACTCTCCAGCTTTGACCATACCTTTGCCCTGACTGCCGGGTCCTGTACATTGGGGCTGATGGGCTCATACCTCTTCAATGTGGGTCCGAAGAGGTTGGCTTCGCCCTTGCGGACTCTAGAGTTCGCCTCTGGATTCGCGTGCAAGTAGAAGGGCACCTCTGGGTATGAGCCTGGCTCCGGCTTGTAGAGCAGGCCAAGGGAGGTGGCTAGCTTGCTGCCCCAAGCAAGAATAGAGGGGAAGCCTTGGTTCGAAACGGCGTCGGTGCCATTGATACCCGGAAACAGATGCGAGACCACGAGATTTGGGTTGCGTTCGGCAAGTGTCTGCAGGGGAGAAAGAGACAACATCGATTACCAGACAGGATGCCAGTAAGAAGGCAGAACATCAGTGATAGATTCAGAGTGAACCTTGCATACTGACTCGACTGACCTGTGTGACTGAGTCCAAGACACTGCTGCCAATCATACCCTGTGTGGGAATACTAAGCCACCCGCCAAACAGGTCTCCCCTTGCCTTTGCCTTTGTGAGATCCAGGTCATCGACGTCTAGTGGCTTCTTGCCTCCCTGAGCTGGAGCGGATACGTTGCAGATGCCCTTTGTGACCACGTTGCGCTGAGTGAGGATGTATGCTAGCCCAAAGCGCGAAAAGACGCCTACTGCAAAGCCGCCTTCGGGGGAAGCGGGCGATGCCTTGGGCTTTAGCACTCCAGTGGGCGGTCCGCCTGGGCAAGAAGAGTGATATGGGAGAACGTGAGTTCAGACTGGTCAACAAATTCCTCTACATCCACCGGGCGGGCTGCTCACCCTGGGTCATGACAAGCCAGTCCACACCTCCCTCTCCTGCCTTGTCCGCGATTGCACCTGCGACCCTCTGTACCTCCTCTGTCTTGCTCAGATCTGCTTGGAAGAATGTATGATCGTCTGGAGCTTGGCTCTTGCCTGATGCCGACTTTCTACGGTGGGCCTCGGCACTTGCCATCCTGAGCTTCTCCAGGACTCCATTTGCTCTTTCTTCGCTACGTCCCACGATCCAGACTGAAGCCCCTGCCAGGGCGAAGCGGAGAGCCACTCCAGCACCTGTCGGACAGATGCACAAGTTGAAAGCAAGACATGGTCAGCTTCGCACCAGTCTGCAACCCGGACTGAGCTGTCTACTTCGCCGATTCTCTCACCAATTCCTTGGGTTGCCCCAGCTACCACGGCCCTCTGCCCTGTGCAGTCTACGGACTCGTTTGCCTTTGTGACCGTGCTGAGCATCACCATTGTGAGTGTAGGCCAAAGAGTGTGGGTACGCTTGCTCTGTCACGGGCGGGTGAGTGCTTGGCAGCCGGTCCTCTGAGGGGAGAAGAAGATGGAGAAGTACTCAGCAGTCAGGTCAGCCGGCGGGTCTGTGCAGCAATGCTCACTTCTCCTCCACCTCTTTCGAGAGCGGGGCGCGAAACACAGAGGGCCCAGATCTTCATGCAGTCCGCACATCTTCTCTCCAGGAGCAAGCTTCACATTCTCGAAATCATAGCAAGACATTATATACATGGGCTCGGACATCTCATACGCCTCAACTTTCACTTGCGACCGACAAGCGCCACATGCACTTCTTCGAATGATAGATGTAGCCGGTCTGCAACATGTTCGACACTCTGCCTCTGCGCTTCCTCGTACAGATCAAAGTAGTCGCCGATCTTGAGCCCGATCTGCTCTTCGAACGCCTTCTTCTTGTCGTCTTCACCTTCACCAGCTACGGGTGATGATCGGTTTGAGGCAGGGCTTTCTTTCGGGGATGATGCGAGATTTGAGCTGAAAATGCCGGCGGCGCTTTGCGGTAAGAAGTCCTCGTAGGTGATCGGCTCATAGCGAATCACTAGTCGGTGCTGTGCAAGGGCTTGATCAAGTGCAGACGCTGACGACCGTCTTGACAATGAGGCACTCCCCTTGCCTCTTTCCGCTGGAGTATCATCACGGTGCAGAGAGTAGGTAAAGTATGCTAGCCCTTGTTCACGCATTGCAGCAAGATCATCTGGGAAGCTTCTGAAAGCAGCCTCTAGACGGTCCTGGTAGGTCGAGTCAGCTTCAGTGGCCTCCTGCTCGGAGTGAATGAAGCTGTTCATGATGCTTTGATACAGTCTCAGCCCTTTCCGGGTCAGCGCCGCACCTCGCGACTCGATTTCGCCGAACCGGGCGGTATGGTGTCCCAAAGTACGGCCGCCCACGGCCGACTGATCGAGGAAGTACACGGCCTCCTCCAGCGCCTTGAAAGACGTCTGTCGCAGTAAGATGCTGTTGACACGCCGAGGAGGGCCTTCTATGATCTCTTTGGCATCAATGCTGCGGAACAGGTACAATGTGGCAACGTTGTCAGCATTCGGTCACTGGCGCTGAAGCGGTGCTAATCGATGCTCACCCTCTGGCATTCATACCAATTTGGACCGCGTCGATGTCCAGCGTCCTTGGAGTCAAGTGGTTGATATGAGGACCGGAGAAACAACAGATGTCGGCGATGAGGGGGTGGACTTTCCTGAGAGTGTCGTAGTCTTGTCGCGACACGGTGGTATTGCTGTGCCACCTGAAGACGTCGATGGCGAGCGGAATGAAGGCAGCAGCGTCTTGCTCAGATAGAAGTGGCCTTTTGCCCTCCTGTACACCCGAAAAAATTCGGTCTAATAGTTGCTTCAAAGCATCTGGACAAATGTCCCTCTTTTGCAAGATTGACTGGGCTAGCTGACGAGACTGAGCGTCAGGTATAAGGTCCAGCTGCAACAGTGATGTGAAGACTCGGAAAGGATTGCGCTGCAAGGCACCCTCACCGATGGGCCTGAAAGCAGTAGCCTGAATCGGCAACCCACACTCAGATAGGTCGTAGAAGCCCACTGGGCTCATGCCCAGCAGGACAAAGATTTTGGCCAGTACGGCAAACTCGGCTGCCGTGCCGACGCGTATGGCGCCATGTCTCTCGAGTGTGAGTCGCATAAGATCGCCGTCAGCGATGGGCTTGTCAATGTCCAGAGCAGCCGATTCTGAGAGGACGTCGTGGTTGACGTCGGTCACTAAAGTTATAAGATCGCCGTACAAAGGCACCTCGTTCCTGTACATTGTAGATAGGGCTGTCGAGAAACGTGTGCGTAGCGTATCTGAAGAAACGTAGCTCGCGCCGGCGTCGCCAGGGTGCGAGCTGCAACCCATCGACGACGGTAGAGGAGACGATGTGATTGCCATGCTGTTTGACTGTGTACGTATCGGTATCGCTACAGACGGGAGAAGTGAGCTGTGCAAGCATTATCTCGACCACTCGATGCGCCGTCAGCACCCGGCTGATAAGTAAATCGGTCAGGGGCCCTTTCCGTCGTGGAGGCATGGCCCGCGCCGGGGAATTGCCGTCTTCCGCGTCTGCTCCTGGGACGGCGACGGGCCGTCTTCCGTTGCAACCACACCTCGCATCTCGCCCTTGGCACATCACCATCGTCGGCTACCCATGGACAATCTCCGTCAGCTACCACGACAGGATCACAGCACCAATGAGGCAGAGACTTCGGCACGCGGAGCATTAGCTGGGGCATCGCCCGCGTCGCCGCCACCACCGAAGCCAAAGCTGCCAGCATGTGATCGCTGCAAACAGAGGAAGATCAAGGTGAGTACGCGGCGCAGAGGCAGCGATGGCCGCATAGCAGCCGTACAGAGGAGCGTCGATGCGAGATGTGCTACTGACCATGTCCTGCGCTTCGCTTGACGCAGTGCGATGCTGGCTTGCCTCACTGCAACCCTTGCGGCAAGGCGGGAGCGGAATGCGTAGGCAGAGATCAGCTGCCATCCGTACCTCGAGGGTGAGTATGTTGGAGTATGCAATGACTCTCTCTCTGGGCGCAATTGATGCTTATCACTTCGTCTTCTTTCATTGCCACCTCAGTCTGGTGTATGAGCTCCAGCAACGCGTGCAGAAGTTGGAAGCAGAGCTGACGGAGACCAGGAGTCGAGCAGGGTCGCAGTTCCCAGACATGTCTGGCCAGACGAACCCTAGCTCAACATCCTCAGTCGATGGTCTGGATCCACACTTGCCACCAGCAGACTTCCCCAGACGTAGGGGGCGCGAATCCTTCTCCTCGCCTGCCGGCTCTGAGATCGCCCCCACACCCAAGCGAGGAAGATACAGTACTGCCAACAGGACCAATAACGAAGGCTTCTCAACACTAAGTCCCACCAATATCATAGCCGCCGATGCACTACCCTACGATCGTGACCTCTCTGTGGAGCTTCGAGGCCTCGCTGAACTTCGCAAAGACGCCGTTGCACACTTGTCCGAGCTAAGCCCCAGCCAACGGACTCATCTGCCCTCATACGACCCCGCACTCGTTGGTCGACTTGCGCGGAGGTACATTAGCTTCCTCAACGATGCTCTCCCCGTTTTCGAAGATGCCGTCATCATCGAACTGGTCGAGCGAATGCGCAGCGGTAGCGGCAGAGAGAGGAACGGTGCATCGCTTCACTCGTACGAGAAGTGCCAGGTCCACTTGGTCATTGGCCTTGCCTTTGCCACTCTGGCCAGAGTACAGCATCGCTCCTCAGAACTAGCTCGAGCTGGTCAAGCCCACTGGCGCGCAGCTCAGGTATATGTGCCCGCGGCTATGAAGGGGACAGACCTTCCAAAGCTACAGATCATCCTCCTACAACTTCAATTTGTCCTTTTGTTCCCTGAACATGGCAATGCATGGGAACTCAGCGGTCAGTCGCTGCGTCTTGCGGCAGCACTCAGTCTGAACAGAGAAGGTATCAGTGACTCGGTTGCCTCGTCGACGATGGGCCGCAGGCTCTTCTGGACAGCATACTGTCTGGATGTCAGCCTCGCAGTTGCCCTCGCCAGACCGACTGCGATTAGTGACGCATGGATTTCTACCAAGGTGAGCAGGACTGCCAGGATCGCGAACACACACAAGCTCGTACTGACGTCTTTACGTCACTCCCCATTCGTAGCCGCCCAGTATGCCAACGACAGGCCGTGAATCGCCCTCTCCACTGAAGCCGCACTTCTCCTTCGTCAATCACGTGGGCCTACGGAGGCTCCAGAGCGAAATTTACCACTATCTATACGCTTATGATGACGTCTCCAATCCTGAACGATCAGACCAGCCGGCAATCGGCGAATGGCTACGCTCTAGGCTCGACAAGCTCGAGAATTGGAGAAAGCAGTACAACGTCGCCACACCGTTCGTTACAGCTCAATGGACGGAATTGAACTTCCACATCACCAAGACCTTGATGTTTAGACCATCACCACGCATTCCGGTGCCAGGAGTTTCGGCTCTCCTGGAAGCGCTCGACTCTTCAGCACAGACGATCCGCCTCTACAAGCTCAACTGGCGCACGTTCCGCGTCAACTTCCCATGGCTAGCAACACACCATGTCTTCATGGCAGGTCTGAGTTTCCTCAACAGTCTCAAGTCTTTGCACATGTTGTCCATACCCACCGGTGTCTCGCTGGTGGATATCACAATGCACGTTCAGTCATGTGCAAGCCTGCTAGAAGTGCTGTCTATCGTGCAAGACGATGGCACTGGCGAGCAAGGCAACAGCAACAAGGTGCGAGATGCATTCGATGCTGCTGCCTATGCTGTCCTCAACAGTCTCTTTGCAGCGGGTGCCAATGCCCGTCCAGAGACCTCAAACAATGCAGCGAGAGCGAGCGGGCCGGTGCCCGGAAATGCGCAGTCCCCATTCAACGTCAACGACGTGACCAGCTCACTGTCGCTCCTCGCCTCTTCGGCTGCTTTGGCTGAGGCGCCCGGTGGCAGAGCAACTGAAACGCTCACCTCCTTTTCGCCACTTCCCCCATTTGTGGCGGATCGATCAGAAGCGACCCCGTCACGCGCCTCTCTTCCTCTGCCGGCTGGTGGAAGCGCGACGAATGCCTTTGCCCCACCGAATACGGCATCGAATCCGGAGAATGACTTTTCCTTCCTCGATTGGTTCCTACATCCCATCGATGGAGGTGATGTGCCCTGGCAGGACAATGCCTTCGGCCCTGATGGTCTTGGCGACCTCACGAGCACTGTCAGCGATGGTCGGGGAGATCTCTGGATCTGAGAGGAACGCGACGCAGGGATGGATTGTACATTCTAAGGATTCCCCTGCTGCTGAAGTGAATGGTTGTATCGCAGTCGATGCTGTACAGTGGCTGAATACTCTTCGAGAAATTTCGAGGAATCACTATGAGATGCTTGGGCTACAAAAATTTACGCGCTGCAGACCAATTGACCATCGCGCCTCTACAAGTGGAACTTCACGCCCTGAGCCAACGGCAGCTCTCTAGAGTAGTTGACGACGGAGGTAGACCAGCTGCAGTAGGCATGCCAGGCGGTGCCTCCGCACTCCCTGCCCCAGCCGGTAGCCTTGTTGCCTGTAGTGACGAGCAGACAGGAGCAGCACGGTCAGCACTTGAGGAGGGAGCAGTCTCCGCATCGTCCACTGTACTCACCTCCAAATCCAGCGCCGACCTCCGCACCGCTCGTTCCCGCATTGACATTCACAATGCCAGTGTCGCTCCCCTCTGCCGATAGCCACTTGCCGATACTGACGTGGTCATTCGTGAAAAGTGCTGAGCTGAGCCCTTGGCGCACATCATTGTTGAGCTCGATGGCCTCGTCGAGTGAGGAGATGATGTAGACGTTGAGGATGGGACAGAAGACCTCTTCCGCAAAGGCCTCGTCGCTCGAGTTGGAGTGTAGGACAATGGCGGGCTGGACCCAATTGCCTCCGGTAAGGTGACTTGGCAGGTCCTGCACGGCGGTCGACTCGCCGAAGAGGATCCGACCACCGCGACTCTTGATGGCTGCGAGAGTCTCCTTGTGCTTTGCCACCGCAGTGGGGGAGTGCAGTGGTCCGGCTAGGGCCTTTGGATCATGCACCGCACTGCCGATGAGGCCTTTACTGGCAATCTGCTCGTACGCACCAACAAGGCGCTGCAGGAATCTATCGGCGATGTCGCGATGCACATAGACTCGCCTGGAAGAGGTACATCTCTGTCCACTAGTGCCCACGGCCGCGAACACCACACCGGGGATGGCAAGGTCGAGGTTGGCGTCCGAGAGGACGGTCACGGCATTGTTGCCGCCCAGTTCCAGGATACACTTTCCCAGCCTCTTGGCGACGGTCTGTGCTACGATTCTTCCGATCGTCTCTGAACCCGTGAAAGAGACCAACGGGACTCGCTCGTCCTCGCAGAGGGCTTTGCTCGTCTCGACATCCCCAGCGACCAGGGTGGCAAGTGCAGTCGGGAGGTTGTGCTTCTTGAGCACGGACGCAATGAGCTTTGTAGTGGCAATAGCGGTGAGCGGCGTAGAGGGAGCAGGCTTCCATACCGTTGCGTTACCGCATATGAAGGACATGCAGAAGTTCCAGCCGTGCACCGCAACGGGGAAGTTGAATGCCGTTACGACCCCCACGATGCCCAAGGGATTGGGCTTCTCCATGAGCACATGGCCGGCACGTTCGGATGGTAGGTAGGAGCCGGCCATTGTCCTGGAGAGACCCACGGCCACAGCAGCTAGATCGATGACTTCTTGAACTTCGCCGCGACCCTCGGTCAGAATTTTGCCCATCTCAAGGGAGACGAGAGCGCCGAGCGCGTCCTTCTGAAGGGTGAAGGCATCGGCAATGTCTTTTAGCACCTCGCCTCGGGCAGGCGCTGGTAGCTTGCGGAACACTCTGAAGGCTGCTTGAGCAGCTCCGAGGGCAGAGCTGACCTGTGCAGCAGAGGCCTGAAGGAGATGGCGGAATTCGACGTGCAACCCAGTCAGAATCGATCAAGAGGCTGTCGACATCGCTGCAGCTTTGCGTTACTCACGCCTTGCACGGTGGCCATAAGTCTGCCAGTGGAGGGATCATAGCTCTTCAAAGTGTGATCTGCCTCACCTCTTCTCCAATCTCCGTCGAAGATGCCTGGTACCTCAGAGGCGGAGCCTGCTTTCAGGGGTAGGTCAAGCTCATCGAAAATGGCCTGTTCGCGGGCGAGTGTGGAGCTGGAAGACGAGGAGGAAGCAGACATGGTGGTGACTTGTGCGTGCGATGTGCTATTGTATCAATGACGACGAGAAGAAAAGTCTTCCAAGAGACAACGCGATTGAGGACCTCTATCATTGCTTTGAGGAAAGTGATGTGTTATAAGGCACCAACCAGGTACGACCGCTTGCCAAGTGGTTTCCAGGCCTGACGCTCCCCTCGGCGATCTTCCGGAAGGACGGGCCACCGACGGGGACGGGCCGTTGCCGGATGGCGGAGGCGCGAGACGGGAAAGCAGCGGAAAGCAGGCGCATCCCTCGCTTCACGCAATGAAACGAGACGAGGCGGGTCTGAACCGACGACGCCCACACTCACTGCACAAGTCTCTAGTGCCCAATAGGATCGTGGCGGGCCCGATTTACCACGGCATCACCTCGCCGCGATAGTTGAGGAATACACCACCATGTGTCTCACGCTTGGCAGCATCCAAGACCTTGAGAACGCCAGCAATGGTATCCTCCAGCTTGGTGGGGGCCTCGCTCATCCCGCAAGCCTTTGCATTGCCATTGCCATTGTCGGTTTGTGTCTGTCAAAGATATGGGAGCCGAGTGAGCTCCTCAATCTCTTCACGTGTGCCACCTCTTACTCTCGAGGGTCTACTCACCCATCCTGGATCCATAGGGAAGACGATGAAGCCTTCCTCCTCTGACTCGAGGTGAATGTTGCGCACAAGCATGTTGATGCTCGCTTTGCTCATCGAAAGTCCACACAAGGGGAATGCATACTCTCCCGCCTTGGTGATGGACGCCATCGTGGAGCTCATGGGCATGAAGATGGCCCCACGAGGCGCAGCCTTGAGTAAAGGATAGGCGTTGCGGTAGAGTGAGACAGTACCGATCAGGTTGGTGTTGAAGTGCTCCATGATCGACTCGTTTGTGCAGTCCTTGACCGGCGCATAGTGCTGCCACAGTGCGACCCCGGACACAGCCAAGACTACATCGAGGTGACCTTCAGCGGAACGCACCTGCGCCATGATGAGCTTTGCATCCTCCTCGGAGCCGGCCACCAGCTTGACTACCTTGACCGCTCCTGGCCGCAATTCTGCTAGCTTATTCAGGGCGACGGCATTGGTAGGATCGCGAGCCGCTGCGTAGACGATGTGGTTGGGCCGCTGGGAGATTTGCTCGATGAGAGCGTAGCCGATGCCACGGGAAGCACCGCTAATAAGGTAGACTTTGGGGTGGGCGCTAGACATAAGGAAAGCAGCAGGCAGCAGCTTGTCAAGAGGATCCCTCTGGTATCCAGGTATGGTATGACAAGCAGCCTGGCCTCGCGGTGGGCAGAACGATCTCTCCCCCTTTTGCGAGTGCCCCTCTTGTTCCTGCGTTGCGGGCGTGTGTCCGTGCACTGCCACGCGAGCGCTGCCGTGGGAAATGACGATGGCCGAGGAAGTGGGTGGAGCCATTCCTCGTCTACTTTCCCCCTTGAGCCTCGTCAGGTGACTCCATCTCCTCGCCATCTCCCCCATCGACCATGACCTACCTCCTGCTGAGGCGCACTGGTAGCGTTGCACTCTCGCAGCGTACGGCAGCCACAAGCCTCGTCAGGAGCACAGCACTGGGCGCGGCAAGGCGGCAGGCCTTGGCCACTCCATCCTGCAGCATCCAACAGCGACACCATGCAACGACTCGTACGATACCCAGAACGTTTCCTCGCGCAAGTACGGGCAGCAGCAGCAACAGCGTCAACAGCCGTTCTCTAAGCACAGCAGAGCTGCCCGGTGCAACACTCACCCCCGCAGAAACAGAACACTTGGCCCCGGACTCTCCCGCATCTCGCCAAGGCCAGATCGGATACCTATACTTTGACTCCCTCTTCCCCATCAGGCTCGGCTTCTGGGACATCCGGCACTGGTTCGTTGCGACTAACCATGATTCTCTCAAGGAGAAGCTCAGGAACAGTCTGCCGGACAAGGATCTCATTGGACATGACTTTGAGGTCATTGGAGCAGAAGCTAGGCTGAAAGACGGTGGTGGATTCCTTTCCTTTACATATACCCCGAAAGGCGCACCATTGCCTGCCACGCCCGCAGATACTCCAGACCCAGCTCTGTTTGATATCGAGACGGCGGTGAAAAAGGGGCTGAAGAGGGCGTACAACCCCAATCAGGCCCTGCTGCTGAGCTGGGGCTCCATCCCCAGTGTGCACGTAGTCAAGGGAAAGGTGAGTGAGCTTCCCTGTCTGGGGCTGCTCCAAATCTCGGCTGACCGCTCATACACTCTTCGTTACTTTGTCCGTAGCCTTGGCTGGAAGATCTGAATCGCTTTCCATCCTCGACCTTGAAAATCACACTCGTTGGCGGTGATCTCTCCGAAGAGGCTCTGTGGGGCATCCTGCGCCCTTATGGTCGCATCGTCTCCATCGAGAAGAAGGCCAATGAAGCCTTTGTCCTCTTCTCCCGCATGCGCTCCGCCACCTCTGCTCGCAATTGCGCCCATGGCGTTCAAGTCCGGGAAGGTCCTCGGCTGATCATCAATTACAAGGAGAGTGAACGAGCAAAGAAGGCATGGGACTGGACGTCTAATCATCCTCGAATCGTCTTTCCCATTCTCGCCTTTATGCTGGGTGGCCTCTCCTACGCCGTGTGGGATCCTATCCGCGGCTTCTTCATCGAGTCTAAGCTGAGTCGTACATTTGACCTCGACAATTACCGCTTGTACAGCTGGCTCAAGGCCAATACCGTTGATCTCCTCCGAGAGGGCAACGGCAAAGACGAGAGCAAGAGCCAGGTGGATTGGTTTGAGAGGAGGGCTGCAAAAGAGGACATCCAAGGCTGGTTGAGGGAGAGCCCAGAGACATTTATCACCATCTCTGGACCCAGAGGTAGCGGCAAGCACAATCTCTTGGAAGAGGCAATTCCAAAGGGCGTAAAGGTGCTGCGCATCGATTGCGCCGAGATCGCTCGCAGTGTCGGGAGCTCCGGTCCAGGTCCAGCTCTCAGCATCGGTGATGGCAGCAAGGACGGGGCCGGGAAGCTAGACACTGCAATCATCGCAGCCTTGGCCAGCGAGACTGGATACTGGCCCGTCTTTGGCTGGCTCAACTCCCTCAACTCGATGATCGATCTGGCCTCGGTAGGCCTCATTGGCAGCAAGGCTGGCTTCTCACGACCCACCGAGGAGCAGCTGAGCCAGATTCTGGCGGTGACGAAAGCCGCCCTGGAGAATGTCAAGCGTAAGGAAGAGAAGAGGGTAGAGCGGGAGAGGAAAGTTCTGCGGAGGTCAGGTGCGGCTACTTCGACTTCCCCTGTGAATGGCACTAACGTGCCGCCGCCCAGTGCCGGATCTGTCGATGGCAATTCGACCAAGCAAGAGGATAACGATCTCTTGACAAGCTCAGAGTCGGAGGAGAAGATGAACTTGTTGGGCCAAGAGAAGGGCGACGATGGACCTTTAGCTGCAGATACAAGGCGCAAGTGGAGCAAATTGCCAACAGACAGAACTGGCAGGCGAGCACGTCCCGCACCTAAAAAGTCGGGTCAAGATGACGGAATCTCCCTCGAGTCGCCCATTATCATCATCGACAATTTCCACCTCAAGTCTCTGCGCTCACCCTTGCTCTACTCGATCCTCGTCGACTGGTCTTCCCAGCTCGTATCTGCAGACCTGGCCCACGTCATCTTCGTCTCGGACAATCCAGTGGCAATGTCAAAGGAGATTGGCCGAGCCCTGCCTGACTCGAGGCCTGCCAACAATGTAGTCTTGGCCGACGCCGAGAAGAGCAAGGCGAGAGAATTTGTGCGGACTCGCTTGAGCGAGGCGAGAGGACTCGATGCGCAGTTGGCGCAAAGGCAGACGTCGCTCTCCGACGAGACACCCGACCCATCGACCGACCCATCGATGGAGGAGAGTCTCTCCTCCTCCCTGAGCGGATTGTTCGGAAATGCGCCCTCTTCAAATGCTGGACCAGTCCAAGCCGCTGTCCCAGCTTCGGGCGAAGTCCTACCAGAGGAAGATGCTCAGTGGGTGGACAAGCTCGGCGGTCGACTGACCGATCTGGAAGGTCTGCTCCAAAAAGTCGTCATGGGCCAGACTGTCCCCGCGGCGGTATCTGAGCTGATCACCCGCACCACCGTCGAATTGCGCAAGTCCTTCTTCGGTGACGAATCCTCCGACACTGCCTCGACTTCCTCTCAGCTTCCCTGGTCACGGTCCACGGCCTGGAGTGTAATTCGTCTTCTGGCCTCGTCGAAGGACGGCTCAGTACCCTACCATTGGATGCTCCACTCTGACTCGGGCGCATTCAAGGGCGACGAGGGCAAGCTGCGCGCAATGGAGGAGGCGGAACTGATTAGCGTGCGACACAAGGATGGTCGACCTAGCCTGATCCGCGCCGGTCGCCCCGTCCTCCTCGAGGCAATGAAGGATCTAGTGCACTCCGACCGCACTTTCCGTCTTACACAGGAGCTGCTGGACGCAAAGAGTTCCATGGCAAAGAGTGACGCGGCGATTCGTGATTTGGAAAAGGAATTGCAGATGCTAGTGGAGCTGAGTAAAGTGGGAGGGAGGGGAGTGGCGGCTAGGGTGGATAGTCTGGCAAAGAAGTTGGAGGCGGAGCAAAGTAAGCTGGGGAACACGGAGCAAAAGGTGGGGGAGCTTCAGGAGGAGTTGAAGAAGTCGGAGTGAGAGAGGAGGGAGAGATGGAGAGAGGGGCTGAGCTATTGAGAAGTCCTTTGGATATCACCTCTCACGCCAAGCACCCAGCACCACTATCCTTTGTCACCTGACATTTGACATTGCACCACATCTGAGGAATGCTATGTACTACCCATCATAACCTATTGCGATCGGTTGCTCGACGCTGCCTTCACTCCCTCAGTCTCCTGAAAGCAACACAGACCGTCGTGCTCCCTTTCTTGCCGCCAAACATGAACTGTCGCTTCGCAGGCAACGTCTCCAGATGTTCAAAGGCAGCTGTGGCTGGACCGCTGCCAGTTTGGTCAACTTGTGCCTGTGCCCGGGGTTGAGTAAGTTTAGCCACTAGCTCTTCGGCGGTGAAATTGCAAGAGGTAATGAGGAAGAGACCGCCGGGTGTTGTGAGGGTGCCGAGGGCGGAGAGGTAGGTGTTGAGGGGTGTGGTACCTGCGCTGGGCGCACTAGAGGCGAGGGCGATCTGCGAAGAGCCGGGAGGAGAAGAGGGAAGAGGGGTGTGAGTGATTGAGATGAGATGAAGGAGGAATGGTGCAGTTTGGAGGACTCACAGCATCGAGCTATGGGCAAGAGGTGGACGAAGTTCGAATCGGGGTGAGCCAAGAGTCAGCGCTAGGTGTTCCTCTGCCTGGTCTGCGCTGCAAGACTCACCGTCCCCTTGTCCAGGACAATATCCCATCCATCCCGCGAGCTCTCTTCCCCTCGTATCCGTCCCGCCATCTCCTTGAGCTGCTTTACATCCCCGTCTTTAAGTACATCGCACTCTTCCCAACGTATCTTGCCCACCTCTGCTTGTGTACTACCTTGCACCGAGGCGGCAATGTCCTTGCAGAGTTGTACGCTGGCGGCCGAGTAGTCGCAGCCGCACATATAGTCTGGAGAAGTGATGAGCTGGTTGCGGGAGGATCTTGCACCGCTTCCGTCTTTGCCGTCGAGTTTCTCTTCATCGTCGTCTTCATCTTCATCGCTCTCATCGCTCTCATCCTCGTCATCCTTGACTCCACAAAGACTAAAGAGGAGATGTCCATTGCCGGTCCCTACATCAAGGATCGTTGGAGACGACGACGACGAGGTCGCAGAAGAGGAAGCAGAGTAGTGGGAGCGCAGATACTCCAGCATAGACTTTGCTGCCTCTTGTCCAAACCATACTTCACCGCGATCCCCATCGGATGCGAAATTGGATACTTCGCGCCTAGAAGAAGAAGAAGAAGAGGGAGAGGAGGAGGGGAGAAGATGAGTGTGGGAAAAGTAGCGCCATTTCCTACCTTTGCGTACTCACTGGTATACCGAGTCCCAGTACTCTTGTGTTCCGAGCTTTGAGCTGGGCAGCTCACTGCTTGTATCTCGTGCTTCTGCTGCTGCGGTTGCTGCTGCCATGGTGTGTCCTTGCTCCCCCCTTGGTGTGGATATATGCGTTATTCGTACGTCGCCCCGCGGAAGAAGCGGGTGAACAGTGCGGTGGATGTGACTTTTGTGCATATTTCCCCCTTTCCGTCGACGAGGGGCGCTTGGCGTGTGGGTGAGTGGGCGTGTGGGTGCGCCTGTGTGCCTCTGCGTTGCGCGGTGAGGCGAGTGCCGGCTGCCCCGCCGCCCGCTTGGGAGGCCAGACGCGGAGACGAGCCAAGGCGGGAACCACCGAGGATCGCCAGTCATCCTTCTTGTTCCTCTTACCCCCGCCCTCGTACCAACACCCTGCTCCTAGCTGCACCTCCCCCGCCCCACCCATCATGCTCGCTCGTCACACCCTCTCTGCGCTGCGTACGCTTCCACGCACCGCCTCCCCCGCCGCCGGCGCAGCTTGCTTTTCCACCACGGCCCTTCGCTCCTCGTATGAAGATACTCTCAAGAATCTCATGATCAAGGCCGACTCAAAGGTCATCTGTCAAGGTTTCACAGGTGGGACAGCCACATTCCACTGCGAGCAGTCCATTGCCTATGGCACCAACCTCGTCGGTGGAGTCTCACCCAAGAAGGCCGGTCAGACTCACCTGGGCAAGCCCGTCTTTGGAAGTGTGAGAGAGGCAATGAAGGAGACCAACCCACACGCTAGCGTCATCTATGTTCCCCCACCCGCCGCAGCCGACGCCATCATCGAGGCCATCGAGGCCGAAGTGCCCCTCATCGTCGCCATCACCGAGGGTATCCCCCAGGCAGATGAGATCCGTGTAGCTCACGCTCTGCGAGCACAGAGCAAGTCTCGTCTAGTGGGACCCAATTGCCCTGGTGTGATCAACCCAAAGGGCTGCAAGATTGGAATCATGCCCGGACATATCCACACACCGGGAAAGATTGGAATCGTATCCCGCTCTGGAACACTTACCTACGAGGCCGTAGCACAGACTACAAACGTGGGGCTCGGTCAGTCCATCTGTGTGGGAATCGGAGGTGACCCTTTCCCCGGATCCACTACGCTGGACCTGGTGAAGCTGCTGCTGGAAGACGACGCTTCAGAGGGACTAGTGGTCATTGGAGAAATTGGAGGAGACATGGAGGAGCAAGCCGCCGAGTACCTCTTGAAGCACAATGCTTCTCGCGCCAAGCCCAAGCCCGTAGTGGGCTTCATTGCCGGTCTGACGGCTCCCAAGGGTAAAGTCATGGGTCATGCTGGAGCCGTCATTTCTGGTGGAAAGGGTGGAGGTGAGGACAAGATCAAGGCGCTGGAAAAGGCGGGAGTCAAGGTGGCCAGGTCGCCTGCGCAGATTGGTGCTCTGATGAAGAAGGCCATGGAGGAGGCTGGTCTCGCTTAGAGGCAAGGCAGGACCAGTGGGAGAAGGAAGAAAAGAAAGGGAAGCCTGTGGAGATGGCAGGCGTTGAGCTGATGCTCTGTGAACCAGAAAGTGTGAAGTGGACCCTTCTGTTTCCTTCCTCGATCTAGAAGCGATGCAGTAAGAGGGCTGCATCGATTTGCCAATATCAAATTCCAAGTATCAAAGAAGGTGATGCCTGGTCTGTGAGCAGATATACAATGGTGGCCTCTGAGGGTGGTATTGAACGTGGGCGTGAGCGTGTGTGCGGTTGCGGGGCACCGTGGGCGGATCTGCGTGTGGCCGAGCTGAGCGGAGCGGAGCTGCGAATGCAGGCACAGATGCACATTCACACCGATTCCCCCGCCAGAAGCCGCGGCAAAGGTACATAGAACCCCCCCTTCCTGGGACCATTACCATACCCTGCACACATCATAGACGATATCCTCCACCTCCTCTCCCCTTGACATACTCCATACCATACCATACCACGCTAAGCTGATCTTGGCTTCGTGCTACGCCCAGCATGTCCACCTCCGCCCCCGCCTCTGAGCCCGTCTCCACTCCAGGTCCACTAGACTACCCCGTGCCCCCCTCTCTCGCCGGCAGCACCACCACCGGCACTCTGCCCGCCTTTGACTCTCTCCCCCTCTACTACACCCGCTACCATCCCCCACCCACCGTCCCCACTCGAGCAACCGTCGTCTATCTCCATGGATTCGTAGATCACATGGGCCCTTACGCTCGTATGCTCACCCTCTTTGCTGCTAGAGGTGTAGAGGCAATTGCTTTTGATCAGAGGGGATTTGGGAAAACGGCTGCTGCTGGAAAAGGTGGATTCAAGAAGAATTATACAGATACGGAATGGGCATTGCAATTTAGAGATGCGAGGAGTGTGATTGAAGAACAGAGTAGATGGGTGGGAGAAAAGTATGGAGAGGGAAAGATCAAGTTGTTTGTTATGGGACATAGCATGGTGAGTTTGAACAACTGGAGCTAGAGTTGGAGTTGGAAGAGAATGGCAGTGACTGATCCTTGTCTTCTCCTTTCACTCTCTCCTTGTTGCTACAGGGCGGTGGGATTACTGCAGCCCTCTTTACTCGCTCACCAGACTCACCCGAAGGCAAACACCTCGCTGGCGTCACCTCCCTCGTAACAGGTGGGGCGGTCCTCTGGTCACCTTGGATCACCCTAACCGTCCCTCCACCCTCTCTCCTCGTCTCCCTCTTAAAACTCGTACTCCGTGTTTGGCCAAGCGTCAAGTACGATGCTGGACTAAATGTCAAAGAAATCACTAGAGATCCAGAGGAACAACGACGCCTCGATGAAGACGAATATGCTGATCCTTGGACTAGGGTGAAGAGTATTGCTGGACCACTTGAAGGAGGTCCAAAGATTGTCACGGATGGGTATAGATATTTCATGGCAAATGAAGTACCCTTGTTGGCGCTACATGGAGAGGAAGACAAGATTACTAGTCCAGAGGGAAGTAAGAAGCTTGTACAGCTACTCAAGGAGGGAGGAGCAAAGGACGTCGAGTGGAAGGGATACCCAAAGGCACTGCATTCACTTATGCTGGACATTGATGGGATCCCGAAAGATGTGAGTTGAAGAAGCAAAGGGAGAGGTGCCGTGCGAATTAGAATTGACGACCAAAGTTCTGTCTCTCCTCATCCCTACGATAGTCAATCAATTACGCAATCGACTGGATCCTAGCTCGAGCCTAGCTTTGCCTCAAGGCTGGATCTAAGAAGAGACAGTCATCACACTGCAAAGCGTGGTCAGTGACGATTGGTCTTGCGCATCTCGACCTGAGTGAGACCAAGGGACAATTTCCAAAGGCTTGGCTTGCAGGCCACATCCATACATCCATACACTGTTTCCTTGCTTGCCTCGGGCCACTTTCAGCTTCCTGCTTCCGCCTCGACCCATCTTATACTTTCTCCCTCGCAATCTCATGTCTATATCCTTTTTGCCTTGTTGATTCGGAGGAGAGAAAGCAAGACGGACGGACAGACAGGCCAGGAGAGAGAAGCGTGGGTGATCAAAGTTCGAAAAAAAGTCGAAGAGTTTCAGATTCAAGAAATCGATGATGAAGAGCTGAAGGACAGCTAAGAACAGTCGAGGCAGGAGTGGGAAAGGGGGGGAATTGGAGCAACCCGAGTGCGAGAGCAGCTGATCAGACTTTCTCCGCCACGGCGCCTGGCCTGTCGTCCTGCTCTATCGACAGTCGTCTCGTCTCGCTCCTTTGCTCACCCCCGTGTATGTCCTACTCAGACCGCTTCCCAGTCCCCTGCAGTGTACGAGCTGCCTTCCTGCTCACTGCCAAAGTGCGGCAGTCGAGTCAACATTGCCCGAAGTGCCAGTCCCGTTCCCGCTACCGCTACCGCCGGTGACATTGCCAGCACCTCCCGCTGCTCCTCCTCCTCCCCGTCCACCATAGCCTAGTCTGCCACCGCTAGCGCCACCAGCGCCGCCGTAGGCATGAGAGCTTTCCTCTCCCTGCTGCCTCTGCTGCTGCTGCTGCTGCTGTTGCTGCAGAAGCATGTGAGGCGCAGGTCCTCGACTCGCAAAGGGGGAGGGTTGAGTATGGCCCTGCCCCATTCCTTGTCCCGATACTGCACCACCCCTAGTCGAGGCAGCATTGCCAAAGGACGAAGAAGCATTGCTAGAGCTCGTCGTTTGTGGTTGGTAAGATCGGTACGGTCCCCCTCGACCAAAAGCGCTGCTACTGTTGGAGCTCACGTAACCTTCGTAAGCACCACTGCCGCCCGTGGGTGTACTGGCCGAGGAAGTAGGCGCGGCCCAAGAGCCATAGGGCGTCTTTGTCGTCGAAGAGGTGAAGGCATCAACGGTAGGGTCGAAGTTGCTGGTGCCCAGTGCGGCAGAAGAGCTTGCTGTTTCCACTGGACCTAGCGAGGTGCTGAAGACGGCCCCTGGCTGATGCCCGTACTGGAAAGCAGACTGGTGACCACCCCTGCCTCTCGATTGGTAGCCGCTTCCCGTGCCTGCTGAAGAGGAGTCTAGATAGGATCCTGCGCCATAGGAAGATGCCGACTGTTGATGAGACCCTCCTTGATGCTGCTGCAGATGGGCAGGAAGACCTCGCTGCTGCTGGTGATGTGAGGCGTTGCCTCCAAATCGATTGTGAGCGGGCGACCGCATCAGATTGGGCGAACCGCTCGGAGCGGATGCAGATCCACCACCGCCAGGAGTAGCCGTCGCGGCTCCATCACTAAAGTCGTTCAGCGACATCCTCAGGGTAGATGGCAAGAAATCATCGCCAATGTCCCTTAGCGAGTTGTGTGTCGATCCACCTGCCCCGATACTCAGACTGGTATTACCCGCAGCTCCAGCGCTAGGGCCATAGCCATACTCGTAGCCATCGGAACGTGCCCACATGTCCTTGATCCTCCCTTGATCGCCGCTGGCGGTGTTCGCGTGAAGTGACGAGCCACGAGCGTTGGGTGTGGCCTCGAGGAAGGTGAGCGGGCCTTGACCCCACGTTGCAGAACCCAGACCGCTGGCAGGAGGTAGCAGAGGAGTGTGTGTCGTGGTGTGAGGAGTCGAAGCAGATGACAGATGCGAGATGGATGGCTTTGTGGAGTGGAACACTGGGGCTGTCGCGCTTGGAGCTCCTGTAGACAATGACTTTGCGGCTGCTGAGCTCAAGAAAGCATCTGAGGAGGGCAGAGCATCGGTGAGCCCAGGAATCGCAGTAGGATTTGTCGCCAGCCCCGTTGAGCTGTCGAGCTCACTGTGAACCATGAAGCTGACCGGCGATGCGCTGCCTGCTGATCCAACACCGCCGGCATCATCGCCTGCGAGTAAGCTTGCGTTCCAGCCACCGCCCAGACTCTGTGCGAAAGCCACGCCTTCCCCTGAGCCACGTCCACGCTGCAGAGGACTCCTGCTGGGGGCTGCTGATAGCATAGAGCTGGCAACATCCAGTCCGGAATGCGCCGAAGAAGAGAGATAGTCGAAAGAACCCGGAGCATGGCCACCCATGCTTTGGCTGATCTTGGGGCCGGCAAAGCCATCCTGCATCATGCCAGAACCGATAGCGCTGGTTCCCAAATTCTTAGCTCGCATGGAGGCTGGCTCAGTCGGGATGCTTGGCACAGACGGAGTGTCCGTTGGCACCATGGTACTAGCCACAGAAGGGACTGCCTTGGCAGATCCAGGCAATTTCACAGCCACAGGGACCTTTGCTGCACCGCTTGCGGCTGGGATATCACTGGCAGCAGCGATTCCCGCGGAATGCCGAGGTACTGATAGCACAGCCAGAGGGGCGGCAGACAGCCTCTTGTTAGGCAAGACCACCCCAGTGATGACTGTGCCCTTTTTGTACTTCTTCGGGAAGAATTGATCATCGCGGCTCAATGTCCTGATCGACAGGCCAGGGATAGCTGGCTCCCACGTCAGTATAGCAGGGGCGGCAGGATCCGTCTGTGCGAACATGCTCCTTCGAGCTTTCTCGGCCTTGAATTGAGCATTGCTGATATGTGCAGTACCCTTCTTCGTGACGGCTGTCGAAGTCTTCAACGACACCTTGAACTTGTTCCAGACCGGTGCCTGTTCTGCGGGAGGCTCAATCTTGGTGACGAATGGCTCGGGTAGCACGGACTTAGGCGGAGCAGCAGGCCGAACCACCTGTCTATCAGGCTGTGGCGCAGAAGGAGGGGGACGTGGTCCTTCGTTCTGGGCCAATCTTGACCCGGCTTGCCTGGCAGGCTTCTGCTCGGACTGCCCCGCTGGCTCTTGTTGGCTCTTGACTGCAGCAGCTGCTGCTGCTGCTGCCGCCGCAATGCGCTCTTGGTTCACGAGCAGATGCGGAGGCCGAACGATTGATGGGGTCGTCGGCATCGCCTTGGCAATTGGCGGTGAAACAAGCGCAGCTACCTGACCTGAAACTTTGTCCGCCGGCACAGAGCTTCCTTGAGCTTGCAGTCGCGGCTGTTGCTCTTGTTGCTGCTGCATTGCACCACGAATCCTGCCCATGACATCGTCCAAATTAGCCATGCCTTCTGCGGAAGAAGCAGCTGATGCTGAAGGCCGCTTGAGCAGCAGACGCTGAGGCGATGTGACGGCACTTGTGGGGGAAGAGGGCTCCTGCTGCCGCGATTGGCCCCTGTGCAGTGATGGAGCTGCCGGTGTCGTCGGAGCTTGTCTGCGCCAAGAGGTTGCTCCATCGCTCGGTGAAAGGACTGGCGAGGTCTGAGATTGCGGTGGCTGCACCTCCTGGCCGTGATACACTGCTCGGCCATTGGCCAGCGGTGCCGCCTCTGTCGAGCGACTGTCCCTTGGTCGCCAGATATTGTCAGCTCTCTTGGCCACTGCTGCAGCCTGCTCTGCTTCAAGTCTCTGCTTGCGCTCGGCTTCAGCTCGCCTCTTGTCTTCCTCCTCCTGCTTCTTAGCCCGTTGCCGCTCTCGCTCTGCTTCTTCCTGTAGCCGCTTTTGTTCAGCTTCTGCTGCTTTCTGCTCTGCCTCCTTCCGCATCTTCTCTTCGATGGCAAGAGCTTTCTGCTTGGCGCGTTCCCTCTGGGCTGCTCTTTGTTCTTCCTCTTCTTGCCGGCGCCTTCGCGCTCTCTCGGCAGCAGAGAGCATTTCTCCTCGGTCGTCTGCTGTAGAATCAACGGGGTGTGTTGTCGAGGAGCTAGCTGCAGGTGAAGGCTCCGATTGAGCAGGTGTTCGGCCGGCACTCGCTTGTGTCTGCCAAGGCGGAGCGTTGGTCACTTGCTGCTGCAGTGGTCTCGACTCAAGTCCTGTTGCCTGTGGGGACTTCTGTTCGTCAAGGGTAGCGGAGATAGACCGGTTGGCGTGGACCTGAGGTTGCTGCGATTGCATTTGCCCCTGACGTAGCGCAAGATGGGGAGGTAGTGCTCTTCCAGCATGGCTGGCCGACGGTGTTGCGGCCTTTGCCAACGCAGGGTCCGCTTGAGGCTCTCTCCTCGCCATGTTTGGGCTGGCCATAGCAGGGGGTGCCACAGGAGAGCGAGGATTGGCAGCTGATGCAGCAGGAGCTGCCACTGGCGAAGTGACTGACGGAGGAGCTGCTGCAGCTGCCGCCGCTTGCGCACGGGCGGCTTCGGGGTTGAGGGACTGCTGACGCACCGCCAGTGGACCCCACGCACGAACAGCGGACGTTGTTGGGTCAGGGCCTGCCTTGGTGCCTCTGCTGGCGCTACCACCGTAGCCCGCCTCGTCTCGATCGCCCCTCCCACCTCTTGCGCCCCATCCGCGATCTGTTCTGGAGCCGCCTAGACCACCACGAGGGTCATATGCGTGTTGAGCATCTAGTGAGATGGATGCTGCGCCTGAGGTAATGTCCAGTGTCTCTCGGGTAGTCGTACGTCTTGCCAAGGGCTGCGATGGCGATACAGTTGGAGCGCTTTGCGTAGGAGGCTGCAAGGAGGCAGGACCGCCTCGCAACGGCCAGCTCCGATCGTGATCGACGTCCTTGAAACGTTCCTCTTTCGTGACTGGTGACCCGGTCTGCTGGGCTGCTGCCATATTTCCATCAGCAATGCCTTCACTCTCCTTCTTCGAAGCCTGTACTTTGTACTGAGTACCATCCGCGAATTGAACGACTTCGTCGAGGAAGCCTCCATCCTCATCTTCCATCTCGTCCCAATGCTTGCCGCTTCCCAGAGCTTGTCCACGGAAGCGATCAAGACTGCGGAGGTGTTGCTCATGCCTGGCAGCAGCTTCTGCGGCCTCAGCTTTCTCCTTTTCTTCCTGAGCTTTCTTTACGGCCGCTGCCTCTGCAGCTGTTGGAAAGTCGGGATTGGCGTAAGGCGACTTGCCAGAGCCTCCAAACTTCGAGGTCGAAGAGGATGCGGTGCCTGCTTTGAGATTTGCCCACGGCGCCAAGGTCGAGCCTCCGCTACCTGATCCTGTCGAGGTCGCCGGGCTGCCAGAGCGGTTCAGCGATCCGAGTGTTGCATTCCTCAGACTCGGGCTCCCGCGATTAGTAGCAGTGGTACCGCCAGATTCAGTGCCGGACAGAGTCAAGCGAGGCGAGGACGAGCGGTTGTTTGCAGACGAGCTAAGTGAGGTGCTCAGTCGGGGTGTCACGCCAGAAGCGACACTACTGCCACCCGCTCCATTTCCGGCTACGGCGGTAGAAGATGCAGCTTGACCAAGAGAGGGAGATGCAGCCGACGTAGCTCCGGGACCGGGCGATGTAGCGCTGACAGGAGCGGTTGATGCCCAGCTTGGCTGCGCAGGCTTGCCCGCAGCTGACAGCTTCGCAGATGTCAGTCTTGAAGCAGCCGAAGAGCTCGACGCGAACCGATCTGCAAGGGAGTGTGTGTAGAGGACGAAAGGTAAAAAAGACGCAACGAGGAAATCAATGCGGGGGGCTCGTTGTACTCACTGCTTTGACCCACTCCGCCATTTGGCAAGGCTTTGGGAGCAGCAGGGGAAACAGCTGCTACGTTGTGTGCTGGCGTAGGGCTAGCCTTCTCTAGGAAGATTTTGTTGACGTTCAAAGAAGTGAACTTCTTGACAGGTACGGGGGCCAAAGGGGCCGACTGCGCCGCGGCGGTACCAGTCGAAGTAGTACTTGGTGAGGCTGCTCCAAGTCTCGATTCTGTCTCCGATACGACAGCGTCGCTTTTGGTGTCCGCGACTTCAGCTTGATTCGGAACGGATTGAGATACATCTGTCTCTATGGTCGGCGTTGATGACTGAGCGTCCGAGGCTTCTTGCGGCTCGACCGCGAGGGCAGGTATCGCAGCTGCAGCATCTAGAACCTCCGTTGATCGCTGACCCTCAGGCGCCGAGATGGGGGCCAACGAAGCCGAAGTCAATTGATCGCTTGCGATGATAGCGGTTTCAAGAGGTAGATTGCTCGTCTCGGCTGCTGCAGACGTCTCACTCTGCGAGGTAGCATGTGATGTGTCCTGTCCAACTTTCACCTCTTCTGCTTGCAGCACCGCTGATGGTGAGGCTTCACTTTCAGCCTCATTTGAGAGATCTGGCTTTTGTGATACAGCACTCAGAGGATGTTCCTCGCTGACAGCTGCCGCAGGTGCGACCTCCGAAACGTCATTGGCGGATTGTGGTGCTCCATCTGGGGAGGCGGTACTCATGATCTCCTTGCCAGATCGCTACGAGAGGATCTTTGAGGTGTGCTAGTCCAAGTCCGGCTGGGGCAAGTGAGTCCTGTCTCGGAGAGGGAAAGACGACGTTCTCTACGACCCCGTTCCCTATGCCAGTGCTGTCTATGCTCGTTGCACTCTTTGCTGACAAGGTTGAGGAGTGTGAAGATTGTCCGAGTGGGACCGTGCGGGAGGTGGCTGTGTGAGGGTCCGGTCAGAAGGGGTAAGAAGAGGATATGAGGTTGCGGTCTGCGGTGACTGGATGCCGAGGTGTGAAGGAGCTGAGTAGGAGGATGGTATGCCACGACTTTCCCACCGCCGTAGTCAGGATATGAGGATCAGGATGACGACGTCGGCGATGCTTCCCCTACGCTTCATCCTCGCCTCGCCTCGTCTCGTCTCCATCAGCCGTGCGTCCGTCAGTCGATCGAGGCTGAAGCTGCAGCGCGCACTTGTGAGAGGCGAAGGCGGGGGGGGGGGGGGGGGGAGGGCCATCGGAACGGAAGACACGGGCTGCTGCATCCCGCTTAGGCCAGGCGATTATCTCCGCCGGACCCCACAATGCAACGCAAACGCACTCGTCGCAGCCTGACCCTCGTCGTATCCGCCCTCTAAGGTCACCATCATTCTCAGCATAAGCCGCAGCTGCTCCTCTTCAAGCGCCACAGCCAAGCATTGGGGACTGCGGCTCCACACGCCCGAGTCAGAATGGATACCCTCGCCACCCTGTCGAGTAGCGTCGCATCTGCCTCTACCTCTGCCCTTGCTTCACCATCAGCAACTCCTTCGCCGGTCATCGATCACCCAGATGTCGACAATGGCAACTGTAGGCTTCTCGGGCCTTGTGAGTAGACTCTGCGCATCATCATCTCATCAGATCTTGTCTCACCCCCTCCCCCTTTTTTGCCTGCAGTCGCCTTGATCCTGCAGGGCCTCATGGGAATCATGGTCATGGGCACCCTCGTATGGAAGCGACAGAGAGAGAAGCCTAGGAGACCATGGAAGATTTGGTGAGGAGTCGAGGCGTATGCCCAGCTCACCGTCGATTATCAAATGCTAACGTTTGTCCCCCATGTTCCACCACCTCCCCTCCCTCTGCCGCCTAGGATCCTGGACATCACCAAGCAGATGCTCGGCCAGCTCTTCGTCCACATCCTCAACGTCGCCCTCTCCACCCTCGTCGCCCACGTAGGAGAAGAGAATCCCTGCTCCCTCTACTTTCTCAACATCCTCATCGACACCACCCTGGGCGTCTTCATCATCTACCTCACACTCAGGCTCACCACACATGTCCTCACAGATGTCTGGGGATTAAAGGGATTCGTATCGGGACGGTATACGGACCGGTCTCCGAAGCGGGCTGGCAGGAGTAAGAAGGGAGGAAGACCAAAGGTGGCCTACTGGTTCAGGCAGCTGGGAATGTACTTCTTCGCATTATTGTGAGTACCACTGGCGCCTTCCACAGCCTGGACGCATGTCTCGAAGCTGACAATGATCATTGCTTTGATCACGCTGCGCAGGGTGATGAAGGTCATCGTCACAATACTCTTTGTTCTGTTCCCCTTCCTCTTCGCTCTTGGACGATGGATACTGAGTCTATTCGGCGAAGCCAAGAATATCCAGGTTCTCTTTGTCATGTGTCTGTTCCCACTAGCGATGAACACCCTACAGGTGAGTTGAGAGGTAATCGAGGGAGCAATCATCGTGCAGCAGATTGGCTGACTGACCGTGATGATCGATCTCCTCTTGTCCAGTTCTGGCTAGTGGATTCTTTCCTCCGTCACGATCCTGTCAAGTCGAAATACTCTGCGACGAGGAATGGGCAAGAGGAGGACGAGGGGACGCAAAGCGCCAATTCTTCTGGCATTCCTGCATGGGGTTGGAGCAGCAGCAACAACCCAAGCGGAGGTGGTGACTCGCCTTATCAAGTGGGAGAAGATGATGAAAGTCACGATCACCTCGTGGACGGGCTGAGTGAGGACGAGGATGACGACGAAGACGTCGAGAATGATGAAGAGGGTCACAAGAGGCGGAACTCCGTCCGGAGAGACGTTCCGCAAGCACAAAGGCAACACCTGGGTCTCAATGAGGAGCCTTCGAAAGCGAGGCTTCGATCCGCTCCCATGAGCAGGACAACATCCCCCAGTGGGACTGGAAGCGAAACAGAGCAGCACGCCTACCCTCCTTCGGACGCAGCCTCCCTCAACGAGCGGGATGCACCTGGCGGCAGCAGTACTCGGGCTAGCAGTCACAGTAGAGGTCCCAGTCGCGTCAATTCCCCGGCATCTGCGGGCAGCACTAGAGGTGGGAGATGATGAGTTGACACAGTTTGCGTCTGCGCAAGAACGTAAATGAGACGACGGAGAAAGCGGGGCAAGACAATCCATCCAGCACTATACATGTATCATTCAATCTTCTGTTCTCTTCAACATTCATACTAATTACATGCTCCTCTTAGATCTAAGTGGTATGATTATGCGCTCTCCATCTGGACTTCAAGAGATATCTACTGTCCGGCTCCTGTCTCTTCCTCCGAGGTCATGTATCCCCTCAGCCTCTCCGCCGCCTCTGCCACTTCTGTAGCGATGCGCTGCACAACCTCTTCCGCCCCCGTCACCTCATTGATATTCCCCACTCCACTCCCAGCCCAAGTGACAATTCTACTCGTATCACCCTTTGCCTCTGCCTCCTTGTACCTCTCCTTTCTCTCCTCTACACTGCCTTTACCCTCGTCAAAATCCTTGACAGTCTCATTGAGTATCCCCCTTCCATCCACTCCCTCTGGCCAACCCAATGTACCCCTCGCTTCATCAAATGCGCGTGTCCTAACCGTCGTACCCTCCTTTGCCGCTACCAGCATTCCCTTTTGCTCTTTACTGTAAGCGGCTTCGTGAGTAAAGAGGAAGCGAGTACCAAAGACGGCTCCAGCTGCACCGAGGGAGAGGGTGCTGAGGAGGGTACTGCCTGAGTGGAGGCCACCGGCGCCTAGCAGGAGAGGAGGGTTGTTGGAGGGGGAGGAAGGAGACCAGCTGGGCAGAAGAGAGTTGATGAGGGGGAGGAGAGAGGAGAGGGGCGGAGAAGTGCCCAGAGAATGACCACCGGATTCGATGCCTGAAAGAGGAGAGCAAGTCGGTCAGTCAGAACATTCACTCCCTGTCTGTTTCCCACTCCAGCCCCCCCACGTCCATGTCTTCAATGCCCTCCCACTCACCCTGCACCACAAGCACATCCGCTCCCATCTCCTCTGTAGCCCACTTTGCCTCTTTTGTATTCCCAACTCCAACAAACAACTTCAATTCCTTCCCCCACTTGGCCCTTCCACCACCATGTAATGCTGCCTCTCTCTCCCTAACAACTTTAGACCATCCTACCAATTCTTCTGGATTTCCAAAAGCAAGCCACACGGCTCGAGGCTTGGCCTTGAGGGCTGTATCGATGAGTTGGAGTGCCTCGCTTGCAGGATCCAGATCGGAAGCACCAAGAGAGGGTGCGGGCCCGCCATTAAGCTTGCTCAATCTCCACGCTAGGAACCCTACTCCCACTTCTAAACGATTGGCACTCCCCCTCCCTGGTACTCCTAGCACCTCAAATACGTGCTGTAGTTCCTCGTGGAGCTTAGAAGGAGTGTAGTATCCTGCTCCGATGAATCCGAAGCCGCCTGCGTGGGAGACGCGAGAGGCGAGGAGACCACCAGAGGCGTTTGCCATGGGGGCGAGGATGATTGGATGACGCAGGGCGGGGAGGAGAGAGTTGAGAGGGGTGCGGAGTGAGAGGGGAGGCATGGTGGGAGTTGTTTGCAGAGGTGGAGAGCTACAGTGAGAAGGTATGGAATGCTTGGAACAGAACAGAGGAGGCGCAGAGACCAAGTCGTCTTCGACGTCTTGACTACCAATCTGCTAGGCGATGTATGTATATATATATATATATACGTTGCGTGCGGCAAGCGAGGTGGTGGAGCAGCCACGGCCTTCGGCGGATTTTGGCATCCTTGAGCCGATGCAGCCGCCGGCCGGCCCGGGTGGAGGTGCCCCGCACGGACGTTTCAAGCAGCCCAAGTCTACAGTCGACTAGACGCCCAAGGAGGATGTCGAGTCACGAATGCTAAAGAAGCCCGGCTTTGGCACTGTAGCAAGCCTTCAGCGGCGTAGAGTACATGGTTCCTCTGTTGTACCGCCCCACCTCTACCTTGCACAATCAACCCTCCGTCTCAATACCGCGCGCAGCTTCTCCCTCCCCACCTCATCCCAGCTCGCCAGCCTCAAGTCTCGACGGAGCTTCTCCTCCCCGACCCTTCCCCTGAGTGCGTCTTCCTCGAACAAGACTCCCACTGCACGAGAGAGAGTCCAGTCGTACCAGCGCTGTGATGCCCCGGATTCTGTTCCCGCTTCAGAGGAAGCAGTGGCGGGCGCAGTGGCGGGCGCAGTGGCGGCTGCGCTCGCCTCTGTAGGGAGCGAAAGAAGAAGGGCCACATCGCGCACTTGTCTCCAGGGCGCCGAAGGCGTATATCCCAGCCCGGTCAATTCTACACGAAGTCTCGTCGATGTGGGCCCTGAAGCTGTTGCCTGGCGTTGCAATTGCGAGAGAACGGAGAGCCAACCTTCCTCATAGTCGAGGAGGAAACGATGTGCCCCTGCGAGGGAAAAGCGCTTGGAGCCGCCTACGAGAGGGAGAGGGCGAGGGAAGACGTATGAGCGTACTAGCCTTCGAGTATGAGATTCAAACATGTGACTCACCAGCTATGACGACCCTCTGCACAATCTGCGAAGACAGTTCGCTAGCTATAGCTCGATAGGCCGGTATACACCTCGTGGTCGGCAGATTGTTGAGCAGGTGCGAGAGATGCGTGTGCAGAGTGGTCAAAGCAGGCAGGAGGAGCGGCGTTGGAATGGAAGTCGCGTCATCTCCTTGATTGTCCAGAGGCGAAGTGTTATCAGTCCATGACCTGTAGAAGAGAAGATAAAAGGTGATGAGCAGAGGTAGTATTGCGCCTCCAGCAACGCTGCCTTGACTCACATTTGTGCATAGCCCTTCAGGTTCTCCGCAACCTCTGCTACCACAAGCTTCTTCATGCCTCCGCTGGCTCGCTCCAAGATCTCCTCGTACCTCTCAATCACCTCGTCCCAGACGCTCGAGACAGCCACCGCAGGCTTCCCAGCGGAACGATCTTGTCTAGCGGCACTGCTGCTTCCTCGAAGGCCCTTGCGGATCAGGCCACCAAGGGATTCTCCGTCCAGCTCGCTCCACTCGGCTTCTTCTCTTTTACCAAGCAGCAGCTTCATCCCAGCTTCACTGCTCAGGACACCCTCGCTCATATCAAGGAAGAAGCTCGACTCTTTCCACTTCCCCACCTCTTCCCGGACGTGAAGCGCACTGAGGTACGCCTTGAGCAGTCGATTGAGTCCACGCAGACCCCTGACCATATCCGTCTCGGTGTTGACCAGGGCACCGGAGGAGGTGTGCTCGATACCTCCCGGTATGGCGCGAGCGAAGGCCGATGAGAGAGACTCGAATGCTTCAAGAGAGCGTGTTAGACGCTGAGCGTACGATCGCAGCAGTGGGAGCTGGATCAGCGCCAAGAATTGCAGCCGGTGGGAAAGCAGCGGCAAGGGGGTATACGTGTTGGTGAGGGACTGCAGCAGCAGTACGAGAGAGCGTGAGGAAAGTGTTGACTTCGACTCTCGGGCAGAGACACTTTCCGCTCTGGCTGGCTCCGAGCCGCCGTCAGCGGAAGTCTCCAGTGAATCACCCGTCGATATTGTCCAGGCATCACCATCTTCGAGGAACGAGTCTAGGGCCTCTTCTGCGTTAATCTTCTCGCCTTGTACCCAAGAAGTGAACCATTCTTCCTTGGTCAGGATATCCTCTGCCATCCGAATTGGCTTGAGATAAGGGAGACCGACGTCACCCAATAGTTCTTGCAGATCAGCATCGAAAGTCGTCAATGCCGAGATCGTGTGGGTGAAGATGGCTGTGCTCTCGCCCTGAGCCAGCAAGAGGGGAACAGAGGCTTCCACCTTGCTCTTGAGGGGGGCGAGCAGGACGTGAATCAGATCGGCCTCGGGCTGGGTAGCGTGCTTGCCGTACCGTCGAAGTGCTGCTCCATTCAATTTCACTGCTGCTCCTAGCGTAGAAGATGCAGCAAAGAGGGGAAGGAGAGACTTGATGAGGGCGAGCATGTGATCGAGATACCACTCTGGCTTGTCGAGGCGATTGGTGGACCGCGATGAATCAAAATGGTAGCGGAAGCGAAGAAGGTATGGCTCTACCAGGAGGGCAGTTGCCAAGAGTGGAACGTACGACTCCTCACCAGGAGATGGCAAGTGGGGGCCCCTTGTACCTTCTTGTGCCAGGTCCGACTGCTCTGTCTGAAGGCAGCTCGGTAGTGGCGCCAGCTTCAGAGATCCTCCTACAATTTGTAGCGCGACCAAGGCAGTGCATGCGGCCCGCACCTCGACGCTATCCAAAATGCTTTCTGGTGTCCTGACCATCTTGCCCTGTGCCTGAGCCTGCTCAGCACTAAGGGGCGGCCATTCTGCCTTGGCAAGAGCATCTCTCAAGGCTTTCGATCTGCGATCCAGCAGGGTTGCGTACGTTTCTTGCAGCTTCGACTGTAAGAAAGGCAAGAATCGTAGCTGAGATGCTTGGCTCTGCGAAGATGGGAGGCTGAGCGACGCTGCGAATTGACAGATGTGGGACAACTCAGCAAGTGCGTCCAATTGAGGATCTCCAGCGATAGTCGATGGCTTGGAAGAGGATGAGGATGACGTGGACAGAGCTGCCTCCCATAGTTGCTGTGCTTTGCCGAGGATAGCAAAGTAGTCTCTGGCAGAACGGAAGGAAGTGATGGCGTCCTCGTGCTTCTTGAGCGTGGCCCGCAGCGGCAGATCGCCCGTCTGTGTGGCATCGGTCTCGCCCAATGACCTGGCTATGCTATCAATGGCATCGCCTACGTCTTCTATCTCTGCAGGAAGGATATCAAGCGATTGCCTGATCTTTGCTAGGCTCTGACTTGTGGTGAGAAGCTCTTTCCGGGCTGCGTCTCTGGCTGCTTCCAGCTGAGCTCTATCGTTGGTGAGCTGCTTTTGCAACGCCTCGATGTGAGCCGCCAATGCGGATGAAGAGGGCAGACGAGTGGAAAGTAGCGGATGAGAGAGGACGTGAGCTCTGAGGTCGGACTGGGAGGGAGGAGAGAGCTGGAGAGGCAGCTGGGAGAGATCCACCTTTGACGTCGACGCAAAGACGTCGTGGGGTGAGAAGGTGGAGTGGTGCGACTCCATCCTGAGATGCCGGAAGTGTGCCGACGTCAGTGGTGAGGATGACAGGGACGGTACTGGTACGATGAGACGAGGTGAGATGGGAAGAAGTGAGCAGCCTACCCCTGCCATCCATCCAGGCTTCCGTCGTTGGCCCCGCGATTCCTGGCAGCAACGCGGTTGCAAGGCGGCCCATGCGCACAAGGGCGACGCAACACGGAAAGCGGGGCGTGGCGGAAGGGCAGACTAAAGTAATTATCCGCCCTGAGCCGCCCTGGGGGGCAAATACTCAAGTGGTCACTACCATCGTCAGCCACCTTCATCAGCCAACCTCATCTACTCTTACCCCTCTCCTAGGCAGGACCATCTGCTTGCGGCGACTTCCTCGCCATGGCAGACGACGTAGCTCGCAGGGCGCTCATGGAGACGGGCAGCGAGGATGCAGTCACCGTGAATCAGAGGGCACTCATAGACAAGGTGAGACCGGTAGCAACGAAAGCTAGGCAAAGGCTCAAGCGGCCCTTTCATATATGCTCACCATTCACATTACCTCCCCCCCGTCACGCTCAGATTTTGGCGAGATACGCAGCTGAATTCACCGTATTGTGAGTCACATCATCCCATGCAACACAACCCTCGTTCCGGCTCACTCGTTCGCCACTGACGCCTCTTCTTCTGGTCACTCCGTCTCCCTCCTACATTCCACAGTCGCGAGCTGCTCCAGAATGCAGACGATGCCGGAGCCACCCACTGTCAGCTCCACTTCGACACAAGTAACACCACACCTGCTACCGCCACCGGAAGCACAGTATCTCAAGTAGCCACTTCATCCGCCGCCCAACTACCCAGGTTCAAGGCGCCCTTGGCAAAGTGGACTTTCAAGAACGATGGCGCCTCTTTCAGCTCTTCGGATTGGTCTAGATTACGGCGCATAGCAGAGGGGAACCCGGACCCAGATCGCATCGGGGCTTTCGGTGTGGGCTTCTACTCCCTCTTTAGCATCTGCGAGGAACCCGTGGTCAGCAGTGGTGAGGAACTGATGGGCTTCTTCTGGAAAGGCGATTCGCTCTTTACGTGAGTTTGCAAGGTCCATAGTCAAGGAAAGATCGGCCAACGTCTCTAACCTTCTAATCTTCTTCGTGCAATGGCAGTCGCCGAGCCAAGAACCCTTCTGCTGCAACGGACTTCTCACCTTCCGGCAAAGCCTGGACGACCTTCTTCATGTCCCTACGGTCACCTTCCCCACTCCCCGAATCGCCTCTACAGCTGGCTCAATTTCTGGCTACATCTCTCACTTTCACCGCCAACGTTCGTCACATTGACCTCTTCTTTGACTCTCACTTGCTCTGCAAGTTGAGCAAGACGCTTGAGGACACTAGACCTCTTGCAGTTCCCAGTCATCTCAACGCTTACTCGCCGGAGAAGGTGATGAGGGTCGAGCGGGTCGAAAGCAGGGGCATGAAGATCGATGTCGATGCAATGGCCATTCTATGGGAATCAGAACGAGAGAGGATCAGGCTTGAGAGGGAGAAAGAGAAGAAGCCCAGCTTGACGGCAGCTCTCACCAAGTCGGGTGGCCTTACAAGTATGTTGCAGAATGCCTTTGGCGGTGGTAGGACCAAGGATAAGTCTAATGTCATGCTCGCTCCTAGAGCTGACGCTCAAAAGGAAAGCGAGGAGGCTCAGACCGCACGACTGCTGAAGAGGCTTTCTGCCAAGGCTCTTCTGAGAGTGGCTACCAGCCACATTGACGTCAAGGCCGACTCTGCCTTCAAGCGCGAGATCGAGCGCTCGACCAAGAAACCGCCGCCGAGCAAGACCACCTTCAATCTTATCTGGGTCGGCAAAGACGAATATGATGCGAGTAACGCTGCCAGCGAAACTACGGCAGCGACAACTGACGAAGTGGCCAAGGTTGCGATTGCGGCAGATTCCGAGGTCGGACCCAAGATCATCTTCGATGGCCTCATGCCCAACTTGAATAAGCTCGGGAATGTCTTCATCGGCTTCCGAACGCATCAAACTACTGGATTCGCCGGGCATGTCGTGAGTACAGAGGATTGAAACGGAAGGAAGGGGAAGAAGGAAGGTGGCCACTTACACGTACACTTCTCCCTATCTTCACAGGCCGCCCGCTTCATCCCCACTGTCGAGCGTGAATCTATCGACTTCATCGATCGACACTGTGCGCGCTGGAACACTGAGCTGCTAGCAATAGGAGGCTACACTTGTCGGGCCGTCTTTGAAGCAGAGCTGGAGCTGCTGAGGAAGACGTGGACTGATAAAGCTGATGAAACTGGAAAGGAGATCAGAGACCGTCTGCTTGAAAAGGCTCTGCATACTATGCGATTCTTCACCATGAAGGACTCTTCCCCTTCACCAAGAGTATCTGCTACGTTCCTCAACTGCTTCTTCGCGTCTTCGCGCCAGAACGTCCTCACTCTCGCTTCGACTCAGGGAGTCAAGGTCTCTTCTTCTGTGCGGTTGCCGAATGCAGTACTGCTGGAGTTCGTCAAACGTCTGCCTGTCATTCCTCCCACTCATATCGAGGAAGCGTCTGAGTTCTTCAATCAGGTGCGGTCAAGAAACCTCGTGAAGGACATTACTATGGAGGACGTCTTCTCTGAGCTCGGCTCGCGAGCCCTCGACGTGGAGGAGATGGTCGCTTGTCTACGGTGGTGGATCAATGTCAGTCGGCATCCTGGATACGACACTCGGCTCAGGACTCGGCTGCTTGACTCGGCAGTCGTGAGCGTGTCGGGTGGCAAGGACGGCCAGGACACGGTCCAACCTCTGGGCTCTGTCCGACAAGTTCTGAACCCGCAACGAGTACCCGCCGACGTCTCGCTCCCTCCTAGCTGCTTGGCGTACGAAGTGTCGAAAGCTTTCACTGTCAACGAGCTCTCCACAACATACGATTGGGTGGAATTGAGCATCCCCACATGGCTGGCTCACCTGTCTCAGATGAGCTCGGAGGCAGCATGCCCTGCTGAAACGAACCTCCAGCTGAGCCCGCACTTTGCCGAGAAAGTTTTTGGCGTAGTGAGCCGTTCTTGGGGCAACCTGTCCGGGAAGCAACAGGCAGAGACAATTGAGATCTTCTCCTCAATGACGTGTCTTCCGACCAAGCAAGGGATGCGACGACCAGACCAATCCTACTTCGCCAATGTCTCCCTCTTTGATGATCTGGCGATCGTCGAATTTCCGAATGCCCAGATCAAAGGCAACTTGGAGAAGGTACTGGTTGCGCTTTGCGTCAGAAAACATGTTGAGCTGCAGCTTATCTTCACCCGCTTGCTAGGAGGCGGCGATTGGTCGCACGTCGAGCTTTTGACTTATCTGGCATCCATCCGAGACTCTCTGAGTGCACTTGAGGTGGATAGACTTAAGAAGACGCCCATCTGGCCAAAAGAAGGCGAGGTCGGACCGCCTGGGAAGGAGGGTAAGCCAAAAGTCATCCGCTACAAAGCATCTCAGCTCTACGAGCCTACAGAGACTCTGCGAGGGCTAGGACTACCACTTATGGAGTGGAGCAGCAAAGGAACTGCTAAGCCCTGGAGGAGCGGCAGTGATGAGGCCAAGTTCGCTGCTGAGCTCGGTCTGCTTAAGAATCCACCCGTCGAAAGTATACTCGCCTTGGCGGCCTCCCATGACGATTCCGTTCGGTCAAAAGCATTGGCATACTTCCTCGACAAGGCCGCATATAGGGACACATACAAAGTAGGGTCTGGCCAGAATTTTGCCTTTGTTCCCTGCCGCCTGGCGCCGACGGACGAAGGGAAGCCTGGCGAGCTCAGCCGCTTAAAGCCTACCGAAGTCTATACGAACGAGGCGGCTCAAGTGATGGGCTTTCCCGTTGTCTTTGGCATATCTCCCACCGATGTGCCTAAGCTTCAGCTCAGAGCAGACCCAGCTCCAGTGACTCTGATCTCACACCTGATCAACAATCCTCCTAAGACTCTGGAAAGGGCAAAGCAAGTCTTTGAGTATCTGGCCACTGTACAGACATCCTTCTCCAGTCACGACCTCTCGGTCCTGAGGTCAGCTTCGATCATACCTATTCTTAGCACGCCCAAAGCAGGCGACCAGAGCTCTTCACAAATCAAGCTAGTAGCACCGAGCTCTTGCTACTTTGGCAGCAATGACACTGTCGAGGCATTCCGTTCCGTGTTCCTCTACGTTCCCGATCTTGGTCCTCGGGCGAACTCCTTCCTCCGTCTAATAGGCGTCTCGACCGAACCATCCATAGAAGAGATCACGACTAGACTTATCGCTGACCCTACGCGTTTCTACAATCTGTGCGGCTCCATTGAGGCATACCTTGGCCTGCTGAGGCAGATTGCCTCCAACTGGAGCAGGATCAAGAGGCCTTTGCGCACTGCAATGAAGGACAGTGCTTTTCTCTTGGGGTCCAAGAGGGTCAAAAATGGAGGCCCTACGTCTGGCAATGCTCCTGAGGCGGGCAGGAAGGCAACGGAGAAGAGTCTCCTAGACGACGAGGACGGAGATGAAGATGAAGGCGAAGATGCCGGTATGCTGGTACATTCCCTCAAGCGACCTTCCGAGGTAGTCATCTTCGACGATGCCAATGCCGGCATGATCTTTGGCTCCTCGCTCTTCTCGGCGCCCCATGAAGACCTTCTTGAGCAGGGACTCTACGCCGAGCTGGGCTCGCCAAAACTCAGCACCCTCATCGAAGAGAAGTACATGATTGCTGGCCGAGTACTGCCCGACAGCAAGCGCAGCAGAGAGGTGAAAGCTCTTGTCCTGGAGCGGACACCTCTCTTCCTCTTCGAATGCCGCCAATCTGGTAACAAGGGAGAGATTCGCAACGATGCAGAGTGGCTCAAGTCTGCACTGGAAGTGGTCGAAGTCGATGGAGATGGACTGAGACTTCATCGCATTCTTCGTTTCAATGGGCTGGTGGAACAGGATATTCAGAAAGCTTCCGCCATGGCTCAGCAAGAGCGCAGCGTCACTCGGACAAAGGTCAAGTTGTCTATCGCGGGCAACATGAACATTGACTGGTTTGAGGTGGCTGCTGCCCTCAATAAATTCCTTCTGTCGAGGCAGAGGCTCCAGGAGGTATTGCTCTTCATGACGCTCCTGTCTACCTCTCTGAGGGATCTCAAGAGACGAGGCTTTCACGTTGACAAGATTCTACAGCAAAGAAGGGCCGAGCGAGAGGCTTACGAGCGTAGTCAGATGGAGCAGCAGCGCCAAGCCCAGCTGGAAGCCTTGTCAGAACCTCCCAGTGATGCGCAATTCAAGGAGTGGACGCAGCAAGCCTCGGCCATGTTCCCTGATGCTGATCCAGAGGGTATCGAGTCTGCGCTGAGGCGACAGAAGGAGGACCATCTCGAGAAGACGATTGCTTTACTCAGCGAAGGCAAGTACGAGAAGCGACGTCGGGGTACCAGAAGTGGTGGACAAGGATCCGTCTTTAACGCGATGGGCGGCGATGATGATGGAGGTGCCAGCACTCCACCAGGAGGTCCACCATCGATGGACCGGACGGGCAGCAGTAACAGTGGTGGCGGCTTCTTCTCTAGCTTCAAAGATCGCTGGAGGAGACCAGAGTCTTCTCTAGCGTCGGGAACCTCGTCCATTGTCCGTCCACCAGCTATCACTGCTGCAGGTCGATCCGCCAACGATCATGAGGGGCAAGGCTCTCTTGCTTCTCCTTCACCTGCTACGGGCGGAGGTGCTGGTGGAGGTAGCAAGCCACCCGAGCAGCCCTCTTCTCTCGACTCGATCCGCCGCAATGTCCTCTCGGCTATCGCGCAGTCCCGGCCGGACGCCTCGACTTCCGTGCGCTCCGAAGCAAAGACGACGAATGTCAAGGAGGCCAACAGCACCTACTGTGACAATTCCGGCGTGGAGACTGACCTGACCCTCGCGGGTGAAGTGGCAGGGATGCGCGTCTACCTCGGCAAAGACCTCGATGTAGGCGAGACGATGGCGCGCAATCAAGGTGCGCTGGAGCGTCTAATCAGCACGATCTACCGTCCAGTAGGAGCGATTTTCGGTCTAGACCCACGAAGTATGCACGTCTTTGTCGATACAAAAGGACCCACCATCGCCTTTAACCGAGGAGGAACCATCTGGCTCAATCTCCGCTTCTACCTCGCTTGGCACGACGAGGATGTCGCAAAGGGAGAAGTGACCGATGCGCTCATCTCTACCTATTTTTCCGTGGCGCATGAAATTGCTCACAATCTAGAACAACAGCACAATGCTCAGCATGAGTTTTACACAAGTGCACTATGCGAGCAATTCTTCATGAGCTTGGCCAATTACATCGTCTCGGTTCAGAACAGGAATAGGGCGGTGGGGAATTGAGATTGGGGAGTGGAGGCGAGGTCGGTGTGGTGGATGGTCTCATGTAGATAGATGCAATTGTGTGGTCCCTGACGCTGTGGCTATAATGTATGCGTAATCTTTCCACGAGAGATGCAGCGCGATAGAGATTAATCGTACATATTGCGATGACAACACAACCCGTTCCACACGCGCCTCCGTCTACCTTTACTTTACTGGGCTCTACTATCAATTCTTACACCATTCAGAACATCTACCGTTCTGGATGAACCCTTTGTCCGCACCGCTGCTCCCCTAATCCTCGTCTCCTCCTCTTGTCCTTAGAAGCCCGTGGGTGGTCTGCTGGCAATGAAGCTATTGATACTCCTCGTGGCAGGCGTAGCCGCCATTGCCGCCACCCCTGCCGCGCTATCGTGTCCCTGTGTAGAAATGATTGGCACCGTCGATGACGACAGAGAAGAGAGGGCGCTATTCCCACCCCCTGCTCCGCCACTACCGGCCCCTCCACCTCCACCGGAACCAGCACCGCTGGCAGAATAGTCGACGCTGTTGATGCCTACAGAAGACGCTCCATCGGCCATGGACGAGGCGGCATCCTCTTCGATGGCGGCAGCGTTGAGTTGCTCTACGAGGTCTTGAATCCAGGGATGCTCACGCATCTCCGCCGCCGAAGGCCGGTCATAAGGGTCGATCATGAGACACTGTCGGATAAAATCTATGCCTTGTTCGCTCAGCTGACCCGGCTCCGGGAGAGGTGGGTGCTGTTGCGCCATTCCGATGTGGAACATAATGGCCCACTCATTGTCCAGTTGACTCCAGGGTCTTCGTCCCGTGGCAAATTCCAGAACGACGCATCCGAGGGACCAGACGTCCATTGCGCCTCGGCGGCCCTTGTTTTCCCCCTTGATCACCTCGGGAGACATGTACATCGGCGTGCCTTGCAGCGACTGCACCGCTGCCGCACCTACGGGCTTGCCGTCTGGACCGACCATACCAGCCATGTTGCCCGCACCGCCGCCCACGAAGCCCGTCCGACGGGAGCGCTGTACAGTGCGGGTGTTCTTGGCCAGGACTTTGGCAGCACCGAAGTCGACGAACTTGATGACTCCTTCATGGTCCAAGAGAATGTTGTCTGGCTTGATGTCTCGGTGCACCACGCCCTGAGAATGCAAGTAGACGAGACCGTCGAGCATCTGTAGCGTGTACACCTGAATCACCGCTTCATCCTCGATCCTGCCGTGCTCAAGTAGCTGCCCCAAGCTTCCTCCCTGACAATACTCCTCAAAGATATAGACTTTATCCCTATGCACCTCGATACCATAGTACTCGACAATATTCGGATGGCTAAGCATCTCCATGACGTCCATTTCGTCCTTGATGGACTTGTACATCGAGGGAGTGCTGGAAATGTCTTGAAAGCGAATCTCCTTGACGGCCATCAGACCACCCGAGTCGAGATTCACAGCGAGGTACACAGTGCCGAACGTGCCGCCTCCGATGAAGCGACCCTGTTGCCAGCGAATCTGTATACGACTCGAGGAGGAAGCGAGGAATTGCAGTCCTTGATCCTCCAGACGCGTGTCGTCGAGGACGCGACCGATTAGTCGTTGCTCCGATTCGATAGCTTGGCGAGCCTGGTCCCATTCGATCATCTTGGTGACCCATCGCTCTTCAGTAGCTTCCATTCCCGAATCGGCTCGGTTGAGCATAGGTGGAGGACCTGCACCGCCCATGCCCTCGATCAGCTTCAGAGCTACGACGTGTCTTTGCTCTACCACGGTCGCATCCTGCCCCGACTCGACAGCAGCAGCTTTCGCTGCAGCCGTAGCAGCTCGATCTGCCTTCTCCTGCGTCAGCCTGTGCTCTTCTTCCTTAGCCTTGGCTACACTGCTTCGAGCTCCAAGAATATCAAAGTGCGAGATGAGCAGTGCGACACAGCTTGCGACTTTGGTCCGCATCAAGTTGAAGTCGTCTTCGTTGAGGTGGAAGATATTCTCATTCCTCGTCACCTGCACCGCATTCTCCAGAGCAGCTACGGCCCACTTGAACGTCTTGCGGTCCGAAGGAATGCAGTCGTCGCAGATGAAGCCGACCCAATCGATGGCCTGCCGTGCAAGAGCCAAGGTCATGTATCCCCTCAGACGAGCCGACTCGATGAAGGGTAGAGATCGGAAGCCCTGTTCTGCAGCCATGCTGAAACAGTTCTGGATCAACTCGTCCGTCTCATCACTGGCAGCCTTGTTCGTCATTGAGGAGTTGTTGCCTTTACGCTTGAGGTGCCGGCCGCGCATGTTTCTTCTCACCCCAGGAACAGCATTGAGGATCGTATTGGATAGCATATACACACCCTTGTTGATGCTTCGCAACTCCTGCTGGACGTCAGCCATGTGAGCCATGTGCTCACTGATGACCTCCAGAGGGAAACCAGCGGGCACACTCATCTCCTCCTCTACAGCAGCGGGAGTAGGGACGGCAGGCGGAGCACTGGCGCTAGTGGTACCTTTTCTTGGTCGTCCAGTCGCCGGTTTCAGAGTGCTGTCTGGAGGCAAATCAGAAGTAGTGGCAAAGACATTGTAGAAGTGCTTCTTGCACTTTGCAAGTCGCTCTTTCGATCCATCGGCAATGAGACGCAACCGTCTCTCACCAAGATTGACCTCGACGGGATCCATCCTGTGAGTCATGACTCGGCCAGTCCAGAGGAAGGGATCTCGAGGTGTCAAGAGCAGAAGATATCGGGGTGGCTCTTCTTCGGCCTCGTGCCTAGCGGCGGCAGCGGCGGCAGCAGCAGCGGTCACCTCTCCCTCCTCTGGGTTGGTGCCTTCCGCAGTGCCGCCTACTTCCTCGGCAGTCCCGTACACCGGGTCGGCCTGAGTGGGTATACGCGGTGCGAGTGTGACCCTAATGAGACACTTGCCCAACAACTCCTGGATCACTTCAGGCTTGTCGTGAAGACTAGGCTCTGCAATGATGTAGATGCCTTGTTCTTCGTACGTTTCCGTGTACACTAAGAAGTAGTTGGCATTGATGAGCGTCTGCAGAAAGCGATTGAGGTCCATACCTCCTTGCTGAGCGACAGCGTCTTTGGCAGCCGCACTGGCACCTGCAGCACCATCGACCTCGCCCGCGTCAACATTGTCTGTTTGACCATCGGAAGGCGGCCTCAAACTTCCCAGGTCGTACTCGGCCGAGTTGTCAAGACGATTCCTGATATCTCTAGCAAAACCAAGAAGCTTACGACTGCGAATGCGGACATTGTCGAAGACTGCATGGATCCACTTGACCTTTTCGCTCAAGGTCAGATGGACGGTACCCTTTGTCAGACCGCCCGCGAGGGAAGGACCACGCCCGGTGACTTCTGTGCCAGGAGGCGCAGGTCCAGTCGCAGTGCTATCGGCCACCTTGGCAGATTTACCCCGAGTCGTCGAGGGAGCCGAGAGTTCTCGCTCGAAGTAGGTGCAAATCCGAGCAAAGAGTTTGTTGACAATCTTTGTGATGCTCTTGGCCACGATGACGTCTCCTCCTTCAATGACTGACACCGCGTTGCTCAAGAACAGCCACTCATTGTCTAGAATCTCCGTCTCCTTGAAGAAGATGCTTCCTTTGAGCTTGAAGCTGATCAAGCGGAAGAAGAACCTCAGTGCATCTCGCAAGATCACGTCGTAGCTTTGACCAATGGAAGGATGCAAGTCCCAGCCATTCAAAGGGTCAGGAACCATGATGCTCTGGTAGCTTTGTTTCGTTCGAAGCGCCATGTTCAAAGCCGAACGCAGATCGTCGGTGAGGGAGTCGATGATGAGCAATGAAGGCTCCTTGATCTTGCCGGCATAGTCCAAGCGAAGTCGTAGAGCTCCTTCCATCAGCCTCATCGGGAAGGAGATGAGTTCCACCAGCTCGGGAGCAAAGGAGGGGAGCTTCATCGAGCAGAAGGAGTTGTGATACTGCTTGATAGTATCTCTCGTCTTGATGACTAGATTGTTCAGATTGTTCAAGGTCCGGTTCTCAAAGGTGGACTGCAGGGAATCCTCCTTGAGTATCCTCTCGACGAAAGTCGTGCCTTCCACATCGCCATTGACACGGGCCAGGAGTGAGAATGCATCGTCATTCTTCGTATTGCGTGACTTTTGCGGGACATCGATCTCGAGTGTCTCACTTCCTGTCCACTCCTTGAGGATCTTCAAGTGGAGTCGCAATAGACTCTTGGTATTGTGCCAAGCGCGAAGCGCCTCGAGCTTGAGCTGGAAAGCTGGCTCATTCCACGCTGGTAATACCTCATTGACCTTTCGCGAAGAAGGGAATTGCGACTCTGCTGCATCGACTCTGACAAGGAGGTCTCCGATTTCTTGGAAGATCTCCTCGTCCTTTTCCTCGCTGAAGATCTCTGGCCTCTTCTTGCTGTGATGCTCGTGACTTGGAGCAGGAGCAGTGGGTGAGATACGGCCGTCTTCCGAATCTGGCTGGACAACAGCAGCAGTCTTGGCAGCCTCGACCTCTTCGGCCTCTTGGGCGGCGCGACAAGCCTTGACCTCTTGGACGACGCTCTTGAGCATCTCCGGCCATGAATCTTTCAACCTCTTCTCCTCTGAATCAACAGCGCCCTTCTGATGACCCCTACCTCTCAAGCTAGCTCGAATGTCCAGCCATCTCCTGTACATGAGCTGCTCTCTGCTGAGATCGGGAGCATCGACGCTGGTGATTCTCTTGGTCTCACTTCTGAGCACTTCTGAAGCCAAGACAGACTCGAGCATCGTCTGCCACTCGAGCCTCTGTCTAGGCTCGTACTCGGGGAAATCGCCGCCAGGAGAATCTTCCATGGGGGTGTTGAGGGCAGCTGGGTAATGGAAGCCGGGTGTTTGCACACCACTGTACGTTCGGGCCATCAGGGGCGGAGAGGCCTCAGGGCGCTGGTTACGAGGGCCACGAGGATGCCAAGGTGCCCTCCGCGGGCCCGTCGAAGATGGACCGCCAGGATCTTGATTCAAATAACGGGGTGGATGACTCTTGCGTATTAGGCTGTCCTCTGCACTTGGCTCTTGACTCGCAGGGGGTCTCGGTCGCTCATCTTCTACTCGTGGAGTCTCATCGTGCACCTCATCCTGCCAAGCGTCACTCCACGTCTCCTCTCCAGAGTCGAAGCGATGTTCGTCCTCCGTCGTGGAATCATTGAGCTCGTTGCGAGCAGAAGCGCCCGTGATAGGATGTGTGCCTCCACTGCCCTTTGTATTGCGGTTGGCACCTTTGCCTTTGAGACCGCGTGTAGCCGGTCTAATGATGGTATCGGAATCGGCCTCATCGCTGTCGAGACTCTCCAATGGCAGAGGTTTCCTCAGATCGAAAGCGGAAGGCCTCACAGCGGCATTGCCATCATCGCGCTCTTCGTCGTCGCTGCCGGCAGCCCAGAAGTCTTCTTGCTGGAGCATCTCCCTCCTTCTTCTTGCGTTCGCATCGATCCTGCGCTGTACAGTCGACCCTGTATCATTGTAGTGGGTGCTGCTACTAGAAGGACCATCTTCTGGTAGAGCGCCAAAGGAGAGTGTCTTGGTGCGCGTTGAAGAGACGTGTCTCAGCGAAGAAGAGGACCGAGGAACGGGACGGGGTCCGGTACGGGTACCGGCGCCTGCCGCTGGGACTCTGCCGGCCGAGGATGAGGGCGAGGGGCTGCCTGAGCTGGCAGTGGGTGGTATGGCACTTTGCTCGGAAGTGGATCGCTTGGAGTGTGAGAGGCCTGTGAGAACCGATGGACCCGGCCGATGGAGGGCCGATATTCCTGCAGAGGTCGACGATCCGGCGGGCTGCTCTGGACTGCCGGTAGCACCGATACCATGCTCTGCTGTAGGCGAAGTAGGGCCAAGAGATCCTGAGCGGGGTGTCCGCCGAGTGGGCGTCTTGCCTGGCGATGATACCTGAGCCAGCTCCTCGTCCTCTTCCGACTCCTCGATGACGACGTCGTGAAAGTAGCCGCGGGAAGGCATGGCGTAGTGTGGATATTGAGGCTGCTTGATTCAAACACGGGGCTTCAAGAGGCGGATGGGATGAGATCGCAGACGATGAGGAGATGGTAGGCGATGACCTTGTAGATGTTGCTACCGAGGCAGACGATCCGGTCCGAGACGGCGAGGTGTTGTAGTAGGGATGGGTGACGATGGTTGCCGGTGATGGTCTCAGCCGCTCAGACAAGTCTCAGCCAGTCAGTCGCGGCGCCAAGGGTCCGCCGAAGAGGCACATCCACGCCAGCCACGCCCCGCGCCCGCGTAGACACCACATCCACACGCGTACGCACCCAGCGAGTAACAAACGGCCAGGGGACCACAGAAGAGTAGTAGTTCATTGTAATTAGCAGATCAGTACCATGGAGAATATACCACCATTGCCGCCAAAAGAAAACAAGTACAAGGAGGGAAAAGAGGGAGGCCGCCAGAGCGCGCCCACGCCTCACGACTCAAAGTCAAACAAGCCTGGTCCACTGAGCCAGCCTCCCGACTCTCCACCAGCAGCAAGCGCAGCGCTGGGTGTTCCCAAGTTGAACATCCCACCTCCAACACCACCAGCAGCTTGGCCTGGTTCGCTCCTAGCAGGAGTCATAGCACGCAGAGGCCAAGCATTCGCTCCGTCGTCGAGACCATTAACCACCTTGACTCCATCGGAAGTGAGGGAGGAAGGAGCGCCATCGCTAGAAGACCAGGTATTCTGCGGTGGACCACCAAAGGGAGCAAGAAAGTCGATGAAGGTGTTTCCTGCTTGTGCTCCTCCCCCTCCACCACTGTTCGAGTAAGCAGAATTAGTAAGCGGGGTAAGGCGAGTCTTGTCTGCTCCCAGTGCCCCCATCAGGTTTTGCATCGGCGAGGGCGCAGAAAAGGCAGCAGAGCCTTGCTGCAGTGATCCAATTGAGGGATTACCGGTCATCGGGGGTGCAGAGTGCTGTGAAGTATTGGGCTGTGTAATAGACGGAGTGGCGCCCGCGGGTCCCTTGGCGTTCAGCGCCTGTGACAGAACCCAGTTGTAGAATGCGTCCAAACCATACTGTTGGCCGGGCGCTTGTGTCATCGAAGAGGATGCATCGGTATTCATCGCTTGGTTGCCATCTGTGTTGTGTTGCGGAACACTAACATTGCCACTGGGAGGCGAGAAGTAGCCGTGCTTGCTTGACATGCCATCGTTTCCATTGCCATCATTGCCGTAGACAGACGTGTCGCAGGAGCTGCTGCCACCGTTACCCACGCTGACGGCAGAAGAGTCATCGATACTATTTGTGCGGAGCGAGTCTCGTCCCATGTTGCTGCCAGCAGAACTACTCTGACCGGGCGATTCGTAGGCTGCCAGGAAGGAATCCAAATCGAAGCCCTGTCCTCCCTCATGGTCTGCCAAGAATTGCCCATCGGGATCTTCTCCGTTGTCAACATTGGTACCCAGACCCGTAGCGCCGGCCGAATTCCAGAAGGCGTCAAATGCACCAGAGGAGTTGAGAGTATCAAGAAGGCCAGAGGAAGCATTTGGCACACTGTAAGTGTTCTTCAGGGCAGCGGTCTGGGGTACCAGAAGCTGCTCCATGAGGGCACGGGACACTGCGTCCTTGTTTGTCTCTTGCTGAGCTGAAGGTCCGCCCAAGAAGTCCATAAAGGTGTCGTCACCGTCCTTCGGTGTGCCAGGAAGCGAAGACTGGCTCTGACCCTCGCTCTTGCCCGATTCTGACATGCTTTCGCCTTGTGTGGCTCGAGCAATACGATGGGCTAGACGGAGCATGTCCTTCTTTTTTGGCCCACCCCTGTCCCCGGCTCTCTTCCTCTTGTGCCCGGGCTGGCCAAGCTCAGCCTGTCTGGCGTCCCACATCGTCTGCTCCTCAGCAAGCAAAGCTTCGATGACTTTGATGCCACCCTCAGAGCTATTCGTGGTCTCGTTGACGTGATGCAGCGCTCTAAGCGCCTCTGCGACCTCAGAGCGGATGACGTCTCTTCGGACAGCCTCGTTCGCAATCTCTCCTTCAAGCGGCTGGAGCAAGTCCATAAGAAGCACGATGGCTGCTGTGTAGCTCTGAGCGAGATTGCCAATGAGCCTGTCAATGACTGTGCATCTGCTTCTCAGCTTCTTTTGCGTGTCTAGGACACTCCTGGCAAGTACGACACAGCTGAGCCTTGCATTGCGCTTGCTCGTGAGGGCAGGTCTGTGCAGCCTGAGAAGGTGATGGAAGATACCTTGCTGGAGCAGCCATCTCTGGATTTCCACATGCGTATCCGTGCCAATCTCCGATCCGACGCTGAAGAAAGAAGGGAGCCCGTCTAAAACGCCACGGAATGCTCGATCAATGATTGCAGCCTGAGGACAGTGAGCCTTTTTGGCCTCTTCTTCTCCGCCGGAGCTTCTGACATCGTTGATTAGATCCGTTCGAAGTTTCAGCACCTTGATGACTTCGTACGTCTCAAGGGTATAGCTCATCTCTGTAAATTCTTCTCTGTCCTTTGGGGCAGGTGGAGGAGAGGTCTCGAGGTCCTCGTCGTTGAAGTTGCCTGGCAGTGGAGTGTTGAAGTGCTTCTCGTTGATGCTATAAACGTGAGAGGTACAGGATCCAGACCAGTCCTTGAAGACCAGCTGGTACCAAATTCGCTTGGCGATCTCTCGACGGACCACAACGCTGGCACTCTCTCCAGCTTTGGGCTGCCTTGAGGCGTCGCCAAGACGATTCAGCCCCATTTCTTGCGCGTTGGAGATGGCTACCCGTAACATCGTTGGGTTGCTTCTTCCAGAGTGCGAATCGGAGAGGTTGGAGAGCAGTATCGCTTGCAAGACTGCAAGCGATCGAGAAGATTGATAGCGTGCAAGTCCAAGTGCAGTCCGAGCTGCGGAGCCGTACAGGTGAACTGAACGACCGTCGAAGAGGTGACTGACTGGCTCCCAGTCTTCAGGTGGTGTACAAGGGTAGAACCGCAATGCGAGGACTATGACAAGAAGGAAGACGGACAGCCATCCGGCGTCCACGTTATTGATTACTCGTGCTTGCTTCTCTACAGTCTCGAGCGCATAGAATGCTTCGACATCCCTGCGGAACGTAGGTATATGGATAATATTGCCTGCGAGGAAATTCACGCGGTCTGCGTAAACGCTGACCAGCTGTGCAGCAAGTGCCCTGCGGGGGAGAGATCGAATGATGGCTCGAAGGACGGCTTCTCGTTGTGCTGAGCCTGGGCACTGTCCACCCTTGACATGAAGATCGTTTGCGGCTTCAGCGGCAGGAAACGCCCAACCCATGCCGAAACCGAGAGAAGACTCTGGTCCGAAGATCGGGCGGAATAGACTCTTGGACGTACTCAGGGAAAGGCAGACCTTCTTCGCGGGACTGACGTCGATGCCTTTCCTCTCCATCTCAGCTACCTCGTCGAGAGAACCGATGTGATCATTGTCCTTCTGGCCTCTCTGAACGATACCAGTGGGAAGGTCCTGAGCGAGGTCATCGGCAGCCATACCTGAAGTGCCGCCCTGTGACACGTCGAGCATGATGTCCTTCTCCTTATTGCGGGCTACGTAGGCCGTCAAAGTCTCTTGCGGTTCTTTGATGACAGGATCAACATCTTGCTCGGCGATTGGACAGGCTGTCTTTTCGTCTGGACGCATGCCTTTGCCCGACATTGCTAGGCCTTCGAGAACCATTGCAGCGTCTTCTGTGTCAGAGTCGAGTTCAGGCCTGAGCTGAAGAGGCTGCTGAGAGATATTTCGTTGCTCGGAAGCCAATCCTTGAGGGGAAGATAGTCGCTGATGCTTGGGAGCCGGCTGATTGGGCTGCTCTGCTGCAGCATCCAAGTATCGCGGATGGGCGTAGATGGGCGCACTGCTGCGAGTTGACGAAGCCTGAGATGACGGTGAGTCGGCGGCGATACCGAATTGGTTGGATCCCGATCGCAGAGGCGCAAGCCTGGCAGGCTCATCCCCTGCATGGGACTGCCAAGAACTCAGAGAATGCGATGAAGGGCTAGAAGCGCCTAGCATTCCGACAAGAGGCGGCAAGCCAGAGGATGGAGGGGCTTGATGAGACTGATGAGGCGAGAAGAATGGATCTGCATCTCTGGCGCTCATTGCGAAGTTGCTTCCAGGGCTGCGACTAGAGCTTGACAAGGCTGCCTCCAGTTGAGCCAGACGAGACTTGATTGCTTCCATGTCATCCGTGCCCCCTCGTGAACCAGATGACGTGGAGGTCAAAGCGGCAGAAGTATAATGTGGAGCTGTTGTAGTTTGCTGAAAGCGTGCATTTGCATATGAGGGGTGATGCGACTGGCCAGGCATGTATGACATGGACTGACGAGCTTGCTGAGGCTGCTGTTGAGCACTGTATCCAGGGTGTCCCGGTTGCGAATGCTGGCCTTGGCGACTCTGGTCGGGTGCTACAGCTGCTTCTGCCCTCTGCCTCTCACGCTCTGCCTGCTGTTTTGCCTGCTCTTGCAATTGAGCCTGCACCTTTGCTGACTTGGATTGGGCAGCAGGCGGTCCCCTTTTATAAGGGTCGAGGAAACAGAGTTCCTCGTCTCCCCTCTTGATACATTGATCGCAGGGTAGCTGACGGTCACATTTGATCTTGCGTTCACTGTGGGGCAAAACAGTACATGCGTTGAACATAGACACGGTAGATAATCAGAATAGGAGCTTACTTTGTGAGATGCTGGCGTTGCAAATGTCGCCGTGCTGAGCTACTTACCGACATGCTACGCAAGAAAGAGCTGCCCTATTCCTCTTCTTCGGTTGGTCCCTCCTCGCTGCTGAGGGTGCAGAGCCATCTTCGCCCGCCGAGGGGCTACCATGGCTGGAAGGAGTCGTATCGTTCTGGTTCATGGGGGCGGATGACTGCCTGGCGCTTATTTCGGCCGGTGGCGGTGATAGGACCGGGTATAAGCGTATGCTTGGCGTGGAGATGGAGAGGTACCGATAGGGACCACGAAAGCGTCGGACAGATGGTGATCCGGAGTGAGTTGATCACTGAGGCAGTTGAAGCGACTTGTCTGAGCTTCTTGTGCGCTTGTGATGGTGATGGTAGGCAGCCGTCGAGGTGCAAGGTGGGTGGAGGGAGTCGAGGTGCGTATGAGTGACTAGGCGCGAGGCGGACGAAGGCCGGAGATGAGGCAGGATTTTCCACGCAGTGCGGATGCACAACGCTCAGTCCTCGCCAGACAGCCCGCGTGCCACGTGCCACTGGTCATTGCACGCGCCCGAACTTCCAGCACCAAGCTCGGCTCCGAGTGTGACGCGGGCGGACCTTCTCTCCCGTTCCGAGCAGACTGCACGGGCGCCAAAGCGGGGCGTGGTGTGCAGACGCTGGTATTGCTTCTCCTCCTTCCCCGCTCTCGGATACTAATCTCACCATTACACCTCACTTCACTCGTTCTTCTTCTTCGCTAACAAATCTCCAGTCGTCTCTACGATGCTGGCTGCTTCGCCCAACGGCCATGCACCGCCTCGCAACGGTCCTCACCCACATGCCTTTCAGGCGGGAGCAGCTTACCGCTCTGCTCCCCCGCCGCCTCCCGAGTTCACCCTGCCTTTACTACCTGCTCATCTCGAAGGCCGTCCCAAGATGGAGGGAGAGCAGACTCTTCGCGGAGATGATCAAGACGAGGAGAGAGGCGTGAGCGATGCAGGTAGATTGCAGATCGACTCGTCCACTGGCGCGCTAGACGTCGCTCGCTCCCTCGCAGCTGGAGACGAGCCTACCAGGTGGTACTGGACCTTCGATGGCGACGGCAAGCCCGTACTCACACGGTTCAACCCAAACAGGATTTCGTCCAACGATATACGTACCTCACCTCCTCCACCTGAGGCGAGCACGAGTGATACTCCCGCATCCGCACGGCTCCTCATTCCCCCGCACGGCAATCGTGGATTCAAATTACGATCACCTTCGTCATCACTTCAGCCCTCGTCGGCCTCCTCGTCGCGCTACCAGCTCACGTCTGCCATTCCACCAGATGATGAGCTCATAGTGTCACAAGCGCCAAAGTGGAATGCATTCGGGAGACTGGCTCCCTGGACCAGCGGAATGACGGGACCTCTGACGGGCCAAGGTGAAGAGGAAGTAGGGCCTCAAGCTTGGCTGGGCGGAGAAGACGGAGAGGTGGGAGAGAGAAGACCCAGAAGGGGAGATCGAGAGGTGAGGAGCAATCTTCGCATGAGCTGCCTGTGGTCTCACGCTAGCATCGCTGACAGTCTGCACCTTCGCTCCACAGACCAACGATCGTCTGCGACTACGTATCGCCGCGCTCCAAAGAGCAGGAGTACGATCCCTCCTCACGTCGCCACCTCCGCGACAACAAGAGTTGCCAGATGCCGCAGCGCCATCGCAGCGACGTCGGTCTTCTTCCCCACTCCTGCCTCCTTCAATAGACGAGCCCCTCTCTTCTCTGCGAACCACATCGGCTCTAGCTCCCACCCTTCTCCAACCGGTCCTCTCACCACTACAACTCCTCGAGTCGCGCACTCTCAAGCATACCTTCCGAAACCCTCACATTGAAGCGCTCGCAAAGACTACACTAGACCTGGCAGAGAGTGAGGGGCAAGTGAGAAAGGCCGTGGGTGGTTTCTGGGCTGCACTAGAGGAAGAAGACGGGCTGCGTGGCGGACGTGAGAAGCTCAAGCGGAAGAGGGACAGGGAGCATGCCAAGTATCACGGAACAGATACCGACGGCGTCGAGTCTGGCGCCTCCCGTCCTGCTCCTCCCCAGCGCAAGCGCTCTCGCAATCGCCTTAGATCCAACTACTCGCCCGACATCGTGGGCGCTGCTGGCTCTTCCAAGGGTCGGTCCAAGGACGAGCTCAACCCCACTTTCGTCAGACTCGAGGAGCTCTTCATCACGCATGAGGATGGTGGATTGAGGATCCCACTCACAGCAGAGGAGAGTGAAATGGACGAGTCGGGAGCATCGGGCGTGGCTCCTGCTGCCCCTCCTGCTACCAATGGCTCCACTGGAATCGAGGGCAAGGCAGGCAACGAAGTGAAGAAGTCTGAGATCGAAAATGGTAGTGCTGTTGACCCTGCTGTTGACGACAGTGATATTGCCGCCATTGCTACTACTGGCGAGGTGAAGCCCGCCGAAGCGTCAGCCACAGGAGCTGCTGCAGAGGACGCCGGCGCTGCTGCAACCCCTGTCCCTGCTGCTGGTTCAACTGCTCCTGCTATCGTCGACTCTGAGCCTCAGGCTGTGCCTGAGCCGCAAGAAGGCGTCGCTACGGTCGGGGAGGTTACCAAGGCTGCCACCAAGTCGGCTTCACCCAAGCCGGAGGTACCTCCGCAAGCATCAGAAGCGGCACCTGCACCTGCTGTCGCAGCACCGGCCCAAGGCGAAGACACGAGCATGGACGTGGACGCGGACGCTGCGCCCGCACCAGAGCCTACTGATGTAGCGCCTGCTACCCAGGAGGAAGATGGAGCTGACGCCGCTGCGGTCGAGCCTCCGGCAGCTACAACCGAAGTGGCTGCTCCCTCCTCCCCATCCCCCTCTGCTGCCGCCGCCGCCACCGCTGCTGCTGCCGACCCCGACTCCGCCCCCGTCGCCACCGCCGCAGCAACGCCAAGCAGTATGCTCCTCCCCCCCTCCTCGCAGCGCGAAATCATGCTAGCCGCCCTGTCCTGTCTTAGCGATCTCGAAGCCGATTCTCGAGAATATGCTACCCGTCTTGAAGAACTAAGAGGTAGATTGGCAGCAGTGGGACGTAAGAGGGGGGAAGTTTGGAGAGCATTGAGGATTTGGGCTGTTAGGAGGGTGGAGAGAGAGTGGGAAGAGAGAGAGGAGAGGGAGAGGGAGAGGGGTGGACTTGGGAGTGGGAGTGGGAGTGGGATGGGAGAAGAGGGACAGGGAGTGGGGGCGGGGGCGGGACTTGGTGAGATGTGAGAGGTGAGAGGCGAGAGGTGAGAGGTGAGATAGAGGAGTGTACAGGGCAAGACAGCGAGACGTATGCAAGCAAATATGGCCAGAACGACATTTGACTTTCCTTACTCTTACTAAAAAGTCGGAGTGAAGATTGCAACCCCCTCCACTCTCTCCCTGTGCAGCAAGCAGCATGGATATGACAAAAAGAGAGTCAGTGGGCATATTGACGGTGATGGTGACACTTCCGGTGACATCCCCGGTCTTTTCTGGGACTTGTCCCAAACCCAACCCAACCCCAACCCCCACCCCGCCCCCTCCCCCCCTCCCCTCTTCCTCCTGGCGTCTTACTAGATCAGTACGACTACGACTACGACTACGAGTAGGAGATCCACTCACTGACTCGAAGTCGAGTCGGAGAGGAAGAGGAACAGGCTGATTCTTATTTACGCAGATGTGGGTAGGAAGCAGTAAGCGGTAGAATGCAGTGCAGTGCAGTGCAGTGCAGTGCAGTGCAGTGGAACGAATGAAGAATGAATGAATGAACGAAGTTTTCGGGGTGAAAGAAGCAGTGCAGTGAATGAATGAATGACTGAACGAATGACTGAATGACTGCGTGAGCGAGGGACAACGGCAGCAGCAAAACAGCAACAGCAACAGCAACCTCTCGAGTACCTCTCGAGACCTCTCGAGTGAGAGGTAAGAGGTAAGAGGTGAGATGTGAGAGGGGGGGGAAAAAGAGGGAAGGGAGCGTAGAACTCGACCTGGTCCCGTGTGTAAGACATATCCAAAAAGAAGAAAGAGAGAGAAAGAGAAGGAGAAAAAGAAGGAGCCTCTACCAGTTCTGCATCCCTCCACCCATCCCCATCCCCATCCCTCCACCCATTCCCATGCCTAGCTGCACAGGCCCTCTATGCGCAAACCCATGAGCGGATGTGGGGATCGGTGGGAGGGAAGCATGCATGGGATGCCCCTGTGCGTGAGCCTGTGCGTGTGCGTGTGCGTGGGGACGCTGAGCTTGCTGCTGGTACTGGACAGGGTGAGAGTGCGGGACAGGGGGAGCTGTAGCCATTCTCATCCCTGCGAGGGTAGTACCCTGCTGGTGCTGCTGGTGCTGCTGGTGCTGGTGCTGAGGATAGAAGATCTGTCCTCCTTGCTGCTGCTGGCTTTGATGAAAGATGGGTGGTGAAGGTAGTCCATTCTTCCCCGGCACTACAGCCCCACCCAATATCCCAGTCTGTGGCAGGCCCAGGCCAAGACCAAGGACGGGAACAGGAGGCGAAGGCAGGGGTGACACACCAGCACCAGCACCAGCACTAGTACCGGCAAAGGAGAGACCAGCAGCAGCGCGCCTAGCTGCTCTTCCTGTACCTCTTCCTCTCGTACGCCTTCCTCGAGTTCTAGTGCGCTTTGAAGTGCTGGCTCCAGCACCACCACCACTGCCAAGGAGTGAGGCTCCACCAGAAAGAGAATCGTCTCCTTCTCCGGATCCGGAACCAGAGGCAACCTCGTCGTCTTCATCTTCTTCTCCTTCTTCTTCTTCTTCCTCACCTGTTGAAGAAGTGGCGGCAGAGGAGGAAGAGCGTTGCTGCCGCAGAGGATAGGAAGCGCTCTCGGACCTCGAGAGGAAGCCTTGCAGTGCAGGCGATGGGAGGGCAGATCCAGTCCCAGCTCCAGCTCCAGCTCCTGGGCCAGCTGCATAAGGAGAGCGGACCGCTTGTGTCTTCAGCGACCCACTCGAGCGGGTGCTCCGCAATGGGGCGGGGTGTTGGGCGCCAGGCAATCCGAGGGTGGGGAGCGGAGGAGCAAGGTTGCGTCTCTTGGCTAGAGGAAGGACCGTGAGTGGCTCAGCGTGCATAGGAGGCGGGTAGCTCATGGTCCTGATGAAAGGAGGTGGGACTGCGGACCACTGAGGCTGCTGCTGCTGCTGAGGCTGCTGTTGGAAGTATCGAGCGTCCTCCAGCCGCTGGGCAAGGGCATTGGCGTTGCTTCGACGCTGAGCCTCTTCGTAGCTGTAGCTGGCAGAGGCAGCGGCAGCAGCGGAGAGTGGGTCCATGCCAGACAGACCCAGTCCATTCTGCTGCTGCTGTTGTAGGAAGTGCTGCTGCTGCTGCTGCTGCTGCTGAGCAGCCCATCCACCAGTGCGAGCATTGACATTCACGCTGCTCCTGTTCTTGACATGAGTCCTAGTGAAGGCCGAGCCTGCCTGAGGGTACATTTGCTGCTGCTGCTGCTGGTGTTGCTGGCCATGATGACCATACCCACCACTTCCACTGTACCCAGATCCATTCGAGGCATTGCTGTGCGCTCTTGATCTGCCTGCTCGACTGGTAGTGCTAGAACTCGAGCTACCGCCCAATTTGACTCCACCGCCAAGGACCTTGACGTTGCCATTGTCGAAAGAGGTTACACTGCCAGAGGAAGCAGTAGAGGCCGTGGAGCGTGTGCGGGCATGGCTGCTGATGGAAGCCCGCGACTGAGAGGGCTTGATGAGTGGAATGGCAACGGCTCCGACGGTAGTGTCTGCAGCGTCTTCACCATCAAGGGGGCGCAGAGTGTCATCACCTTCGTCGTGGCGTTCGTCCTCTACCTCGTCTACAGCATCGCCAGCAGCAGAGATGGCGTCCTCTGGACCGACTTCATCTTCAAAGGCTACGTCGTCAAGACCTAGTCCGTGCAGGTCCAAGTCATTGACCGCGTCAAAGTCGCGGGTCGAAAAGGCAGTAGTGGCAGGCGGTGACGTCTGTCCGTCCTGTGGTCCTGCAGCGTCGCTGTCACACTTCTCCCAGCTCATAGTCGAGGGCATAGGGGAAGTAGCTGGGATGGAAGTGCCAGCAGAAGAAGCTCCGTCGAGTGACTGAAGGCCACTCAGGGAGAGGGCACTGTAAGCAGTAGATCCATTGGAGTCACTTCGACTGCTGTTGGTGCTGGAGGACGAGGAGCGGTTAGAGTCGCCAGATGAAGGTCGGGACGAGGGCTGACGTCGAATCGAGGCGAGCTGGTAGCCCAGACTGGGAGCACCTGCATCTCGACACCATGAAGCGTTGACATTGACGTGGACTGGCTGGTATTGGGCAGTGGCTACTGCTCCTGGAGTTGAAGGGCAGACATTGACCGATGGGACTTGAGCGGAGGAACTCATGACGGCACCCGGTCTGCGAATGATGGCAGCTCGGCTCGTAGGTGAAGGAAGGGCAAAGTCGTTGGATCGAGAAGCAGGGAAGAGGGATGCCGAGGCATAGGCAGTGCGAGGAGCATTGGAACGTGGCATGGTGCCGTAGAGGACTCGAATGGATCCTTCATGCTGCACCCGTCCACCTCGAGTGGGAGTGAAGGAGGTTCCTGATCCAGAGATCGAAGACGATGAGGTGGAAGCGCTGACCCTACCAGGTCCAGGTCCATCTCGGATGGCCACACAGCCAGGGTCAATCCACAGTGTCCACTCTTCCTTTTCTCCAAAGGCCACTCCAAGCTTCTCACAGGCCTTGGACAAGGGACTGGAACAACCTTCACCACCTGGGCCAGGTTGCCAGTGGAGTGCCCTTGCTGCGCTGCCGGCTTCTGGGTCAGAGGAAGTCCAGGTGTGGCGGGAGTAGCGAGCTTCCAGAGATTCGCCTAGGACCGTCTTGAACTCTTCTAGACGTCGAGGGGAGGAAGGGCGAGTGCGGAGGAGGGTACTGAGGTGCGAAGCGGCAGAGGATACTTCGGCGTGCATGTTGAGGGAGCGATTGAGAGGGAGAGGTGTGAGAGCGAGGTAGCTAGCAGGGGATGAAGTTCTAGCAATGCTTGCAGGGGATGTGGTAGGCTGAACGATAGGATGCAGTAGTGCGATGAGATGCTAGTCGTTATGATCGTCGGTACTGTTACTGAAGAGTAGTCACTGTACTAGAGGTCGTAATGAAAGAGTGAGCGTATGGCGTGCAGAGCAAGTAGCTGATCAAGTAGAGATGGTGTGTAGGTATGCTCTACGCTTGATTGGCCAGCGGAGCGAGGGGGATAAGAGGGAATGTGGTCGCAAACCTGTGCAAGGGTTGTGGTATCGTAAGGAGAGTGAAGAGCAAGGAAGAGCAAGTGAGGATGATGGTGAATGACCAGTGGGTGGGGAGTAGTGAATAGTGAGCGTAGGGAGGGGAGGGGGAGGGGGAGGGGGATGCAATGCAAGACAGAGTACGATGGACGAGGACAGCGAGCAAGAGATGGGAGATGGGAGATGGGAGATGGAGATGGAGAATGATGATGGAGGGAAGCAACGACGTCGACGAGGAAGAAGTGAGTGGTGGTGATGGCCTCAGGCAATCACTCACTCACGAGGCGTCTGTCGATTTGGAAGCCAGATGGAATGGACTTCCTCGAGGGCCATCAGGCCAGCGAGACTCCTCCCTCCCCTGTGCGTGCGGGCCCCTTGGCTGGGAAAGGTGTGGATGAATGTGTGCAACTCTACCCTGCATCCTCCTCAAATGAGCGGGGAAAGGCGAGGGGGCAGTAAAGGAGCGAGGGAGGGAGGGAGTGGGTGAGGGAGTAGCATCAAGCGAGCCCAGGCAGGCAGGCAGGGCCCAACCCCCCTCGTCCACCCACAACACCCACCCCCCCTCCCCCTCCGCACACTGCTCCCGCACCGCCCCTGCCTGAAGCTGCACGGCACAAGGGCACGGCACGCGTCGCACTGCCATCTGCATCTGCACTGCACGCCACATATCCAACACATCAACACTTCCCAAGTTCCACACTCCGATTCCACCACAGAGAGAGGGCGCAGAACACCTCACCTCACCTCACCTCACTAGACTACGCACAGTCCAATTGTCAATGCACAGAAGAAGAGAAGGATTGGTAAGAGCGGGGAAGGGGAGGGGGAGGGGGAGGGAGAGCATTAGATCCCGGCCTCACTCGCTCGTCGTGGAGCAAAGGGTCATGTGGAGCGTAATGGAGTGGTATGCAATCCAGCTGGGAAGGAGGGAGGAGGAGGAGGAGGAGCAACCACTGGAGTCGAGCACACCGGTAAGGATGTCGATGCCACTCCAGAGCTTGTACTGCTTTCCAACCACCAACCTCCAATCTCCAATTTGAAACAGCTTCGAAAGGCAGACGTCAGAGACCACATTCATGGAAAGAAATTCATTCGTATTGGCTTGCTGGCTGCAGGAGAGAAGCCAGTCTCCCCGCGCTGAGCACGAATCAATGGATGGTGGAAATCGAAGACCAAAGGACATTTGTAAAAGGAAGCAGTAAAGGATGGATGGATGGGACGGACGGATGGATGGATGGACAGCTTCTGTTACCCGAGGCCCATTCCGAGATCTGCTTTGAAACACGTATGCTACGAAGGAGCCTGGTCATAGGCTCACGGGTATAAGAAGGGCGCGCGAGATGGACGGCAGCAGCAAAGCAGGGAAAGCAAAAGGGGACGTGTCGTAAGGGGTCATGGGTCGTGAATGAGAATGATGACGAGGTGCCGCGAGTGAGGGAACAGTCGCGGGCCAGCCGTCATCTGTCGTGAGGAGATGCTTGACCTGACGAGATGCTTGACGTGACGATCAAAAACGTCGTGGGTAGAGGTCCCTGAAAATCCAGTGTATTGTACAGGGGGCGCTTCACCCTCGTTCACCAGACGCTGAGCTTGATGGGACCGAATAGGCTCAGGTTCCAAGGGTTGGCCTTCTTGCTCTTGTACATCTTCAGATTCTTGACAACGCCTTCATCGAGGCCTCCGGAGGGACTAAGGGCCTTGAAGGCAGCCTTGGTCAAGTCGACGTGGTTGTCGTTGCAGCCCGCACAGTCGTCTACCCTGCGCACAGTGACGCACTTGTGAGGCTTGACGTCTTCGTTGCAGAGGTCGATGAACTCGCCACAGGCTGGGCCATCCTTCCATCCAGTGGCGATGGCGCCGATGTGGGCATTGCTGGTCGGGTCCCAACTGCCGGTGCCGCAAGCGGGGTTCAAGAGGTCTTGGCTTGCGTACCAGGTGACCATGATCTCGCTGGACATGAGCTCGCCCTGGGAGGAATTGGTCGACGTGGAGGCAGCCTTCTTTGCATTGGAATGGGACTTGGTCTTGGTAGTCTTCTTTGACTTCTTGGTGCTGGTGCCACAAGAGGCAGCAGCGCTTCGTCGCCTGACCAGAGTGGCGGCTAGCTCGTCTTCACCGGCAGGGTCGCCTCCGTCATCGAAGATTTGAATGACCTTGCCATCATCGTCGTAGAAGTCCTCACGCTTGAGAAGAGCGTCTGCTTCGTCCTGGAGCTCGTCGACCTCGTCGGAGGCATCTGCAGCATTGTTGAGGAAAGAAGCAGAGTTGGCGCCCTTCTCCAGGGCAGAGCGGATTGCGATGTGGTTGTTGGGCTTGTGAAGACTTGCGTTGGCGGATGCTGCAAGTGTGACAAGGGCAGCAAGGGCTGCGATGGTGATGGAAGACCGCATGGCTGTTGAGGAGTAGGTGCTCTGAAGCAGAAGAGGTAGATGTGTAGAGTGAGTAGTGGGTAGCTGAGCTGTGAGACCTCGTATCAAACGAGGGGGTTGAGCTTGAGTGGTGGAAGGGCGTTCGGCTGAAGTGACAGTGAGGTAAGTCTTGGAGTATGGAATGAATCAAGAGAGTGGTGGGGGGGGAAGGGGTAGATGAGGTCGATGTGGGGGGAATGGGTAGTCGTACGAAACAGTCTTGACGGGACAAAAGGGGCGAGGAGACGGCAGACAGGAGGCTCTAAAGACGAGGCCGGAGGACGGAACACTCGTCCGAACAAAAGAACACTGGACCCGCTCGCTTCGCACCACCCACTACCCACAGGCGACGAGGGCGTAGGGGCGGAGGCCCAATCGTGCGAGCAATCATCTTCCGTCGCCCGCGTTACCCCTCGCCGTCTTGTCCGCATGGCCCACCCACACCCACTCCACTGTCTCACCTCACCTTACATCACACACGCCCCTGACCTCCCCCCTCGCGCCGTGCATCTTGTCCCGCGGCTGTGCATCACCACTAGGCAGCAAAAGAGCAATGGCAAAGCGTAACAGCAAATGCCTCGCTACCAAAGTGCAGCTACTCTACTTTCCCCCTTTCCTCTTCCTCTCCTCTTGTCCTCCACCCCCCTGACCTCACCTTGAGGTGCGTCACAGCGCGCGTGATGCATTCAAGATGGCAATCTACGCCCGCACCGCACCACCTATGCGCCCCCGCCGCCGGCAAGTCAAGCTCCGCACCCGCTCGCACGTACCGCCGGCTGAACCCTCCCTTCGGACATCGTCGCCCCGCATCGTGTTCCTTTTGCAGGAAGGAAAGCGCGTACGACTGGTCACCCCTCGATCAGTCATTCGTCTTCAGTCGCCCCCTCCAAGAGTGTCCCCGTCTCAGCGTCCGCTTCGCTTTCGGCTTACGCCTCTTCCCTCCCAGGAACTTCTTCTACTCATTTGAGCCCCGTGACTTCTTCCCCTTCCGTCCGTCGTCCAGTCACCGACCTCTTAGTAAAGGCCCCTGTCTCCCTCTCCCCCTCACTTACTTTCTAGTCTCCCATCAGAATCCCACAAACGATGTCCAAGCTTGCAACCTCCTCAGAGCCCAGGGCATCGTGATATCGGATCTAGATGATTTCGTCAATAACCGGCACCCATCGAAGTAGATGCCATCCCCGGCGAACCTTATGGATCTGCCTCCAGCAAGAAACACCAGCGCCGGAATATCTTCGGCTTGAGTCTTGACTGTGCCGAGAAAGGCCATCTGGCCAGGCACTGTCCCCGCTTCCAAAGCAACGCCCTCAACTTGCCGGACACAGTGAGGGACGACACGCTTTTTAGGAAGCGTCTACTTCGAACGAGGCGAAGTAGGCGCCACGATCACTTCAAGGTCCGTTACTCAGGAGCAGCCTAGGATGGGGCGACAGGAGCATGTATTGGTCCTCGTCTTTACATCCATTCCGACTTTCTTGCCTTGGTTGATACCGGCTCAGAAGCCAATTTTCATCGACGAGGCGCTCGTACGGAATCACCACCTTCCGACCTGTCCTCTGCATGTCAAGCGAAGGTTCTTATCTATGAGAGGCATTTCTCTCGATGCCCCTTGCACAGAGTTTGAGACCCTCGTCGTAGATGTCCATGGCCACCAGGAAAGCCACCCTTTCATTGTCACCAAGCTCGATCATTAGATGATGCTGGGTCAGCCCTGGCTCGCAAAGCACGATCCTACGATTCGACACAAAGTTCCCTCTCTCAGATCCGGATCCAATGACTGCCTCGATAGCCGTCTTTGGAGCGAGACTCCCTCGAAGTCGAGTTATGACCATAGACAAGGAATCTCTGCCAGCAGTTCAGCTGTCATCGCCGCCGCTACCAAGCAAAGTTTCACACTACAAGGCCCATCGGTCAAGAGTCCCACCGTGACATTCGTCAGCGATAGGTCCTTACACTTCATACTCACCAACTTACTCTCGTCGAGACAGTATAAATCCACGAAGCGTGCCGGGTAGGTGTCTGCAGGGGGATGGACTATCACCCCCCGTCCTGTTGTGAACGACAGAGCCGTCGAGAAGGGGAGAGACGAAAGGCAGTGCCACCGTGCTACCACATATACCCTAGAGTACTAGCATACAGTAGACTATGGCACAAGATCATCAATCTCATTGCTTGACACCATAAGTGTAATACAAACGCCGTGCATAGAGGACCCGGAAGCGTTCGCAGAAGAGGGCAGTATGTTACCAGCCTCATCTGTTCCCATCTTTCCTCCCCTCCCTGGATCCCGGGGGAGCTCCTTCTACTGAGACTGAGCCTCATGACTTCTCCCCTTTTTCCACTCATCGTGCAATTCTCACTAATCTCTGAGGACCAGCTCCTGTCTCCCACTCTTACCTTTGCCTATTTCCTAGACTCACTCTACACTCCACGCTAGCGGGGCGCGCCGTCGAGCTTTTGGTTTTGGTGAATTGCTCCCCGCATATGCTACATCTCCCGCTCGAGCATGTGAGGAATCTTTTGAGAGTTGTGGATCTCAGCTATAGGTTCAAGTAGTGGGCAGTCTGTGACGCGTTATGCGGGAGGTCGTAGAGCCGTCTTCGTCTCTCGCTATACCCCAAGTGGCTGTGCTTCTTCTGAATAGAGTATCTTTTGGGGGTTAATATCGAGACAGGTTTGAGGATCATGTACAATGCCGGCACGCCCGCCTCGGCAATCTCGCCTCTGTCTTTGTCTTCTCATCCAATCTCTTCTCTGTGCTGACCATCCCGCTCTAGGTGTGTACTCCCATCATCTTATCCCAGATCTCACCCAACCACTGCAGTCCCGACCCATCAAGACGCTTATGCAGCGCCACTCTTCGCGCCGGGTCCTCACCCTCTCCCAAACCCTCCCCTAATCCACTCGCCCCTAAAGCCGTACCACTCCTACTTCCAGGGGGCAGCCCTGCAAAGGCACTTCTCCGTGTACTACTGCTGGCTCCGACTGCTCCAAGTCCAGGGAGACGATCGGAAGAGATGAGAGAGGAGAGGGAAAGGGCACGAGCGCTTTCTCTGTCGCTCTTGGGAGAAGGAAAAGCCGCTACGCTTCCACTGGCGAGCATCTTGCCTCCGCTTCCCGCTCCCGCTCCCGCTCCTGCTCCTGCTACTGCTCCGGCACCGCATCCAGCTCCTTTGAGCCCTGCGCTCAGCCCCGCGCCTGGGAGGCTAGCATTGACAGACCGTACCACATCCGTGACTACCACTAGTAGGTCATGCGCAGGATGAGGTCCTGGTGCCACCTCACACACTCGACTGAAGAGGGCGTGGCCTAGCGTCAGCAGTTTGAAGAGGAGCGAAGAAGGAGCGGCCTTCTTGCCTCTAACACCGCCGGGGAGGGGAGAGGCACCATTTGAAGAAGAAGAAGAGGGCTTGCCGTACAGGGCGGAAGAGGATGAGGAGATGGAGCTAGCTGGAGAGGAGGAGGGGGAGAAGATGAGGGCGCAGTCCTCTGCGTGCGAAGGAAGACTCACACCGTGATCAGCTGAGGTATTTGGAAAGGAGAGCCGTACGTCCGTCCTGACCACACACTCACCATCTATACGACCCCGTATATAGCACAAGGCGAGAAAGACGACTGCGAAAGTCATTGTGACCCAATACGAATCCACTGCAAAGCACAATTTGCGTACCGCCTCATCATCAATTTTCCAATCCTTTTCCTCTTCCGGAAAAGAAGTTGGGATATGGTGCTTGAGTCCTGGCAGGTACTGCTCAGCCGAGACGGTATAGGCTACGAGTATACGGGCTGCAGCGGTCAGACTCTGGTCGAGTGGCTCGACGAAGCTATACTGCAGGTTACGAGTGGCACTCGTGAGAGGTGTAGAGAGGAGAGGTCTCAACACAGAACTGTTGATGGCAAGACGATACCACCGTAGAGAAGTAAAAGGCATTTGATCATGCCTGATACGACGTTCCCGTAGACGTAATGCCCAGACCTTTTCCCATTTATCCAGCTCTGCATTGAAACGCTCTAGCACACCACGGGAAATGTCCTGCAGGAGACCAGCTCGGGGAATAGCGCGCTGGGCAATTGCCGCCAACTCCAGCAGGCCCGCAACCCTTACGTCCTCATCAGAGACGCTCAGTCCATGTTCGGGAAGCACCAGAGCAGTCTCGGCAGCCGAGGCGGCATGCGTGGAGGGCGGGAATCCCGAGGTGAGCATTAGATTTGCATCGCAGGTGAGGAGATTGTGCCAAGTCTTGTAGGCACGTCGTTGTCCCTTCAGACCTTCAAAAGGGGGTAGAGAAGCTGCCTCGAGCCCAATCGAGTGGGCATATCGACCTACGAGTCCGAGCAAGGAGCCAGCACTGATTTCGCTGTACCGACTCTCGTATCTTTGCGTGGCCGTGCGCACCATTGGCATCCATTGCGCCGTGATGAGTAGGGCTTGCACAGATGCCAGGGTGAGATGCTCCGAAGTAGGTCGCAGCAGCAGCTTCGAGAAGCTCTCGTCCAAGAGCTCGATGAGAGCATCGTAGTTGGGATGAGCAGTCATCTCATCGAGACCGGGGGTGGCTTGCCATAGTCTGGCGCCCACACAGCAGATTGCAAGGAAGAGAATCGGTCGCTTGCGAAGGATGGATAGGCTGTAGAGCATTTCTTCGTCTAGTAGAGGAGCCATGAGATGGCAGGACGAGGCATATCTGGCGTTTGCAATTGTGTCGCATTGGTCAGATTTCAGCTCCGTAGCGTTCTGTAGCAATGCTCTTCGGTGAAAAAGTCGTCTGTATTGCACTCACGTTGCAATACACTGCGAAGCATCATCTAGCGGCAGTACACCCCTGCTTACAGGGTCGAATGAGGAGGATGCAGATGAAGGAGACTCGACAGCTCGTCCCCTCCAGCCATCTTGCGAAATTGCACCTAGTGATCTCAAGGTAGCAATGGGCGCGTCGAGCTGCAAACTCTCCACGCCAATTCTGGACTGGCTACTGGAAGAGCGTGGAGATGATGCACTTTGAGGTCGCTCGCTCTTGCCGCCGATGCCGCTAGCTTCACCAAGTGCTTCCACTAGATTCGGGAGAGAGCGGCTATCCATGCTTGCTAGCTCTGCATCTTCCCTGCGCTTCACATTGGTAGGTACAGACGAAGATTCACTCCGCCGTGGGAGTGCAGACGGCCCCGCCAGCTGCTCTTCCAAGGCTCTGATTCGTAGCTCGTGCCGCTGCATCTGTCTGAATAACATTGAGATGTCATTGGATCCTACATTGGGAGCAATGGGCGCTGGACCCTGGTCATCGGCTTCTTGAAAGGAGCAGTCGAAGCGGTTCCGAAGACAGCGCTTGCAAGGAGCGTGCGGATCCTCTTCGTTGACTGTGTCGACGATGCACTTTTGCTTTCGAGACCGGCACTGTCAGGTAGTGAGGGAAGAGGCCAGTCCGTCAAGGATCAGGGCTTGGTATCACCTCCTGCGCCACGCCACATACTCACCTGCAGGCATGCTCGTCCCGTCCGCCTGGGTCTATCCAACAAGCTGCTGGCGTCTCTAGACCTTTGCTGATGTGCAAGATGGGAGTGTTGTTGCTGCTGATGTTCATCAGCCTCAAGCTGATCCGTCTCATCTGCAGTGGGTCTACTACGTTTCTGTTGTCTGACTGCCTCGGGCGAAGAAAAGGTGCCGGAAGAGGATGAGGTGGAGGGTCCTGCGTAGGCTATCCGCATGGGTGGAGACGATGAGATGGAAGGGAGTCTCTGTCCAGCCATTGCGGCGGTGAGCGACCCTATTTGGACGAAGACAAAGAGAGAGGGACACAATGAAGGAGAAGGAGGAAAGGAGGAGGATATCCTAGTCGTGCGGGGGTGGCGGCGATGCTATCCTCGCGTTGTTTCTATTCCGAGTCATTGCCAGGTAGCGAGCGCAGGCAACTTTTCCCCCAGAGTCAGACTCTGGGTGGGTAATCTCTAATCTCCTTACTTCGGCCGTGCGTGCGTGCGTCCTTTTGGTCCCCGGCGTCGGCCCGCCATTTCCGGCTGGCCTGAAACCGCCCCGATTGATCGGACAGATGATTGCCCTTTCCCCGCACCTCGGAGACCCGTGTGAGGGGACGACACCGTACCATTGCTTTGGAGGTCTGGCGTGGCCTTGAGATCTTGCCTGTCACGATATCTCTAGATGAGGATAGCGAATTTGGAGGCTGGCAGTCACGCCTTGCGGGGCAGTCGGGTGCTATGGTGGCTTGCCCTCGATTTACCGGGGCGTATAGGCGATTAGATATCGGTGTGGAGCCTTCTGGAGGGCCGAGAAGCAAGGGCAGCAGGTCTACAGCGTCTGGAAGCAGAAGCAGAGAACATTTCCAATGCCTCGCTAGAGTGTTGGCATGAGGCAATGAGTACTCCTCGTCATTGACCTGAGGTGGCTTACGTGGTGCAGATGAAAATGGCCCGCACAGCATCAGACTCAAGTCTAGCGTGAATTCTGTGACACAAGCAAGTATGGTAATGGAATCGAGTCACGATGGAAGCGGGAGCTTTGCTCTCTCACACATAAAAGGCATACTGGCTCTGACAGAATGGCAAGATAGGCTAGGCTGCTCGGATCCCCGGGAAGGGACATGGGAAGGGATGTGACTATGAGTTGCTGGGACATAAGGCGTCAAGGCCTGACTTTGCGCCATCTCGATGTGATAAGAGTGTAGGCTGCGCTGGCACAGCGTCGACTATCTCTCTACCTAGTTAGTAGTGGAGAAGGGCAAAGAGAGGAAGGGGGAAGGGGGGACTGAGCGTGCCGTGGCGGTGCTGCCTCGTAGGCGGCTAGCAGCGGCCCATGCCTCGCCGCCCACGTTGTGTGAGGGACTCGGGTGAGGGAGAGCGATGGGGGCGGGACGGGAAGGCGAGGCATTGAGGCAGGCAGAGTAGCCGAGGGGAAGGTGCGCGCAGCGTGGAAGTTGATTGGCGTGAGCGTGGAAGCGGGCGGAGCAGGGAGCGCATCTCAGTCACTTGGGCGGGCGGAGGAGCCTGGGCGGGCCAGTCTAGACAGGCGCATGTGCTTGTGTGTGCGTGCGTGCGTGCGGGTGGCCGTGGGTTGCTCTCCCTTAGCTCCACCTTGAGCGCCCCGTGCAGGTCTAGTAGCCTCTGCCCGGGCTGAGACAGTCGGTCATGCCGGGGCCACGGAGTGAATCCTGCAACAGCTTATCGCTTTCACCATCCACCCACACCTCACCTGACCTTGCCCAACGCCCCTGCGCTCCCGGCCACCTCCCCGCCATCGTCACCGTTCATCGTCACCGTATACTTAGCCGTCACCCATCAACTCCAGCAACCTAGCCTCCCCCACTGCTTCCCAACCCCCCTCGTCCTCGCCCCTGCTCCCTCTCAACCTTTGCTCTAGCCAAGTCAATAACACACAGACCACCCCACCCCAACCAGCCCCTTTCCGTCTCTATATTGGCTCGCTGCCCCCGCTCTCATCGCAATTTCCACGTCATCGTCCGCCGGCCACATTCGTGTGCTCACTGCCACACATCACAACATCCCATCATCCTTTAAGCCCATACCACCAAACACCGCCTTCTCATCATGATTCATTAAGCACCTTTCCGGCTCTGCCCCTCCTCCCGCTCCTTCACCATCGCCCACTGATGACTCTAAATCGCTCTGTCAATCAATCTCCATCGGCCACCCCGTCGATTCGGAACAAACAACACACCAACACGATTCAGACAGCAAGACCAGGACCTCGGCGCCAAACAAAGTCATTATATGCCCTTGTCTCGTCCATGACATAGCACATCGCCAGTCCCATCCACACGCCCCGGGTAGTCTTTTATCTTGCCCAGATACAACCACTCGTCTAGTGTCTTCTCTTATTGCTCTCGCCCCTCGCCATACCTGTGAAGATCAGGGCAAGCCAGAAACTCCTTCCAAGTCTGCCTATCATCTATTACGCCTCCGTCACCTGTCCCAGTCCCCCTTTGGCGGCCACTCAACGACTTCCAATATGACTGGAACGGGCAACAAGGCCTCTCCCGCTCATCATCGTTTGGCTGATCAAGATGCAAATTGGAGGAGACCCCGGTCTCCTGCATTGGCCATACCTGGCGCCAATGGTCCCTCTCAAGACGACCGTATCAACACCTCCGGACACAATATCGGTTCGTCGAAGCCGGTCAAACTGAGCATGTCACTGGGAGACAGAGGCAGCGGAGCCGGTTCGTCTTTGGCCAGAAAGTCTCCCTTTGGCGCTGCCAGCTCAGCCGAGCAGGCGCCGTCCCCTCGCAACCACCGTACACACGCTTCCTCCGCAGACGAGAGGCAGAACACCAGCCTCAGTGGCCGCAACCATAGTGGCGTTCATCACAACAAGGATGCTAGCACAGCAGAAAGCTGGAGATCACATCATGCCCGCATCAACGAGTCGTCGCAGTCACTCTTGGGCACTAGCCTTGGAAGTCCTCACCACCAGCGCAGACATGTAGGCTTCGTTGCTGCTTCCAATGCCAGCGAGGTCGCTAGGAGAGCATTCATTGCCAGTGAGATCGGCAGCATTGGAAGCCCTTCCAAGAGTGGCTCATGGGGCAAGCCCGAATCTGGTCCCAGCTCAGCCTCGACAATTCCAGCGAGGTCACCGCTGGCAAACAGCTTTACTGGCCGGGAGGAACATCAGCCTCGGTCAAGTGTGGGAGGAGCGGGTGGCTCATTGGGACCTCCAGTCAATCTTTTCCCTCTGCGTGTGGCCGGCTTCGATGCCATGAAGGAGGAGGAGGAGGAGCCTCCCGCACAGCGAGACGATTGGGCCGAGACGCCAACGTCCAGTCTCCCATCCCTTCCCGGCAGTCCATCTTGGGCACCACCATCTTCGGACAGCAAGCCATCGAGGACTCCTGTCGTCTCTCTATCGCCGCCTCTGCGAACACCTGCGGTCCAGAGAAGTCTTGGCATCGCCGGCGCTGCAGGTAGAGGCTCATCGCCCTCTCCGGCAGCAAACCCCGAGTCTGCTCTGTCCTCTTCTTTGACGACGAATTCAACCATGCGATCCCCGCTAGCCAGAGCAATCCTTAGTGGCAGCCCAGCAAGGGCCCCACTATCTCTCGGTGTTGCGTCTTCGTCCCTGGAGAGTTCGGCACTGCACTTGGCCGGGGCAGGTGAAAAGGGTGATCGCATTACTGCTCAGACCCCTGTGACTGCCACACCTTCACGATTTAGACATTCGGTCGAGCCGCCGTCACAGGCACCCGAATTCGAGGGCGAACTCTACAGCCAGCTCCCCGAGCTTCCCCGCCGAACACCTGTAAGACGAGAGTCAGGCCAATCGCTGTCCTCACTGGGTGGTCACGGGCTTCAACATTCAAGGCGCGAGTCATCGAGCAACTTCTCGTCACCTTCCGCTGCTTCAGTCACATCCTCACGACAGGTCTACGGAGGGGTCTACAGGCCACCCCACCTGCGCAACCAAGGCTCTTCCAATGGGCTGAAGCCAGTCGTCGCCCATTATGACCGTATCCGAACGCCATCTTTGCGAGGATCCCTGCGCTCTCCGGAACCACCCTATACCAGGCCTTCTTCCAAACTGAGCGTAGAGCCTTCGTACGCCTCAGTCAACGCGCCTGGCTTCTTTGAAGGTGGCATTACCTCTGCTCGCGTCGCATCCCCTCGCCCGGCGATCGACTCGCAGCGCCGGCCTGCTTCCAATGAGAGGCCCAGCTACTTTGAATCCTACCACCAACGCTCTCGACCTGACTCGGTCGCTCGCAACATCCTCGTTGAACAAGACGAGGAAGAGAGCGAAGAGGAGACGGATCAAGAGGATGAAGACGACGGCGACGAGCGCATCGACAAGCGTCCGTCCATGCTGTACCATCTCAATGAGGACAACGAGAGTCTGCCGGCCCTCGAGGACGACTTTGATCTCACTCATGAGGACATGCTACAGCACAAGACGTCCCTCACCGAGTCGTACTGTCGCTCGCGCGCTGGGCGAATGTCGGCCGCCTCCGTTGCCTCTAGTGGCTATCAGATTGGCAATGGCGTACCGGTAGTCGACATCTTCGAGGTCGGCGATCGCCTGGGGCCTGGCATGATTCACGATGGACACCCGATCACTATTGCCCAGACTACTGATGGTTTCCAAAGCCAGCAGCGAGACGTGACTGGTACCAGGCTGGAGGTGAAGAGCAAGCTCGGAGAGGGCAGCTATGCAGTTGTCTACCTGGTCGAAGAGGTGGCGGCTGATGACGGGCAGATCCATGTTGGCCCCCGCGACGAAGAGGGTCTCCTAGCCGGCAAGAGAGGAGGCAGGGCTATCGCAGGCTACGGCGATGCTGAGAGCCGTAAGGGCGACGATGGTGGCGAAGCAGATGCCACATTTGCTGATACTACAATTGCTGGAACGCTGGTCCAGGATGCTGAGACGGGTGAAGTTAACTATAACGGTGGCGAGCTGAGCTCGACCCTCCGCGCCACCAGAGGTGCTCGTCAGTCTCTTGCCAGTCGAGCAGCAGAAGAGGAGGAAGCGGAGCAGAGGCAGGAAGCAGCTGAAGCCGAAGCTCGCGAAGGATTTTGGGACTCGCAAGCTCTACCGGGCATCGACGAGCCGCACGAAGGCAGGCTATTTGCCCTCAAGTGTCTGTGCAAACGTGACCTCTCTGAAGAGATGCTCGAGCTGCAACGTCTTGAAGCAACCATCCACCAGTCCATTCCTCCACACAAGAACATCATCACACTTTACCGAACCTACGAGACCCCCGAGTGGCTCTTTTTGGTGCTGGAGTACTGTCCCGGTCAGGACCTCTACTATTGGCTGGAACAGGCTCACGACGTGGATGGCGAGAGCGAGGAAGCGGCTCAGGCAATCGTCCGAGCTCATCAGTCGACGGGATTGGCTTACACTTCAGAGGACCGGGACGAGAGCGGAGACGGCACTATCTCGCCTGATGGCACACCACCTTCTCCATCCCTTCTTGCATCTACCTCCAATGAGGGTTTGCTGTCTAGGAAGAGGCTGAGACTAATCAGCAAGATGTTTAGGCAAACCTGCGAGGCGGTGCAATTCTGTCATGATCGAGGCATAGCTCATCGCGATCTGAAGCCAGAGAACCTCATCGTCTACGATCGTCGTGGGGAGCTGGAGCAGCAAGGTGAAGAAGAGGAGCAAGAAAGCATACGCGATGAAGTCAGCAGTATCGGGAGCAGTGGAGGATCGAGGCGACCGCCATCGCGAAGAATCTCGTCGGCTTCTTCAACGTCTATGAGCGTCCGAAGTATGAGTAATTCCAGCTTTGGTTCTGTGGCCCAGAACACCGCCACGACCACCCCCGAAGCCGCAAAAAGTACCACTAGAGCCGGCTCCTCAGCGGTCATTGTCAAGCTCACCGACTTTGGTCTGGCAACAGCCGATGCCGAGTGTCGCGACTTCTCGTGCGGATCTCGGCCCTACATGTCACCAGAGTGCCACCTCAACCTCTCCGAGTCGTACGACCCCTTTCAGGCGGACGTTTGGTCACTTGGAATTGTCCTCTTGAACATGATCTTCCATCGTAGTCCCTTCAAGGAGCCCAATTCGGAGCGATGCCCTAGCTTTGCATCCTACTGCTACGAGCCTGTGGAATTCCTGATGAGGGGCTTTGAAGGACTTACGAGAGAGAGTGCAGAGTTCCTCAGCACGAGAGTACTGTGCAACGTCGTCCCCTCGCCCTTCACCAATGATCCTGAAAGGGAAGGTCAAGCTTCAGTCCTGGCTTCGCGCGTCAACAAGCGTGTCACACCACGGGAGTTTGCTCACTGGGCAAAGGACCTCGCGAAGCACTTTGGTCTCAAGAGGAGTCAAGATGGTGGAGGAAATCTGACCGCTCGTGGCTTCTCGGCCGACTTCACCAGCCCTTTAGTCCACTCCCGAGCGGCTAGCTTTGCAAGTCGCTTACCGTCCATGTCCGCCTCTGCTGCAACCATCGGCGGAGGTCGAGCAGGCGACGAGTCTCCCCTTTCCAATGGCAATACGGATGGTCGTCGCAGTCGAGGGGAGAGCGAGGAGTCTTCCCAGTCTTCCATCTTCGAGCGAGGTTTCAGAGAATCGCCACGCTCTTCCCCCGCGCCCACTTCGGATTTCTTACAGACGCCGAGCTTTTCCCCTCCTTCCCTTGCAAGGGGGAGATTGGCGAGCCCGCTGAAGGGAACTACGGCGGCTACGAGCGTCTCGACGGCTAGAGGGACGAACGCCTCACCTGCCTCTGGCTCTGCATCTGCGTCTGCTTCTGCTGATGGTCATCTCTCCCCTTCTCGACTAGGAGCAGGAGGAGAGGAAGGCAACACCGGCGCGCTAGGTCTCGCACTCAGCCCTTCGGGCTCTACCTCCCCCTCGCCATCACCAACGCCTTCCTCGGCTTCGGCTTCGGCGATTGCGCGACGCAGGAGACTTCAGCTTGATGGAGTAGGTGCAGGTGCAGCGGCGGACGCTACGTCTGCAGAGATGAGCGCTTCGGGGAGTGCCAGTGGCAGTGGCAGCGGGAGTGCAAGCGCGAGCGCTAGTGGTCGAGGTGCTGGTGCTGCTGGTGCTGCTGGAAGAGGACGCGGGGCGGCTAGAAGCTCATTTACCGTCTCGGAGGTGCTTGCGAGGATGCTGGAGAGGGAGGTGAGGGTTTGATTTGAAGGAAGGAGGGGTGGTACAGAGAGGTTGTTGATGATATGCTGATAGCGAGCGTCGAAGATATTACAGGAAAAGTGATGGATAACTTGTTAAATATAGAACGAAGAGAAAAGAAACGAGAAAAAATGGGTCACGAAGTAAAGGAAGGAAGGAAGGGCTCTGGAGAACTGGTCGGCTAATTATCCATGGAGGGAGGCTATTGAGTAGGAAACGAGACAGGGACGGAACAAGAAAAGGAAGCACAACTGAAAGGAAGCGAAGTAAATGGCAATCAATTTATCCAATTCAGCGATCCATCGTTGTGCTAGTGCTGCTACATAACGGTACTGCCATTGCCCCAGTTGATTGTCAAAGGGGCTTCCGTGTCTTATGTCTGGAAGATGCATTGCAGGCCGAGCCAAGCCAGGTCAGGTCAGTGTACAGAAGGGGGCGGGGTACATAGCCTAGCAGAGCATAGCATAGCATGGCATGGCAGGGCATGGCATAGCATAGCATCGGGTCGTCGTCGCAGTCTCAGTGCTTAGCGTGTGTGCCAAGTCATGCGTGCTTGCGTGCTTGCGTATCCGCCTGTGTGGCGGGTATCGGGTGGCTGTGAGCCGGTACGGTACGATACTTCAGCTGAGCCCGGCTTGGCAGGGCACGGCAGGGGCAGTGCGAATGCTCACTCGCAGTGCGCCGAAGTTTCGTACCTGGTATCTCGCACCTGGTATCTCTCCTCGCCCTTCTGTGTTGTCTATCTTGAGCGGCAACAAGGCTGAGCAGGGCAAGCAGGCTGTCCAGCCAGTCGGCCGCTCGCTTAATTGTCCTGTCCTGTCCAGTGACTCGCCCTCGAACCTCGGCTAGGAGGGACCGGCTACGCACAGCCGTCTTTGCTGCCGCTTTTGGTCCGATCCGATGCTTTTGCCCAGAGTCAAATTGACAGGCCGACGGACGAACAGGCGGACGGACATCGGAGCTCCTGAGTCTTACTCGCGCCCACCTCAACTCACCCCACGTCACGGAGGGCCAAGGGTCCATAGATCGTGTGCTCCCTTTCCTTGCTTGGTATCTTACCGTACATCGACATTGACCTCAAGCAGCAGTACCAGCAGCAGCAGCAGCACTGACGCATATACCCAAAGCCACTCGAACCGTCTACGCAACGCACGCTTCGTTCAATTCGCGTGACCGCCCTGGCAACCACCTCGGGCATACCTTGCAGATCCATCGCCATCGCCTCTCCTACCCACGATCCTCTGCTTCAGCTTGTCCAGCCTGCGCATCTCGCCAGGCTATAAGTAGCCATGCCCATGGCCAATGTCGCTCCCACACCTCCTCTCTCCTCTGCTCAGCCAGATCCCATTTTCTCTCCTCCAGCTCTAGAGCCACCCTCGCAAGCCTTTGCCTCACGCCCACCTCCGCCCAATGTACCAGCAGACGTGGCGTCCAATGCAATACTCTCTGCCTTCAAGATGTCCCTCGAGGAGGTAGAGTCCTACCTCGTTGCCCTCGAGGCTAGGATCAAGTGCGAGGAAGAGTACGTCAGAAGTCTACGCTCCTCCCTCGAGCGCAGTAGAGAGCAGGATCTGAAGCTCGACGCACGCATCTCCTCCATCACTTCTTCTGCTTCATCTTCCTCTTCGACACTTGGCCCTCCTGCTGCCGTGACGAGTCAGCTGCCGGGCATGAGACGGGCTTGGAAAGGACTGCAGGACGACGCTCAAAGGCAGATCCATACCCGCACCCATTTCATCGAGGCGGTCAAGGCACACACCATCGCTCCTCTCCGGGCCTTTCACGATGCCCAAGACCGAATACGCCGGAGGATCAAGGAGGACATTCGGAACTCCCTGCTGGACTATGAGGAGATGCGTATGAGAGAGCTCAAACGCATCAAGAGGAATTACGATCGGGCTTGTGAGAATCTGGATCAGCTAAAGGCACAACAGGTTGCCATTGATGAGCAGAGGTCATTGTTGTTGAGCCCGCCCTCGGCTCAGCAGCAGCTCTCTCATGCCCACTACGTAGATGCCAGCAGAGATACCACAGACTCCCATGGCAAGAAGGAAAGTACCCGCATCGGAGAAGAAGGGGCCGCCTACGTGCCTCCCAGTTCTGCATCGAGGATACAGCTATCGCAAAGACGCTTCAGCGGCTCAAAGCTTCGTTCCTACTCTAGACCCACGTCTTCTGGTTCTCATAATGAGCTTCACGCGGGTCAAGCTCATCGGGCTTCTTCGGATCAACATCCCGAGTCCTCTTACTCGCCTCAGTCCTCCAATGACTCCCATGGCGCAGGAGGGGCGACGGCAGCAGCAAAGAAGAATGCAGGAGCCTTTTTCGAAGCACTTCGTCATCGTGATACCTGGGACACGGCTCGAAAGGATGTAGCCAAGAAGACCAATGCCCTCATCACCAAGATGAAGGAAGGACCTGGTTCGCCCCCAGCTTCGAATAGCGGCAGCAGCGCGGGCGTGGGATGGGAGAGGGAGCAAGGAGCAGTCGTTGCGAGTAGCTCGGCGGGTGGGACCTCTGGAGGTCTATTCAGCGGCGTCACTGCGGTGGGAGCGAATGTGGGCGATTTGGGCGCCAATCTCTTGGCTCGTTCCGGTAGTGTGACGGGCAAGAATACGCAGTACGTCCAGAATCTGGCCGTGAGAATCAGCAAGGCTAAGAGGGAGTCGCAGGAGGCTGACAAGGTGAGTCGATCCGTTGTGAGCTAGGCGGCCTTTGTGGAGCACCACTCTGATGCTCAAACTTCACTTTCTTTCTGCTCAGCTTTACCGTCGCGCAATCTTTGATGTTGAGACGCTCGCCCTCCGCCGGGGAAAGACACTTGCGGCAGCTCGGACATCGGTACTAGCATGCCGCCGCGAGCTGTCTCTGGTTTGTCATCATGCTTGGCTCTCTCTGTCACGCAATTGGCAGAACCTCGCGACGACCGAGTCCTCCCTCGCCATGCACTTTGGCGAAAGTCTTCTAGAGCTGGGAGCTTCCGACCGCTTGAACGATGAGCTGTTGACGCTGGACAGTAGACTGCCCATTCTCAATAACGAGTCGGAGGATGGACCAGTACCCTACGTCAACTTCTGGCACGGAGAATGTCGCTCATTGCTGTTTGGCGTCTCGCTAGTGGACTATGACTTTGCCAGAACTCAGCGAGGTGCGCCTCAACTCGCCCTCTCGACGACTGGCGCGCCAGCCCTGGTCCAGCCCCCTCTGATCGTGACCAAGTGCGTTTCTTACATTGAGGAGTATGGTCTGTCCACTCCGGGCATCTACCGCCTCTCTGCTAAACACACGGCTATACAGCAACTCTGTGCCTCCTTTGAGAAGGACGAGGAACGCTTCCAATTCCGCGTTGGGGAAGATGAGGCAGTGGCCGTGGCGGGAGTGCTGAAGCAGTGGCTCAGGGAGCTACCCTCTGCTGTGATGCCCATGCCTCGCGAGGAGAAGATCAAGATCACCCACTCCCTCGAGGAGCAGTTCCAGAACGGCTTTGCGACCCTCAAGGGGAGGATCAGGCGACTGCCGCTCATCAATCAAGTCACACTCAAGACAATCGTGGAGCATCTGGCTGTCATCGCGGCCAACTCTGCCGTCAATCTCATGACGGCCAAGAACCTATCCGTCGTCTTCGGACCCGTACTCCTCACCGAGGCGACCGCAGCCGAAGGAGCTGCAGGCGATGCTGCCGAGGGAGTGACCACGAGTCTTGCAGCGGCAATGGAGGAAGACTCGGTCTGTGAGATCCTCATCACCTACTGTCAAGAGATCTTCGACTTGGAAAAGGCAGGCGCTCCTATTATCCCGCCTCTGCCTACGGAGATTAGTAGTCCCACTGGAAAGAAGGGAGCGGAGAGTGCTTGGGCTGATGAGGTGAGGTCTATTGGAGAGGAGATTGGCGAAGGGGAGCCAATTGAGATGACCGGATCTGAAGAACCAGGGAGTACCACTCGACCTATAGGCGAGGTGTCCTTGGCAATGGCTGCGGCTGTAGGAGGTGGAACTGCAGGAGAAGAAGGGGAAGAGCTCGTCTCCCCCGCATCGGACAGACCTTTAGTCCCACCAGGCACATCAGCTTCAGCTGCTTCTGGTCTCCGGAGAACAAACGCCGTCGTAGTGCCTTCGTCTCTCGAGAGCTCAACGAGCGGAGAGTCTGGGGGAAGCTATGATAGCGCTCCCGCTCCAATTCCTGCTTCTGGACGACGTCCGTCTGGCTTGCAGCTGGAGATTGACACTACCCCCTTGGGAAGAGTGCCTTACTCTAATGGGACGCCCGTAAGCGCTGGTGCTGGTACTGGGGTTGCTTGAGCTTGAGAGAGCAGGCAGACAGAGGAAGAACAGGAGAGAAGGCTCTCTCGACGCATAGAGAGTGGGACACGTAAGACATGGGGCAAGCGTCTGTTGTATTCACGTCTCCTTGCTCCCTTTTGCGTACACACTCTTGTAAATAGTAACGAAGTAATCATGATACACACATGCACGACCTACTCTCTCTGTGATCTCTGTGACGGCTATTTCCATCTCTCTGTTTCTCAAATCGCGTAAACGATCTTCTCTCCCGAAAGCTTCCCATCGCGATGCATCTGGAACCCCTCCTTTACGCTCTCCAATCCCTGCAGCAATTTAACCTGATTAGGTACCAATTTCCCCTCCTTCAACCACTGTGGAATGTTTTCAAAGAGTTGAACACCCAGCGAATGATCCTCCTCTGATGCAGGCCACTTGAGTGGTCCATACGCATGATCAGTCAGAAAGACGGTCCAGACAAGGACGTCTGTCTTGCGTGTTTCCTTGAGGCATTTCTCCGTACCGCCCAGGCCGGGACGGACGGTACAGATTGTTCCATCGCCGACGACTTGGGAGCAGGCTTGCGAGGTTGGGGTTGAACCGATACAGTCGAATGCGTGCTTGATGCTTACTCCTCGTTCCTTGAGAAGCGCAGGAACGTCTTGAGAGCGATAATCTAGCACTTCGTGTGCACCTAGGGAGCGAAGACGCTCATGATGTGCGGGAGAGGCAGTAGTGTACACTTGCAAACCGCGCAGCGCAGCAAGTTGGATAGCGTAGGATCCTACAGAGGAGGATCCACCCCAGATGAGAACGGGCGTCTTTTTCCCATCGTCGTCCTGTGGAATCCCGAGGCAAGAAGAAGAGAATAAAGCCAACTCTGCAGTAGCTGCTGCGAGGGGCAGTGTGCTCAATGCCGCACGGCCGAAGCGAGCTTCGAGCTCCTCATCGATACGAAAGGCGATGCGTGTGTCGGGGAGGATAGTGTGGTGCGAGTACCCTCCAAGACCTTTGTGCTCTCCACCCCAGATTAGACCGGCGAGGAGATCCCCCTTCTGCACTTGGTGGGCTACATCACCAGCATGAGACCCTCCAGCGCTACCAGCAGTGAAATCAATTTCGCCCCCGCCTTGGGAGACCTCCTCGACAATACCAAGGACATCGCATCCCAGTACAGTCCCTTCTCCAAAAGCGTTCGAGTCAAGGGACTGCACATCCGTGGGGTTCTGCGCTACATGACTCAAGGCCAGACGTGCTGCACGGGGTCCATTCGCTCCCGCACTTGAGCTTGAGCCTGAGCCTGAGCCGAGGGCAGGCAAAGTCAAGGGTTGGAGGGCGAGACTGGGTGGTGTTGTTGCAAGCTGAACGAGGGCGCGGGTACTGCTGGATGCACTGTTGTTGCTTGACATGGTTGATCGGTGAAGAGGATTGTGCTTGTGTAGAGATAGTGAGATATAGAGAAGAGGTGGAGCCGAGATGAGTGCGACGCGGGGTAGTCATATAGACCAAGGCCAAGGAGCCAAAGCCCGGCTGGTCGGTCGGTACTGGTTCGCTCGTAGTCTAGAGGACTGCTTTACGGCCGGAAGAATCAGGTGGAGGGAGCAGTGCACGGGCCATGCAGCGGTACTATTCACGGACACTCTACATGGTCACGCACCTGCCCGACCAGAACTCGGCTGCAGCAGCCCTGAACACTTCCTCAGTCAAATTTTCGGTACACCACAGTGTGATCAGAAAGCGAACAGAAGGAGTACTTCATTGGGTGCGTGACGGCTTACGAGACGAGATTAGATATGACTTGGGTACGGACAGGCGAGTCTAGGAGTGCGGGAGGGCGAGACAGAGCAAGGGTTACGCAGAGTGGAATGGACTGAGGGTGGGATGGACGCGATAAAAGCCTTCATCCAGAAGCTTTTGTACCGTAGAACGAGCAGGCTACAGAGTTTGATAAGTATGGTCGAGCGGATTGGTCCTGCTTGGCGTGGAATGTGTGACGGTCGCTCTAAGCCTTGATAGAAGGAAGGGATACCTTGAGGCCCTGTGGAAGTCGATGTGGCAACTTAGTGTCAGCGAGAAATGTCATACACCCTTTTTTCTTCGCCACACTCACCAGCCAATTCTTCCAAAAAGGCCTACCAGCATCATAAGCTACCCTATCAAGTCGAATACCATCCTTGTGTCCAGCAGCCAAGGCATTCTTCCTCCTCAGTAGCGGTTCTTGTTGAAGCTCGATTGTCTTCCTCTCTCTGGAGACCTCCAATACTCGCCTCTTCCTCTCTACGAGGACGTTTGTCTTCTCCTTTTCCCACTCAATGAGAAGGTCCTTCCCGACTTTACCTGCGCGAAGCTGCACCTCTCGCTCGATCCTCTGACGCTCGGCGCGAGCGGCTTCCTGCAGTCTGGAGCGCTCCTTCCAAGCTGCACGTTCCATTTCCATTCTCCTCTCGCAAGCCTCGTCTACAGCGATAGCCAATACGGCAGCTGCTTTTGCGCTGGCTTTGCGTCGGGTGAGGGAGACCTTGTACTGGCGCTTCTCGGCCTGGCGACGAGCCTTGGCTTCTTTGGCGCGACGCTGTGAATCGAGCTTGCGTTGGGCTCGGCTCAGCTGCGCTTCGTACTCGGCCACGGCTTGCGAGCGAAGCACGGCTTCAGCGGCTTTGGCTGCTGCTTTGAGCTTGCTCGACTCGGCCTGACGAGTAGGCGGACAATATGTCAGCTGGTGAAGGGGTCGACAATCGATCCAACGTCCACTCACATGAAGACGCGCAATCTCAGCTCTAGCAGCATCCTCTGCCTTCTTCTGTTCAGCAAGCTCCAGAGCGACTGCCTGTTCAGCATATGTCTTTGCCTGACGTATGTGCAGTGGGGGACGAAGAATAGTTCGATGATTAGTAAAAGTCGTTGTCCCGGTTGCTAGCCCTGCTCGACTTACCTTCTCCACAGCAGCAAGCGCCCGCTTCCCCTCTCTATTCGCCGCCTCGACCAGTGCCTCCCTCGCATCCAAAGCAGCCCTCTTTGCCTTTCTAGCCGCCTCTTCAGCGATCCTACCCTCCTTCTCCGCCGCAACCTTGGCCGCCTCGGCAGACTTTCTCATGGCAGAGAGGATGGCGTCGTAAGTTCTTTCACCTGTCGAGGTGGGGAGGACGCTACTGCTGTTACTGCTGGCTCTTTGAGAAGGGGTGGAAGCAGAGGTGGGAGGGGCAGGGAGCGGGCGATCTTTTGAGGTGTTTCGCTCGGTGGAAGGAAAAGTAATGTTGCCTGGGAGGATCTTGCCTGGGATGCCGTTGAGGCCAGAAGGTGGGCTGATGGCGCCAGTCTTTGTAGGCGGAGGGATTTCTAGGTCGGTACAGTCGGTAGACCGGGGAGACATGTTAGGCCCGTCTCTTCCAGAAGGGCTCAAATTGAGCAATGCCTCGAGGGGAGAGGGGCCTGATGAGGTTGAGCGTCGACCAGCGACTTCCTGAAGCCTCTCCTCGTCGAGCTCTTCTTGGATCCCATCGCTAGTCGAAGCATCAAAAACGGCATGGATCGAAAGCGATGAGGTACTTGTAGTCCTGTGTGACGACCCAGCGGGGTCCGAGTCCGAGTCCGAGTGCGATTGCAAGTGCGAGTGTCTCGAGGAATGAGCCTCTGTCTGATCGTCTTGGTCCTCCTCTTCGCCATCCTCTTCAATGGGCTCCAAAAGTTCGAAGCTGGCGTCCATGGTTGAAGTTGAGGTGGCTCGGAAATGGGCAGAGTACGAAGAGAGAGCCGAGAGAGGTCGTGTGGTGCTCATAGTGATACCAGTGAAGCTTGGGCGGAAATGAGACTGGGAGAGCAGGTGAAGGGCGAAAGGTAGGAGTGGTAGCACAGGAAGAGCTTCGTAGTCGATTCAGGAGGTGGAGCAAGTGGGGAAGTAGCGGCTGAGCGTCGCGGTATGTCAAGAGTAAGGGCTGGACACAGGAAGGCGACGGAGTAGCACTACTCCAGTGAACGTGAGAAAGGCCGACAGCTATCAGTAGGAAGAACTGTCTGGCGGTTGAAATGGTAATGAACGTATTGGTGTGGAAGAGGTACAAAGGTGAACAAGGGAGGTTCTGCCACCCCTCTGTCCACCGTGCGGTGAACACCGAGTGCGGATCGAAACGACGTGGGTGGGTGAGCAGTCACTTCGGTCCACCCCGCATGCCGGCTTCTGGCCTTCTGTGTCAGCTTTCTCCTTCTTTGACCGACAACTCTTCCAACGGCTCCATGGCCCTCGGCAGAACTTCCATGACCCCCTCACACCAGACTTTCCGCGTGAGCAGACGCCGTGCGAGGCGATAGGGGCTATATGCAAATTCCATGGATTGATGTGCGCTCGTGCCGATAAGTGAGCGATGCTGCTAGGGGGTCAGGGGCAAATTCGATCTCTGGCCATGTACATCTACTGTTGGCGGCCTCCGCTGCCGTTTCTGTCGTACTTCTGTACTCTGCGTATGCCGCTACTAAACCACTTTTCTCTAGCCGCTACCCTCCTCCTATGCTCCCTTGTAGTTGTACCTACTCCCATCCAGACCCTTGAGCTCCCTCTCACTACCGGCAATGGCGTACTCAATGATACACACGATGACCAGAGCGGCAGAGCTAATGGCCCACCAACCGGCATTGATGAAATTGCCCGCTCCAAAGACCATGCATGGCATTGGCAGACTGATAAAGGTCAAGAATCCCATGTAGATGAGCCTTGGGGGCAGCTGTAGGGCGCTAGCCTTGGCAGCTGCTTCTGGCGTGTCGGCCCTCTTGTCCATAGTTTTGCTTGTCTGGGCCGGAACGAAGCGCAAGTCGGTCAAAGACGGCACGAGCCAGTCTGGAGCTGTACCGAAGAGGTGAGGCTGAGCGGGGAAGGACCTTCCCTTGGTAGCGCTGATGAGACCCATTTGATCTGCGACCTCTCTGGCTGCTGCAAAGACGACGAGGCCTTGAAAGGCGAGGAAGATGGCATAGATGGGGCCGGCAGGGAGATAGTAGACGTCTTCGTGGCTGGCTTCTAGATGGTGCGGATGCCACAGTAGGGTGAGGTGGTTCTCCGGATGTGTACCAGCAATATATGCTGGGATGGGCGTGAGGTAGGTGATGATGACGAGACTGAGAATGAAGAGGGAGCAGCCACGGTAGAAGTAATTGGACTTGTCGTTTGCTTCGCGCAGGGCATCTACCACAGCTCTTTGCTCTGCGGAGGGTGGAGCACAGCAGGTGTGTAGAATACTGGTCAGTCAGCTGGAGGGCAAGTAGGACCGGACGCCTGTCAAAGCTCCGCGAAGCCTCGTGAAGCTTTGAGATGACAACATGCGCTTTCCATCATGCAGCTATCGAGGGACCTCGTATGGGGACGCTGTGCCACGTCCAGTAGGCTGTTACTCTACTCACCAGCAGTGTCGAGGGGCTCGGCTCCACCTGCCTCGTCCAGGACTGCGAGGGGATCGTAGAAGGAGGATGCCGGAGCATCGCTGCCCTTTACGTTTGACCTCTTTGTGAGTGAAGAGGTCATGTGTGTGTCCCGCAAGTTGTCTCGTCGTAGCTCTGGATACGGGCGTAGGCAGCGGCGAGTAAAGGCTCCTTCTGTTATTCTCGGCTGCGTAAATGTTGCACGACCGACTCCGACGCTGGCCTTTGCCCCGACGCCCTGCATCCTCCGTTCCGGTCGCAGGCTCCTCCCTCCTTCCCGCATCGCGCGCGCCATGGCCTGGCTGCCCTGCTTGGCCTGCTTGTCCCGAGTGTGCCGAGACGACGTGGGGGAGACACAGTGGGTATTGCAAGTCACCTTGTATCTTCCGCTTTACCCCTTCCCTCTCCACACTCTTTTCCCCCACTCACCATGCTCACTTCACCACTCAATGCTCTCAGGACAAAGGCAGCCGTCGCTGGCTCGCTGCTGCGCGGACCTGCTGCGACTCAGAAGCGGTTCTTGAGCATTCACGAGCATCTCTCCATGGGACTGGTGAGTGCAGGCGCGGATCCACACTTACGCACAACCTGAAGACGCATACTCACTCCTTTGCCTCTGTCATTGCCTGGTCTTTTGTCTTTGCTCAGCTCGAGAAGTACGGTGTGCCCGTGCCCCGCTTCGTAGCTGCCCACTCCGCGGACGAGGCATTCAAGGCAGCACAGTCATTCAGTGGAAAGGGAATGGTCATCAAGGCTCAGGTGCTAGCCGGTGGACGTGGAAAGGGTCACTTCGACTCTGGTCTGCAGGGTGGTGTGCACCTCATCAAGACGTGAGTATTCAGGGGCGACAACGGGCAGGCAGCTATAGCTAGAGACGATGTACTTACCCGCATACCGTGTGCCCCGCTCGTTTGCATCTCTCGCAGCCCCGAAGAGGCCAAGGACTACGCTTCCAAGATGTTGGGTCAGAAGCTCATTACCAAGCAGACTGGCTCCGCCGGTCGAGTCTGCAACGCCGTCATGCTGGCTGAAGCTCGCCCTCCTGCCAAGGAGTACTACCTCGCCATCCTCAACGACCGTACCTCGCAGCTTCCCGTCATCGTGGCTTCCAACCAGGGTGGTATGAACATCGAAGAGGTCGCCAAGGACTCGCCCGACGCCATCATCACCACCCCCGTCGACTTTGAGAAGGGACTGACCAAGGACGTTGCTCTTGGCATCGCCAAGAAGCTTGGCTTCAGCGGATCGAAGCAGGAGGAGCAGGCGGCAGAGACGATGATCAAGCTCTACACCCTTTTCAAGGAGAGGGATGCCACTCAGGTCGAGATCAACCCCTTGGCAGAGAGCAAAGACGGAGAGATTCTTTGCATGGACGCCAAGCTGGGCTTCGACAACAATGCCGAGTACCGTCAGTCGGAGGTCTTTGGTATGCGTGATGCTAGCCAGGAGGACTCGGATGAGATTGAGGCTGGCAAGGTGGGCATGAACTTCATCAAGCTGGAGGGCAACATCGGCTGCCTCGTCAACGGAGCCGGTCTGGCCATGGCCACCATGGACGTGCTGAAGCTCAACGGCGGTTCCCCTGCCAACTTCCTGGATGTGGGTGGAAGTGCAAATGCAGCTGCAATCAAGAAGGCCTTTGAGCTGCTACTGGGCTCAACGGAGGTCAAGGCCATCTTTGTCAACATCTTTGGTGGTATCCTCAAGTGCGATCTCATTGCCGATGGTATTGTCAGTGCTGCCAAGGAGCTCAACCTTAAGATCCCGCTGGTGGTGCGACTGCAGGGAACCAATGTGGAGAAGGCTAGGGAGATTCTCAAGAACAGCTCGGTGGACGTGGTGCCGTTCGAGGGACTGGACGAGGCTGCTTCGGAGGCCGTCGCTGCTGCTGCCAAGTAAGGGGTAGAAGGTGATTGGGTGTGCTGGAGCGGTGACAGGATATTCACGCTAGAAGATGATAAGGGCGAGCTTCGCACCTGGTGACTTGCTTTGCGTTCAATAAAGATCTCTACAGACAAACAGGTTCAGGGAGTGCTCGCAGTGATCTTGATGTGATATGTGATCCATTTCGTCAACACGAAGGGTGACGTCGTCTACCCAATCTACATTCCTCTACGAACTGACTGGCATACAAGGTACCGCTGCTGCTCTTCAGACCTTGAGGTACCCCTTCTGAATCAAATACTCTGTAATAATCCTCACACTCTCCTCCACACTCGTCTTGTCGGCATCAATATGAATCTCTGCCTTTTCTGGCTTCTCATAAGGTGCACTAATCCCTGTAAATTCTTTAATTTCACCAGCTTTAGCCTTCTTGTAGAGTCCTTTTGGGTCGCGCTTTTCGCATTCGTCGAGAGAGGCATCGATGAAGACTTCGATGAAGGGGAGGGGAGGGTTGTGGGCCTCGTGAAGGGTGCGGGCGACTTGACGGTCAGCGGCGTAGGGGCTGATGAAGGAGGTGATGGTCAGGGTTGATGAGGAGGCGAAGAGGGTTGAGACCTAGACGAGTGTCAAGAGGGGAAGAGGCAGGAAGAAAAGTCAGTCTAAGGAGAGGCTTCCCCACTATACTTTGGGGCGACTCACCTCTGCAATCCTCCTAATGTTCTCCTCTCTATCCTTTGGGCTGAATCCCAAATCCTTGTTGAGTCCAAAGCGGACATTGTCACCATCGAGTCTGTAAGCGCTCTTCTTCTGGTGGAGGAGGTGCTGCTCCAGTGCAGTTGCAATGGTAGACTTTCCAGAGGCAGACAGACCGGTGAGCCAGATGGTTGCTCCAGTCTGGGAGAGGAGAGAGCAGCGCTCCTCGTAGGAGACTGTACCAGGGTGAAAGGTGATGTTGGTGGCCATGACGATCGTCGATGTTGGTGTTGTACTCTGTGTGCGGGAAGGACTGAAGGGGTAGGGCGTAGTGTCGCAAAGATGTCGTGCTCCCGGGAACTTCTGGAGGCGTTGCCGCGGGAAAACCGTCGCCGCCCGGGGAAAAGAGTTGCAATCGCCGCTCGCCGCCGCTCCACTCTGGGCTGAGCAAGACTACCACCCTCGTCCTCGGTGTCTATCGGTTGTCATCCTCAGCATCTTACCCTTTCCACACCTCACTCGCCCAACCTGGCATCCCTACGTCCCCTCTGTAGACTACAGCCTCTGCGCTCGTCCCTACATAGTCACATTCACACCTCCGCAGCCACTCCTCCCTCCAGCGCCAAGCTGTCGTCTCGCTCAGTCCCAGCAACTCGCCTCTCCCTTGCGGCTGCCCACCTCTCCTCTGCCTCTTCCACCTCGTCTTCCTCCACCCGCAACTTCTCTTCTTCCACATCTCTCGCTATGCCTCCTGTTTCAAAGCCTCAGGAGAAGTACGACCTGGTCGTCATCGGTGGTGGATCAGGTGCCATGGGAATGTCACGCCGCGCAGCCTCCTACGGAGTCAAGGTTGCCGTCATCGAAGAGGATGGTCGTCTGGGCGGGACCTGTGTCAATGTAGGCTGTGTACCCAAGAAGCTCATGTGGCATGCAGCAGATGTAATGGAGTCTGTCAAGTCCGCACCCGAGTACGGCTTCAGGGGCGTCAAGCCAGATGCCTTCGATTGGAAGTACTTTGCTGAAAAGAGGGACGCTTACGTCAGGAAGCTCAATGGCATCTACGACAATAATCTCAAGAAGGACGGAGTAGAGTACATCTCTGGTCATGCTAAGCTGATCAGCAAAACCGAGGTTGAGGTGGCAATGCTCAAGGAGGATGGAAGTGGATTTGGAGAGAAGCACGTCATCAAGGCAGACAAGATCTGCATTGCTACCGGAGGTAGGCCTACTATTCCCTCGGATCAGAAGATCGAGGGTGCTTCTCTGGGTATCGACTCGGATGGCTTCTTTGCCCTCCGAGAGCAGCCCAAGCGAGTCGCCCTCATTGGAGCAGGCTACATTTCTGTAGAGCTCGCCGGAGTCTTCAACTCTCTCGGATCAGAGACGCATCTCCTCATTCGCCACGACACCTTCCTGCGTGCCTATGACCCCATCATCTCCGAGACGTTGCAGGAGCACATGGCCAACACGGGTCTGAACGTGCACAAGAACATCTGTCTCGAGAAGATTACTGGAGAAAAGGGCGGACCACTGACCGTCTACCTCAAGGACGAGCCGCCTCTCGAGGTAGACTGCGTCCTCTGGGCCATCGGACGTCGACCCAACACGGACAATCTCGGTTTGGAGGCCGTTGGAGTCAAGACGGACGACAAGGGCCACATCATTGCCGACAAGTACCAGAACACCAACATTGACAATATCTTCTCCCTCGGAGACGTCTCTGGCAAAGCCCAACTAACACCCGTGGCCATTGCCGCCGGACGCAAATTGGCCAACCGTCTATACGGTCCTGAAGGCGTGCGAGGCGTAGACTTCCTCGACTATGAAAACATCCCCACCGTCGTCTTCTCCCACCCCACCTCCGGCTCCGTAGGTCTTTCTGAAGCTGAAGCTCGCGAAAAGTACGGAGACGAGAATGTGAAAGTGTACAAGAGCAAGTTTACTTCGATGTACTTTGGAATGCTAGAGCACAAGGAACCTTGGGCATTCAAGATTGTCTGCACTGGAAAGGAGGAGACGGTTAGGGGTGTGCATACAGTGGGATTGGGAAGTGATGAGTTGCTGCAGGGTTTCGCAGTGGCTGTCAAGATGGGAGCAACAAAGAAGCAGTTTGATGATACGGTTGCTATTCACCCTACTAGTGCCGAGGAGCTGGTGACTGCCAAGTGAAGGGAGAGAGAGAGAGAGGAGGCTGGCGCTGGCGGGGAGCGATGATGCTACCTCAGATAGACGCGAAGACGGACTCGGGCAGGCGGGAGGGCAGGGCGGGTCGACGATGGGCGCTACATTGCGCAGTAGGACCTTCGAGGAAAGAAAGGAACGAACTTCGTAGATTTAGTGCACGTCTCTCTTTCTCCAAGTCTAATGCCATAGTCTTCACTCACTCACTCACACACGGACACTACGCTACGCTACGTTGGGCTCCGCTCGACAGAGAGGGTGGCAATGAGGGGTTCAGCAGCGAGGATTTTCGTCGGTTGGTTGGTTGGCTGGCTGCACAGCCCCGTACATTTCAGGGCAGACGCAAAGACAGAGGAGCCCCGTGAAGCTCTGTCTGTTTGCTCTGCACCCCATTCTGCTCTGCAAGTTTGATTGCTCGCACCCCCACTTTGGGGCTCGGACTTACTTCTGCTATGCTGTGCTGGGCTCTGCTATGTTCTGCTGCGCGGTCGGTGATGTCGCACGAGCAAGGTACGCGGTAAACCAGGGAGTATCCCGATGAGTGGTTTTGAGCAAATCGGCTTGCAATGGTAGGTGGTGGCTGGTCTCTTTGCCCAACGCGGCATTTCGGAGTGCACAGCTTGGCTCACAAGTCAAGTCACTTAGGCCCGAGCCCGAATCAGGGTGCAGGCAATCGCGTCCTGCAGACTAAGGGTACATAGCAATCACCCTGTTTCCCTCTCTTCCTCCCTCCCTCCCTCTCTCGCCCTCGAGGTACAAACGACCGCAAAGGAGTTCCGGGAGCATTGCTGTTGCAGTATCCCGAAGAAATGGTTGCCTCAGGAAGAGCCAAGGTGCAAGATGCAGGAACGTTTATGGGTGCCCGTGCAACCTCGGGAAATATCGGGTGCGGTAGGACAAGTAAGTCAAACTTTTGGAGAAGCCAACGAACTAAAAGGAGGCAGAGGAGAGGTATATAAACCCTCTCTTCCAGCCCGGATCTGGCAGTCCACCTCATCCAATCTTCACACACAACCTACTCGCCTGAACCAGCCTGCTTCACAGCTATCGACGGACCCCCCCATCCAACTCCCAAATCCCTCAAACCAACCAACACTATCCAAGATGGACTTCACTCTTGCCCAGACTTCCAACGACCCCTGCAGCTGCTCCTCGTGCGGTAACGATGGCTGCTGCTCTACCGACTGCGGATCTTGCTCCTGCTGTTCTGGCAACTGATTGCTTGAAGCAATGAGATCTGCCCCTGCTCAGAAAAAGGTAGGTGGGTACGATGAGCGAGCCGGACGGAGCGTTGGGTTCCGATGGGGAGACTGACTTGAAGATCGCTCGACGCCCTCTCTCCCTCTGTGTGGTGACAGAAACCTCGAGCAGAACGTGCTTGCCCATTGAGCCAAGCAAGCTACCCCTTTGTCCCCTTTCTTGTCTTTGTCTGTCTGTCAATACTCGAGCTGCACGTCAAGTTGCCATTTGCTCGCAGCTTTGCTTACCACCCCTTCTTGGGCTTCAGTAAGCAAAGTTGAATATATCTCTTTATTCTCGACAGAGTGTGAGATGACTGCGCAGAGGTATGATGATGGTATTGAAGTGATCTGTCTTACAAAAAAAAAACAGTCTCGGCTGCGCACAATCCACTGATCAACAGCTATTTGAGCTGGCCTGATGCTCACGACTATCCGCCTCCTCGTGACGCCATGCTTGGCATGATCCTCCCGTTGACCGTCAGCTGAGGCACAGGCGGCGCTAACGGGGGCGAAGCAAGTGGCGAGTCCGACGTCGAGTACGTCCCTCCCAATCGACTCGCACCACCTGCCCCGGCTCCGCCAACAGGGCTACTGGCGAAGCTCGACCTGCCAGAGAGACGACGCTGAGGCGAAGCGCGGAAGTAGTCGGCGCTAAGGTTGGCAGAAGAGGAAGAGGCGGAGTGGCTTGCGAAACCTTCGAGACTCTGTCCACTTTGATCTTCGCTGTACCCGCTTGTTTCTGCCTCTTGCCCATTCATGACTTCCTCCTCTTCTTCCCCCTCTTCTTCCTCGTGCGTCACATCCAAGGTCGTGCTGCCAGAGACAGTCCTCATCAGCGGTGGCGGCGCTGGAGGGTATGATCGGAAGGATGCGCCGCTCGGCGAATCTGGCAGTTCCTGGAGAATGCCAGCCTGCTTGACGACCTGCTGCAGCGCCTGGCCGCTCTCGTCCATGCTGCGCGTGTACCTCAAGAGGTCTTGACACAGAACCCACTCTTCACGTTGCGCCGCCAATGCTAGAAGCCGCGCCGTATCAGCGATGCTTTCTTCCAGTGACTCGACAGTCTGAAGGACTAGCAGATACGAGCCCGCCGTCTGGAGGCTGCCTGCTGCTAGGCACTTTTCAAAGAGCACCTTTGGCTCCCCTACTGCTCCAAAGAGGTACGGCCAGCGCTCTACTTCCGTCTTGCGGGCGCAGGCTACCACCACGGACAGAGACTCGTCGAAATGGTCGAGGAAGTCGACGACGATCGGTAGCAGTGGTCGACCGCTAACATCGTCAAGCGACTGACGACGAGTGACGCCATTTCCGTCACCAATCGCAGGTTCTGCCATGCTTGTGTCTCCAATACCTGTATCAGCGATGGAGCCGTTGGAGTTACTGTGCGTCATTACGTTCACGTCTCCCTCTGCCTCATCCTCGAGAACGGCATGCAATAAGACTTCCAGTGCATGAGGAAAATAGACCAGGGACTGGTAGAAGGAGGCGCAAGTGACTGCCTCTCTCATCCTTCCGTGCTCGAGATAGTAGCGCAGTAACTGGTGGAGGAAGAGGTGCGTTGTCGTAGCGCTTCTGAAGATGGCAAATTCAAGATTCCGACGAAGGGACACCTCCGGCTCTACACCGATTATAATGCCTTTCTCGAGCACAATACCTAGTGAGGCAGCGGGTGTTATGTCAGTGAGAGAGTGTGCTTATCCTGACCTTCTCTTTCGACTCACAAAGAGGATAGAAGTCCAGTGGCATGCTGAGCGACTCCTCGATTGTCTTGTACTCGGGTGCCTCATCCTCGTATTCATACTCTGATCCTGCTTCATCAGAATCCACGATACTGCCATTGTGAGGCCGAGCCTGCTCTATAGTCAGAGCATCGAGCCACAGCTTGATGCCTGTACCGTCATAGCCCCACAGTGAGTTCTCAAGGGTGCCGATGCCCTGCAAATGGGTCCAGTAATACTCAATTCGGTCGCCGAGGATCTGCATGTCGTAGGCTACCTCTGCTTCATTGTCCTCGGCTTTGCGAGGGCGAAGAAGGACAAGCTTTCCGTCGACGAGGAAGATTATCGTCGCCACCGTCAGATCGTCCATGGGATCTCCGAAACGCTGTTGGCCTTTGGGAATCATCCAGCTCATTCCCCTCACCCTCTCGGGCTCGCCTACCACTCCTTCGAATGTGATACTTCCGCACAAGCTCAGATTGATGGAATCCCTCGTGATGACGATCAAGAAGTGGTAGAAGGTGTTGTCGCTGGTATATACCAAAAGTGAATCCTCGAACAAGCTGGTCAAGATGACCGGCGCAGAGACATTCTCGATATGAAGCAGATTGGCGTTGCTGAGGTCTGTGTCTCTCGAGTAGAGTCGGAGCTGAGCCGCATCCCCCGACTGGCAAGCTGCAATGAGGACATGCTCATACCATTGCAAGCCGCCTCTGACTTGGAATGCTTCTTCCTCATCGGTCGAAGAGAAGATCTTCCACCGACCGGATATGGCAGAGTAGTGAGCCAGTCCCCTTCTACCAGCAACGGCAATCAGTCGACCGTCAGTGCTGATCGAGGCATAGCGGATAGGCCAATTGCGAGCAAAGTAGTCCTGAGGCACTTTGATGTGATGCCATACGTCAGACTCGGGATTAATGATAGACATGTCGGGTTGCTCAGAGCCTCGATAGACTAGCAGCGAGTCGTCAAGCTGAATGAAGGCAAATCTAGTATTGTCTGGCGAATGTTGACCCGCGACAGCTGACTTGGCGAATGGTATAGAGAACAGCTGACGATGAGGATCTGAGAGGGGCCATCAGAGGGTCAGTAACGTGGATCTGAATCTGACAATCACCCTTACTCACCGATCCTACTGCCTTTAGCAGCGCCTGCAAGGACAATCAGGTTCGTGCCTCCTGGTCCCCAGAACAGATCTGTCAGTCCGTCCATGAAGGTGTCCGAGAAGTTCTTGCTTCGATTTGTCAAGTGGGAGTCCGTGAAAGAGTGACCCATAAGCTTTCCCCATGCTGACCAGACTGCCCACCCCTTCTCCCATCCGACGGCTAGCGCAAGACCATCGGCAGTCCACTGTAGCGCTCGGACAGGTCCGGAGGTGAGGTAGGACGCAGTGGAACGCAGAGCTACCCTGAGTGATAGGGTATGGGATGGTACCGCACGATGCTGTGTGCGGAGGACGAACACTTCGATAGTCCCACTGCGAGGGTGAAGGGGAAGTCATCGGTGAGATGGGGACTGTGACGTCTTGCCAAATTTCTACCCTGCCTTGCCTGGCTTGCATGACTCACTCTTCTTGACCAGCTGCTATCAGCCCAATTTTGGCGTTGATAGCCGCGACAGTAGCTCTTTTGCCTCCTTCCACCAGCGGTAGAGTCTCTTCCTCCGCCTCTCCTCGGTCTATGCTCTCGTCTAAGCCCTCGCTCCCCTCTCTGTGAGCACGACTCCGCCGTCTTCGGGGCGGAGGGTTGTGGAAGCAGCGCCCAAGCCATTCGGCATCGTCATCGAGACTGGCTACGTAGCTCCTCCCATCGCTGGCGACCCAGACGCAAAGATGCATCGCACGAGAGTAGTGTAGAGAGATGATGTTCGTGGCGCGCAGGGTCGACGCTGTCTGGTGAGCGTGTGCTGTAGCTTCCATTTCATTGCCATTCGCCTTGCTGGGAGTAGCGTTCATCTCGGCCTCCTCGACCTTGTTCTCGCCCAGAGGCTCTGATGCTGACTCGTGCGTCTCGTCAGGTCGCTGCGATGCCTCGGTCCCACTATGGAACCAAGGCAAGGAAGCGAGAACGGCTGTAGTCTGGAGCTGTTCTGATGTATCATCCGGCCACGGTATCGCTTGGACCGCTGGAGGAGACTTCGTTGCAATGAGTAGATGGGAAGTAATGGCAAGAGCACTGTGTAGGAGAGAGGTGGAATGAGTAGCAGCAGATGGGTAAGCTCACAGCAGCTACTCATATCCGAAATCTTACTCACCAGCTCAGACCTGCGTCGACTCTCAGCGCCAACTTGAGATGGATCTCAAGTGCTGCTCCTCCTGTCCTGCCCGCAGCCCGACCTGCATTGTCACTGCCTCCAGCCTCGCCAACCCTCAGCTCGCCTTGTCCTGCCGCCCAGCTGCCTGGTATCTCTCCAGCAGATGCGGCAAAGGCAGCCTTGAGAGCCTTTGATGACGGAGCTGCCTTGTTTGCGGAAGGAGGAGGCGCATAGGAGTAGGTCTGTTGCAAGCTGGCCGCCTCTATGGAATAGATGAGGAGGTAGGAAGAAGAAGTCTCGACTGCAATCTCTGCTGCTACGCTACCCGGCCTCCAGTGACATCGTACATTGTGGCCATACTCTTGCAAACTCCTCTCTGTACGACGAAGAGATGCGACTGCTTGAGCTGGACGAACGGAGTAGAGGTGAATGCAAGAAGGAGTGAGGAGGATGAAGTACGAAGGCTGAAAAGAGGGCGGTGATGGGCAAAGGTGGACAGCGGGCTCCGAGGAAGGGCCTGCGCCGTCCGAGGGTAGGGCTGGAGGTAAGAGTCGACGGGCGACATTCAAAGGCCAATACATGGCCAGAGAAGGAGAGATTGGCCAGGCGCCGAAGACGTTAGCAGTGGTAGAAGCGATATCAGTGAGGACTACAATGGAAAGTGTTACCTTGACGCGGGGCAGCACTGATCAACGCAAATGCCAACACGCCCTTTCCGCTTTTGCCTGCACGCAGCAGCTGCACAACAAACAGAACAACAATGTCCAGACGCCAGAAGGACCAACAGCTATCGATTCGGACCAACAACAGGTCAATCGTACTCAACGATCGCTCGACACGCGTCAGTAGAGAAGAGTCAGCTCAAAGTACCATACCAATGCCACAACCACTCAAGTTAGACCTGCTTTACATATCTCAGCCGACCAGCGTCGATGACATGCTCCCACTCTCTTCCTGTCCGAGCGTGCTGTAGCGGTCTGGTCGTGCCTTTCGTGGTGGATTTCTCCTGGGCGAAGGGATCATAGCCTCCTTTCCCTTTGCTGTTGCTCCGGAGAGCACCTCACTCGACGAACCCATCGGTCTGTCCAGCTTGGAAGACAGAAGCTCAGTCTTACTCGCACCGAACGGGATCAGGCCCGGCTTTCGCCTTGGCTTGGCCACGAATACGCCGGAAGAAAGAAAGCCACCCTTCTTTTGCTTGCCCACCTTCCCCGATGCTGGTCGGAGGAAGCTCATCCATTCGTCTGTGTTCTTGCCTCGACTCTTTCGCAAACGATCCAGACTGTTTCTGTAGGATTGGAAAGGCTTTGGGGGCCACTGCTGTTTAGTGATCGGCGTCAGTCGCGAATAAGGCAGATTGGGTGCGGTGATGATCATCGAAAGGCCCTTGCTCTTGGAGATCTTCTTGTCCCGAAGCCGATGTAGAGGACGTCGTCGCCTGCGAGCTTTGTTGATCGCGTTCGCCACGTACTTCCAACCTGATTGTGCGACCCTTGGCATCAAGTCTGACGTAGAAGGCACTTCGTCGGCTGCACCTCTGCTCGTCAGGGTCACGGACACAGCTGCCGGCGATATCTCTGTTGACACCCGCTCTCTGAAGGTAGGATACAGAGACACGTACTTCTCCGCTTTGCTATCGCCTCGTTTCCAGATCTTGAGCTTCTTGGCCAAGAGGTTCCTACTTGCGTGATACTTCCTGACATTGGACGAAGTGCGCTCTTTGTGCAGCTTGGCCAAGCTGGCGCGGTAGCTTTGAAATGGCTTCCTCGGACGCCCTTGCTTGGTCATGGGCATGACCCTGGAATATGGGAGGTGAGGAGCAACGATGACTGCATCAGAGCCTTTCTTCTTTGCGATCTTCTTGCTCTGGACTTTGTGAATGACTTTCACCGGAGACTTTCTCTTTGCCTCGGCCTTCCAGAGCATCTTCATGTACTTGACAGGATGCTTAGCATACCTCGGCGCTAGGGTGGGTTCTGCTCCCTTGCCAATTCGTGATCTCTCCTCATTGAGCACGGCTCTTCTAAGCATACCGTGCGCAAAGATACGATGCATCTTGAGTGGTGGCTTCTTGACACCTCCCGTGATCTTGGACAACGACGCCTTGTAGGCCTTCAGATTGCCAAGCTTCTTCTCCCGAGCATTCCTCACGATATCTGTGGGCTGTGCTGGGGAAGTAGTGAACAAAGAGGAGTGACTCACTCCACTCTTTAGTTTCTTCTTGGGCCGCTGCAGAGTCAAGTCACTATCGTCCGAATCATCCGCTGAACCAAGTGAAGAGAAGCTGGTAGTGCGAGTGCGCTTTGGTCCCTGATCATGCTCGTGAGTGGGGGACGGCTCGTTGGCGAAGTTCTGCCAGGCCGAGATGCGAGAGACTCCAAGGTCCCGCTCGTCATCTGAAGCAAGTGCAGAATTTAGAGTGGACAGACTCCAGATATCGGCTGTCGAAGCCGATCGGGTACGCTTCAGCCCTTGGTCCTGTCCGTGATGCAGGTCAAGCGAATCTTGATGAGAGGCGAAGAGGCGAGCGTCGATAGACTCTGGCTCGTCAACAAATGCTCTACTGAGCAGATCTACGAAGCGGCTGACCTTGAAGGAACCGGGCCTTTTCATGACCTTACTCCTCCTCGCCTTGCGCAGAACATTTGAGTGTCTTTTCAGCTTCGAAGGCTTCTTTGGGAACAGCCTCTTGGATTCCACTTTTGCCTCGTGACTATCCGCATCATCGTCGAGGGCAGATTTGCCAAATAGGCGCGGCCCTTGGCTAGGCCACGGCTTCCGCAACTCTGAACCTGAAGTTTGAGACCCGTGCGTGTTGGACGAAAGTGGCGAGGCAGCGCTCGGGATGTTCGACCCTGGATGATGCGTATTGACGGAAGAGAGACCAGAGGTACTCCCTACGACTCGTGTTCGAATAGGGGAGAGCGGGGGGATCGTCGACGCTGGAGATCTGCTGGCGTCTGGCCCCGGAGCGCCCAAGCCGCTAGATGAGGTAGACAGAACACGATTGGCGGACTGAACAGAGCTCCCGGGTTTTTCTGAGCTTGCTCGAGAATGCAAAGTCTGCAGTCCAGTGGGGAATATTACGTCGTGTGATCCATTCTGCGAAAGCCTGTCAGCATCTCTGTGTACCTTGCCATATTGAGCAGGAGTAGAGTCGAGAGTCTCATCCGTTCGTAAGGAAAGTGGAGCCAGCTCCGTATTTGCCACCTGCGGGGAAGCAAGCAAAGTCGCCCCGCAAGTGGCGAAAACCAGGCATAGAAGAGCAACGAAAGCTGTAAGCCGGCACATTTGAGCTGGATCAGGGAGTGTGGTCAGCGTGCGCTAAAGGTAATGATCAGCAAAGTCCAGCTTCGTCAGATGGTTCTGCCAGATGCACGGGCGAGATCTGGGCATATATAGTCGAGCCTCATGTGTTTGGTGGGCCCTTCAAGAGCACCTCCATCGTGGCTGGGGGTCGACAGCAACTTCCACAGAGTCCGGAAACTTTGCAAGGAGCAGCCATACCCATTGCGGCTTGCAAAGGCCCCTTCTGCTTCATCACTGATGCTTTGGCGAGAACAGTAGCGGGTTGATCGCAGCAACAGAGCACCCTCGTTTGTTCGAGCATGTCATTTTCCACTCGAGATTTTGTGTTTGGCAACTTCATGCGGCGCGTTCGTTAGCTCGAGTGCTTTCGAGCTGATTGTAAATAGCAAAGGGCAAAGGTGCAACAAGAGCAAAGGGCGCGCACGTCTTTCGTCGCAGGCGCGGCAAAACAAAAAGGATCTTCCCCTGCCGGGAATTGAACCCGGGTCGCCCGCGTTAAACAGCGTTTGGAGCGCAATTTTGAAAAGCGGGTATCTTGGCCACTAGACGACAGAGGAGTCGAGGAGAGAGAGATTTGTAGCCACAATATATACACCACTCTGGGGGCAGAGCAGAGAAAGCGTGTACTCGATGCCTTCTCACAGCCCTCACTCGCTCCTCCTCGAATGAGTACAAATGTCATATCATTGCTACACTGACGGGATGCTTCAGACCGCCTTGTCTCCTACTCCATCACCAGTCTGCGGGCAAGCTATCAACAAAGAAAAGAACCACAGAGTCCGAGCGAGCGAACAGGGGTAGAATCAGCTACTGTAGTTGTAATTGCCACCAGTGACTGCTGTCCAGTCTGTCTTTTCAAAGTCCCTGCGCAGTCCATCCATACAGACCGGACACATACCTTCCTGGGCCAGCTCGCCAGCCTTGCCGCCGTCGGGGGCGTTTTGGAAACTCTCGCGGATGTTGTTGGCGGCGTCCTTCTTTATTGACTCGCCGGAGTTGGTCCAAGCCTCGGAGCCAGTGGTGGAGCCGATGGCCTGAAGGTCAGATGAGGGGAGAGGGACGTAACAGAGAGAGAGTTGGAAGTTGATGAAGAGTGAGACAGTGAGACAGGAGGCATGTATGAAGTGGGAGATCGGTGTTGCAAGCAGAAGTCTCGATCAGCAAAGAGTCCAGCAAGGTACGTGCAACCCGCGGTCACGAACTCACACTCTCAGCAGCTCCCTGAGCATACTGCACGTGTCCGCCCGCGATACTAGCAGCAGACTTAGCCTGGTCGAGGAAAGATGCTTGGTTGGTGTTGTCTGTCATGTTGCTCAAGGTGTAATCTGGGATATGGTTGCTATGCGAGGCTGGTGAGATGGATGGGTGGACTGACTAGAGGGTGGTGCGGGAAATATGTCGGCGTAGAGCGGACTTCAAACGCGAGTGGAGGGATGACAAGAGAGCAGGCGAGGAGGCGTGCCTGGACCCTTGCCAGAGCACCCACTACGCCCCTTGACATCATGAGACGCCTCGCTGCAGTGCCTTGAGGTCCCAGCCGCCGGCCTGACCTATCTTGGAATGCAAAAAGACTAGATGAATGGATTCGAACCAGGAGGTGGTTGTGCGGAAGCGAAAGGAATTACGGACATGCATGTGTACCTCGGTCTCTTGACCTTCCCCGCACGTGCTAAAGCATGCCTTACTCTCGCCTCTGCAACTCTTCTCGGTGTTCACTGCCACCTTCGCTGCCCGTCGATCTCTCCTCTGACAGTCTCTCCCACTCATCGCTACGTCCTCCATCGGTCCAAGCGAACTGAGACTCAGAAGACGGACTCAGTGCTTCCTCCCACCTTGTGTAAGTCGATGACAAGCTAGGCAGGGTCAGCGCGCTTGCGTTTTGGCCCCCTTCGCCTGCTGTCTGTGCTACGTCTGTGAAAATATCGCTTCCTTGCTCTTCGAAGATGCTGCCGTTGATGGTAGTATGTTGCCACCGGCCGGAGGAGGATCGCGATCGAGATCCCGGCGATGTCAGGTGCTCTTCGAATGGCGAAGAGCGGCCGCTGAGCATCCGCGGAGACATCGAAGATGACGAGTGCAGGGAAGTCAAGCTCAAGGTGCCGTCTAGCTCGTCCTCCAAGTAGTTGCGTTCCTCCTCACTAGCACTCCTATGCGAGTTGGTAGCTTGATATGTGTGCAGACTAGGCGAGAGAGGTGCAGGAGGCTCCCTGCCGTCACCCTCTAGGTCTGTCGCAATCGAGAAGAAGCCGGTCTCGGGACGAGCAACCGCAGGGTGACGATCGATGACAGGCGAGATCTCTCCAATGGTGTGGTTGGAGCTTAGCAGAGAGTCTCTGCCAGCATGACCACTTGCCCTGCGTCGTCTGATGAGAGCTCCATCGGAGTGATGATCGACCTGGCTAGATAAGCCCGTGACTTCGGAGCCAGCACTCATCTCTGCCTCGTAGCGCTTCTTCATGTCCTGCCCCTCGCTGGCTGTCTGGTCTAACCGGTCGTTTTGCCTTGAGTGTCTGTCCTCTTCTTCCCTCAAGCGCCTCTCCATCTCGAAGGCCTCGATCTCCCTCAACGAGTCTTCATCTACGCCACCTCTCCGCTTAGCCATAGGATTCATCTCATCAAACGCAGAAGCCCATTCTCTCCGAAAGTTGCCCCAGTGATTCTGAGCATTTGCGACGAACTCCTCGCCGTGCTCTTCTCTCCAAGGACGGAAGATGGCGACTTCGAGGGCTACAAAGGTTGCTGCGCCGGCGATGACACAGCCCGCGAGGACCGCCGGATGGGGCATCGTGGGGCGAGTGTAAGAGGAGGAAGGAGGAGAGAGACCTGGACAAGGAAGGTTGAGGGGTAACGACGAGACCGTTGTAAGTGCTACAGGGATGGTGATACGACAGCTGTGGGGGGAGTGTATGGGAGGCAGAGATGTAAAAAGCATGTGAGGAGGTGCGTAGGGCTGTAAGACCTCCCTTCATTAGGAGCCGGGGGATCCAAGCCCAGCTGAGCACGGAGCACCCGATATTCCATGATTAGACGGAATGGCGGCTCGGTCCCTTCCGGTCTCCTCTTCCTTTCCTCTCCTTCTTCCTTCAGCCTGTCCGTCTACCGCTCTCTGTTCACCTTACTCTTGACATTGTCTTACCCGCATTCCTTTTCTGCTGTTCGATGCCCACCTCATCACGCTCATCATTGCCCGAACAGCTGGACACGCCCCTAGACTTGGCTCCCTTGACAGACGAGTCCCTGCAGGCTCTCCGCAATCTCGCCTCGCACGTCCCCCATTCATCCACCGAACCATGTCCAGAGTCCGTGCCCGCTTTCAGGAGGGCAGCCGTATTGTTGGGAATCTTCGGTAGCAGAAAAGGGTGCGTATATACTGTTCAAGGATGGGTTGCAGCCGGCGACGAGTCCTACATTGACAACGCAGGCGCACTTTCCATCCTTTAGGGAGCTGTATGTCGTTCTCTCCGAGCGGTCTTCAAAGCTCAGATCACACGGTGGTGACACTGCTATACCAGGAGGGAGATTTGAAGTGACAGATGCAGACCTCGAGGCAACAGCGGTGAGTTGTTCGCTCCAAGAAGACGACTGACCTTCGCCCGTTCGATGAGACACACATTATGCGGAGCGCTGACCTCCTGATCACCGCTCGTACCTATATTGTAGCGGCGCGAGGCATGGGAAGAGGTGAGCTCAAGTAAACAAAGCAGTGTCTTATCATTTCTGACTATAGGTCTATCCGCCCATGCCTCTTCAGGTCGGTCTGCCAATCAACTTCAAGAAGGTGCGCAAGTTGTGCGAACTACAGCCCTTTCTGTCGGCCAACGAACTCGTAGTAACCCCGATCGTCGTACTGCTGCTGGACCCTATGATCAAGGTGAGGAGCTCAGACATAGGTGGAAGCGATGCAGCATATCTGACTCTGTATGCGCTGCATTTGACCCCTTCCTCCATCAGCCGCACCTGAATCCGCAAGAAGTGTCGCGGATATTCTCACTCCCACTAAAAGCATTTCTGCAGCACAGTCCAGATGCTGATCTACGCTTAGCCCTGAGACTGGGCGCTCCACCTAGCGAAGAGGAGGAAGCCACTTCTGCCGCGATGCCATGGTCTGAAGTGTCGGGCCCATCCGACTGGCACACATGCAGGGACGTGAGATGGTTCGACAAGCGGTGCAGGAGACATACATTCTGGGATCGACGGAACCCTGTACGAGGCTTGACAAGGTGAATCAGTCCGAAAGAGATTTCATCCCACGTCAGGTATCACGAGATTGGCTGACAAAGTCCGCCTCGATTCATCTATTTGCCTTTCCTGCAGCGACATCCTAATTCACTGCGCCTCCCTCGCCTACTCGCGTACGCCAAGCTTCTCCCTGGTTGCACCCGGGCAGCCGAGTAATGCTGAGCTGATCACGATGGCCTTTACTGGGCCACAGGCAATCAAGAAGCGCAGAGTGCGGCCTCGTATGACCCTGCTGGAGCTGCAGCAGCCGCGGGACGACGATGAGAGGAGGGGCGAGTTCGGGACCGAGGAAGCGAGCGACAAGGCGAAATTGTAAGAGGCAAGGCAGCGAGGCGTACAAAGGCAGAAGGGGAAAGGGTCCTTGATCGATCGCCGGAGTAGTGATACCCACAATGTCTCCATCATGCTTTCCATCCGAGATGCTACTGATCGAAGTCCTTCCCTATGCGAGCTAGGGTCCAGGGGGTTGTGTGGGTTGTGCCTTGGGACAGAGGCACGTTCTGCCGGGCCGTTGAGCGGCTCGTCTCGTCTGGTCTCCGGCTTTTGCATCTGCCAATTTCAAGTGCAGGCGGGTGGGGGCGATGATCGGGGGGGTCGGGGCGGACGGTGGCTGGCTCTGGCGGGCTGGCTGGCTGCACGCCCTTTGTCGGTGGTTGTGGTCCGGTGAGCCTGCCTCCGTCATCGAGAATGGCGCGTCGGAGCTGGAGTCTGCTTGGCCGGCGGCTGTCTGGGGCCGAGTGCCTTTGCTGTCGACCTGACAGGGTTCAGGCGTATGATGATGCTGTTCATGCGCGCTCCACTCCCCCCCCTCTTTGCTTCCGGTGGGGGGGGGGGTGGGTGCATGGACTTGATTCTCCGTCTGGCCTGGCCAAGGGGGCCAACGACGCCAGAAGCGAGGCGGGCATCCAGCCGGGCCAGGCAGAGGAGGCGGAAGGGCAGCAGCAGCAGCAGCAGCAGCGGGGCCACAGCAGCCAGATCTCTTCCCAAAAGATCCCAGGCAGCCATCCCCGTAGCACTCAGAGGGCAGGCCTACCTCGTCCGTCTTCTTCGCAGTAGGCTCTAGTCTCGATTCTCTTTCGGACAGCTCATCCTAACATCATCTCCCGAACATTCCCTCTACCATACTCATCGTGTCCTTCTCCTTCTCCCACGGACTCCCGTGCATCGCACGTCTCGTCTCGCCGCTCTTCGGCCATCCCCCAAGAAGTTCCGAAGGGGGGGATAGCAGACGGCCTTCGGTCGCAGCTTTCATTGCTGCGCAACGTCTGCACTTGTGTTCCCTCTTGCCCCTCCTGAAGCCTCTTTGATTCACCAGGGGGACACTTCGACTAGCGTGCTCGCTTACTCCTTGGCTTCCTTCCACACCGCGTTGCCCTCGCGCTCAAGGCCACCATCGTAAGCCGCGGCAGATACAGAACCGCGCTCCTGGGAGGCTCCGTCATAGGTGACACCACTATAGGCCCGGTCACCTCAGATTCTACTGCCAGGCACAAAGCAAACCCTCTGCCAAAGAGGCTACTCACGCCATAGCATCCTGTCACCTCCCCCTATACATTATTCATCATGCCGCGAACGTTTATGGACTCTATCCTGCAGCGGCCTAGTCAGAGGTACGCACCGGAACCCATCGCTCCAGCTGCGCCATCTGCATCAGCCTCGTCCTCCAAGGGCGGCTCTGGATCAAAGACATGGTCAGGTCCAACAGACCTACCCAATCGCCCATCTGGCCCCTCTTCTCTTCGGGCCTACAACCCACCTCCCTCGTCTTCTGCAAACTCCAATCGCCCCTCTCGTACTTATGCCACCGGACCGCCGCCGCCAGCTCCCTCTTCCGTCGCTGACAGCCAAGGAACGACCAGGAGTCGCTTCGGCAGGAAGAAGAAGACTCATGTGCGGAACACATCAGAGTCTTCTTATGGGACTGCCCCGATGGATGACCGCGCATCCAATGCCGGTTCAAATACAACCTACATTAAGAAGAGATGGTGGGAAACGGGCAGTCTGAAAGGATTCGGCAAGGGCTCCAGGAGTCGGGCAGGCAGTGTAGCTGGGGAGAGCGTCTTTTCCGATGTTGAACCGGAAGAGCGCAACGGCGGATTGGCTTCGCTGCAACAAAGACAGTACGGCAGCCTGCCCACTCGTAGGGGTACTCGAAGCGACTTCGGAGCTCCAACATCACAATCCTCCAAACCACCGCCCTTGCCCCAACATGATCCTGCCATGCTCAAGGCCATGTCCAATGGGGGAAGGCTACAATCGGGCGTTGCTCCCTTGGGTCAGCAGCCCCCCACTCTCAGGCGGAATCTGTCCTCGACCGGCAGTGTCGGTAGCAACAGACATTCTACACTGGGTCTGCCCAGCCCTTCTCTGGCTGCTCCTCAGAGCTCGGCGAATGTACGACGAGCCAGCAGCGTGGTAGGATCCAGCTCTGCCTCTGATTCGGGATGGGACGACTTTACAAAGCAGATGGCGAAGCGCGACATTGCCCGATCCTGGAGTCGAGCTCCAGGCTCTGTCGGTTCATCAGCAGGTCCCACACAGAGATCTACTGTACTGAATCGAGTGCAGAAGGAGTTGCAGCAGGACGCTCAATTTGAGCAAGTCGCTAGAGATCCTGGCGTGATTCGGGGAGATCTACTCGCAAGAGCGACTAGCGTCGTAGGAGGCATTGCTCCCATTGCCATGCAAGATTCTCTCGTGCCCGAGCTACCTACCAATCTTCGTCCTGGGTCTATTGTGGGGATGACAAGTCTGATGTCCCCAGAAGGACCAAGGTCGACAGCATCCACACCGGTGCCTCTTGCAAGAGCAATGTCGCCTGGTCCACAGTCACGGGCTATGTCTCCTCCACCTCAGTCTCGAGCCATGTCTCCCCCACCTCAAGCTTCTCGAGCCATGTCTCCCCCGCCTCAAAGTAGAGCCATGTCGCCGCCACCTCAAGCGCGTGCTCTGTCACCGCCCCCGCAGGCTAGGGTCCCCCTTCCTACACAACAGCAACAGCAGACGGCCCCTGCGCCGGCGACATATCAGGCCCCAGCACAGCAGCAACAGCCATCCGCAGCGTCGCAAAATGCGCAAAGCATGCCGCCTCAAGAGCAGCCTGCTCAGGCGAGCAAGGTTGTTGAACCTGTTGCATCCCAGCCTTCGGGTCAGCAGCGTCTGCCTCCCCTCCTTCAGACGTCTTCACAGGAGCCTGCTTCCGACTCCTCTTCCTCGTATTCCGAAGAGGACGATGCGGAAGACAACTCATCCTCTTCCGAGGACGAACGACCGCAAACTCTCGGAGTTCTGGCAGAAGAGGAGGAGGATGGCTCTTCGGAGGGAGGCCACGAGATGAGGCCAGGTCCGCGAAGCACCTATCTCCCTCGATCTCCCGCGCGGCAGGGTTCCAGCAGCTCTCCTCATTCGCCCACGAGGTATGCCACATTTGCTGCGTCGGGACAGAGAAGCGCTGGCCTGGGCAGTAGCTCCAATGGTGGCTTTGCTGGAGTGGGAGCACGACCTGCGACTGCTGCTGTGGTGCAGGAAGGTAACACACCCGCCCCCGCGCTACCTCCCGTCCCCGCTGCAGAGCAGACCCTGGCGTCTGAACAGCGCTCACAGCCCGAGGCGCAGCCCGAGGTGCCAGTGAGATCAGAAAAGGAAGAGGTCGCACCAGTGGTCTCTGCTGCCACGGCTGCAACAGAAGCGCCTGTTGAGGAAGAGGTGCCTGCTCCTGCGTCTGCAAATGGCACTGCTCCCTCGCTAAGCGGTATGTCAGAACCCACATCGGCGGACCTCACCGCTGCCGCCTCATCTGCATCAGCCAACACAACAGAGACGCCTGCAGAGCGCTCTCAAGCGCCATCATCAGCGACGGCAGCGGTCGGAGGCGTTGCCCCCGCTCTCGTCCTTGCTTGGAATATGTCAGGCAAACCGCAGCCGCCTCCCCAGCCCGAGAATGTGGCTCCCGTAGCAGAGTCGTCGAAGCCTCCGATGACGCCTTCCAAGAGTCAGTCATCGACTGCCACGTCTCCTCCACCAAGTACGCCTCGCCCACAACTGCCTACTCGCACTAGCTCTGTCAACCAAGCTCTAAAGATACCACAGACCCCGCCGCTCCCTTCCTCCCAATCCGAGGCTTTCACTTCGGCCCCCTCCTCGCCTGTCACGCCGTCCAAGCAAAACGGCTCCGCTCCCATGTTGGGCCGAGCAACTGCCTCGGACGAGACTGGAAAAGCGGTGACCGAGGAGGTTGATTCTTCGTCTTCCTCGTCCGACTCGGGTGATCACTCGAGAGATGTGGACAATGACAGCGGAAAAGATGGCGAGACGTCGTCGGTCAGGACAGCACAAGCTGTCAAGGCAGCTCGGGAAGACAGCCCGAAGGGCGTCAAGTTCGAGAGCGCTGCAGGCGAAGATGATGATAGCAGTGACGAGAGCGTTGAGGATCCGGCAGACGGTATTAGTCCCTCTGGTCGGAGAAGTGCACAGGGCAAAGCCAAGGATATCGATGGCCAGGCTGATACCGCTAGCGTTGCGGATTCAGACAGAACTGCAGAGCAGTCGACTCGCAGACCACTGGCGAGGCGCCTGTCTTCCAGCGGCTCAATGGCCAATTCCTTTGCCTTTTCACACTTCATGGGCTCTAAAATCACCGGTAAATCTTCTTCACGGAGGATCAAGCTGCACGAAGATGATTCAGACTCTGATGGCAATGCTTCGGGCGACGATGAGGAGCTGAAGAAGAGGGCTCTTGTCGAGCAGAACAGGCTGAGGAGCATGAGCGTCGGTGACGACTTCTTTGGGCCCTCCCTTGGAGAAGTCTTGCTAGCCATTGACAACATGGACTTCACGACGGAGACGGTCGGAAAGACCGCTGCCTTGGAGGAAGAGGCGAGAGCTCAGGGTGTCTCGGTAGAGGAGACGACTAGGGCGCAGCTTCAAGCACAGCAGATTGTCAGCGAAGTCAGGCGAAGGAGGGCTGCAGGAGATGTGGATGCAGATCACAAGACTGTCCAGAGCGATGCCGGTGGTCTGGCCGCTAGCTTTGCTGCTCTCTGGCTTGGAAAGCCACTGAATGGAACTGAGGCAGAGCCTGCGAGCGAACCCGCGAGCGAGCCCACGAAGAAAGTCGTGCCTACCAGCGTTTCTGCCATTACCGACTCGCCGGCCAATTGGGGCGGACGATCATCCACGTCTACTGTTACTACCCCCACTAAGCCTGCGAAGGCGGGTCAAAGTGTTCTCGACCGGCCTCGCTTCCGACCAAGCAGGTTCAAACAGATAGGCAGCGTAGACATTCCCTTGGGCAAAGCGCCAGCTGAGGAGCTGCAAGCACCCGTCGATGGGCGATCGAACGTAGAGGCCTTCTACTCCACTGGAGCCACGAGCAACCCATCCTCTCCCGCACAAGCCAAGAAGTCGATCGATCTAGGCGACCAACAGCGCTCGAAAGACAAGCCTGCGCCGGCCAAGTCGGCTCTGAAGCTCCGCCCTGCCAAGTCTCTCGCCGATACCCTCTTTAGTTTCCCGACGAAGAGCCCTGAGAAGAAGCAGGCCAAGGCTGCTCAGAGGGAAGAAAAGGAGAGGGCGAGGAGAGATTCGCTCAATGAGAAGGCTGCGAGGAAGGCTGCTCGCAAGGAGGAGAAGGAGTCAAAGGGAGCAGTCAAGAGCGCAGGCACCGATTCTCCCTCTGGCAAGAAGAAGGAGATCAGTGAGGAGGCGACACCTGCACCTGCTGAGACTGAGGCGCTTGCCTCGCCCACTCCTTCCCTCGTCAAGACGCAAGGCGAGCCAGACGCGCAGCAGAGTAGTTTCAGTCGTCAAAGCTACGAATCAAACCCCACCAAGCCTGGCCAGTCTGCTGATGAAGTGACCAGCTCTGCCACCGATCTCGCTTCGCCACAGGCTCCAGTGGCCAGTGTAGAGGAGCCTGCCGTTGATGAGCCTGCTCAGGCTTATGAGGGTAATGACGTTGAGCGAGGAGAGGCCGTGACTGCAGAACAAGAAGAGTCTGCTAGCCCTCTGCAAGGTCACGAAGATGAGAATGCTGCTCAAATCGAGCCACAATACGCTCCTCAACCCGAGCCTCAGTACGAGCCTCAGTACGAGCCTCAATACGCTTCTCAACCCGAGCCTCAGTACGAGTCTCAGCCTATGCCTCAGGCCGAGCCTCAATACGCTTCTCAACCCGAGCCTCAGTACGAGTCTCATCCGGCGACCCAACCCGAGCCACAGCCCGAACCTCAATTCGGGATGAATATCATCCCACCCACTCCTCCCGTCATCAGTGGTGCGGACGGAAGCAACTACATGTCATATGGTCCAAACACGGATCTGGCACGATCCGCCAGCTCGGCATCTGGAGTCTCTTCTGCGACTGCTGTACCATCTCGTCGTAAGGGTAGCATCCTGCAGGCTGCCGAAGCGTACGGCTTCACACTTCCTCCCGGTCTGACTGCAGAGACCATCGCTGCTTCAAGCGATGCCAAGCCACCGAGAACTCCCAGCTCGCGTAAAAGTGTCAGTCCACGAAGGAGCTCGAGTAGCGATGGTGGTCATTCGTCCTCTCGTCGCGGCTCACACGTGGACCAGCCTCCTGTCCCGGCCATTCCTCGAGATCTTCAACAACCGCCTGTTCCTCCCAAAGACAACGGATCACCACGTCAACAGTCGCCATTGAGACTTCCCAACAATGCTTCTCTCAGCAGTATCTCGCCACCTCCATCGACTGGGTCATGGGCGGGCTCTGCTGCTGCATCGAGTGTAGGCGCAGATGATTCGCCAGCTCGTAGTGGTGGCTCTGGCGACTCATCAGGCGGCAATGCCGGCAGATCTGACATGTATGGCGTGTCCAATATGGCTGCGTCTGATGTGTCTGACACTCGTCGTCAGCCCGCAAGAGTTAGGACGCAGTCTAGCAATACGCAGCTCAATCGTCGTCCTCATCTCATGACTGCCATCAATGAGTGGGAGTCTGCTTCCCCTGTCAATGGTTACGGAGGAAGCGGGTACACTACCCCTGCTCAGATGTCAAGCCCTGTTGATGCTATCTCGCCGACTTCACGAAGCACAGGCTCATTGAGAAACGACGACTCGGCAAGTATTGGAAGAGTTACCCAGTATGGAGCAGCCTCAGAGACCTACCTTCACCCACCTGTCCCACGCTCTAGGATGACAGCAGAGGAGAAGAAGAGGCTCGCTTTCGAGGCCCATGTCAGTGGTAGCGATCGTGTCTACGCTGCTTCCGAGGGGGGGCACGGAGGTGGTGGTGGAAGCGAGTATGGCGGTTCAAGGTATGGCACAGCAAACGGAGGCAGTGTGGATGGCCACGGCGCTCCTCGAGGCACCCAGCGGCCGATGTCTATCATGTCGGGCTTCTCTGCAGCTTCGGTCCCAATGTCGCTCGCAAGCTTGCCAACTGCGCCGACGTCTCGATCCGTCTATCGCCCTCAGGACCCCGTCAAAGCTGCGTCTAGTAGTACAGTTGATGACCGCCTCTACTCTCGTACAACGATGGCGACCATCTCTGTGTCTTCGGGAGCATTCGCGAACAAGCGAGGTAGCAAGGCTCGCAGCAGTAGTACTGGTCGCCCTTCAGATGGACCGGCTCAATCCTCTGCTGAGGCTGTGCCAGAGCATTTGCAAGACGAGCTGGGACTGACTGTACTCAGTCTGTCTGCTCACACGCCTCCACCCCGCAAGATTGGTAGCCACCAGATCTTGGTGCAAATCATCACAGTCGCTCTTGATGAGATGGATCGTATGCTCCTACGAGACAAGGTTCGCTCTGACTCTGCCTACGGCTGGGTCCCAGGTAGATCCTTCTGCGGTAGGGTCATGGAGGTCGGATGGGAGGTCAAGCGCCTCCGCAAGGGTGACATGGTCTTTGGTCTTCAGTCCAACCGCAAGTGTGGAGCCCTGGCCGAGTTCATGATCATTGATCATGACCTTGTCGCCAAGGCACCCGAGGACTGCTTGACTGTGGAGCAGATTGCAGCTCTACCGGCTACCGGTGTTCTGACATACCAGATCGTCCAGAATCACTGCGTGCATCTGCCAAAGGGAGCTCGCATTCTCATCCTCAATGCCCACGATGGTATTGGGCTGCTGACGATGCAGGAGTGTGCCTCCCTGGGTCTCATCATGGTCGCCCAATGTCCTGCCTCGATCAGTGATGGTCTGGCCGTTTGCGAGGCAAATGGTGCACATGAAGTCGTTGTAGGTGAGCCGCTATGGGCGATGAATTCTCTCCACGAGTCCTCCTTCGACCTAGTCATCGACACCATTGGTGGACGACGTCTTTACGACGCCTCTCGCCGTATTCTTGCCTCCGATGGTCAATTCGTGACCTGCTTCGGCGACGAACACAGTTCTGCCAATCCCAACTTCCGCTCACACATGCGTTCCCTTCGACGGACCTTTTTCAAAAAGGACAAGAAGAATATCCGCTACGAGTGGACTGGATTGGAGAATTCAGAAGACTGTAAAGAGGCATTGGAGAATGTGAGGGCGGTTGCTGAGAGTGGAGATATTTGTCCTCGACTGAGGAGTATCTTGCCATTTGAAGACGCCCCGCGCGCCTTTGATCCCGTCACGAGGGGTGGTATCGAGGAGGAACCTGGAGCGGTTGTGGTCAGGGTGTCATAAGAGAGATCAGAGGGAGTGAGAATCAGAGTTGCTTTCTTTGCAATCGATCGAGGAGGGGAACGGCTGAGTCTCCACGACGATGAAGCCACTATACTATTCTACATTTGCTGCTTTGTCACACAATTCCCACATGGTTCATGAATCTCATGCAATGTCAATCTCTTCAGGTTCTGATTTAGTGGCATATTGTGCGGCTCGGACGGAGAGAGGCTGTTTCTTGCTCTTTCTTTGCGGATTACCAGACTAGGTCACGCGGACAGCACAGACAGTCTGTGAGGGAGCGACAGTGTGGCGTATCCTAACCGATCGTTGTCAGCTGCGTATGTAGCCGGTCCGGACTCCGAGGTACAACTTACAAGAGGCCTGTGTATGTGTGTGCGTGTAGATGTGTAAAGGAGCAAGAGAGGGCAGAGGTCAAAGCGGTGCGGTGAAGGGCAAAGGCGATGGGGCTAGCGCCAAGAGGACTGGGTATGTGCAACGGACGTGTCTAGAACCCCACACTCGATCGCTTCGGACCTTCATTTCCTCTCCGTGCACCTTGACCTTTGACTGTATCACAGCCACGTTTGCTGGATCATCCCACCTGACGCCTCTAAGTCGTGGCCGTCGGTAGCTCCGAAGAGGCTTGGAAGCGGGGTATGAGGAGTTTCCCCACAGAGAGAGTGAGTGCGAGTGTGGAGCCCCACGCGACATTTGGTTGTGCGGTGAAACAAAAAGGCTGGGCGCGGCGTCAATCTTGACACTCAGCCCAGAAAGAGGCGTGTCTTGGCACCTGATCCTCTTTGAAGCTTCAAGGCATCAGAGGAGCACAAGAGACTGGAAGTCAGGGCAGTCTGTGGAATCAAATGAGCCTCCGATGGGGGAAGAGGCTATACAGCCATATGAGTACACCTCTGCCCTGCCAAGACGAGGCACACGGCCGAGTATTCAGGGGCGGGACTACCTTGCCGCGCCGCCATTTGACGTCCTCTTCAGCAGAGCTCTGACCTCCAATATCGACGGTCTCAGAGCAACGTCTTGTCTCCACGTCTGACTCTTGTGATGCCTGAATTGTGGGGTAAGGGTGCAACGACAGTCAAGGATGCAGCTCTACCCCGCACTCTCGCTCCATCTCTGCAGGTGCAAGGGTGCTGACAAGGCACTTCGACAGTCCCCCCCACACTTGCTGTACATCACAAAGCTAGACACATTGGCATTGGCATTGCTTGCTCTACTCCTATAAGTATCCGCCCGCTCGTTGACGACGCATGCCTCCACTCCTGCAAAGATCCTTGCCCCTCTCAGCTCGATCCCTCGCTCCCTGCCTGTACTCCAACTCTTGCCTTGCCCTCCCCGAGCAGCCTTGTAGCTATGGCCGCCAATGCCCTCTACCCCACCCAGACCAAGGGTTCCGACGAGAAGTTGGACCCCACCGGATCCGGCTTCCACGATGTCGACCACACTCTTACCAATGAGACCAATACTGTGCACCTCAGTGGTCCCGACGAGGGATACGATCCAGCTGTCATCAAGCGCATTCGCCGCAAGATCGACTGGCGACTCGTACCCCCTCTTTCCGCCCTCTACGCCATTTCCCTCATCGACAGGACCAACATCTCCCTTGCTGCTCAAGCCGGTATGATCCGAGAACTTCGACTGCAACCACCTTTGGCTCGAGAGAATTACTACGGATATGCGGTCATTGCCTTCTTCCCGCCGTACATTGCATTTGAGCTCTTCTCGAATATCGGTATGAGGCGCGTGGGCGCTAGATGGTGGCTCCCTACGGCTTGTGCCCTATGGAGTATCGTCCTGATCGGTATGGCCTTCATCCACAACTGGCAGGGTCTGACTGCGCTGCGAGGTAAGTGATCCGCTACTTCCAACAGAAGGTCAAGGTAGTTGAGGATCTAGACTGACACCTCATTCCTGCCTCCATCTCCACCAGCTCTCCTTGGTGTCTTTGAGGCCGCCCTCTTCCCCGGTGCTACCTACCTCATGTCTTGCTGGTACCTTAGACGAGAGCTCGCCCAGCGACTTACAGCCTTTTACATGGTCGGCGTCTTCTTCAGTGGTCTCAGCGCCCTCCTCGCGTATGGCTTTGCCCAAGCACGGACCGGTCCCAACCTCTACGGCTGGCGTTGGATCTTCTTCGGAGAAGGTCTTCTCTCCCTCGCCATCGCTATTCCTTGCTACTTCCTCATCGTCGACTTCCCTTCTTCCCGCCGCTGCACCTTCCTTACCGAAGAGGAAAAGGCAATCGTCGCAACTCGAATTCAGCGCGACCGTGCCGATGCCCAATTCGATGGTCTCTCCTTGGCAAAGGTCGGCAAGTACGCAACAGACCTCAAGCTCTGGGCTTTCGCTCTGTGCTTCTGCTTCGCTACCCTTGGCTCATACGCCCTCTCGTACTTTGCTCCTCTGATCATCGCCACCATGGGCTTCGAGGGTCGAGATGTGTATCTGCTCGTCTTCCCACCTTACGTCGCCGCTCTACCGTGGGGTCTTACGCTCGCCTTCTATTCGGACAAGACCGGTCGGAGGTTGCCATTCATCGCCATCAATTCAATGATCGCTGCCCTCGGATGCGCCCTCTTTGCCTTCCTACCCAGGGGCAACACTGCCGGCAGATACATCGGTATCTTCCTCTGCTGCGCCGCCGTCAACTCCAATGTGCCCCTGATCAGCTCTGCCTCGCAAGCGTCCATTCGAGGCCAGTCCAAGAGGTCCTTTACCTCGGCACTCGTCGTTGGCTTCGGTGGTCTGGGTGGTATCCTCAGCGCTGTAGTATTCCGACCTCGTGATGCGCCTCGCTACGTCTTGGGTATGAGCTTCGTCCTAGCTTGCCAGGGAGCGACGATCCTCATCTGCCTCTGCCTTGGTCTGTACTTCAAGCGAAGCAATTCTCTTGCTAGCCAGGGTAGGAAGATTATTGAGAACCACCCTGACTTCAGATATCAGATTTGAATCGTACCGGACCACCTTCGCTTGTCTTGCTGTCGTCTCTTCCCTTGCTTCTTTGTATTCCGTGCTTGAGTCTACCCGTGTAAGGTGCCCCTGTAGTCACTCACTTCACTGTGATAACCAATGTCAATGTCATCATCCTCTCGCATGTGCGGCCATGACGCAAGCAAGCGTGCTGCATCAGTCTTGCTCTCCTTTGCGGACGTGAAGATCATACTGATGTGCAATCATTGTGAGCACTGTTTGAAGTAATCGCCGAGATCCAGGCAAGGACAAGGGCAAGTCATAAGGAACGGTCCGCCGGTCGCCCTCGGATCGGAAGTGCACCGGCGGGGGTTGAACTCCAGAACCCTGGTGAGTCTTAACCGCGTAGCGTGCTTGACTGTGCATATGTTCCACCATCATCGTCGACGTCTGGATGGCGCAAAGGACGATACGCAATATAGCCAGCGTGGCCAAGGAAGCTACCAAGTGAGTAGACGAAGTGTTCGGTACCGATGCAGCAGTGATGGGGAGAGCTGCTCATGCCCATGATGGAATGGCACTCGCCTGGCAGAGCTGCAAAGACAATCGTCTGACACCTGCCATTGACTCTGTCCTCTCCCGCTCTCTGCAGGCTCGATCTCAATCTCTCAAACCCAACGCCTCTACCCAGAATACGAGCTCGATGTGTACACCTGACTCCCTCGCAAATGAGCGAGGAGTTCTTCTTCGATACCTTTATGAAGCATGGTCGTCGACCTCAAGTGGCCCACGCCCCAGCCTTCTCATTATACATCAAGGAAGTCCCAAAATTGGCAAGGTGGCTCCGACCCGCTCAGATACCTCTTCATGTGGGTCCTGAATGCTTGACTGGTAGGCATAAGCTAGGGGGTCTTTTCCCGCAGGCCCAAGTCTGGCACAAGGCTCCGCCAGAGGTCAGAGTTTTGCTCCACAGGCCAAAGAGGCTCTTGGGAAAGCTCGCAGTCCACCGCTTTAAAGCTGGCAAGAGAGTCTTTGCGGCCATCAAGTGGAATGTGAAGGTGAACAATCTTTGGAAGGGAATCACTATAGACACGAGTGAGTGGACAGCAGACGAAGTACTGTCAGGATCTTTCTGCTTACTTCAGGCATCATCTCTCCCTTTCCCCTCGTTTCGCAGAACAGGTCCTCTTTGCCATTCCCACCGTTCACGCTCTCGAGCAGCCCATGTCAAGCATGATTGCGGATGCTGAGACGGCCCTGAAGCAGCTTGGCATCAGCGTCGGCCGCCCAGAAGCGAAAGGGAAATGGAGAAAGGGAACCACTCAGACGCACGAGGAGCAGCGGGAGGACCGCGGAAGGGCACGCCCTTTCGGAAGTTGGGAAGTCATCAGCAAGCGCGAAGACGCAAGTACAAAGGCTAAGACGCAGGCGAGGCAGGGACACACTAGCACAGCCGCAGATGATCAGAAGTCATGATTATGAAGGTTTGACAAGGAACGGACGCCCTTCAAAGCTTGCTACCGTCTCCCTTGATAGGCCCACTAGTGCTCCTATTGGCAGCAGCCTCGAACAACGGCTTCAACTCTGTGCGGAACGTCTCGCTCACAAATTTGCCAGTACCGGGACGACCATAGCTGTATCTTCCGACATGGTCCAACTCATCTCCTCCTTCCGAGGAAGGGGTAGGGGTAGGATGATTGAGGGGATTCGCCTCGGCCTCGGCCATGAGCGCCTCGTACACTCTGCCGTCCTTTCTACCCAGGGCAGAGCCGAGCTCCCAGTCCGACCAGCCGAAGGCATCCGTTAGAGGCACAGCCTGCGTCAAGATCTCCTCGACGCTTTGCCTGATAGCCGTCTCAAGGGCCAGGACAGACTGAGGGCCCAGGATGGGCGCAGATCCTTCGCTGCCGCCAGCAAGGGCGCGTCCAGGGCCAGCTGGGAGGACGAGCGGGCTGAGGTCTCTCGCGACGGCGACGAGTCCATGAAGGGCGACGAGCTTGTGCAACCAGGCAGCTGCTTCGGGTCCATAAGCCTCCGAGTCATTCGCTACGCCCTCGGAGAACCAGGCGTCGACGACGACTTCTCCATGCGACTTGGCCACCTCGACACAATCCCACGACAGCTCCACGAAGCGCCTTCCACCCGCTACTTCTGCTCGCAGGTCTGCTACACGACGTGCGCAACGCAGACGGAGAGCATCCCGCCATGCGCTCGGTTGCTGCCACTCGGCAGCAGTCTGAGGGGCCTTGTAGGGGATTGCATTCGGTGTGTCGAGTGCGCGGAGGAAATCGGTGGTATTGGTGACGTTCGCGGAGCCAGTCTTGAGCTCATTGGTAATCTTGAGCATTGCTCGGCCTACTTGCTGCATCAGGACATAATTGTCACCTTCGTATGTGACGGTGGGAGCCTGGTCTGGGAACAGGGATGAGAAGCCAGCATAGGCCAAGAATCCGTGTCCTCCCAGTGCTTGTCGGCATTCTTCAATACCATCCAGGGACTGCTTTGTACAGTATGCTTTGAGTGAGGACGAGGCGACGTGCACGTCCGCAAGCATGGTAGTGTCTCCTGCCTCGAGCTGGGCTGCCATGTCCTCGTACAGGACACGCATGCGCCTTCCTGCGATGATGTATGCAAAGGACTTGGCCAGCAATGGCATCAATCTGCGATTGAGCGAAGGGTAGCTCAGGACAGAGCGCTCAATCTCCCCTTCCTTGGCGTCCGGGTCGCGGAACTGTCTTCTCACGAGGGAGTAGCGTGTAGCGATGGTGATACCTCGAGACAGCATCCACCCTGTTCGGTCGATCATCTGTGATCGGATGAAGATCATACCACCATAGGAAAGCTTGTCCGAGGGTGGCTTGACGTACTCTCCTCCCTTTTTGACATGAGCGTGCTTGCCGAGCATGTTATCGCGGGGAATCTTGACGTGGTCGAAGCGTACCCAGCCATTGTCCAAACCACCAAAAGCGCCGTAGGTCTTGGGTCCAATGTCACCCGCCACGATTCCTGGAAGCTTTTCGTGAGTTTCTAGGGAGCGCATGGGGACAAAGAAGAGGTGAGGACCGTAGCGCTTGCCTTTGATGATCAGCTGCGCTTGTACGATGCCGTGGGTGCAAGTAAGTCCTGAGCCGCCCGCCCACCACTTTGTAGAGGTGAGAGTCGGTGAGTGGATATCGAAGGAGTCGCTTGCTTCGTCGTAGGTAGCTAGCGTCTCCAGTCCCTGAACATTGGTACCATGCCCGAGCTCCGTCTGGAGGTAAGCTCCAAGGATCTCATGGTTCATGGCTCTACCTCCCCATCGTTCCACCTGTTCGCTGTTTCCCTGAGACATGATCACTGGCACAAATGCGACCCAGTGAATAGTAATGGGAGATTGTAGATCTAGAGAAATGGCAGCTTCGATGATCTCCTGTGTGTCCCAGTCTTCTCGTTCGGCCAAGTCTAGTAGACGTCGGCAGGCCTTGTGTGAGACTGCCATTACCTGCTCTCGGTTCAAGTGTAGCCTGAGAAGAAACGGGGGAGGCAAGGTAGTGTTTCCTTTCGAATCAGTACAGCTGATACAAGACTGATCTCCCTTGGTCCTAGCGAGTCACTCACACTCTCTTCTTCCAATCACCAAAAACTTCATCCTTATCCAACGCAGCAATAATCTTCCTCCGACTATCATTATCGATCCTCCCATCTCTTATAATCTCCTCAATCCTCGCCGGATCGAATTGAGCTGAAGAGCGAGCATGCTCAATGTCCTGTGCAGTGGAGAGGGCTACGGGACCGATTGGAATGGGAAGAGTGACTTGTTGCACGACGGTTGAACCTGCAGGACCACGCTTGGGTGTACCGAGGGGCTTGTAGGTGGTGGAGCTTGGGTCGCCTTGAGGCTTGCCCTGACCGGAGGTTGAGGCGCTCGAGGAGGCGGAAGAGGATCCGTTGTGTAAAGCCGGCATAACAGGTGGTGGCGATGGATGAGGTAGAGAGAGAAGAGGGAGAGACAGGTACACTAGAGATGGCCAGGCAAAGTATAAGTACGATGCAAGCTCGCCTGTCTTTATTATGCAGCAGACCGGTACCGGGCAGCCGGAACGCGAGATCTCACTTCCGGCTTCGGCTTGGCAGTGTGTACTTCAAGCGACGAGCGAGGAAAGGGGGGGAAGCTGGAGTGCAAAAGGTCTAGACTACGACGGAAGAGAGAGGAGAGAGAGAGAGAGAGCGAGACGAAGAGAGTTAGCTCATGCTCTCAAGGTGCCTCACTGCTTCGACCCCTTGAGGGCCTTTTGCCTGTGCCTGTGCCCTTCCCCGCATTCTCCGGCCTTTCCTTTCCGTGTGAGCATCGTCGTCGCTTGTCGCTGCTTCCTCGCTCGTTGCATCCCTCGCTGAAAAGCCACCTGCGCCCCACACGCGAGAGGCAACTCAAAGATCAGCCGAGCCCATCATCAACAATGGCCCGAGCCGGATAGACACTCCATCTCGCGTACCAGCCATCTCGCTCGTCAAGGAGGCTGCGTGTTCTCTCACACACACACACACTCACATGAGGAGCGTCGTCAAGATCCCAAGACTCTTCGCGGAGATAGAAAGCCTGCCCACTCTCTCACGGCAGCAAGGCTCGCGCTTACGAGCCAGCTGATCACCCAAGGGCTTTGAATCTGTGAAGTGTATTGCTTGTATCAACATGTGCGGACATGTGAAGGTGTACACGAGACGAGACAAACGTCTGTTGAACCGACACACCGCTATGATCAAAGACATGACCGAGACGCACAGAGGGGGAAAAAGAAAGTGAAACATGCATAAAAGTGCCATAGATGTGCTCATGCTAGATTCTTCGTGACGAAAGGAAGCCATCTTCGAAGGTAGCAATCAACGCAGAGGCAGTAGGAGGCATCGTCTACAAGCAGTCAGGGTCTGCAAGAGAGCAAGCACGTCCGAGTCTATAGTTTCGGTACAAAAGGTATGGTGAGTAAATCGCTGCTGCTGGTCCGGATGATCTCTGCTCGGGAAGGTTGTGGCCTAGCATATCTCAACTAGACGTCCGCATCACTGAGATGCGGCAGAGCCTGAGCGAGTGCTAGCAGCGCCATCGTGTCCGACACTCGTCGTCTTGTTGTCTTCGGCAGCTCCCTCTGCCGCCCTCTTCTCAAGGACAGACTCCATCTTGTCGGGAGCATTTTCGCCAACGGGCTGCTGAGCGCCGGTAGAAGCGTCCTTGCCGAAGCGCCTGACCAGCTCCTCGTCCAGCTCTTCGGACGTCATGTGCGGCTTGGTGATAGACAGGCGGCAAGCATGCGTCATGAAATACTTGGCACTCCAGAAGCCCTGATCGTTGGCCTCGGCAAAGATCAAGTCCATCTCCTCCAGACCACGTCGCTTCGTCTCAGGGAAGAAGGCCCAGATGACGGGGATGAAGGCCATGTTGAGGACGGCAAAGATAATGTACGTCTGGTAGGCAATGGAGCTGAATGCAGGAGGGGTGATCATGACAATCAAGAAGTTGAAGATCCAGTTGCTCGAGGTGGCAATGGCAGACGCCGGAGCACGGATTCTGATGGGCGTGATCTCGGGCGGGTAGAGCCAAGTCATGCCCAGCCAGCCAAGTGCAAACCAAGTGTTGAAGAGGTAGAGGAAGATGGCAGCAACAATGGCCGATGCACCGCCACTGCCAATTGGCGAGTTCTCGACCTTGTAGACGGTTCCTGTCAACACTGCCATCGAAGCGCTCATCAGGAAGGCAGTACCCATCATGAGCTTCCTCCTGCCCAGTGTGTCGATCAAGAAGAGGGCCACAACGGATGCCACAAAGTACTCGGTGCCATTGCCGCAGGTGAGCAATCGAGCGATGTTGTCATTCGGTTGGATGGACAGAAAGACCGTCGTTGCATAGTATGTAATCAAGTTGATGCCACTCAGCTGCTGGAATGCTTGAGCGGTGAATGCGATGCAGGTTCGGTAGAAGTTCTGCTCTGGACCATTGGTGAGGAGCTCCTTGTACGAGAAGTCACCCATGAGCTGCTCCGAGGCGAAGATGGACTCCTCGAGTTGACGGAGGTTGGACTTGATGGCAGGGTCGTCTACGGTGGTGTCATCGGCCTGGGCCAAGATCTTGGCGGCTTGCTCTGAATGGCCCTTCTTGACCAGCCATCGAGGAGACTCGGGTAGACAGAGGACACCGAGCAGGAGCGTCATCGCAAAGACGCACTGGAAGGCGAGCGGGAATCGCCAAGATACCGAGGAGTCTTTGATCTGGTAGAAGCCATAGTCGATCCAGTACTGGGAGGTGTGAAAGGAGCATAGGTGTGTTAGTCAAGCGTGAACAGGGTCAAACCATCCCTCATTGTATCGAGCGTACTCACGGACAACATGATACCGCCTGCAATCAATGCTCCCTCGACCAAGACCAGCATTCCACGGTTGTGGGCCTTCGAGAGCTCGGACTGCCACATGGGAATGGTAGAGGTGTTCATTCCGTTGCCGATACCTGTGATGATGCGTCCCACTGTGAACTGGGCAAGGCCGAAAGATGCAGTCATGATCACAGCGCCGACAGTCATGATGGTGGCTCCAATGGCGATCGATGTCCTACGGCCCATGGCATCTCCCTTCCATAGAATGATGAGGGATCCAAGCAGGGCGCCGATCTCATAGATGGCAACAACGGCGCCTTGTACTGCCGATTGGAAGCGAGGGTTGAGAGAATCACCTGTGGTAGGATCGGTGAGCTCGGTGATGGTGGGGAAAGTGTCGTAGAACCTACAGGATGCAGAAGTTGAACGAGGAGGTCAGTGGCACTGGAAGGAGACCCGCCTGCGAGACCGGTGCTGAGAGCGAGGCCTGGCCTACTCACTGAGTGGTGTTGATGAGACCGCTCATGACTCCTTGATCGTAACCAAAGAGCAGGAAGCCAGTCGAGGCGATCATGGCAACGGCTGCAGTGAGAGTCTTTCCTCGAATGGCATTGCCAGTGAGGACGGGTAGCTGGAACACCATTGTGGGTAGAGAGAGAGGTGCTTGTGGCAGTGAGTTGGGCTAAGAAGTAGTGAGGCAAGTCTCGCAAGATGGGCTGGAAGAGGATGGTCGAGGAGAGGCTTGCGCTGAAATGCGTAGGATACCGAGATGTGGTTGCTGCTCCTTCAGTGTTCTTGAGAGAGGAGGATGGGGGGAGTGAGTGAAAGGAGGGAAAGGAGGAGACGACGGCGGCGATGAGGCGGGGTATGGGGAAAGGCAGGGGGGCGAGGTGGGGAAGAGGGGCCTCGCGCAGAGACGACTGACGTACGGCCCTCGTCTCTGCGCCGTGTCAGCGTTTCTTGGCTCTCTTTGCCGGAGGTCTGACCCTCATGATTATCCATCGTCCGCATGTCTGACTGACAGAGTGACGGAGGGACTGCAGTGTCCTGCCGTCATCGGTGCCTGAGTCCCTCTGTCCGTCCGTCTGTCCAGTGGTGCAGATTTACTTCCGATTCCTTCAGCTGCTCGATTTTTCCTCGGAGAAATTGGCTGAGTTTCTTTGTGGACGCCGACGCCGGGCCGCCGACGTCAAGATGCCGCACCGCACAGCGCCTGGTCTCCCGTGGATCTCACCTTCGGGTCTTTCGCCTCGAAGCTCCTTCCGAATATCTGCGCCGTTGATTAGCCGAGGCGGGAAACTTGGCACGGCTGCACGCATCATGCCCTCCGGAAGTAGGGATCCACCCCCACGCTGCTGCTTGGTAGAGCCAAGGTGCAGAGGTAGGGCAGATTCGGTGAGCGGAGCAGGTAGTGCTTTGTGCAGGAGGCATGGACAAGGAGCAACAAACAGTCTCGGTGCAGAGACCGTCAGCAGGAACGTACAGCTCCCGCGCGTGAAGGCAGTCGAGCCTAGAGAAGGTAGCCAAAGCACTGCATAAGGCAGACGAAGACTCGCGTAGAAAGGCGTAGTCAAGAGACAGAGACATGACTGATGCAGGTGACTTCGACTGATCGATAGCCTGTGAGCATTGAGATGATCCAGCAAGGGACCATACGTGGGAGACGGCCACTAGAGTCGACTCGTTGAGGAAGTGAAGCAAGGTAGGATTGGTGCGAAGGTAGGGACCACAAAGACAGTCGGAGAACGCTTTCCGACGAACCAGAGCATCACCTGTGCAGGATGTCAAGGTCCGCTGCTCACCGTCTGTTTCCTGATGCTACTGTACTCTCGTCTTGCACGAAGGCTGGGCTCGTTCCGATGTGTCTCCGGTCCGTTCTCAGATGCACGAAGCTGGCCTGATGTAGTAAGTCAACGATGAAGTGGAAGCAGTCACGGTGAAGGCGTCAGCGTCGGGAGCAATGAAGCGGTGAAGGGTGTGGTGAGAACGCGGATGATAGGTCAAGTATTGAGAGTGGTTTCACAGGTAAAGAGGTCCATAAGGTAGCGGCCAGCACGAGTCACTTGCATGATTGCATTCCAAAGTGACCACTTTGCCCTCTTTACGACAGCCTGACTGCGACAAAAGGTGGTAGCAATGACACATGATGGCTGTATATCAGCTAGGATGAACAGCGTTGGGATCGGCACAACAAGTACATGGGGATGTTTGGATGGTCCGGTAGGGGTCGACTAAAAAGCTCGTCCCTGACATGAATTCTAACGTGGCCAACTCTAGGCTGATGAAGGGAATCGTCTATATGCTATGTTACTAAGGTGTAAGAGCGGTCAGGCACCCCGCACGGGACCGCGCCCTCAGAGCTTGAGCCCAACAGCCTGCAGTTGGATCCCTCCTCGTCTTCTCTTCTCTTCGTCACATTCCTCACCCAACCCACCTATCCTGACCCATTGTACGAGCTGCTGACTACCATCGTCTTCCTCACCAGCATCGCACTACTACTCAGCAGCTTCGCACTGCTCATCACCCGCCTTGTCCAATTCGAATCTCTCCTGCCAATCACAGCGTCTTGTCTCACACACTCTGTTGAACGCCTATCCCTGCAACACCTAGCCATTCTACCATGCTCGGCGAGAGTACTATCGCCAGGACCCTTGAGGGGGATCGACTCGTCAGGGAGCTGGGCGATACGGCAACAGTCTTTGACTCGCACGGCAGGCCTATCGAGGTTGTCATCGGACCCTCAGAGCCAATGGACCTCGCGTACGAGGTATTCCATTATCACTTGCATGCGAATGAGGCCGCCCACGGTCGTGCGCCCCTCGTTAGCTACTTCGTAGACTGGAAAAGGTTTTGGACGGGAGCTGGTGACAAAGAGGAAGCTGTACTCGAGCCAGCTGGAGACGAGAGTCCACGGTTGATCACGGCGAGTCTTCGAGAGGGCCAGGGCAGCCTGGATGACACAGCCCTCGCGGAGCTGCAGGGTTGTCACCTCATGGCCGCGCAGCCTGATGCGGCGGCCCATGACGGGCCCTGCCGCTGCCTCCAGGAGGAGAGTACGAAGCTCACTGTCGATCCAAGATTCACGTACTCGCTTCCGAGTCAACGCCAGGTGAGGCTGGATCTTGGCGAGGTTCGGCCCGAACATGCCGAAGGCCGGTTGCTCGAAACCTCGGCGACGGTTGCGGTCGTGCTCTCTGTGCTCACTGTGCTCGCTGTTGTTGTCGTCTTCAGACTGCTCATCGTCATCGTCGTTGACCAGACCGGCTGGGTCTGGCGCCCAGTATTGGCGCAAGCGACCAACCTTGATGCCGAGGCCGATAGCCACCTCCCGGGCGTTTTGTATCAATTGTCGGTGATGGATCGACTGCGACACCGTGTAAGCGGTGCGTTGTTGATCAGACAACCGTCGGTGTCGATCAGACCAGCCAAGAGGGCGGCACGAGCTTCTTCGCTTGCTGTCTTGCACAGGTCGGGAATGCCGGTCTTTTTATGGCTATCCCAGATCAGTAAGTCTCGCATCCGATCGACGTAGGAATTCCCGTGCGTATCTGTGCGCGCACTACCCGAGATTCGAAAAGTGTAGCAGTCTTGATGACTGATGCCATTGTCCAAGTCACTTGCAGGGATGTCAGTGATTACGAGGAGAGTGCGAAGCTCACTGTTGATTCATGTCCGTCGCAATCGCTTTCGCTCTAGAGAGATGTGGGATTGAATCTTGGCGGGGTTGTCCCCAAAGAGCCCCAAGGCTACCTGTGGGAGCATGCATTGCGCATTGGTAGGGTCCGGGGCGTCGTAGTCGCGCAAGCGTGTTGCTTTGATGCCCAGAGCAATTTCGCGCACGTCAGTCAGTAGCTGGCGATATTTGGCTGCCTGAGAGACGCTGTAGGCCGTGCGAATATTGATTGCGCATCCGTCCGCATCCGTCCGTGTCAATGAACCCGGCAAGTAACGCCGCTCGCACTTCTTCACCGGCGTCCTTGTAGACGTCCGGGAGCCCGACCTCTTTGTGATTTTCCCCAATGCCGAGCACACGCATGAAATCCAGGTAGGGATTCCAATGGGTAGTGGGTCGTCCACTCCCTGAAATCCTGAACGTGTAGCAGTCCTGGTTACTGACTACTTCGCCCAAGTCGTTTGCTGGGTAGTGCGATGGCGAGGTGAACGGGATCCGTTCCATCCGGCTTGCGTGCGTTGAGCTCGTCAACGATCGCTTGACAGTTGGCGTGGATGGGCGCGGCGTCGCTGGCTGCCGCGGCGATGGTTGGAGCGTCGTGATACCCATCTCCAAGCCACCAACCCAACCACTGAGGGTCGAGTGGTAGGTCGGCGGCGGCGACGCCCTCTGTTGGCAGCAGCTCAATCCGGAAGCGTCCCATCTTGAGGAATGACCCAGCAACGGGAGCGCCAGAGTCAAATTCCTTGACGTGAGGAGATTCCACGTACTGCTGTGCCGTGAGCACGTGCGTTTCTCCAGCCAAGAGCGCTCCGGAGTCGACGTGTGCAAAGAGATGGGAGCGGAACGCGTTGCCGATGTGTTCCGCTTGTGCGGCAGTGGTACAGTTCAAGGAGAAGGTGCGTGTCGCACCACATCAGCAGGACCTTGGGTCTTGCAGGCGTTGTTCGATCCTCCTCATGTGCGAAGCCGAATGACTCTCGTCTGCCAGCCAAGCGTCTGAGCTTGGTGCAGGCGGCGGCATGTCCTCGTCGCTGCTACCGGCGTCTCCCACGACTGGCTGGGTCTGGCGCCCAGTACTGACCGAGACGACCCACCTTGATTCCCAGCCCGATCGCAATCTCCCGAGCATCTTCGATCAGGCGTCGGTGCCTGACACGTTGCGACAGTGCATACGCAGTGTTATTGTTGACGACGCAGCCATCTGTATCGATGAAACCCGCTAGGACCGCCGCGCGAACATCCTCACTTGCACCTTTGTACACCTCCGGAATACCGAACTCCTTGTCATTTGCCCAAATCCGCAGCTCACGCATCGTGTCAACGTAAGGGTTCCAGTGCGTGCCTGGACGCGCACTGCCTGAAATCCTAAACGTGTAGCAGTCTTGACGACTGACACATCTCCGGAATTGTTGGCTGGGATCAGGCTCACTGCAAGATGGAGAGGGCCCATTCCTTCTGGTCGGCGAGCATTGAGTGTTTCCACGATGGCTTGGCATTTGGCGCGTATGGCTGCTTGGTCCGAGGCGGCTGCAGCGATTGTCGCGGCGTCGTGGTGCCCATCTCCGAACCACCAACCCAAGGACTGAGAGTCCAATGGCAGAGAAGCGGAGGGGCCACCTTCCGTGGGTAGGAGTTCAATGGGGAAGCGGCCCATCTTGAGGAATTGGCCAGGCACGAGCGCTCCGGTGTTCGACTTCTTGACGTGTGGCGAGTCAACGAGTCAACGTATCGCTGTGCGGTCAAAGCGTGAGTCTCTCCAGCTAGGAGAGCCTGGGGATCTATGTGCGCATATAGATGGCTTGCCAAACCGTCTCTGAGGTGCAGAGCTTGAGCCTCGTTTGCACAGTTGAGCGAAAATGTTCGCGTGCCCCCGCACAAACAGACGTTATCGTCCTCATGCAGGGCCAGAAGGTGCAGTAATAGGCCTTGGAGAAGGTGTTGGCTGAAAGATGTGGTCGAAGCGGGGCAACGATATGCTCAGCTTGCGCCTCAGTCTGGCAAGTGAGCAAAATCGTTCCTGTCGCCCCGCCTCTGCAAGCATCATCATCTTGTAAGTGGGCTCCGAGACTGTTGACGAGTTTGATGGAATAGTTAGGACCTTCTAGGCAAGCGTCCGAGCTTGAAGCCGCAGACTGCGTGCGATTGTCTTGCTATCGTCGCTCGTGTCCTCTTCAGGCTCTGACCTCCTGTCGTTATCTAGATTCCACGACGGATCGCTCGAAGGGGTCCTCGGCGAAGAAGAGAGCAGCAACGGCTGCGACTGCAAGGCAGAAAGTGAAAGTCTTTGCCTTCGCTGGGTTGGGGAAGATTCGTCTTGCTGCTCCGCTTCTTCTTCTTCTTCCTTATCCTGATAAGAGACCTCGAGGCGCAACGCCTCTGCCAAAATCTCGTCGTCGATCGAAATGTGGCGAGTGCGTCGTGTATGCCACTGTACTCGCTTTCTAATCTGGGAATTTGTAGGTGCATTGACATTGGCTTGGCAATGCTTGGGTGTGACCAGAAGAATTTCGTGTTCTGCGTCACCCTGCAAGCTTGTGAGGTCAACACGACCGCGGACTGCCACGTCGTGGTACAGAGGGTATGGGAAAATCTCAAACGCTTGGCTCATACCTTCCGCTTCCCTGGGACTGGTGTCAACCTCTAGAAGACGGGTATGGGAGTCCTAAAGGACAGCCTGGGGAACCAGCTCGCTGATCCTTCGGATCACTCGGATTGCTGACAATTGTGTCGACACCGAGCATGTTAAGCTAGAAGCGGTCGACTGGTGTAGGGTCGAATTGAGAACGATCGCTTAGAAAAGCGTAGGAGATGACAGCAAGATTGGAAGCGCCAGCGACATACAAGATCGTGAGGCTTGTATTTGATCGACGATCGGTGTTTGCTTCTTTACGAGGAAGACATTGGGAATTAATTGCTTTCGGAGAACACTTTATGCGATGGACAGACTCGAATTCCTATAGTCCTAGTGTGAGGTTGTGCTCGGTAGTAGACTCTCCGAAAGAGGTGATCGTGCCTTCTTTTCTAGGCCGGAGATCCCCGATGATGGTGGTTTCACTGAGCATGTCGAAATGTTGCTTTCCATTGAGATATGGCTGCATAGACAAGTTCCCACGCCTCGTTGACCTTGAAAATATCAGATCTCTGTGTGTCTGGTGACGAAGTCGTTGAGTGCAAGGTCCGGTGTGGTGAAGCACTGCCATTGTGCTGTGGCTTTAGCTAGAGTCTAGCGATATTCATCTGCGGTGGCAAGAAGTGGGCATGTCAGCTCTCTGTCTTCTCCTCCAGACGAGCTGGCCTGCAGTCTGTGACTCACTCTCTGCTCCGGTGAGGGACTGCTGTCTTGCACCGTCGACTCAGCAAGTGCACTGTTGAGGCATGAGACTTCGTAGAAGCAGTGGTGACTCGTTGATGGAGGGTTGGGTGTGCAGAGGGTGAAGGAAAGATCTCTTGGTTGGTAGACGCAGCAGTGGAGCTAGGAGGGCGATGACGGATGAAGGGTGAGCGTGCAGATGTGTGGTGAGATTTGTGTGAGGGTGCTAGCTTGACGCTGTAAGGCTCTTGTCTGTGTGAATGAATTCAGTAGCTTGGATGCGAGGTGTGGTAGGTGAGAGAAGGAGGGAGAAGAAAAAAAAAACTGAGAGCGCAGAGGGATGTGCTGGACACGAGCACATCACATCACAGCAGGGACGCTGCCCTGACGGTACCTGGCCGCAGAGGGTGCGTGGGCCAAGGTGCTCCCCTGAGCGGATCGGAATTCAGGCACCTGCCGCCCTGGAGGCTCTTCACTGGCGTCATCAGACCGGGGGGATTTCACTTGTGTGCTTCCGATTCCGATGCATCGCCTCTGCAATGTCCGTGCACGCACCGCATCGCATCGCCGCTTCCAGAGTACCACCGCAGCCTCCCAGGACGTAGACACGATCACAGGCAACCTCCTCGGAATGACAATGATGATAGATAATTCACTCGATGTAATTGAAACAAGCATTGATCGACAGATGAGGCGGCGTGGCCGGACATTTGCAGCCAAAGTAAAGTAGAACGGCGATCCGCGCGCAAGTACTCCTCCTACGCGTTATTGGGACCAATCTGGTTACCCACAACCCTCTTCCTACCGCCACCAAGGGTACCTCTGTTTGTGTCACCAATAGGAGGAATCCATTTGCTCGTGGTCCAAGCCTTGTTTGCGGCACCTGACTCGTACATGTAGTCTACTTGCTCCAGGGAGAGACCCTTGACCTCCGGCAGGCAGAAGTACACGAAAATACCAGCCGTGTAGGTAATGCTACCGAAAATGAGCAAGATATAGGTTGAATACTTGCTGTTGAGGCCAGGACTGAAGTATGAAAGCATAAAGTTCCAGAACCAGTTGCTTGCGGCACCTAGAGAGATGCACTTGGCTCGGGTACTTTGAGGGAAGGACTCGGAGAGGTAGATCCAGGGAACGGGACCCCAGAAGGTGCTGAAGAAGACGAGGTGGATGACGGCAAAGGCGATGAAGGCACCTCCAGCAGACTTCTGGGCGCTGGTGAGGGCATCAGGAGGGGTGCCACTGGGAGCGAGCGAGAAGTGTCCAACAAAGGCGACGATGAAGGCGCAGGTCGCGCAGCCGACGGAACCGACTAGGAGCGAGTTCCTTCGACCCACCTTTTCCACAGTGATGAGGGCGGGGACTGTGGCGAGCAGCGAGACAGCTCCGAGGATAAATTGGATCTGGTACGAGTCGAGTGATACGGCGGCAGACTGGAAGAAGACGGGGCCGTAGTAGTAGTAGAAGTTCTGTCCGTTGAGTTGCTGGAAGGTCTGGACAAGCATACCCTGCAGAGTTCGTCGCCATAGCTGCTTTTCGCGAGAGAAGCACCTGAGGTAGGCAGTGAAGTAGTTGGTGCCAGCAAATGCCTCTCGCTCGGCGCTGATGAACTGCTCCATCTCAGCGAGTTCATCCTCGAGAGCAGCGTCACCACGAGGACCTTCGGGGGTATCGATGAGTTTGAATCCTCGCATGGAGGCCATCGTCTCTCGTGCTTTGAGAACATCTCCCCTCTGAAGGTTCCATCGTGGAGACTCTGGCAGCATTGTGACCAGTACAATGAGGATTAGGCCCCAGAGCATCTGCATGCCCACCGGAATCCTCCAGGATGCAGACGAGTACTCGGCGGTGTGCGAGGCCCAGCCGATACCGTAAGAGAGGGCAATACCGAAGATGATGAGAAGCTGGTAGCCAGAGACCATCATACCTCGGATAGCCTTGGGTGCAGTCTCTCCAAGGTAGAGAGGGCATAGACCAGAGAGGGCTCCGACACCGAGACCAGCAAAGACACGTCCGACGATGAATTGAGGGATGGAGGTGTCGGTGGAAACCTGAATGACGGCGCCGACGGTGAAGGAGACGGCCCAGATGATCATGCTCCTCTGACGACCGATGTAGTCAGAGATGGGAGCCTGGAGGAGAGCACCGAAAAAGGTTCCAGCCGAGAGGGTGGCGTTGAGCACGGAAATGGTGTGGTCAGGGAGACTCCAGGTGTTAGATCCGGGCATAGTCTCGGAACCACCGAATCGCAGCACGAAGTCCCTCATGATCAGAACACCACTGATGACACCTGTCGCAGCAAAAGGGCAAGAGCAGATGTAAGAGTCAGCTTCTGCGGTTCCGTGCCACGAATGTGCTGTCGAAAATCCTCATCGATCCGCTTCATCGCTCCTCTGCTACTCACCAATGTCGTAACCGAAGAGGAAACCTCCAGCGCAGATGGTCATCATGAGCAGCAGACAACGGGTGGTGACCTTGGATGGCACTTCCTCGGGGATGTCACCGCGACCGGCCATGTGCTCATCGGAGGCAGAGCGGGTGGTGCCCAAGCCCAGATCCTTCTTCTCATCCGAGGCGTAGTCGGGATGAGCCATTGTGAGCGAAGTGGAGAGTACGCAATATGTAGGGGTGATGTATGTCAAGCTAAGATGGATAGGTAAGGTAAGGGCTAAGAACGCGGAGGCCTTAGAAGAGGAGGCTTAAGAAGAGGAGGAGGAGGGGGGTGAAGGATAGGAGGATAGGAGGTGTGGGCGAGGAGGACAGGGGTTTATATAAAACCTGGGGAAGGAGACGAAGTTTATGAATGGAAAGAAATGGATGCGGGGTAAAGGCACCCCAGGTGCTCCTTATAGACGATGCAGCCGGGGCTCCGGGCAATGTGACATCTGGGGTTGACCTGGGGAATGCCGATGAGCCCAACCCAGATGGAAGCTGCTCCAGAGATTCCCGATCAGACAGCGTGTGCCCAGTGTGGGGGAAGCTGGAGAGAGGGTGCGGCACAGCGTGGGAGAGGGCCGGCGAGGACACGGGGGGCGCGGCAGTGACGGCACACGCGCCTTGCTGCGAAAAAAAAAAAGCTCACCGCCGGCGTGGCACGAGGTGGCAGATGCGAGTACAGTGCCCAGATGCCCCGCTCGGCTTTCTCTTCAGAGATGCACCAAGGCACAGCTGCTGCAGCCAGTACCTGGCATGGGCTGGCGCTGCTTGGATCTTACTCGGCTCCGCCGGGCGCCTCCCATGCGTAGCGTCGCCAATGTAGACAGCGGGGCTCCGCCCTCTACACCCGCTTAGGGCCGATGGGCTGATGCGCTTGATGTGCAGGCATTGCTCTCCCAGCTCAGCTAAGTAAGGGCGCCTTTTACAGTCCGTCTGCATAGCACGCGTGTTCTGGACCTGCGTACAGAGTCGCATCCTGGCGCTCGCATGTCGTAATGGCTGTACATATCCAGGACTCAACCGCCTCGGGATTTGCCTTCTCGGAGATCTTTCCCAGTGGCAGCCATGGCGCGATTGAAGTAGGATCTGTAGAGATTCCCGCGTGTGTGACATGTAAGCGAGGAAAGTTCCCGGCAAGGAGATCTCCGAGGTCGGCCCCAGTCGTTCGCACGGAGTAGAGGCGAGGACGCCAAGGGGGCCCACTAATCTGTAGGTCGGCATAGTCGGTTCGAAGGGGGTATCAGCAATCACCGGGTTGATCTGCTTCCATCAGGCACAACATCGATTGAGTGCTTGGCCGATACAGTCTTGAGCTCCAGGAAAGCTGCAAGACCTTTAGCTCGCTTCCACTGTACACTGGTGCCGAGCCTAGTGATCTTCTCCGAGGTGGCCTCGAATTGGAGCCGTTAATGCCGTGAAGTGGGCCACACGCTAGCCTGGCGCCCTGCAGGCCACCTTACCTCACACACGTCCTGCTTCTCCAAGCTGAGCACACAGGGAGCATTGCCAGAGGAGGAAGGCTTAGGACTTGATGCCCTGGGCCAGTCGAGAGCTGCTCTCAGCGCTTCCCTCTGTAAGAGTCACGCGTCTGTGTGAACACTCGTCCGTCAGGTCGTAGCGCGGATAGAGATTCGCATTCTTGCCTTCGACCCAAGGAATGGCACAACTTTCGAGGCTGATGACAGCGCTCACCTGCCTTCCTCTTCAGCTCCCAGTACTGCAGATTCCGTGACCACTTGCACTCGGCCAGCGAGCTCCTCGCAGCCCGATCGAAGACGAACAGAAGTCGGCGTCAGCTCAACTGACGGCAGCAGATCTCTACTGGCATGGTCTCTTCAGATACGACGAGAGCTCAAGACTGAGGTGAGTTGATGCGAATTAAGCCACTGGGCTGCTTAGTCCGGGCTTCTAGATAGGCGATAATGTCTCGGTGATGCTGATTCTCCAGATTGCGGCAGCGTCATCAGCTTCGTACATTATGAGTTGAGTCAATTTTCAGGAAGGAAGAGTACGAGTAGGCAAGATGACGAGTAGGCAAGGTCTCAAGATCTCGAGAGAGGCTTCGGATGTTCCCGGCATACATGCAGTTTACCTTCGGGAAGAAATCCTGCAATTGCTTCGACCATTTCGGAACCTTGTTCCTGAGCGAACCCCAATGCTTCCTCCGAAGAACAGGCACACGCAGAGCAGGCCTTCGACTTGCTGTTACGTCGCAGGTGCGAGAGCAAACGAGGTGGAAAGCCGACTCGGACATCTCTCAAAAGAAAGACCAGGGCGCAATTTCATCACTGAAGTCTCCGGAAGACCGCCTGTCGGAACCCTTCCAGATCCTCAAGGGGGAGAGACAAATTGCTGAGAGGTCCTGAACAATGGTCTCAGTATACATCCTTCTTCACACCTCAGGTCACACCTCCCTGAGAACAAACTCGAAGTAGCAACAGACTATAACATACGGCACCTATCGCAGTCCACATTCAAGAACGACCATAAAGCCGGCGGAGAGATTCGCACGGTATACAGGAAGTACGCATGTTCGCATCGGTCAAGACAATGACTCTCCTCACCTCTCCTCTTGCCGACTTTGAAGGGCTGTCTCAGAAGTCAAACCAGGTGGTGAGCCCCATAACATTCTGTGGATCAATTTCGGCCCGCAGGGTTTTCAACCTCGCAAGGTTCTCCGGCGGGTACATAGCACTCAGTGCAGTGCCCGCGCCAGCGTAATTCGGATAGAGGTATGCATCGCTCAAGTCTTGTCCTTCAGCTTGAGCCATGGCTGTGAGCGTCTTGCCAAGGTCTACCAGCTGCTTGCGCCAGTAGACATCATCGGCTGAGCTAGTCCAGGCAAAGTAGATGGCCTGGGGCCACGCGTTCGAAGAGTGGTCCCAAGCGGCGCTCTTGGCCATACCAGGAAGAGTCGAGGCAAACGGCTCTACCTCAATCGATGTCAGGGTTGCAGAATGGCTCTTCCCTAGTGTTGCAACGGTCTTGGCTATGTACTGGAGCATCGGCACAGAGAGCGTCTTGACTGCGAAGGATTCAAAGCCGCCGCGCTGGCCTTTTTGCAAGTTCGAGGGAATGGAGCTCACAAGACTGGAGAAAGTTTGCACCTTCCATCCATCGATCAGCCAACTGATACCGTCGAATGCATCCAAGCTACCGGCAGGAGCTGAGGTGCCTGGGTAGTAGGCCAAGACGATGGCCCTAGGTATGCCCAGCTCGCTGTTCAAGGTAGTAATGATCTGAGCAGCAGATGCAGTGTTGTTGGCGGCAAACTTGGCAGTAGCAGAGATCACCTTCTGGACATTGGCATCGCCGATAGCGATACGATAGCCTCCATAGACCTGGGCAGGTTGAGGATGAGCCTTGACGGTGAACGAATACACGATGCCAAAGCGATTGCCTCCACCGCGGATTGCCCAAAAGAGATCGGCATTGTTGGACTCGCTCGCCGTTGCGAGGGTTCCATTGGGCAGCACCATGTCCACCGAGATGAGATTGTCTGCTGCTAGACCGAATTGATTGCTCAGCCAGCTGTAGCCTCCGCCTCCTGTGTGATAGCCTCCCACCCCAACACCTGCCACTCGACCGCCGACGACATTGTAGCCTGTGCCCTCCAGAGTGTTGTAGACTGTATCCCATGTGACACCTGCACCATAAGTAACCTGCTGCGTGTTCTTGTCCAGACTAATCTCATTGAACTTCTCCAATGAGATAAGCACGCCATCTGTGCTGGAAAAACCCTGGTTGCCAGTGTGGCCACCTGCCACCACTGCGAACTTGGCCCGCTTTGCCGCAATAGTTTTGAGCGTCGCTGCGAGGTCTTGAGCAGTGGCCGGCTGGACAGTGCAAGTGGACACTTGGGAGGAAGTGATCATGTAGTGCTGGTCCGCCAAGTCGAAGAAGGTAAAGGGGGTCACGACGAGGCTAGAGGCCGAGGAGGACAAGCTGAGCGCGGCGCAGGCATGTAAAGACGTTGTGTTGACTGCTCCTCTGCTCTGAAGCGGCAAGGATGAAATTGCTGGAGAGGCAGTGGTGTTGACGCTGAAGGCGATGGAACAGAACAGGATGAGCTGAGCCAACACCCGCAGAGTGATTGGAGACGTCATGTTGGACAGAGTGAGCGTTGGTCAAGGGCAGTAGCTATGAGCTAGATCGACACCGTCGGGTTTTATCTACAAATGGGAGTATGGAGGCTATCACTCATTGACACGGGCGGTCTGACTCCTGATCTTCCCGAGTCCTTCAAGACAGTGCCAGTGTCCTTGCTTCCTGACAGCCCTGATAGTCCTAACAAGCGGCGGTCCGGCCCGAAGAAGTCTTCTGTTGCAGCTCATCGCTGACCTCGGCATTGTCAAGTGCAGCTCTGGACCGATGCAGATAGCATGATTTGTTCTAGTCTGCGAAGGTCTCCATGCCAAGTAAGAGGCCCGAGCGCTGCCTCCTACAGATCGTCCCAGATAGTGTCAACGCCGGCCTTGCTGTGATGGCGCAGCTCTCCAGTCATTTCTGCATTAATCGTTCTTCGACAGGCTTCCGATCGCCATTGATTGCTCAAGACCTGCTGTGCGTCAGTAAAGAAGAATCTTGCGCCGCCAAGAAGATCTACACTACTGTGACTTGCACTTGCTCAGCTGTGGAGACCGCGGGGCACAGGCGACAGAGGCTCGAGCGCGAGTAGGTGCGCTCCTTCTTGACACAACACAGAGAGTGCAGCAGGCTCGTGAGGCTTGCCATGGCTTGCTGAGGGCAGTGGGGACAAGGGACGGGAACGTGGAGCTGCCTGCGTGCTACGTACTGCTCTCCGCATCACAAACACATCATAAGTGCACGTCAAGATGCGATCGTATCGGGTGTTTGTATGCTTTGAAAAGGTTCTTATTAGCGTAGTAATACTAGAGAGGTGATGTGATCGTCTTGTGATGTATACAAAGATGCTTCTATCCTCCACTCGTGCGAGCCTACTGACCCTGACCCGCTGTCGACCGCCCTCCCTCGTCCTTCTTGTCCTGCTGTTGGCTCTCAGCTTGTGCATCGGCTGGAGTGGCAGAGGCGGCCCCAGATGCAGAAGCGCTCGCCTTCCCTGCTTCCGCCTTGCTGTTCGAGTCTGCCGCTGATGACTGAGTGTTTTCCTTTGCTTCAGGAGCTATCAAAGTCGAGAAGGAGAAGAAGGCGTTGCGGGTCAGCATCTCTGACCGAAGCACATTGAGCGTATCAAGCAAAGCCGGCATCGCTCCATGCATAATCTCTTCTCCTTCATATCACCGGTGATCCTCACCTGATGCTCAGATGACCTCGAGAAGCAGGCGAGCAGCCGAAAGTGCGAGTAGATGATGGTGGTGGGGAAGGGTCCATTGCTGTCTACCGCTCCGATGCTGCATCCTCCCACTTCTCGAGGGTCATCACAGGCGGAAAAGCCGATCACCAACTAGTCCCGCACTTCTTTCGTACCTCCTCACTTTCCCATCAGCTTCTTCCAGAATCCACCCAACAGTCCGCTGCCTCCCGATGTATCACCCGATGATTCTGCCTCCGAAGATGATGACGTACCAGATGAAGATGCGCTCCCACTTGCGGTCTCGTTTCCTGCTGCCGAGGTTGAGCTTTGCTGTTTTGAAGCTGCGTCCGCGCTCGAAGGAGGTGGAGGAGTTGCGGTCGATGAGGGTGTTGGTGAAGGCTTGCTAGCTGCGCTCGTCTTGCCTTCAACCTCGTCGGCATACATCTGCAGAATCTCCTTCTGCCGCTTGGTAAGACTCCTCGGGATAGCCACTTCGAATCCCACGAGCAAGTCTCCCTTTTCGCCTCTCCTCATCAAGCTCTGCACACCCCTTCCCCTGAGCAGCATCTCGTCTCCGACTTGCGTTCCAGCTGGAACACGCACATCGACGTCTCCGTCTAATGTGGGGACCCTGACTTTACCTCCCAGGAGCGCAACGTGCAGAGGGACCTTGGCGGCAAAGTGAAGATTGGAGCCTTGCCTCCTCCAGATGTTCGATTTCCTCACATTGATACGCACAAAGAGACTGCCGGAGGGTCCTGGACCGCTGAGTGGTGCATCTCCCGCCCCTTCCAGTCGAATCTTGGCGCCATCGTCGACGCCTGGTGGAATTTTGACCTGAACAGTCTTCTTGCCTCTTACTCTGCCGACTCCATCGCAAGAGCCACAGGCATCGCCCGCTGCAATGGATGAGCCGGCTCCGCCACAGGCAGGACATGTGGATGCCATCTGGAACCCGCTCTGGATGACGAATGTCCTGGTACCTGTACCGTTGCAGACGCCGCAGGTCGTCTTTTTGGCCCCCTTCTTGAGACCCTGGCCCGAGCAAGGGCTGCACTTCTCAATGGGATTGATGGTGATGCTGCGCGTAGCTCCTCTGCAAGCTTCCTCAAAGGATATATTGACGCCCGTCTCGAGATCGTCACCCCTGCTCTCTCCGGCAAAGCCTGCGCCTCGAGCTCGTCCACCGCCTCCTCCGCCACCAAATGCTCCAAAGATGCTGTCGAAAATGTCCGAGGCGTTGCCTGCGCCAGCTTGCCCTCCAAACCCGCCGAAGCCACCGAAAGGTGAGCCACCTCCGAACGGGTTTCCACCTCCAAAGCCGGCAGCGCCAGGTCCGTCAGGACTACCGTACTGGTCGAAATTCTGCTTCTTACTTTCGTCGCTGAGTATATCATATGCCTGCTGAATTTCTACGAATCGCTCCTTGGCCTTGTCAGACTTGTCTGGATTGACGTCAGGGTGGAGCTTCTTGGCCAAGTCGTAGTAGGCCGACTTGATCTCCTTTGCAGATGAAGACTTCTTGACGCCAAGGGCAGCGTAAGGGTCCTTGACGGACGCCGATGTGCGTGGGGTGGAGGAGAAAGAGCGGTTGAAGGTGGTCGAAGCGGATTGTGAGAGGGAACGAGGCCGCCTAGGATGCCTTGCGTGAGCGGCATTGGATGATGTCGAGTAACATTGTTGACGCTGCAATGGCGGTGATAACGAAGAGGGTCCGGCAGCGGCGGCAGCTGAGCGAGTGGCCAGATTCGCAGCTGCTAGCGAGGACGAGGTGGTGGCCGTTGCCGCTCGGATGAGCAGAGGTGGCGCAGCCATGCTGTTCTACTCGACAATCGACGAGAAGAAAGGGTATAGAGTATATGTATGTGTAGGCACCTCAATCGGCCTTGTCTATGAAGTGGCCACTGGTATCGATGATGCTGATCGCGGATTTGAAACGTCGAATGTACCGGACTGCAATCCAGAAGAATCCATTGCCTCACTTCCGCTTCACCCACGCCCACGCCCAGAAAAATCTGCGCGCACAAGGCCACCCACACCCACACATCGGAACGGAGCCTGGTTGGAAATCCGGAAGCGCCAGGCGAGGGAATGATAGAGGAGTAGATACAGGCGTACAACAGGCCTAGCATCACCCACCAAACATTCTCGCCCGTACGTAGACGATCAGTGACGAAGAAGAGCAGCAGTGTAGATCACCGCTGTCTCGTCTCACTACATTCTCTACTTGACACTCCTCCACCATGATCCGCCCCATCTCCCTCTCGCGTCGCACCCTCACCTCAAGCATCTTCTTCGCCACCTTCTTTGGTTCAGTCCTTACCGTTGCTGCCTCGACTCTCCTGCCATGCCCGGCCCGCAATGGCAAGAACAAGCCACTCACGAGCTCAGAGCTGCTGCAAGATGATGTGAGGCAGGAAGAGAAGATGGAGGGGGAGAGGATCAGATTTGCCGGCAGGAAGGGGTGGATACAAGTTGAAGAGAAAGGCAGGAGAGGCGGATAAGGGAGGCTTTACAGCAATTATGGCGTATGCCATCAACACCACTCTTGAAAGCCTTAAGGGGGCTGTCCACATCCCGGGGGTCTGACGCCTCGACAAGAGCGCCGCAAGCTACCCTCGAGCTCAAGACACATTCTCGAATGAGGCAGCGCCATGCATCGCCTTTGCGCCAAGCGCGCTATGGCCGATGTCATTGAGGGGGGCCCTGATCTGCCAATCCCATACCGGTACCCAATCAGGGCAACCTTTGCTCGACACACGTTGAAAGATATACCCTCCTCGAGACAAGCCGGTGCAACATTGGTGCTACAAATGCATTAGGTATCAGCAGCAACGCAGCAACACGGATGAGCAATAGCGTCTCCCCTATCTGCTCAATTGCTCTTCAAGTTCCTCTGCTTCTCCGCCGCCTCGACCATCCTCTGGTCCACATGCATGCCTTTGCGTCGTCGCACTCCATCCATGTACTTCTTGGCCACATTTTCACGCTCCCCCTTTTCACCTAGGTCCTCCAGCTCCTCTTCCGTGCGAGGTACCCAGAAGGGGTCCAGGTCGAAGAGCTCGAAGCTGCAGGGTGAGCGAGGTGGGTGAGCGAGGTAGTAGAGGAGGAAAACGGAGAGCAGGTCAGGAGAAAGATTGAGAAATGAAAAGGCAATGACATCAGCATCATGTCTATCCTGTGAAGTCGCGCCGCTTGGCCCTCTCCACCCTCGTTGTACTCACCCTCTGAAGATTAATTGAGGACTAGCAGCTCCACTAGTCCTCTTCCTCACCTCGTCGGCAAAACCAAAGCTCTCCACCACTGGCAGACTAGCCCCAATAGTGAAGTACGTCGTTCCATCCCTCATCTCCTCACTCGTGACCTTTCCTCTCCTCTTGTTGAGTACCGCGTGAACTTTGCCGAGCACATCAGGGGCAGCCTGGATATCGCACTCGTACATGGCCATCATCAGTCTCGGCGACCAGTCCAGCAGCCCATTTCTGCATGCTTCCCGTATAGAGGAGATGAGAGAGCCCGTCACCTGAGACAGACGCAGATTGGCCTTGACCGCGGCGGCAGAGTCGACGGTCAGAGACTCGATGAAGTAGGCTAGTCCGCGGACTGGTTCGGCGCACAGAGGGCCTTGCAGAGTTGCGATCTGGAAACCAGTGTCGAGCGATTCGAGCAGGTCGTTTGCTGACCAGGAGAGGCTTTTCGTAGCGGATGCGGTCGCTTCGCCTGCTTCGTCGCCATTCTGCTCTAATGAAGCTTTGGCTAGCGCTGATGTGAGGCTAGCGGTATCTTCATCTGACGTACTGGGTACTACCGCTGGAGTTGGCAGCCCGCTCCCAGCGCCGACCTTTGCAGCAAGGCGAGCCTTGAGACCCCTGCCAGCAGCGAGGCCCTCTTGAGGTCCGAAGAGGAGATTGGGTCCCACTCTCCGAGGTCCGAAGCTCCAGATCCTGTCCACTAGAGACTCATCCTTCCACTCTTGTTCCCAGACTCGCGCTGAAGAGCCAGCCTTGTGCAGCAGACTCGCCAGAGTCGTAAAGAGTTGCGAAGCAGGCACTGTCTTGCTCGCCGTGCCGGAGGAGCCACTGGCGCTCGCGACATCGCTCGAAGTGTCTTCCTCACCTCCTCTTGCAACTCCCCTCTTCTCCAACATGCTCCGAATCGTGCTAGTGTTGGCTTCGAGGAGCTCAGTGACTGCTAGAGGCAGAGGCTTGGCTCTCAACTTCAGCTTAACGATGCCGTTTGCGACGCTGACGTTGACCGTACCCCTGGCCTCGCCTTCTTCGCCAAAGCGAGGCTGCGCCATTTCACCGACTCGGATCGCCGTCTCCCTGAAGGGCACGAGAGGTTTGCTAGCCGAGATGGGTACCTTGGCAAAGCGCTCTCGAAGATCCTTCAGGCAGCGTTCTAGGTGCAGCTCTCCAGCTGTGACAATGACGTGCTCTCCAGTCTCCTGCACGAGTGTCTGAACACATGGATCCGATTGGTTCAGCAGACGCAAGCCTTCGATCAGCTTGGACATATCAGCTGGGTTGTCAGGCTCCAATGCGACTCGCACGATGGGTGCTGCCAGACCAGCTCCTCCAGTCAAATTGACAAGGCCCGGAGCAGAATCAGAGATGAGCTTTGACTCGTCGTTGGGGATGATCGTGCTCTCGGGGAGTGCGACGATCGTCCCCATTCTGCCGACCACGCCCTCCAAGCCTCGTACAGCGCAAATTTCTCCAGCCTGAACCTTGTCGACTTTGACAAGCTCCTTGCCCATGATGACGTACAGGCTTTGGATATGGATGCGCTTGATGTGCTTGGTGTTGGAAGCGTGTGTGGGCCCCAGAGATGGATTGTACTTGGGCAAAAGTAAGAAGTATGGCGAGCTTGCAGCTGATGTCGATCCTGAGAGGGAGCCGGAGTACACTCGCACGAAAGCCAAGAGTACCTCGCTGCTTTCTTCATCTTCAGCAGAAGTCTCCACCTTGGAAGCTTGTACTGGCTCGGGCGCCGCCATTGTGGGCGGCCTCTCGTAGGTTGCCTCGATGGGAACAGCGGGGGCCGTCCCTAAATCGGTGGCAGGTACTTCGTTAACCCCGCCCACTGACAGAGGCTTCGAAAGCTCGACTGGCATCGTCACCGAGTCTACCGCTGCATCCTTCTTCGCGCCCCCGGTCGAGGCTTGTTCCACGGCTTCTTTGTCTTGCTGAAGCGTCTCTCCACCGTTCCTGGCAGCTTGCTGCTTCTCTCGAGCCTCCCTAGCTCTCCTCCGCCTCTCCTCGACGGACAGATTGCGAACGTCTCCCCGTTGTTGTTCGCCCTCTTCTTTAGCATTGCCATTCGCCTTGCCCGCGTCAGTAGGCAAGTCATCCTTTGCTACTGCGAACATCTTGGAGATGACGCCGACTCTCCAAGCCTCTTCGTTCCTGTTAGCACTGAAAAGATCCTTCTCGACGGCATTCCTGCCCTGAGGTCTCTCAAGCCCTATCTTGTCGGCATAGAAGCGACTCAGGTCTGTCTTCCATATCGACCCTGTGGGGTCTAGGATACGAGGGACTCTGCGGCCCTGTGCTACCGGAGGCGGTGGTATTTGGTCCACGATGGTAGAGAAGGTACAAGGGGCCAATGGTAGCCATGCGGAGAGGATGGAAGAGAGGAGGGCGTGCGAATCAGGGGTCTTGAGGTCCCGAGCATTGATCGGCAGAGACAGCGTCGATACGATCTTTTCGATTGCTGCTTGGTCGCGCTCAATGACTGTCTTCTCGAAGACTCTCCATAGATTGTCTATGACGAACTGTTGGCATGCGGTAGGCCCAAGCCTGCCTTCGCCCCACAGCTTTGATGCCTGTTTGCGGTTGAGCATCCTCTTGCCCTTTGCATCAAAGTACCAGTCTCCCCACAGGAAGGTCCTGAACTTCTCCTCCGGCAGACCCAGCTTGGTCGAATAAAGATGGGAAAAGGAATGTAGCCTGAAGGCAAAGCCATACATGGAAGATGCAAAGATGACGTTGCCTCTGGCAGGGTCGAAGTAGAGCTCAGCATCTGCCTCTTCTCCGTCTACTTCCACCTTTGCGGTGAACTCCTCGCCCTTTGCTTCAGCTGCCTCCCTCTCCTTTTCTTCTTCTTGCATCCTCTCTTCTGCCCAGAAGCCTGCGAGGGTGGCATTGGCCTGCTCGATGACTCTTTGCAGCTGCGCCTCTGCTTCGTGAGCAGTCATTCTCACTTCTACCGCCAGCCTGTCCACCTTGTTGAGCACGAGGATGGGCTTCAATCGGTCGATCCAAGCTTGCCGGAGCACATTAATGGTCTGCGTACATACACCCTCCAGGGCATCAACGAGTATGAGGCAGCCATCTACGAGCCTGGAGGAAGTAGAGACCTCTGAGCTGAAGTCAATGTGCCCAGGTGTATCGATGAGGTTGAGCGTCCAGTCTTGGACTGGCCCAGGCTGACCATCTTCTCCCTTTCTCCGCATCTTGAAGCCTAGACGGATTCCACTGGACTCGATCGTGATGCCGCGCTCCTGCTCATCCTCCCTAGAGTCGAGGTACCGGATCTTGCCCGCCTGTCGCTGGGAGATGAGGCCATTGGAGGCGAGGAGGGAGTCGGCGTAGGATGACTTGCCATGGTCCACGTGGCCCATCAGCGTGAGGGCTAACGTAGTGCTCATGGTGGGCCGCTGGTTGTAGATGACCTGCAGTGAGCTATCACTGGTGGCGATGGTGTCTGTACAAGTCTTCCCCCTCCAGGTGCGAATCCGTCAGTGGAGGACCTTCTTCTCATCCCAGTGTCGCCGCCTTTCCGCTCAAAATCTGTCCGAGGCCCCACGACGGAACGGAAGCTGTCGCCTCGCTGCAGCCAGATCTTCTCGTCCTTCCGTGCGTGCCAATACCCAACACGCCATACGTACGTACACCCAGGTAGCCCTCAGCCTCCCTCATCAAGCTTCGATAGCATGGCAACAAAACGGCCGCCTCCCGCTGCCTCGTCCTCCCTGGTGAAGCGCAGTCGCGTAGAAGACGAGGATGGGTCCGATGCAGCCGCCTCTTCTTCTCTCGTACCCATCACTTCCTCCCGAGACGGAAAGGACAAGGGACTGGTACGGTCCGTCAAGAGGACAAGTGGCCTGTCGGATCCTATCCTGAGCCTGAATGGAGGTCATCAAGGAGAGATACTCGATGTGAAGTTCTCCTTGGATGGAGAGTACATTGCAGCTGCTGGAGGCGACAAGTCCATTTGTAAGTGTGCAGACAGGGAAAGGCTCGTGACTGTATGTGGCTGGGTAGGCTGAAGTTCAATCCCCTTCCACGCATCCTTCAGCGATATGGAAGACATACTCTCCGAACAACCACGTCACATCTCTCCAATCTCACAATAAGGCAGTGATATGTCTCGCATTCCTTCCTCCGTCCACAAAGACCATCAACGGCTTCCCCTCTTCCACCTCTTCCCTCCCGCTCCTCCTCTCCGGATCAGCAGACTCAACCCTCATCCTCTGGTCACCTCTCTCTCCGCCGCCGAATAACAAGCTGAGGAGATTCAGGCATCACAAGGGCATTGTGAATTGCGTTGCTCCTTCCCCAGCGGATGCAACACTGTTTGCCAGTGGATCGGATGATGGAGACGTGTGTATCTGGAATACGGAAGAGAAGCAGCCCTTGGAGTCATTGAAAGTGGGATACCCAGTGACTGCACTTGAGTGGACAAAAGATGGCAGTGGGCTCTTTGTGGGCGGTATTGACAATCAGATCCATGTGAGTCCCAAGCCTTCTACTACCTGCAAAAAGCCATTACCCCGGTCTCTGACTCTAACCGACATTGCCTTTCCCCAGCTCTACGACCTGCATCGCAAGCAAATTCTCTACTCTTTAAATCTTCACACAGACACAATCACGTCTCTCACTCTCTCACCCTCCGGCTCATACCTCTTCTCCTTCTCCCTAGACTCGACCCTCAGAGTCTGGGATGTACGTCCCTTTGCCATCTCCTCTTCGAATGGCGATGCAGCAGGGGAGGTCAATGAAGAAGATCGGGCTAGTCAGGAGAGACTGTATAGGACGTTGAGTGGTGCCTTAAATGGCGCTGATGCGCTGTTGATCAAAGGAGGATGGAGCAGAGATGGGAGGAGGATCATTCTGGGAAGTGGAGATCGGACATGCGTCGTATGGGAGTGAGTAGCTGGCCAAGCCAAGCAGAGCAGAACGAGAGCGAGAGCAGTTGCGCCGATTGAGAGAGCAGGCAATCTGATCCACCCGGAACTGTTTTGCCCTTTTGCCATTTCCTCTCACCAGTGTCGAGTCCGAAAAGATCCTATACAAGCTACCAGGCCATCGCGGAACATGTACCGCCGCCGCCTACCATCCCAAGGAGCCCATTGGTGAGTCATCTTTCATCTCCAGTCGCGCTGCTGCCAGTCCAAGGTATCTCCTTGCGAGAGAGTAAGCTGACCTCTATCCACCCATCTTTTTCCCCTCGCGGGCAATCCAGTCGTCTCGAGCTCGACGGACGGGCAGCTCTTACTGGGAGAGATTGAGCCATAGTCGATTGGGCGGCAGTCGGGGCAAGGGCCAGGGCAAGGTGGGGAAAAGGGGGCCAGAGGGGCACAATGCGTCGGTACGCCTGTCGTGGCCGCTGCTTCTTGGCCGTACCATGGCAAATCGATAGGTCATCGGCGCTCAGGCAGGCGCAATCAATTTGTCATTTCACCACATGTTCGATTCGAGTAAAGAGTGGGACAGTTCAGAGAAAGAAAAGACATGTGTGGGGGGGAGAGTGAGAAGGGTAGAGGCGAGTCGTCCCATCAAGGATTTCTCGACTGCTCGCATGGGCTGTTCTGATGGAACTTGTCTCCCCTGCAAAGATTCGCCGCCTGTCACCTTCAGCCCAGCAGAGCTGCTCGCCAATCGACCATTTCCAAGTCTCGTAAAGTCATCAAAGGTTTCTGCTTCTCCTTCTCCGACTTATGCTCGTCCTGCTCTGCATCAGAGCAAGGCAGAGGGATATCCTTCGGCAGAACCACAGGTTCAGGTACAGCAGCACGTACATCTACGGGCAGAGGCAGAGGCAGAGGCAGAGGCAGAGGCAGAGGCAGAGGCAGAGGCAGAGGCAGAGGCAGAGGCAGAGGCAGAGACAGAGCCATGCCGCTCTTACCCTCCTTCTTGACTCGAGCCTTGCGAGCCTTCTCCTCTTCAGGGGCCGTCTCATAGTCCGAAGAAGAGTGCTGCTGCTGCTTCGACGCCGTCGTCTTGTTCGAGTTCGTAGGCTGGCTGTCAGTAATCTTGCTTTCCTTCTTTTTCTTCTTTTTCTTCTGGGATTTCGTTGAAAGGGTCTGGGCTGCTCGTCCCTTCTGCTGCCAAGGCTGGTTGCGGGCGTGTACTTTGCAGGTGCATTGGGCTGCCTTTTTCTGCTTTGAGGGAGACTGCTGCGTCTCGGACAGGCACTTGGTGCCCTTAGACTCCACTTTCATCTGATTGGATGTATGCCGTTGCTGTTGCTGTTGCTGTTGCGGCTGCTGTCCCTGTGACAGAGTCTCTAGAGCAGGCCTCGCCTTGCTCTCCATCTCATGTACCCTCTTAGCTACATCTCCCATCCTTACAGTGACCGGCAGGGAGGCAGGCTCTGGGCCGAAGACTGCTTCCAAGATGACACTGGCTCTATTGGCTGCCGAGAGGAGAGCGATCCAGATGCTCTCCTGGGTTGCAGGAGTGACAATCCTGCCAAAGTCGAAGGGTCGAGGAAGGCTCCTCTTGCCGAATTTGATTCTGGTACTTTGGTTGAAGATCTCCGGAGAAGAGCGTGATTCGTTGATGAAGAGGGGCTCAGCTCGACGAAGAACAATATTGGTAGACACAGCCGGAATCTCGCCCTGATATGTCGGTGGGGCACGAGCGTTCAAGGTGGTTGCGCCGCTGAGAGGTGCTAGCTTGGTAAGCTCAGCGATGTCATCGTCTGCCTACGCGAACCAAATGTGGACGAAGGGAAGAGCAATGTGTATTAGTTTGCGTCGGCCTCATGGCACGGACAATTTGCTGCTCATGCTCACCTTACCGACAACATCGATGGCTCTTCTCCAGGCCAAAGACTGAACGAGATCCGTGACAACGTCGCTCATGCTTGTCGTACCCGATTGCGACTGGTATACCCACTTGTTGGCAGTAGCGCTGTCAACGAGATGATTGAGCGGCAAGGCAAATAAAACGTGGGCATACCTGTAAGCCCCCTTCTGTCCCATAGGTCACGCATGCTGGGTCTACTTACGTCTTCACCCTCGAGCAATCGACCTCCAGGTGCATCGTCTCTGTGCTCTCTCCATCATTTCCAGTCGTCGAGATCTTGACGTCACCAAGCGTGAGAGGCGCTGCTTCCTCTCCTTTGACACCAAAATCGCAAGGGTGAACGTCGAAGGCTGCGGCTAGCCGTACGATGGTTCTCATCTGACAAGAAAACTCATACCGACTCTCGTTCGGTGCCGTCATTGTGAGTGCAGAAAGCAGGTGCTCTATCGCCTCGAGACGCTGGGGACAGCAAGGAGTGAGCAGGTAGAGCGTCAGCGCTTATTACGGCCCTGATGTCGAGAGCCAGCCCCATCCGCGATACTCACCTGGTCTTCGCTTTTGGACAACGGTCTTACGAGTAGCATTGGCCAAGCTTGAAGCGGCACTCGCTGTGACATCTTTGCCGGTTCAGCAACAGGCGAAGCGGGATGCCTCTTTTCTTCTTTGGCGTTGTAAGATGCTTTGGGTACGTCAACCAGGATCTTAGCTACCTCTTTGCGTTCTGGCGTTGCAGAATGAGTGGTCGAAAGGTGATCGGCAACTGGTTGTGCCATTACGATGACCTCCACGCTCGAGGATGCTGAGTGCAGCGTACCCTCAGGAGAAATGTCCATATCCTTAGGAGGAGGAGGTGGTGGTGGCGACGAAGAATGAGCAGGCAATCGCTGCTTGGTGAGGTCGGCAACGTCGCCTGAAGCTGATGACGACGAACTCTGAGAGGAATCTGCGCTGTGCACAGACCCAAGCTCGAGGATCTGAGGGCGTAGGTGAGCTTTCGCGCGAGCTGCGTTTGATGCGAATGCTTCTGCAATAGATATAGCCGTGAGGACGTTGGTTCTCTTGATCTCAATTTCTGAGTCTTCGCGTTTGATATCATGGCTATGTTCTGTACTCTGAGCCGATGTTGCAGCACCTTTCTGGCTGTCACTTGAGGTGACCTGCTTCGGCGAGTCAGTGAGCTGTATCTGCTGCGGTGTTCGTCCTGCAGGCATTGGCTGTCGCGCCCCTCCTGTATACGCTAGCTTTGCTGAGATACAGTCACCACTTGCAAAAATGTCAGACTTGATAGCAGAGAGGTAAGATGTGGGGACGTCCGCGATGACTGCTCGCTCTTGAGTGACACTTTCTGGGATCGGAATTTGTTGCGGAGCTGCCTCGACTGCCTCGAACTTGAAGTGATGCCGGAGGTCTACGATGTGAGCGTCGACGACGGGCTTGGGATCGCCTTGTGAGTTGCTCAGAGCGTCTCGGTGGGCATGTTTGCTGTCATTTTCGATCTTGTTAGATGCTTGTACTGGTACAGAAGCCGGGGGTGACGGAGGCATGGTAGAAGTAGAGCACTCCTGCACGTCTCTGTCGTCACTGTCGAGGCAGATGAGGTCTGCAATTGGAGGAGGAGGAGATGGAAGTTTGACCTGAGCAGAGTCAGCAACACTAGCTGAATGCGGACCTTCAAGGATACCAGTCGTAGTCGAAGAAGAGTCGTCTGTCTGAGTGGCAGTGTCAACGTAACGTGCTCCCCATCGCCTTGTTCGAGTGGGTATGTCCAAATGGTAAGGTCCCGAAGGAGTGGTGCAGGCGGCTTGACGAGGAGGTGCTTCTTCGAGGGCTAGACTGTCGTCTTGGATCTGGAGTGCGCTCATAGAGTTGATGAGGTTGTCGAAGGGAGGGACTGATTGCGGTGAAAGCGTCGCATTGGCGTTGCCCTGCATCATCATGGAAGTAGCAAAGGGGTGCTGAGTGCTGTAGAAGTGATGGGCTGTGGAAAAGGGCGACAAGGAGGCGGGGGCGCTGTGGAACAAGGGGGAGGAGCTTCCATCAGCGACGACGCCCTCGTCGAGGGGACCGAGGGTGCTGATTGCATATCTCCACGGCGACATGGGCGGCGGCGGGAAGTAGGAAGGGGGTGTCATGGTGGATGGCCTGGGATGGAAGGAAGGGAGTTGTGCGATGCTAGGGAGGAGCAGAGTCAAGGGGAACGAGGAACTGCGCATTGCTCGCGACGGCTGACCGCTGTGATGTTGTGGGACATGGCGCGGACTGACGATAGATGGAGTGATGCGTCCTTGTTTGCAGCCAAGCAAAGGCATTCAACAGCCGCACTCCCTCGTCCTTCGATCAACCTTACCCTTTGTCCGTAGAGCAAACCACTCGCGGCATCTCAGGGACCAGAGCTGAGAGCAAGGGATCACCGGCGTCGTAGCAAAGGAGACTGGCTTAGGGCAGCAAGGAGCAACAGACCAGATCCTCCGTGTCGAGAGCCATTCAGTCGCCGTAGATACTTGCCACTTCGCAGTAGGTAACCACGACACTTCCATTGCTGATTCTAGGTTGGAACATGACTTCCTGCCCCACGTCGCGTCGTTTTGACCTTATGAAGATGCTGGTCAGATGGTCCTGCTCGCCGAGGTGCAGCAATGGCAAGAACGTTACATCTTACTTGCCGCGCCGTGCGTCCAGAAAGCTGTGAGCCGTCGCGTCTGTCTCTCTCCGGGCCCAGCCATGGTGATCTGCAGAGAGCAGTTGGAGTCGACTTGTGTAGCTGTATGCTGTATGCTCGATTCTGCTCCGTCTGTCAAGAGCGGCAGAGATGCTGTCATGTCAGATGTGACGAAGGAGGCTTAGTCTTACCAGGCGTGCCGTACGCGGCTGTTTAATTCCGCTTTTGTCAAAGTGCGGGCCTGGTGCCTCAGCGGGAGTGGCGGTGTGGCTGAGGGCCCGAGGCGGAGGCTCAAGGCGGAGGGACAGGCAGACAGGCCTCGCCCCCGACGGAAGAGGAGCCCGGACGTGCGTGCGTGCGTGCGTGCACAGGATCCTTTCCCGATTCGACGTCGCACCTCTTCCTTCGCACCACCAGGGTCACAACCATCCTTCCTCCCCATCCTTCAGTCTCTTCTATATAGCATCACACATCCACTATACCAGCAGCGACAAACACCACCTGCATCGCCTCACTTCTCAGCGATCTCCTCCACTTGCCAGGAACCTCTTCGGCCACTTTCCCGGAGCTTGCTTCGAGCAATCCACCCTACCTCGACCAGCTGGCGAGGTGACACAGGCTCACAGGGACATCTACCAACAGCTTCGGGTTTATAACGGGAGGCTCCAGACTTATCTCTGGGCCCCCGACTCTTCTGTCCCCGTTTCTTCTGATCGAGGATGACTGCAGTACAAGATCGCGTCTGGGGTCTCCACGAGTTCGTGGCAGAGAACCCGGATGAAGTCTCTTTCAAGGTGGGAGAGGTGGTCATGATCGTCGAGCGTGACGATCAGTACGGTGATGGATGGTGGCAGGTGAGTGCTTCAAGCCTCTCTTGAGAGTCGCAGAGCAGACTCATTGAGCTCTCCTCGAATCAGACAAGTACTCATCATTTATCTCCCCGAACCTTTGACTCCAGGGTACCAACGAAAGGGGCGAAACGGGTCTCTTTCCCTTTTCATATACCACACTAGACCGAGAGCTAGCCATGAACTCCAAGGCGCTTGCAATGAGTGCCGGAGACGGAGGACTCGAGGCCCAAGTCAAGCCAGAACAGCAGCAGACTCAGCAGCAACAGCAGCCAGGCGTGATGAAGACAACCATGGCTGACGTCGATGCGGCTCTGACTGAGCTACAAGGCGGACGTGGAGGAGGTACGGATGGTACTTCCGGAGCTGCCGCTCCTGGTCGCGGTGTTCGCGAATCATTCCAGTCTGAACGCACCGCTGATCTATCGGTGGACGACCATACGGACGGCGGAGACGGCGATGGCCGGGTGGAGGATGAATACCAATCTCGGGCCAACGCTCGAGCAGCTCTGGCCGCCAATGCCAAAGCAAATGCCGCCTCTCAGATGGAAAAGGAACGCGCCGAGCAGGAGCGCATGAGAGCTCAGGCCCAGAAGATGTTCGAGGAGGAAGAAGCTCGACAACGTGAGATGCTACTCAAGAAGGAGGCAGAGAGAAAGGAAGCAGCAGCAAAAGGGGAGCTGAACCTGGCGAGCGCTAACGCCTCGAAACCAGCTCCTATCGAAGGAGTGGACATGAGCGATGACAGTGACTCAGAGGGCAGCGTCAATGGCCTAGATGCCTACCCACAAGCGGCGGCTAAAACACATAGCCCCCTCTTCGGCGGTCAAGACCGCGCCACGTTTGCTGGTCCTCAGCCTGCTTCTAGCCAGCAGTCCAGCTATCCTGCGCAAGACCAGTCTGCATCTCAAACACCGAAGTTCACATCTCCCTTCATGCCCTCCTCTGGCACCTTCCAAAGTCAAGGGGGCCCTGTATCGTCCAGCCTCGATGACGGACCTAGCCCTAGCACGATTCCCCCCGTGCATGACACGAAGCGAGCCTCTACAAATTCGCACTCTCGGTCTGTGTCTGGCCTCAGTCCTGTCAGCGAATACGAGGCACCTCCTTACCCAAAGAACTTTTCAGCAATCGGTAGCAAAGAAAAGTCCGACACGGCTCGCAGCCCTCCTGCTATGGCTTCACAGTACGAGGCGCCTCCTTATCCCAAGTCCCCGGGAACCGGTGAGGAGCGTCAAGAAGGTTCTTCTGCCACTGCTTCGGGTGGATTTAGGGGTTCTGGAGGTGCGGCAGCGCCTTATTCCGCGCCCGGACCACCGGGCTCTCCATTGAGCTCTCATCGAGCGGCAGGTGATCGCTCCCTGGACCAACGGTACTCCGCTGGCTCTGCTGCCCCGGCTCTCAGTTCCAACCACTTCGACTCGACTTCCGGATTTGGCTCCGGCACGCAGACCGCTGCTACATCTGTTGCAGGCAGCCGAGACACGCCCAAGAGTGTAGTTGCACCTGCTGCTACTGGCAGCCCTGTCCCTTCCTTCGGAGCTTCTCGACAGAACCAACAGGGGGGAGACCCAAATGATTGGGGCGTGGAACAAGTAGTGGAGTGGGCGCGATCGAAAGGCTGGGACGAGGCAAGCGTGGTGAGCAAGTTCCAGGAGCACGAGATCTCCGGTGACGTCTTACTCGAGATGGACATCAACATTCTGAAAGAGATCGACATCTCAGCCTTTGGGAAGCGATTCCAGGTCGCAAATGCCATCAAGGAGCTCAAGGGCAGTAGCGCAAGACCTTTGAGCCAAGGTGTTGCACTCTCGAGTCCTGGGGCGCCACCTTCTGGATACGGGTATGCTCCTTCCTCTCACTCGGCACGAACAACCAGTGACAATCACGCTAGAAGAAGCCAAGACTCGCAACCTCCTAATCAAACACCTGCATACCCAGTTGGCCAAGGGGCACCTTCAGGTTTTGGTGGCCCATTTGGAAGCTGGACGAATGGAGCCCCGAGCGGCATTGGCATGGGACCATCTCCTTCACAGGACCCCTCCGTCCCCAGCGATTCATCTGGAACTAACCGGATTGTGAGCTTCGATCGCAACACCTATCCAAACAACTTCTCCAGCACCGTCGGCAGTAGCCCCAACCCCAACTCGTACGATGGCTCTCGCTCGACTATGCCCCGGTCGCGTGAAACCACTGGAACCTCGGGTGCTGTCCCATCGTCTCCCTCGACGGATCAGCAGGCATCTGGCGGCGTCTCTTCGCCCGGACCCACTCGGGGAAAGACTCTGTCTGAGCTTGCAGACGAGGCTCTGATTAGCCGCAAGTCTGTGAGTGGTCCTAGTGCTGCAACTGGAGCATCTTCTCCTACCACTGGTTCTCCAGCAAGGAAGCGTGACTCTGGAGGCGCCAAGCAGCCTGGTTCTGGAGAGCGAGCTTCGTTCTTTGGCAGGATGAAGCGTGGGCCGGGGTCGAGCGCTACCACCGGGTCCTCTGCTGCAAATAAGGGCGGCAAAATCTCTCACAGCGACCTCAAGAACCAAATCTCCCTACCCACCAGCAGTCCGACCTACGACAGCGTTGGTGATACGGCTCGTCGGGGGATGATCGCGCAGGGCAATGGTGCCTCTGGCGGCAAAGATGCGGCTGGCAGGTCTGACCTTACTGGCTCAAATTTCAATGCTTCGGTAGGTGAGGGTGAGGGACCTGTCATGGGTCGCATCAGACCTGTCGATTTGGAAGGGTGGATGAAGAAGAAGGGCGAAAGGTACAACAGCTGGAAGCCACGCTACCTCGCCCTCAGGGGCAGTGATCTGGTCATCCTGCGAGACCCCTCAGCTCCTAAGATTAAAGGCTACGTCTCGATGAAGGGCTACAAGGTCATTGCTGACGAGAACACCAATCCTGGAAAGTATGGCTTCAAGATCCTGCACGAGACGGAGAAACCGCACTACTTCTCCTCTGATGATCCTATTGTAGTCAGGGATTGGATGAAGGGATTGATGAAGGCTACTATTGGCAGAGACCACAGCTGTGAGTATTGCGAAACCGATAGGGCAAATGTCGAGCACTGGCGTGGATGCTGACCAAACGACTTGCCTTTTTTCAATTCTCACAGTCCCTGTCATCTCTTCCTACAACAACGCCACGATCTCCCTAGTCGATGCGCAGAAGATGAACCCACCGCCACGACCTCCCTCGCCTATGTCTCGGGCTCGTACGCAGAAGGCAAAGGTGAGGGACAACACTACCGAGCTCACGGCAAAGGATGCCGCTGTCCTATCTAGTATGCCTGCCGGCGGCCCAGGATCTAAAGGCATGTGAGGATCGTACGAATGTGTTCTGCAAGCGTGCCGTGGTCTGCTCCTTGCAATCTTTCTTCATTTCTTCCTTCATCCATCTTCATCTTGCTGTGACATATCTGGTAATGAGAGACGTGTGAGGGTGCTGGTCAGAGGAGCGAGAGTAATCTGACTAGTAGGATGCCGGGCGGGATGGACTTGCCACGGAAGTCGAGCTGGGCGATGTGACCAAGGCTGCAAAGACAGTTGTACCGTCCCTCCTTCTTGACCTCCTTCCTCCTTCATTCTCTCCTCTCTTCATCCTCTGCCCTACTAACATGCTTGCCTGGTCCGCTGACCATCGATTTCTTCTCCTTACTCCTCTACTCACGCCGCGTCTCTCCCCTTGCCGCCACATTCTGCGTTGTATTCGCAAGACGCACATCCGACGACGTCCAGTCCCGAGCTTCGGAGGGCCAGTCCAATCACTCGAGCGAGCTCCCTCGGCCAAACAAGGACTCCATCCGCTTCCGACGTCCTTCGGCAGACGCGCTCATCAAGGCCACGACCAGATTATTCAAGACGGATACTGTTCTGCAGGAAAAGAAAGAAGCCAATGCCGAAGAGATGGAGCAGGGTAATGCAGTGTGGGGCTGTAGCGGCCAGAGAGAAAGCGAAGACTCTGTGCGGCAGCGTTTGGCACGACAGGAGCTGCCCGCACTCAAAGAGGAAGACCAGCACTCGTCGACATCTAGAATGGAATGGATCAGCTCGCCCTTCAAGCTTCCACGTCCTTCAAGCCCTCTGATACGGGATTGGAAGCCCGATGATTCTGCCAATGCTGCCTCGCAAGGTCCCGCGAAGACGGTGCCACGACGATACGAGAATGCATGGAAGAGACGATCCCATCTCGCAGGCGGCGACACGCCTGGCAACTGGCAGCATTTGGCCAACACGGGATACGCGACCGAGGGCAATGAAGAGTTGGAGAGCGATAGCGAGCAGGATCATGCGCTGCGTTTTGGCGTCGGACGTGCCACTCCGCGGCCCTTTTTCACGTCTGTGGTCAACACGAGTTCCGACTCAATCGGCAGGGCGGAGAAGACGTTCATGGAAAAGATGCGAGGTGCAGCCCCCTTTGCTAGCAAGCGAGCACCTAATGAGCAGGAGGGGAACGAGGAGACGACTGACGGCGCTGAGGCGACTCCTCGCAGGGCAGATTGGCCTCTTGTGAAGATACGCAAGAAGGGCATCAAGAAGAGAGTGCCTACTGCGCCTCGAGCCACTACAAGCGATGGCAGCTCCGTCCCCACCTTTGGCGGCTTCGCCAGACCCCGCCCAACATCCTACCACGAAGCGTCACCACGTCTCGGCCCTTCTGGCTGGGGCGAAGAGCCACCTAGACTCCCACCACCAATTATGGTAGGAGACAAGACACTTCCGCTGGTCATCCTGCCTCGGCACGAGAGACCGAGTAGCTGGGGCGAAGGAGTTGACACGAGGACCTTGCAGACTGAAGCTGGTCGCTTTGCTGATCCTCCGCAAAAGCTGCGGTCTTTAGTCGGAAATCAAGACTAGAAACGCAAATGACAAAAATGTTGGTGCTGTGTAGACTTCCTTTCTTCTCTCTCGCACTAGATCGCACCCTCAACATTCCCATGATAATGCACTTTACTATTTGTCGACAACACATATCCGCGGCTGTCTTGTCCCTGCCGGCGGTCTGGCAGCCGACTCGCTCTGCTCCGCTTCGGCGCGCTCCGTTCCGACCCCGCATTGTGGATCGGAGCTTGCCGCTGGTCCGGCGAGCCGTGCAGGGCCGGGCCGAGGTGAATCGTGCATCTCGTATCGCTCCCACACTTCGTCATCTCTTGCTCGACACCCTGACGCCTCGTACGCTCCCCTCCTCTGGCCCAGACAGAGATGACGGCTGACGATCGGAGCACAGGTGGCGATACTACCGATCGGCCAAACGCGCAGGCTTCTTCGTCCTCGTCTGTCTCCTCAACACACTCCTCCTCCTCTTCCTCCTCCTCCGACCCTGCGAGCTCACGCGGTCTCACTGTAGGCATCACCAATGTCAATACTAGCATGCTCAGTCGCCTCGATGTAGGCAAAGACAACGGCGATGCCGAGGCCCTGAATGACCTCAACGTCGTCGAGTCGTACGAAGCTCACCTCCGTCAGAACCCGCGCCGGTTCATGGAGCAACTCCTCGCCGCTTGGAACGGCTCGGGCTGGAGGGGCTACACGGACTACATTGGTGCTCGTATTCTCGAGCCTGGCCAATCCGACAAGACGGCCAAGGTGGTGCTTTCCAGTGCGAATGTGCAAGACCGTATCCTGACGCTGGCAAAGACGAGGACTGAGACGCTCTTTCCGCAACACACGATTGACTCGCAGACCTCTCCGCAGAGACGCAAGGAGTTTCAGAGGGCGAAGAATAGACTGAGGAAGAAGCTAGAGGAACAGTTGACCGATATGGCTCAGTCGCAGATCAATGTCTCCATTGGTCGATTGGACTCGCTGAGTTTCATCAAGGTCTTTGCCGCCTCGGTGAACAATATCCTCACGCGCATGTACCACCGGGGCATTCATATCAATGTGCCACAGGTGCTGGAGCTGAGGAGAGTAGCTCAGCAGGCGGCAGAAAAGAAACAGAGCATTATCTTTCTGCCGTGTCACAAGAGTCATATTGATTATCTGACCATCTCGTGGCTGCTCTTCAGAGTGGGACTCAGCTTGCCGGCAATCGTTGCGGGAGAGGTGAGTATGGATCGGCATGACAGACACCATTACATGAGACTGTTGCTGATATTGCAGCTCTTCCGCTCTTTGACCATCTTAGAATCTCGACCTGCCCGTCGTTGGAAACATCCTACGAGGTGGTGGTGCCTTCTTCATCCGCCGCACCTTCTCCGGCGACCACCTCTACCCAGTCGTCATCCGCGAGTACATCGAGGAGCTGCTACAAGGAGGAAGGAACATCGAGTGCTTCATTGAGGGGACACGGTCACGTACAGGCAAGCTGCTCCCGCCGAAGCTTGGTATCCTCAAGTACATCGTAGAGGCGCTACAGACGGGACGCACAACGGACTGCTGGATCTGCCCCGTCAGTCTGCAGTACGATTCAGTCATTGAGAGCGAGACATATGTGACTGAGCTGCTTGGCAAGCCCAAGGAGCAAGAGTCGCTACTAGGTCTCCTGTCTGGCTCTGGATCACTGCTATCACTTAAGCTGGGGAGGATCGATGTCCGTTTCCAGAAGCCTTGGTCGCTCAAGGAATTCATCGACGAGCAGATGGAGCGGCGAAAGATACAATTTGACAGTGCAGGAGGACAGACGCAGAAGGTCGACTTCGCAGAGAACAACGAGCACAAGACGCTATTGCTCAAGGCCCTTGGGTACAAGGTAATGGGCGACATCAACAGGACTAGCGTCGTGATGCCTGCTGCCCTCGTCGGCACTGTCCTCTTGACACTTCGAGGCAGGGGTGTCGGTCGGGCTGCCCTCGAACGCAAAGTTGAGTGGCTGCGGGGAGCCATCATCGAAAAAGGCTACCAGGTGGCGGACTTTGGCCAGATGTCCGTGTCTGAAGTAGTCGAGAGAGCTTTGGGTTTGATGAAGAATCTCGTCGAAATACAGACAGACGTGATGGAAGTGACCATCCTGCCGGCCAAGAGATTCGAGCTGAGCTTCTATCGCAATCAGGTAAGTCGAGGATACGACACTGCAGACAAGGAAAGACGGAAGCTCACCAGCGTCGTTGTTCTTGCAGGTCATTCACGTCTTTGTTGAGGAGTCGATCTTATGTGCTTCGTGCTACACAAAGATCAAGCAAGGTGGCACTGCCCCGATGCAGACCATGACTCGCGCTGCAATCCTTCGCGAAACGGCTTTCATCTCGGGGATCTTGCGCAACGAGTTCATCTACGGCACATCGGGCGCCGAGACCAATGTGAATCGCACACTTGCTGCTCTGATAAAGCAAGAGGTACTCGAGGAGACGAGTGCTACAGGGGACGAGGAGGGTGAAACGAGAATTGGACTTCACAGACTGGAGAGGGAGAGGGGTCGCGACACCTTTGACTCGTTCCTCTTCCTCATCTGGCCCTTCATCGAGAGCTACTGGGCTGCGTGCTGCTCCTTATTACTTCTCGCTCCACCTCGCGAACAGCAGAAGCGTCCTCTACAAGGAGGAGCTGGAGAAGAGGGGGAGAGAGAGATTTTGTGGTTCGCAGCAAAGGACTTTGAGAAGAAGGCTCAGCTCTTTGGCAAGACGCTTTATCAACAGGGAGAGATTGCCTACCTCGAAGCGATCAATGCAGCTACACTTTCGCAGGCGTTTGGCAGGATGGAGGAGCTAGGGTTGGTGTTACGCAAGAAGTCTGGTGAGTGCTTTGATCAAGCTCGGGCGTGAGCTCAAGCATCGGAGTGCTTCGAGATCGACATAGCCGAGGGATACTGACAATCGCTGTCCTCTTTTCACGTCACAGACTCGGTGAAGCCCATCCCTTTGATCGCCATCTCCCCAGAGTACACACCGATGTACGTCTTCCCTCCCACTCCCTCTTCATCCTCCTCCTCCTCCTCCTCCTCTGCAACACCAGCACCACCTCCCTCTAGCAACTCCCCCCTCCCCCTCCCTTCCCAACATCCCAACAGTCTTCCCCGCCTCTGGGACTTCCTAGAGCACCTCTCCTCCTTTCGTCGAGAGGGCAAGGAGCGTCGTGAGACTTCTCCTGCCAATGAGAGGATCATCATGAGACATGTAATGGCGGATGATTCGAGAGTGGTGGAGAGGAGTTGGGTGTGGGTTGATAGAGAGGGAATGCCTGTTAGAGGTGGAGCTAAGGGGAGAGCGGGAAGACAGGAGGAAGGGGGCGCGAGATTGTAGGCTGGAGCTAGCTCGGCCTTGGCCTGAAGCACAGGGATCTTTACTTTTGAAAGTTTGCGTGTATCAAATGTCATCCTATTCAGTTTGAAGAAGAGGAACGGAGGTGCTGCTAAACCGCCTATGGCGTGTCTACAATTGCTACCCAGAATGGCTCGACTCAGGACACCTATCAATCAAGCCTTGACCGTCTTGCCACTACCACCTCCCGAGCGAATCAAGTCCAGGAAGTTGGCCTTGCTGAGGTCGGCCACTGTATCACATATCGAGAGCAGAACATCACTGTCAGTCGCAACTCTTCTCTGTCTCCTCCTCTGCCCTCGCCACTCCGAGAACTCACACTCTTTGCTCTTCCCACCCAGCGCATTCTTGCTCCCCGGCCTGACAACCGCAGTTGCACCTCCTGCAGATGCAGAGCTGGCGGCGGCGGCGGTCAGGCCCTTGTTCCTCTCCTCGACGTCGTCGGTAGTGGTGGACTGGGCTGCTCGGATCGCGTTGAAGAGCTTGACGACTGTAGTGTAGTAGGGTAGATTTTCCAGATCAGAGTGAGCTTTCTACGCTCAAATCGAGGAATAGAGGAAGAGCAGAACTTACCACCCCGTTGCGCCACCTTCCTCAACCGTCTCTCAAATCCCTTCGATCCTCCCTCCCGCAACCACTCATTCATCTTCTCCCCATCCTCAGCATCACTCTCCTCTGCTTCCTGTCCACCTCGTGCCGTGAGTGCCGAGCTCTGTCCAGGCTTCTCCCCCGGCCGACCCCACCCACCAATCAGGTCTCGCACCCTGAATTGGTCTTCCCGGCTACGTCGCTCCTCTAGGGCTACTCGGGCGGCCTTTTCAGAGAGCTTGGTGGAGGAGATTCGTGAGCTGATGGAGGGTGCGAGGGAGAAGATGGGAGCTTGTGGTTGACTCTGGCCTTGCACCGAAGCTTGTGTGGTGGGTGTCTTTGAAGTGGTCTTCTGAGAGGTTGAAGGGACAGCACTGGAAGGAAGGGAAGAAGAGGCTCCTTCGTCGGATTCGTCGCCTAGGAAGGCGGAGAGGGTTTGACCGAAGGAGGTTGGCGAGACGGCACGACGCTTGCGCTCTGAACATCGATGAAGGTAGAAGATCAAAAGTGAGATTAGAAGTCAGTAAAGGACCTTTCTCCTTGGAGAGCGCATACACGCGCCCTCCCCTGTACTGAAGCTAGTATACTCACTAGCCGTCTTACTACTGCGTCCCCTCTCCATTGCATTTTCAATCTCTTCATCCGTTCCAACCTCTCCATCCTCGTCCTCTCCATCTTCTGCAGCACTCCCCAGCGTCTCATCCTCCTCCTCCTCCTCCTCCTCCTCCTCCTCCTCAGCAGCCCTTCGTCGCTTTCCAGCAGCAGCAGAGAGCTTCGTAGGGAAAGCAGCGGGTCTTCCTCCTCTAGAAGCAGAGGTGGGAGAAGTCATCGACTTCGCTGGCTTCCCACCGGTACTTGTACTTCCAGCAGCAGAACGGGAAGTAGCTCCTCTTGCAGTAAGAGCGGGAGGTTTGGTGCTGAATTTCCCCTTTGACTTGCCGTGTGAGGCGAGCCCGGAGGGAGAGGGACGGGTGCGATGTGGTGGCATGTTGCTGCTACTGATGCTGCTGCTGCCTTTCACAGCTATGGGAAAGACGAAAGCTGTACGTTCAAAGACAGGAGCAGTACGATGAGATGCGCTACGACGAGGAAGAAGTACGAATCCTTGGTACTGTAGTGAGTGAGTAGTGAGTAAATGACCGCCTCCGCCCAGCCAAAGCTTCCCCTTTCCTCGCTCGCACCCTCCCTTCCGTCCGCCTAAAGTCACCAAAAATTTGGCCGACTTGCACTCTGAACACATCGGAACGGAAGGGAACGGAATCCTAGATCTAGCGCACAGAGCACCTCCCACCCTCACCCACCAGAGGGGGAAAGATTCTCGATCACAGCGCCAGACAGTCGGAAGGTCATATCACGGGATATATCGCAAAAAAAAGAAGGCACAAACACGACACGATCAGAAGGGATATGAGGAAGTGGGGGTACAGAAAAGAGGGGGCGGGGTGAAGGGGTGGGAAGAGGGGGGCGTAAAGCGCAAAGTGGATAGAGGTTGGGAAGGGGGAATGGTAGTGCGAGGGGTGGTGGTGATGGTGGTGGTGGGTGACTGGACTAGTGAAAAGGGAATAAGAGAAAAAAAGGAGAGACGGTGGGTAAAAGATCGTGGTATTGATCAACATCATCGTGAAGATCATCATCAGAGGAGAAGAAGTTGCAGCGCGGCCGGGCGACCGGGCGCTTGAGGCCAAGACCGAGACCGAGACCGAGCCCGGATACCGCAAAGAGAGGAGAGCGCGGAGTGGAGCAGACCAAGAGGAGTAAAGGTCGTGTAGAGCCGGGCGCCAATGGAGAATGGAGAGAGATTGTCCAACTGATGCTCACTTCCACGCAGGTGCGCATGAGAGGTGGGGCTTGAGGATCTCAGAGAAAGAAGAGGAAGAAACGGGAGGCTGGAGGGGCATCTAGAGAGTTGGCTGGCTGCAGAGGGCGTCTGCCTTCTGACCTGATGCGTTTCGTCTCTCGTCACTCCCAAGAGGCTCGGCCTTGTGCGACACGGGTTCGTAGCTGGCAGAGGTAGCGCCGCACACTACCCTGGCAGAGCTGAGGCTGCAGAGCTCCGCTCATCTTGCTCTCTGTCCCTTCGTCCGTTTTCGCTTTCCAGAGATGTGAGGCGACCCCCGCTCTCCTCCAAACGTCGCCTTTACAGTCCGTCCTTGTATAGCGTATAGGTGACTCTGGCTCCGATCAGCCTCTCTTTCTAGAGAATTGTGCATCCCTTCTTCTTCTTCTGCCCGACGGGCTTGCCTGCCTTGAGGGCCGTCTCTCCTCTCAGCTCCCTAATCTGGCGCACTACGGTGTAGTAGGCCTTTTCCACATTGACGCACGTCTTTGCCGAAGTCTCCACGAAGCCGACGCCGAGACGGCGTGCCAGAGCTTTCCCTTCCTCGATGCTGGAAGATTGGGAGGGGCAAAGGAAGAATGGTAGGGCAATGCATATATCAGAAAACTTGCTCCACGCCTCTCAAGAGAGCGCAACCCTGCAACTCACCCAACTTCACGTTCGTTGACCTTGTCGCTCTTGTTTCCGACCAGCATGATGGGGACATTTGTAGGCTCTTGATCTTTCACTCGCCTAAGTGGGAGGGGCGGCAAGCGTAAGACAGGTACGTACCAAGCAGTCAGCGTGTGACCTTCCCTTCTTCTTCGCTCCCACGCTGCTACTCACGAGATTTGTGACCTGAATCTCTCCACCCTCTCAAAGGTGGCACGGGAAGCAATCGAGTAGACGAGCAAGAATCCCTCTCCCTCTCTAATCCATTGATCCCTCAATGCCGTATACTCTTCCTGCCCTGCAGTGTCCAGTACCTCTAGCATGCAAGGTTGGTCATCGATGACCGTCTGTTTGCGGTAGGAGTCTTCAATTGTTGGGTCGTAGGTCTCGACGAAGTGATTCAGACAGAGCTGAATGGTCAATGCCGTCTTTCCTACACCTCCATCTCCTAGCACCACTAGCTTGTAGATCATCATTTTCCCACTCATGGCTGTCGAGAGTGGTAGAGGAGAAAGGGCGAGCGGGCTATCGTATTGACGTCGAAGACTGTCAGGCCGTCAGGGGAGAAGGACCTGCTGCTGCTACTGCTGGGTGCTGGTGGTGGCCTGGGCAACGGGGTAGATGAGGAGGGGTGTTGTGGTCACGAGGGATGTTCGATCGTGTATAAGTCGTGGTCCTCGTGGAGACGGGTAGATGTTGGCAGCAGTGAATGACGTCTGGGAGTGGGTGCCGGGGCTGCGCTGATGAGGATTGCGATGCAAGCCCAAGGTGGGTAGCAAAGGCCGGGGAGAAGAGGCAAGGAGAGATGGGGGAGCAGCAGCAGCGGCAAGGGTGGGCGAGGAGGTAGCTGGGCCTGCACTTGTGGCTATCCGCTCGAGGCGAGAGCAAATGGCGCTCGCTGTGTGGGTCGCGGCGGTCGTGGAGACGGGGGTTGCCTGGAGAGGAGAGGTGTGCCCGCTGTTTGTAGAAGAGTGGGGAGAGAAGCTGGCAATGGTTGGGTTGGTCGTGGCTAGGCGCGAGTCGTTGGTATGATGGACGACGTCGGCAGCGAAGAGTGTGATGCTGTTAGTCTTGTGCGCCGAGGTTGATGCTGGTGAAGCTGGAATGGCTGTAGGGATGTGAGGGAGATGCAGTCTGGGCAGATGGACCTCGCCTTGGTTGCCTGGCTTGGTTGGTTGCTGCCTGGCTGCTGCTGCTGCTGCTTGCCCCTCTTTCTCCCCGCTGGAGGCCAAGCTGAGCCACGCCCACCGCCAATGCACCCACACCCACACGCCCCATCTCTCCCCCGCTCCTCCTTCCGCTCCGCTCCGCCCGGTCAGCCGCGGGTCAATGCTGCCCCTCCCGGACCTGTTGCCTTCCGGACTGGGAGGGAGTGCGCGCGCAGACGTCTCCGGGACAGACGAGCGACAAAGGGCCCGCCCTGCGCCGGATGGCGTGAGTGGTCGGTCCGGGAAGTGGCGCCTGCGACTAGGCTTGCAACGCCCGCCCGCACATAAGCCAGTCTTCGACGGCATACCACGACCTTCGCATGTTCCTCGGCCGCAACACCACCAACACTCGACCTTATCGCCGCAACTGGACCCTACCTCTGCTCAATAACTCACCTTCATTCGCTCCACGACCTCCTTTTGCATCCATTCCATCGACCCTTCCTGGCCCACGCTTATACCACTCACGTCGACCTCACACCGCACCTGGTAGAAACGCATCAACCTTTCTTGCTGCTGCTTCTGTTGCATCTTTCCACACCATCACATCAGCAAACACCAGCATCGCCACTACCTCTCAAACATCTCACATGGCACCAGTAGCTACCAACGGTCACTCGACCACTTCCGACGAGGGGCACTACAAAGTGGTGAGTGGTGGTGGCAAGTGGAGAAAAGCGTGCCCGATGGCAGACCCCAGACGATATCTGACGACTCCCGCTTCTCTCACCTCTATCCCTCCACAGGTCATCATCGGCTCAGGTCCAGCTGGTCACACTGCCGCAATCTACCTTGCCCGAGCCGAGCTCAAGCCCGTCCTCTTTGAAGGTTTCCTCGCCAATGGCATCGCAGCAGGTGGTCAACTGACCACCACTACCGACGTGGAAAACTTTCCCGGCTTCCCCGAGGGTATCGGTGGTAGTGAGATGATGGACAAGTTCCGTGCGCAATCGGAACGTTTCGGTACACAGATTCACACCGAGACCATCTCCAAGGTGGATCTATCGCAGAGGCCATTCAAGTTCTGGAGGGAAGGAAAGGAGAATGACGCGCCGGAGCTGGCAGAGACGATCATCATTGCCACTGGCGCTTCAGCCAAGCGGATGCATCTGCCTGGAGAGGACCACTACTGGCAGAGTGGTATCTCGGCTTGCGCAGTGTGCGATGGAGCCGTACCCATCTTCCGCAACAAGCCACTGGCAGTAGTTGGAGGTGGTGACTCGGCGGCAGAAGAGGCTACCTACCTGACAAAGTACGGATCGAAGGTGCATGTGCTGGTGCGAAGGGATGAGCTGAGGGCATCAAAGATCATGGCAAAGAGGCTGCTGAGCCATCCCAAGGTCGAGGTGCACTTCAACACCGTCCCCATCGAGGCCAAGGGTGATGGAGACCTGCTGAATGCACTCCGCATCAAGGACACAAAGACCGGAGAGGAGTCGGACCTGCCGGTGAATGGTCTCTTCTACGCCATTGGTCACATCCCAGCTACAAGTCTCGTAAAGGGACAAGTAGACTGTGATGAAGACGGGTACATCCTCACCAAGCCCGGTACTACCCAGACTAGCGTCAAGGGACTATTTGCAGCTGGAGATGTGCAGGACAAGAAGTACAGACAGGCGGTCACCTCGGCTGGAACTGGATGCATCGCTGCACTCGAGGCAGAGAGGTTATTGGCTGAAGAGGAGGAGGCAGACCCGGTTGCTATTGCCGCTGCTCAGCACTACACTGGTACTGACAAGGCATGAGTTTGTGGGCTGCTACTGGGAAGTTGTATGTGGGAGAGGGGTATTAGTTACTTGCAATTGTAGATGGCTTTCGGGGGAGAATGACGGCATGGGGATTTCTTTCATGGCTACCACTGAGGCACTCTCTACGTTGGCTTCATTAGATTCGTACAATTTCATCACCTTTACCCTGCCTATCTGTCTAGCCCAATCTGTTCAAGAGGTTATCAGGTGTCTGTCCAGCCTCGACTCAACGCAGGCTCCACATCCTCTTGATGCTTGACGTCTGACGTGGAACTTGACTTTGGCCCAAGTGAGTGAATGACTGAGTGAGTGACTGGGGACTCCGCCCCTCCGCCCCTCCGCCCCTGAGGGCTGCAGGCACGCACGCATGCGCCTCCTCGTCTCCCCGCCCGTTCCGTCTGTCTTGGCCCCTCCCCGCGTGTGGGTGGGTGTGTGCGTGTGCGTGTGGGTGTGATGGAGTTGGCTCACTCTTGGCAAGGCGTCACCACCTCAGTCCATATCGCATTGTGCCACCTCGGATTACTGCTCATTTCTACTGCGCGACTCGCCGAGTATTTCAAAAGCTTACGAGTGGTAACGACGATAGTCAGAGCGCAAGCAACAGCAACAGCGCAAGTAGCAGTCGACTCCCTTCACTTTCCTCTCCTCACCTGAGCTCAGTCTCAAAGCTCCACACACATACGCATCTTTCTCCCTCCCCCACTACCCCTCACTACCCTCATCCTACCTCTCCTTTTCCTCCCAATCCGCAATCGCTCAGGATGAAGATTTACGCCCTCATGATCTTCGCTACTCCACCCGGGGGTAAAGCTGTTCCGCTCAGTACGGCTTGGAAGTTGGACGACTTTGGGTGGCTCGAGAGGGGGGCAGTAAAGGATGTTATGGCATTTATGGCAAAGGTGGGTGTGGAGCAGAATTGGAGAGGCAGGAGAGGGGAGGCGAGGGAGAGTGATGCTCTCTCCTTCTCGTATTGGGTGTACTGACGGCTGCTCCTCCCTTCATTCTAACGCTCTTTAGACGGTCGCAGAGCGTACACCTCCCACCCAACGTCAATCCGTTCAAGAGAACAGCTACGTAGCCCACGTCCACGCTCGTCCCGCCAGTGATGGTCTAACCGGTGTCCTAATAAGCGACTCTGAATATCCAGTCCGAGTCTCCTTCTCTCTCCTCAATAAACTCCTCGATGAATTTCTACTAAAAGTACCAAAGGTTGAATATTCACAAAAGGTTAATGCAATTGTGGCGGGTAGTGTGGAGGGACCACCCAAGGGGGAGGGGGTTGTGCCGGCTGGAAAGTTTCCACCGATGGCGGATTATGTAGTGAGGTATCAGGATCCGAGACAGGCGGATGCGATTATGAAGGTTCAGCAGGAGCTGGATGAGACCAAGATTGTATTGGTGAGTAAAGGCAAGGAAAGGACAGCGGGTGGGGGCCAATTCAGAAGAAAGCGAAGAGCTCACATCCCCTTCCCTTTCGATTGCTCCTACCTGTTTTCCTTTACCGCCTCACAGCACAAGACGATCGAATCCGTCCTGGCGCGTGGAGAGCATCTAGACTCCCTCGTGGAGCGATCAGAGACACTCCAGGCCAGCTCAAAGATGTTCTACAAGTCGGCAAAGAAGCAGAACAGCTGTTGTATCGTCATGTAGATTCGCCTAGCCGCCCGGGTTCCCCTTTTTTGAATAGTTTCACGCACACAGACTTATTCTATTTACACTGCTGTTGCTTGCGTAAGGTTGTGAAATGCTCCAATGGTCAGATCGTACAACGAGACGTGGGCAAGTTGTATGTACATTGTGCTGCCGTTCCGCAGACAGAGCTTCAAGCCAAGCGAAGAGAGTCACACAAAGTGATGCTTCCTGCCTAGGCACTAGTACCTTTCACTCTGCTCGCGCGGAAGGTCGATGTGGCCTCTGGCGGAAGGTAGCTCCTTGTTCGCCAGGACCTCTACGACCTGATCCCGATTACGCTCACGAGGACCACCCGCCTTCTTCTCGTACCCGTCCGATCCTAGATCGACGATACTGTTCTCTGCCTCAAGTTCAGCCACTGCAGCATCCGCATCAGCTCCGCCTCCTGCCCCATTTCCAGTATCGATATCGTCCTCCGCCTCCTGTATCACCCCGCCCATAGCCCTCATTGCCCTCCAAGCCTGCTCTGTCACTTCCAAACTCTGACTGAGGGCAACGGCGCGCTTGATGGAGCCTTCATGTCTTCTATGAGACTCCCTGCGGAGATTCCTCTTGAGAAAGGTAGACAGGGTAGATAGAGGCCAGTCGTCCGAGACGACGGGAAGGACATCGAGGGTTGTGAGACGTAGGGCTTGCGTATTGAGAAGGTGGGCGGTGGCGGTACGGAAGGTGGTGCTGCAGAGGGAGAAGACGCGGAAGATTGGCATCAACAAAGGGCGAAGCAGACGACGCAGCTCGGCCTCTTTGTTGCTCGTCACTTTACTCACTCTGATCCACTCTCCGTGTACACCTTCAGTAGCGCCATCAGCAAGCGGTCTTTCACCTGCCCCTTGACCTTCTTCGCCTTTGCCCCTCGAGCCACGAGTGCTGCATATTGGGACAAGACTTCTTCTCCAACGGAAGAGGCGATTTGTGCAGCCATAAAGGGCGATAGGACGATACCGCCTTGGGAGCAGTACGCTTCGCTGGAATTAGCGTCTCGAAGCTCCAACGCCAAGAGCTTTAGGGCTTCTTCGTGTTGTGACAATCTGCCCAGCAGGATTGCTCTCTCGTAGGCGAGCAGCGAGTTGCTTTCTCCGCTGGAGAGGGAATCAACGCGAGAGAGGAGTACATCGGCGTCATAATGGCTTGACCCCTGCAACAGCATTATCAACTTCAGTCGATCGAGAATGGCAGGCGAGGCGCTGGACTGGATAGCCAAATGACCAGCAAAACCTTCCGCATATCCGCCCTGGGCATATTCTCTCGTCAAGTCCAGCAGGACACTTCTTGCCTTTTGATCCTGCAGAGCCGACTCGACACGATTCAGGATTATGTCGATGAGATCCTTGTGGATCCTCGAAGCTTGTGGCTGCGAGAGAACGATCTGTTCAATGAATCGCTCGGCGGCCTCTGTAGCCCCTGCAGCTCTGAGCTTCTCGAGGATGTCCTGATGGTCGGCGCCATCCACCGAAGACAGGAGGTCTAGTCTTCCAGAAGAGCGCGTGAGAAGCTTCAAAGGGACAAATGATGATACGGTCAGCGTAAAGTTTCTCTCTGCTAATCTTCTCTGCTAATCTTAAGATAGACTTCACACTCACATCGACTCCGCCTTGTACGTCATACTTGACAACCCAAAGGGCATACTTGCTCTGCAATTCAAGCTGCTGCGATTCCTGTAGCACCTTGATCACGTCCTCCACCCCCCGAGTCATCTCTGCGTCTTCAATATCTCCGTCGATCATTGCCGTCCAAAGCTCCAAAGCTTGGCCTATGTCTCGACGGCGATAGTAAAGTTCGGCTAGTGCTGCTGTTGTGCCAAGCTCCTTAGCGTGAGCTGCGACAATGTCGATATCGCAGAAATTTTCTGACTTCAGCAGAGCTGACAGCTTCTCGCGCTGGTGCCTTGACCCGTACAAATTTGCCAGAGGAGTATCTACCTCCGAAGAACGATGGTGTCGGGCACCTTCGAGTACGCTCTCTGCCAGATCGTATCCTCTGTCCAAAAGCTGAGACTGCAGTTGCTGCAGCACTGCATTGTCTTGCCAGCCATTAGAGTAGTTCTGCTGCAGATTGGCGGAGACCATGTCCTCGACGGGGCTCCAGTGCTCAAGCAGAGGCTGAAGAGCCGAGAACACCTCGACTTGCTTCGTGCTTCCTGATTTCCAAATTTTGGGGAACATTCGCAGAACGAAACGGTAGTCTAGAGAGGACCTCTGAAGCGCCAGAGAGGCAGCGTAGAAGTTCAGCATGTTGAGATTTCGCAACGTCAGCAAGCTGTAGATATGTTGCAGAGCTGGCACCTGCTAGTCCCAGAAGTGTGTACTGTCAGTTGTGGTAGAACGCTATCTCGTGAGAATAAATCTTCGGGTACTCGCCATCTGTGGCTTCCGGTCTATCTGACCCTCTTTGCCCCACTCCCGCTCTGCAAGGGCTTCTAATGAAGCCCACCTCTCATTAGCGATCAGCGACACCGCTTCCGACAAGGGTATCGGCTCGCATAGAGCTTGCACGGCGTCTTTACATGTCATAAGTATCTTTGACTGCCGATCGTTCCCATTGATGATGTATTCACGCCAAGCAGGATGCTTGACTGAGGCAGTGAGGTCGAGGAAGAACGCTGCTCTGCCTCCTGCTTCTTCTGGAAGGCGAAAGGGATGATGGAGCGTTGTGAAGAACTTATCTGGCCTTCGCGAAGCGAGACTGGTGTCGAGGGAGCTTTGTCCTGAAGATAGTAACCTCGGCTCTATTAGATCGGGCAGCTGGATTTTCTGTATTCTTTGCATCGACTCCAAGCTGTAGACGGCAATTGTATCGTCTCGAAGCAAAGCCACCAGGTTCGGCCACTCAACGCATAAAGCTCGAGGGTGACTGGAGAACTCGATGAGCTTAGCGGCGGGCTCACCACTAGGCGTCATGAATACGCCCAGCGTCTGTTCGTCTGAATGACTAGTGATAAGGAATTCTCCTGTGGCAGTATTGCCAGAGGTTGCAGGTAAGGTCACAATCGATGGACGGGTCGAGGCTGAAGGCGATTCTTGAGAGTGACTGATGGGAAGGCCCAGCGGAGTGACCACAGAGGTCGTCAAGTTGATCAGGCTGTACTCGGTTGTGCTAGCAGCACATAGAGTGTCCCCATAGCGCCTCACCAGCATAATGCCAGAAGGGATGGGTAAGTCCTGCAGAACCAAGCGGTTCAAGGCTTTCAGTACCCGAAACATGAAGACATTTGCTTGGGTTCCGCTCTGGCTCACTTACTTTGACTGTCAGCCATCTTCCCATTCCGATCTTGGCTAGTACCACCTGCCGCCGCTTGACCACGCATAGGCTGACGTAGCCTTGGCCATCGGTCCCATCCTTTTCCACTTCGGCATCATCCAATACCACTGTGGACACGCCTTTCACCACCGGGAGTGTATTGGGCGGCAGGGGGTCGAGGTTGGGCAAATGGAGGAATGTCAGGACTGACTCTGCCAAGACTGCCGCGACGCCAATGCGATGAAGGATAAGGAGGCGTTCGACTGGCTTGCCGGATGGGGAGACGACCTTGCTTGAGACCAGATCAAATTGATTGGGCTGTCATAGCAAAGAGCATGGTAAGAGCATGGTAAGAGCAACGTCAGAGGAATGTAGGCAAGCGCAACCGAGGCCGTCTGATCTGGCAACTCACGTTCTGCGAAGAACCCTCATCTCTGAGGACGTAGTGATGGACTATGCCATCAGACGAGCCGACATAAAGATTCCTGCCTATGGAAGGAGAATATGGTCGAAGCGGTGCAAGACATAAGGAGCAGGGTCAGGTCCGAAGGTCAACGTCGCATATAGGCCCACCCTTTCATGCCGTGCTCACCGTTTGATTCGGCGCATCGCACGGCCAGACTGATGGCTGCTGGAGACTTTGGATTCAAACGCTGATTGTGAGGAAGTGCAGGATACAAGAGTGGCTGTAGTTGATAGATGTCGGTGTCCATGATGGACAGCCGAGATGATGGCAAGGAGCGATGGGGAGCTCAGGTGAGCAGGAAGGGGAGGAAGGTGGGAGCAAGGTGCACCGTCTATGCGCCTCTGCCCTGCGCCTGGCTCCCTTTCCGTCTGGCTGAGGCCCCTGCGCTACCCTTGGCCAGGCCACGCGGGCGGGCCGATGTGCATTCCGCCCGGGAGTCATACGGTTGCTTGGCGACGCGGCGAAGGTGCCGAGGTCGCTGCCCTGAGCCAGGCACAAAGGTAGCGTAAATGGCATGGTGTAGCTTCTGCTAGGGTTTGCCAGACGTCTGAAGCATCCCTCGTAAGAGTGACTAGGTGCCTGGACGCATCCTTGCTCGCTGCCCTGGCGTGTTCCCCGGATGGGCTGCGACGCGGGTGCCGATTGAGCGAGGCAGCGGAAAAACTCAGCCGATGTTGGGTGCAGGGCCCCCCTTGCCGTGTGACGCTTGCTACTCACCTCCGCCGGCGCTTCCCTATAGCCTCCTGGACCATCTCTCGTTGCCCCTTCTTCACCCTCCATCGCAGCTTCCTTCATCCTCATAGCTGCCTCGTATACCTATCTGCGTCTAGCCGAGGCCATCGCAACGCACCCCACGCGCGCCCTCCCGTCTATCTGGTCTGGCCGACGTAACCTTCTGGCTCGGTCCCCTGTGGTGCGCGTACTGCATACACTCTCCCCAAGCACCAACGCGACTCCCTTGCCCATTCAGACGAGTAGACTTAAAAAAGGGTGACGCAAAGCAACAACATCGCGACTGTAGCTGGACGATCTTCATAGGACATTGGCCCCTAGTCGATCCGACTTTTAAGCTCCAATTCTCGCCCTTGATATCATACTTCATCTGGGCTTGCTGAGATACTCTTGGGCCGTACCAAGACGTCCAACAGATAGGTCTCCTCCTCTACTGGACTGTGTCCCCTCGAACAAAGCCTGATGCTACTATAGAGCAACACCCTCCTCCTTCTATCCCAAGACGCAGCAGTCACTAATTGTCAGGGGTCGAACAAGGATAAGGTAGTCTGCTTAGCGGCCGCGGATTACCTGCATTCGGACCCTTCGAGACGAAGGAGACGCGGCTCAGCGCCTTACGCAGCGCTTCGTTGGCTCCTACTTCCTCGAATTCTCCGTCATGCCCATCTCTCCGACGGGTTCGCTGCGTTCCTTTCGAGGATTCAGCAGCGAACACGATCAGAACCGTTCAGAACGTATGCGCTCTGGAGGAGGTCAGCGCTCGAGCAGCAGGGGGCCAAGCAGCAAAGGTGGAGCAGGTATCGCTGCTGCGAGCTGGGTCGATGACACGAGTCCCAAATCTTCGCCCATCGTAGCCGGCGACCAGGCATCCTCCTCGACTGGCTTCGATCCGCAAACGCAATCTTCTCCTGTACAGAACTCGCCAGCCCGTCTCAACTTCTCAGTGACAGCAGCTCCCAACGATAGGCTCGACTCGAATCGTTCTGCAAATGGCAACAACGAAGCAGAGACAGGCGCAGCTTCCGGATCAGGTCTGTACCTGACCACAAATGTCTTTGGTCCCTCATCACAACATCAGCATCCACCCTCACCGCTCTCAGCCGGATCAACAGGCAGCCATGGTCATCCTCATTCGACGGGTCACAGTGGCTCAAATACGCCTCCTTCGGCAGTCAGATCGCCTGGAGCTGGTGGAGGTTTCTTCTCGATCCTCCGACCCACCTCACCAAGAGTAGTTGACGGATCCTCGGTCGGGACTGAGAAACGGAAGCCGAAGGAGCGGACCGTAATCACAGGCGGGCAAGCAGGGGAGAGCTCTCGCGACGCAAAGGAGAGAAGCCTCGCTGATCGGTCACGAAAGAATGGTAGCATGCTCTTTGACCACGTTGGCAGTGTTTTTGAGCGCTTCGGTAAGAAGGTACACTACCGCTCTGACTCAAGGGAGCCGCCAAAGGGAAGCCCTGACGCACTTACTGGAGCTAGCAGTGGAGGAGACGAGTCGGTGAGTACCTCTGACATTTCAAAGCATCTTCAGAATGTGAGGCTCACTCTAAGGTCTTGCCACTCCGATACCCAGTCACTTGTCGATCCCACCTCCGCTGTCGCGCCAACCGCGGATCAAATTGACCTCCTGGAAGAACTTGCAGCACAAAAGCCACCGCTCCTGCGCAATCCTTCTGCATCGTCTGTGATAAGCTTCGAGTCCGTCGAAGATGGTACAGTCGCGGGTCGCCAGGCGCTCGGAAGGATGCTAATCCAGGTGACCGAGGACAATGAGAGATTCCTAGTGGTAGACGTGTCCGGTCTTGACTCGGCAGCAGGCATCAAGGAGCGGATGTTGAGCAAACTTCGTGAGTTGATGGATCCGAAGCTTTCACAGGGATAAGAGGCTGAACTCTACACCCTCCGTATATCTGCACAGATCGCTTTGAGGACGATCCGGCATCATTTGTCTTCTACCGGACTGAGATCGGAATGTCAGAGACCAGCGGACCTCCGATCGCCGAAGACAGTCTTTGGACGGTTTGCAAGGCCCTGGGTGACAACAAGGGCAACCTCAAATTCTTGCTCAAGCAGATTGGTCCCCCCGCCCGACCGACTAGCACTGGTCCACCTCCCGCTGCTGCAGTCACCGCACTGTCAGAGCCACAGAGGCGCAGGAGTAAGCAGGAGTCTGGGAGCAGTGAGTCTCCACTGAGTCCACAGGCAATTTTCGCTCAGTCAAATGCCGCTGCTACCTCTGGCGATCGTCACTTGAAGGCCGACAGTATCAGCTCTGTCTCTTCTACAGGAGACTATGCCTTCCAACACGATGGCGCCGAAGGAGGAAATGGAACCCTGGCCACGTACGATAGCGGCTCGGAGACTGGCCGCAAGAAAGGTCTCGCTCGCTCAAAAGGTGTCAGCCGGAGAAGCTTCGCGAGTGGCAGTGCGGGAAGCAGCGATGACCCTCGCTTCTCTGGTCTGAGTCAAGCCACTTCTTCGCGACCGTCCTCAGGGCTCTTGGCTGTCCGTGAGGGACGCTCTGACTCGGTTCATACCAAGGGAACCACTGTAGAGGATGAGCCCAGAGGGAAAGGCAGTGTCCATGCCGAGCAGCACGACGCTCGTGATCCAGATGCTCCAATCCACGTACAGGGTCAAGCTTTCAGTGGACCTGCAGAAGAAATGGAAGAATTGCAGCAAGTCTCGGTAGAGGAAGAGAGACCGGTCCTGCCTCGGCGCTATTCGAGAGGAACTCCGCAGCGTCCAGCAACAAGTTCAGGGTATTCCAATGGTAATGCTTTAGCATCTGCTGCGAGGTCACCGTCGAAGTCACCCCGAAATAAGGCGACTGAGCTCGACCGTCACGCGCACAGTCCGCCGTCTCAGCGTCAACAGATGCCAGAAGATAGCTCAAGCCGACGGCGAGACGTGCAAACAGCGGAACGTGACGAGTACGATCTACATGATGCTGCCAGGATGTACAATCAGCCTGACGCAGGCTATGAGCAATTGCTCGCCCAGAACTTGGCTGGTGGATCGTCAAAAATCAACAATAGGCAAGGAGGCAATGCTCTACAGCCCATCAGAAGCATGGAAGATCTGAAGTCAAAGTCAGGAAGTGAGGTCAATGCCAGTAGAAGCGTCAAAGACAATCCTTCGTCAACTCAGCCCAAGACATCCCGCGCTAATCGGCAGTCTGTGTCTGACTACCTTCCCGAAGAGATGAGGTCGCCAGGTAAAGACGGGAGGTATCCAAGTCTCACAGTTGCTAGAGAAGCAGCAACCGGACCAGTCCAAATGCCTCCAAACAATCAAAGCCGTCGACCCGGATCAGCAGGCCAAGTCTCTCGACCAGCACAACCTCTTGCACCGTTGCAGCCGAGACATTCGGCAGATGGTCCACCGATGGGCGTGGCGCAGTCTGGTGCAATCAGTGCTGTGGCGAGCTCTACGGCTCCTCGGCATCCTCCGTCAGCCACCTCGATGCGAATGGCGAGCTCCTTCGACGGAGGTTACCGGGATCAGTTCCCGGGGCAGATGTCTCATCGAGGGCCTGGGACTCTAAGGGCCCCTGCTTCTGGTGTCGCACTGGCTCACAACTACCAGGCGCAACACCAGCATCACGTGCAAGCTATGTCTGGTACTGCACACCCTCATCCGCCCAATCTCTACATCAACGAGTTCGGAGCGAGGGTCTACACGGACCCTCGTGCTGGTCCTCATTCGTACCATGGGCCTCCAGCCTTGACGCCGTTTCCGCAGCGCCCTCATACCTTCCATGACGCAGGCAACCCGGCAACCGCCCATTATCGGGCATTCATGTCTCCTCCGGAACCTAAGGAAGATCCCTACATTCAGGCTCGCTTTCCCGCCTCCAGCACTAGGCAAGTCTCTGAATTTCTGCGCACTGGCCAAGCAGGTGGGAGTGTTGCTCTGTCTCCTGGCATGACTGTACAGGAGACTTTGCAGCATCGAAGGCAAAGTGGCGGACAAGAGCCGCGGCAGCCCTTTGTTCATCCGCACTTTGGACCTAGGGAGCCTCGTGCTCTCAACCAGCCTCAAAGTGCCTCCCAGTGGGATCCCAGATCTGCCCACCACCACCATCAGCAGCAGCAGCAGCTCCATCAACTCAAGCAGCAAGAGCAACGAGAGGCGTCGTCACCGCATCCTCCCGTATTGATGCCAAGGTCGTCGCACGATGCTCGTCAGACTGCGCAGAGCAGCATGCCAGGTCAACACGCTCAGCGCCCTTCTCAAGAGTACCACTATCCACGCACTCCCGCTACGTCCTCCCCTCAGCAAGGAGCTACCAGGATTGTGGGTCCCCAGAATCTTCACGGACAAGCTCCCCAGTACAGAGGTCCTCCCCCCGCAGCTCTTCCTCATTCGCAGCGCAGCGCTCCAGCCCACACAGGCGGTCAGTACCAACAGCAGGTGTCCTCAACGCATCCCAGGACCTCTACCGGGAGCGGACAACAAGGTGATGGTCATCACCGCGGCAGTACCAACGGCGGCTCAGACCGTTCGTCTGGTCTGTCATTCAAGTCCACAGAAAGCGATGCAGTGGCTGGCCACCGTCGCAGCCTGTCCAGGGAAAGCAGTCAGCCTCGCAGTTCTATTGAAGAGTCTATGACGGCACCTACATCAGCTCGCAGCTCGGGCAGTGGGCCGCTGCCTGGTCAACATCTGAAGTCCTTGGAATCTCCGCCACCATCGGGAGGTCCTGCTGCCTCGTCTCGAGTGAGGAATCAGCCCACTCATGTCGGCCCCGATGAGATTGATGTGTCGAGGATTCGCCCACTACCCCGCCTGCCAGTGACGTCAGCCGTATCCTCGACGGCTTCAAAGTCGGCCAAGGCAGCGCAATCTCATGACGGCGAGGATGAAGGAACACTCAAAGCTGATCAGTGGGCTTCGCTGCTTGCTAATGCATCCGGTGACAGCAATGCTCTCAAGCCACCGCGCATGCCCGCAGCCGCTTCTCCAAACAGCACTGTCAAAGCTGATTCTCCATCTACGGCCTCTTCCTCGACAGCCACTGTCAAGAGCCCTTCCGGTCAAGGGAGCAGCAGAATTGGTAATTTCCATCTCGATGATGGAGGTGGAGGGACTTTCGCTTCGTTCGCAGATGATGACGACGATGATGAGGGTGGAACCTGGGCGAAGCCTTTGGATGCTGCCCCTCCACTGTCAAACAATCCCTCGTCACTCAGCTCAGGGAGCAGCGGGAAAGACAGCGGACAAACCACTTCGTTGGATGATGCTGATGACTCAGGCACACTCAAGCCATCGCTCAAAGCGCCCGACGGCGTTTCTCTGCTTGAAAGAGTTTCAAGTCCCAGCAGACGCCCAGAGTTGCGGCTGACGATTGATGCACCAAACTCTCCTGCTGCTGCTTTCGTCAAAGCTCGTGCTTCACCCCATGATTCGCCTGCGCTGAGTTCTAGCAGCAATGGAGGACCTGTCCCACTTTCCTCGACCTTTTCACCTGGAGTCCTTCGCAAGAGCTCGTTCGCTCGGCGAGACAATGCTTGGGCGATGCGTCCTCCCCCAGAGCAGCTGTACGAGAATCTGGACGAGTTCTTCCCTCGCCACGACCTGGACAAGCCGGTACTTGACGCAGCTGCTGCAGGCGCTCCTCCCAGCCCGTTGCCATCTAGTGCTGCGTCTGGCAGCCCTTCGACGACTAGCTCCGGCCGACATCAGCTTACAACTGCATCTCCCACAAGTGCTTCATCGCTGACTCGTCACAAGAAGTCAATTCGACGAGTCGCCGAAGATCGGATGCGATTCATGGAGATGAATGGCGGGGCACAGACGGCTGACACGCCAGCGCCGAGACGAGCACCTGTCTTGAGCTCGGGCGTGGGAAGTCTGACACCGATGACGGCGGTGAATGCGGCGTCCAGCTCGTCGGTCACCTCGCCAGGATTGGGTCTTGCTCGGAGGAGAAGCACAAAGCTGTGGGGTACCAAGCTGCTAGAGATGACGCCAGGCTCAGAACAGGTCAACCGTGGATCTCACGCGGCTTCCGTGTCAGGATCCTCCGTAGCCGAATCGCCCTCTGCCGACTCGAACGCTCTCCCCGTCTTCAAATGGGTCAAGGGTGACCTGATTGGAAAGGGAACGTATGGAAGAGTGTACCTCGCTCTGAATGCAACCACTGGTGAAATGATCGCCGTCAAGCAGGTCGAGCTACCTCGGACTGAAAGCGATCGAGAGGATACGCGGCAAAAGGGAGTGGTCACTGCTCTGAAGTCAGAAATCGACACGCTGAAAGACCTTGACCATCCCAACATCGTGTCCTATTTGGGCTTCGAGGAGACGCCAAAGTACCTTCACCTCTTCCTCGAGTATGTCCCCGGTGGCAGCATCGCCAGTGTTCTACGCAAGTACGGGCCTATGGAAGAAGGCACCATAAAATTCTTTGTCTTGCAGATCCTCTCCGGTCTAACCTATCTCCACGAGCGTGGTGTTCTGCATCGAGATCTCAAGGGCGACAATCTCCTGGTAAACCTCGACGGCACAGTCAAGATCTCCGACTTTGGTACAGTGCGAAAGAGCGATAACATCTACAGCAACGTCGAGGGGATGAGTCTACAAGGTTCCGTCTTTTGGATGGCCCCAGAGGTGGTGACGATGAGCAAGAAGGGCTACAGTGCAAAGGTTGACATCTGGTCCCTTGGATGCGTCGTGTTGGAGATGCTCGCTGGAAGGAGACCCTGGTCAGACGATGAAGCAGTGCAGGCCATGTTCAAGATCGGAAAGGAAGGTCGAGCACCTCCTATCCCTCCCGACGTTAGACCATCGCCAGAGGCGGCCCACTTCCTCAAGAAATGCTTTGAGCTAGACCCGGACGCCCGTCCAACGGCGTCGCGTTTGCTGGAGCACGTGTTCCCCTACAACAACAATGAGTGGTCATTCAAGGACACGATGCTCTACAAGACGATGAAGAATACGGTGCGGAATCGATGAAGAGCGAAAGCCGAGAGATGATGGGCACAGTGGACTATGTCAGGAGAAGAGTGAGCTATCCGCAAGGTGGACGGGGAAAGATTGCAAGCTTCTCTCCAACCCTCCCATTGCTTTCGCACTCGCTCTCTTTGCGGACTTCCATCATCCCCGTCCATTCTACATTCTACACACTTTCATTTGTTCGTGTCACCTCACCACCCATTGCAAAGGGATTATACCATTAGTACAGTACCACCCAACCAATTGCAAATTTGTTTTCACTCGTGTCGCTTACAGAGCCAGCATTGATTTTGGCTGAGGAATCCTACAGGGCTTTGTGGTAGGCAGAAGACGCGGTGGCGATAGAGATGGGGAAGGCGATATCTGGATGCACTTAATGAGCTTTGGTTCGTCATTGACGGCATATAGAGACAAGATGAGGGAGCTGGGATGGTATTCGACTAGTGGAATCGGTGCTCCACCGTACCCCCGATGCGTCTAGACGACGATGGTGTTCTTGTGTGGGGAAAAGCCCACACGTTTCCCATCCCAATCGCACGTATAAACAACTTCACGCAACGCAGCATCCCCCACGATCCAGACATCCTTTGGGAACTTTTCCATAATCACATCTCCCATGATACTCAATGCCTGACGACCATCAGGCATAGTTCCATAGGAAAGAGCATCCTTTCCAAGTCTAAAGGAAAAGTCACCAAAGGTAAAGGTGAAGGTGGGGAGTTTGGAGGAGTCCTTGAGGACGGCAAAGATGCTTCCGTCGGGATCTTCGAGGACGTCGATGAAGTCCTGAAGCTTTTCGAAGATGGGGAGAACGTCTTCCTTGCGACCTGTATGACAGGATACGAGGATGTTAAGATAAGGTCAAGTGGAGGTTAGAATTTCAACGACTCCTTGCGTCACTCACCTAAGATGGTGCTGGATCCAGTGTCCAGCAACATGCGTCTCTCCAGTCCATTGATCGAGCCCTTGACAAGCCACTCTCCCGGTCGGTCAGGCAGCACAGGCAGCCATTTAGGTGGAGCCACAGCCGCCTCCGCCACGCTTCCGAACTGCAATTCTCCAACTCCACCGGGAGCAAGAGCAAAAGAGAAGATGTTCTCTTTGAGCACTCCAGCTTTGACGACTCTCTCAAAGAAGCCACCAAGGGGAGAAGCAGAGTCTTGACCGGGGAGAGCGAGGCCGACGAGACCTTGCATTGCACTGTCTTTGCCGCCAACAAAGTTGGACTCGGCCCAGGAGATGGGGACGTCGGCGATGGGGGGAAGCTCGCCGAAGATGACGGTATCGGTCCAAAGCTGGGAGTGAGAAGGGCGAGGGACCGACGGTGGTGTCAGTTATGAAGCGCCTGTGCCAAAGGTTGAGAAACTTACGTGAACTACACTGGTCTGGCCACTGGCGTAGCTGACGTTGCCAGACATTCGCTGATTCTTGGCATCTGGTCCCGGCTTGTAAGCATCCTTGTTGAGCACGAGCTGGAGTAAAAGACGGGAGAGAGACGGGCAAGTTAGCAACATTGGATCGTCTTCCTGATGCTGCCAGTCTTGTCTTTCCACTCACATTGGTGCTGGCGGTATCGAACTGCAGGGGAACAGTCTTGTCACCAACAGTGAGGTCACCGATCCAATTGAAGCCGTCGCCTTGGATGATCATGTCTACATCGGCCGTGTTTCCAGTCTCCCGTGCGGCTGCAGGCTTGTGAGATGCATGGTGACCTCGATGATGATGATCAGCACTGGTATGGTCGGCCTTTTCATCATGGTGCGAGTGAGTGCTCACCTCAGAGGCAAGCCCTCGAGCTGTATGCTTGGCCAAGAGACTGTCTGCATGAGCTCGCACTTCGGCAGTGTCGATATGTCCTTCCACCTCACCTCCAATCTTGTGGAGGTGCTGAGCTTTGCGAATCTGGACGGTGGTACTCATACTGGTCTGGGGTATGGTCTCATGGGTGCGAGGTGCTGATGGTGCGCTTTGAAGCCAGGGCAGAGCACACAGGGAAGCAGTGCAAAGGCGAGAGAAGCGTGGCATGGTCAGTGGGGGAAAGGAGGGTGCGTGGTGGAGGTGATATATACTTGTGCTCAGCACTGTGCTGTGCTGTGCTGTGCATCACAAAGGATACGCAGATGTGCTTGTTGAACTTTCGCCAGGCTGTGCTCTGCACACAATGTTCAGGGGCGTGTGTGTGTGTACCTGACATAGGAAGTGCGACGCGGGAGGGGGCGGGTCAAATGCGCACCGGATGGGAAGAGATCGGTCGTCAGGGGCAGCATATTCCACTGAGCCTCTTCGGTCCGAACACCCCCGTTGGCGATGGTATGATCAGGTCCAAAGACGGTTCGACCTAGCTTGGTAGCGTTAGCGTCATTTACGGCGTCCAGATGGCAGACAACCGAGCGTGCTCTTCTTCCGAGCTTGTGAGCTGCATTCCAAATGTGCAGACTGCTGAGCGCAAATACAGACTTGTACAGCTGGGCCGGAGAATTCAGCTGAAGCAAGCGCTACCTTGTTCGTGTAAAGCAGCGCTTGCGCGTGGGCAGTGATGTCCATCTGTGCCTACTGGCGCAGCCTGGCTACCGGCACACACTCCAGAGGTAGCCGTACCGGTAGCCGACGCATGGCGGAGTCGGATCGGAATCTTTGTCAGCGGACAAGCCAAGTGGAGGGCGTCTGGCTCGGGCGACCCGAACGATCAGTACAGTATCCCTCAACCAATCCGAGCTCACACTCAGTCAAGGTCTCGTACTGGTGTCAAGACTTCAGCAGTCCCACTCCTTCATGCTCCCTCGCTCCCCTGCATCCCTCTTTAGCTCCAGCACACGTCTGAGCAGCATCGTATCCCACCTCACACCGCCTTCTCTTCGGATCTCACCTCCGACTGCAAGAATGGCTTCTTCCTCGCAGCAGGCGATGCCTAAGTTTGCGATGAGCGATGTGAGCAAGCACAACCAGCCTCTGGGACCGGGCAAATATGTCCAAACAGCAGGGTGAGTAGGAAAGGTCGGATCTCCAAAAGATTTGGTATCTCTGAGAACATTGTCGTAACATCGGTCCATTCCTCACCTCCCTCCTCTCCAGCTGCATCATCATCGGCGACGAGGTCTTGAACGGCAAGACCAAAGACTCCAATAGCAACTACTTTGCTCAATTCTGCTTCAACCGCGGCATCGACTTGAAGCGCATCGAAGTCATTGCGGACGACGAGGAAGAAATCGCCGAAGCGGTTCGTCGCTTTGGTGAAAAGTACGACTTTACCGTTACCAGTGGTGGAATTGGTCCTACTTTTGATGATATCACCTATGAGAGTATCGCAAAAGCCTTTGGAGCAGAACCATTGGAATATCATGATGAGACATTGAGGAGAATGGCAGAGATGCAAAAGGGAAGAAGTCAAAGTAGAGAGCAAACGGAGGAAATGGTCACTGCGAGAAAGAGGATGGCCCTTTTCCCTAGTAGTAAAGGGAGTGGAGCAGCACAGGTCGAGGTGATTCACCCGACAGAGTCCCTGTGGGTACCCGTGGTGAGGATCAATGGGCGGATCTGTATCCTACCGGGAGTGCCAAGGCTGTTCGAAGCTCTACTGGACGGCATGGAGCCGTATGTACCCATTGACACCAGCAAACCTCGTCCACATCGGATGTTGGTACACACAAAGGTGAGCTCTCAGAATCACAAAGGCGTGGCGAGAATCGATTCCCTCACCTACTTACTGACAGCCTCCTTCCTCTCCCTGATTCTCTCGTCCTACCCTTCTTTTAGCTGCCCGAATCCTCCATTGCCCCCTATCTCGAAAAACTCAATACCCGCTGCAAACAAGAGAATATCCGTCTTGGCTCCTATCCCAAGTTTCAAGGAGGCGTAGACGTAAGTCTCATCGGTGATGACTTGAAGCGTCTACAGGAATTGGGAGAAGAGGTGGAGAAGGAATTGGATGCAAAGATTGTTGAGAGTGGGAAGTTGGGAGAGTAGAAAGGGGTGGGGGGTGGGGGAGTATAGAGTGGACATTCAGGCAAAGGTGAGAGGGAAAGGCGTAGCAAGGCATGTGCTTTGTGTTGTATTTTGTGAGCCGCATTAGAAGTGCGAGGGACAATGAAGACAGAGAATCTGTAGCGAGCGCAGAAGCACACATCGTATAGAACCACCCGAGAATAAACAGATCCCTCAACGCTGCAAATACCTAATTGCCAGCCAATATCCCAGTACGGCAATTAAGATCATTCCCGAGCACAAGCTCCAAAACCACGTAAGACTTTCCGTGTATTGTCCTGGAACTTGCACATTCATACCAAAGATACCGGTAATGACGTTTAGAGGAACAATGACGGTACCTAGTGCAGTCAATTTGGAAAGGACGTCATTGGCACGATTGTTGGCTTCGGTCATCTCGATTGAGATTTGAGCGAGGTAGTTGGAGTGGGAGCGGGAGAGAATTTTCTGGCAAAGAACGGAATACGAAAGTAGAGGAAAGGGATCAGTATACCTGGCTATAGCAAAACTGGTATGGACTCCAGGTTTACTCACCTCGAAGTGGGACAAGTTCTGCGTCATGGTGATCAAGTGATCTTGAATATCGGACAGATAGAGTCCAATATCCGACTTTGGTGCCACGGACCAATTCTCATTGCATCGCTTTGCCAATCCCTTGACGACGTCGGCCTTGTTACCCATTAACCTAAGCAGACCCATGACCTTCTTTCGACAGGCTCCAATACGCCTCAACATGTCGCTCTGTTCTACATCCTTGAGAATCAATACGAGCTCATCAATGGAGTCGACCTCGTACTCGATACTCTGGATGAGAGGACCAAAGGCATCGGTGATGTCGTCGATGAGGGCGTAGGAGATCCAGTCAGAGGTGACATTGATGTAGTCCTTGAGCTGCTTGATACGTCTCCTGACATTTTGAGGATGAGGTGTGGCACGGAAGTGGAAAGAGAGGGTGCCTTCGCGGAAGACGATGATGTACATGTTGAGAGGCTCCAGATAAGTCGGAGAGTATGGATCCTGATCGAAAGATCGGAAACAGACCAGGTAGTAGTTGCGGAAGAGTTCAATCTTCTCACGGGTCTCCTCCATCAGAATGTCTTCTGTGGTGAGCGGGTGAATACCAAAGACGCGGCTGAGGAGTTTCATTTCCGTATCCGTGGGACTGAGGACGTCCAGCCACCAGGTGTTCGCTTCGGGGTCCTGATCCATACGAATGCCTCCGCCGGGCATTGTGCGTACTCCAGCTGTGTTGCCAGCAGGTGGTGGAGGAGCCACACGCTGACTGTTTTGTCGCACAGCATTGAGCGAGTTGCGAGCTGGAGCGCCAGTCACTTGAGGAACAGGCGTACCAGAGCGCGTAGGAGGAGCAGTGGTGCCCTCCCTTCGACCGCTTGTACTGCTCGAGCCAGAAGCTCCGTTGCCAGTGACTGATGTCAAGGCTCCTCTTGCAGCCAACTGCGCCGTAAGAGCAGAGGGCTGCGATCCGGAGGCGTTGATCTTGCTTCCCCCTGCAGCGTTGGCCTCATCTGATCCGGCACTAGGCTCGGCGCTCGACTCCTCAGCAGCCCCTCCCAGCGTACCTGCATCCAGGCCGGAGAAGAGTTCCTCAAAGGTCTGTCCCTTGGCAGGCAATTCGCCAATGTGACGAGCATGGATGGTCGAAGGCAGAGCATTGGAGTAGAATGTGAAGCGATAGGGCTTGTCGGCAGGAGTTGGAGCTCCTAGACCTCCCGCTCCCAGGGAGAAAGCGCTTGCGCCTCCTACACCTGCTTTTCTATTCTTCCTGCCAGGGAAGCCGGGTCCAGCGGGCTGCGAGTACGAGCGCCCAAGGTTTCCTGGGCCCTCTTGAGCTTCATCCCTGTCAGCTCTCCCTCCATCACTCTTGGCTGGCTGGTAAGATGGCAAATCGCTGGGAGAGGCTGATTTGCCGTCGGCGCCCAAGAGAGGTGTGTTCACATCTGCACCATCGCGGCCTCCAAAGATGTTCTGAGGGGGAGGGGCCGTTCCTCCGGATTCAAAAAGGGCGAGCTTGCGTTGATACTTGCCCTGTGCATTGTCCGCCTGAGGCTTTCGAGGTCGGCGAGAGTAGAAGGTGGCATCGTCCGACTCAGGGGAAATGCCGTATGCAGTTCCTCCGTATGTTCCATCTCCATCGTCCGCTCTACCTGCTCTGCCTCCTCGAATACGGTTCCTCAACCCGCCATTCGAAAAGTCCACACCAGCCGCATTTGTAGCTGCCAGCTTAGTGCGCTCCTCCACTGCATACTCCTCCAGGGCCTGTAGGTCAAATGCGAAGGGGTAGCCTGGTGGCAGACGCCCTGCTGCATTACGAGGGCCGTCATGCATATGATGATGATGCTCATCCTCTTGCATCTCTTCGTAATCGCGGTGATCGTCAGGGTAGTCTTCATGATGGTACTCTCTGTGCTCCTGAGGAGGCGAGCCCTGCCCTGGCATAGGGAAGCAGACGTCATCCTCAAGGGCAGAAGGCCGACGAGACATTGTGTGCTGCGTCTGCTCGTCTTGATCATCTCTCAAATCGTCCCTGCTGCGCCGCGGGATGTCGTCCACATCAGCCGCCATGGGCTCGTCATCCACAGCACTCTCGTTGACGTTGTTGTCTCGGAAGGAGTTCTGCTGCCCCAGTCTGCTTGTCTGCCGAGTAGAGGCAGAGAGGGTAGCTTGGTTACCCTGACTTGCGCTCATGGAGTGATGATGACGATGGTCGATGTAGTGCGAAGCTGAATCAAGTGAAGTGTTGGAGCCTTGCCGACGAGGTTGACGGTAGAATCTAGCTGCCTGACTCCGAGCCGCCATGGGCGATCTGCCCATGTAAGAGCCAGATACCTGCCTGGCGTGCGATGGAGAAGTAGCGGAAAATGTTGGTGGAATGGTAGGGTCATCGTTCTGCTGCATAGATGGTCTCCTCCCCATGGTTGGGATGACCCGAGGAGAAGTGGGCGAATTCGTTTCTGCAAAGGCGGATAAAGAGTGGATTGCAGGGTCAGTATCTGTACCCGCACATGCCCTTTGCGGGATCCCATTCCTTTTCTTATCCATCTGTACCTGCTTCGACGAGACTCACCTCTATGATCAATACTCGTAGCCCTAGCCCTACTCATCTGTCTCGCAGCATCAATGTCCTGAGCCACTTGAGGATCAGGGTGATGATGGCTGTCCCTCGAATTGTACGACTCGCCTCCTCGCGGGAATTGCGGGCTGGAAGCACCGGCGCCAGATTCAGAAGGAAAGGAGATACGAGGAGGTCCACCCTCGGGAGATGTCTCCTGCCTTGAAGGACGTCTGGTGTCCCTGGGCGAGCCGGAAGAGTGGGACATTGTGATAGGTCTTCAGAAGAAGAGGAGGAGGAGGACGATACGGTCGGGCTGCGATCAGCCGCGAGACGTTGCAGCGGAAGGAGAGTGAGTGCCCCTGTTTCCCTCCGTTGAAGAGGACAGACCTAGCGCTGAGAAGGAACTAGGAGGTTTTACAACAGCAGCAGTAGAATATACTGTCAGACTTTTAGTGAAAGAGGAGGAAGCGTTGTATGATGAAGATCTTGCGGATGGGTCTGCTTGGATGAATGGTGATGGCCAGCCCCCAGGCAAAGTTTGGAGGGGGCGATGCGGGTGCAGAAGTGCGGGGCTTGGATGGTGCTGCAAGATGCACGATGAGGACACACACACGCGCACAACCCACCGATCGGGCGGGCGAGCGGGCGAAGAGGCTAGACTAGACTTGACTAGACAGGGGCTCATTCCATTGCGGAACGGAAGAAGGACATCAAGAGCATCACCAAGCAGCGTAACCTTCAGCAGTCACACATGGTCCTTGTCTGTGGGAACAAGCTACTTTTATGCTCAAATACTCTCAATGCCATGAGAATACAAGTCAGGATGGGCGGTAAGGCGAATAATGCATTACTATAAGGGCTGGGTATAAGAGGATGAAGGAACGCAAATGAGAGAGACATTGGTTGACAGACCCAGCATATGATCTTCCTCCCAGTCAGTACAATAAGTATATGGAGCGCAATTGGCAAGCATGCAAGGCGGCATGTATAACAGCCCAGAGTATGCTGCACTACTTGGGTGTTTGGCAAGTGAAGCTCATGTAAGCGTCCTTGCCCTTCGTGGTCCCCTGCTTGTCGTATACAGCCTGCTGAGGCCAAGGACATAATTTCCGGGTGAACTCAACGCCGTAAGCCTTGTCCTCAAAGGTCGTGGGCAGCGTGATATCTCCTTTCAGGGGCTGACTACCGTCCCACACTGGTAGCACCTTCGAGCGTGACTTGTACGACGCGCCTACGTGGTATGGCAAATTGTGACCCTTTTCCACCCATGCGACTAGACTGAGCAACATGTCATGGCGCGTGTCGAAGACCAGAGGTCGGTTGCCTCCGTCCTCCTGAGTGATGCCTCCAAAGTGCCAAGCGCCTGGACCGTTTCTACAATGACCCATACCAGGAATGTCGAAGAAGCGGTAGTGGTCCGAGAGAGACCCTTTGATCTTTCCTTCCGTAGCATTGGCCACGGCACTGTAGTACGCTTGCGTCGAGTAAGGACTGATAGTCATGTCGGATAGACCATGGTAGGAGATGATCTTGGTGCCAGAGTTGATCGCAGGGGAAAGATCGACGACATCGGCAGTCCATGCCGTACCATCGATGTCGCCTTGAACGACCTGGTCGTAGGTGATCTCCGTGTACGGGTCAAAGGTCGCATTGTCGTAATTGGGCTCTCGTCTGTTCGCCAACAGCCAGAACCTCGCTTTCGGGCTTGTGCCTTGGAAGCTCGCGCCATCCGACTCCCACGAGTATGGGAATGCGGGGTATACAAAGCTGCCATTGATGGTCGCAGGTTGGTACAGGCCTTTGAGATTGGTCAGCTGCGTACTGCTGAGACAGAGATCGGATTCGCTGTAATTGCCCTTGCCACCTTCAGCTTTGCACAGCAGCTCCTTGTCAAAGTCCGGATTGCACTTTCTGGGGTCGGTGAGTACGCCGTCCTTTACACCGTCAAGGGTATCACACTGGTCTAGGATCACCTGGTGCATCGGCGCAAGCAGCTCGTTTGAGAACCAGCCTCCTTTCGCAGTGCCTTTGCGGTGGCGGGTTTGGAACAAGATTTGGCCCACATTCTGTGAGTGACGACGGTGAGGGATCAGTACCAGGCCCATCTGCCAAGCTCATAGCACTCTTGGAGAGGCTACACGATTCCACTCACCATCCTGTTGAAGTTGACGCCCGGACTGCCGGCAAGGATTCCATCGAAGTCTCCCGGATCAGATTGAGCGGACGCAAGAGCGGATTTGCCACCGTTGGAGCATCCTGCAAAGTACGAGCGTCTCTTCTTGCCCTTGTTCACCCCGTAGAAGGCATCCAACACCTCATCTGCGAGCACTTTTGAGACGTGTACACCTCGAGTCCCCCAATCGACGAGGGTCTCATCGTGCTGCGTGCCATTGATCCAGGTCGTCACACCCGTTCCTCCAAAGTGGCCCTGGTTGTTGCCAACAACGGCCATTCCTAGTCTGGACATGGACTGCTTCATGGTTGGCCAGGGGATGGCGCCCCTAAAGCCACCGTTTGCGACCAAAAGTAGTCGCCCATTCCAACCTTGTTTGGGAGACCCTAAGACCTCACGACCTGTGAGGGGTGAGTCGGAATGCCCCTTCCATCGGCGAGTGATGGTGCTCTTGTTGCCATTCTCATTTGTAGACTGTCCTTCAAGGAGACCGATTGAGGCGTCTTCTTCATCAACCTCCTCTTCTGAGGCAGTGGGATTCGCAGCAGTCCCAGTCGACAAACTCGCAGGTGTGTCCTCTGGCTCGATCTCAGATGGCGTCGTCGCAGAGGTGTCGTTTCCAGTGGCTGTAGCCGTCGTCCTCATTGTTCTGAATTTGGTTCTGGCAGATGGAGTGTGAGGATCACCGATGACCTTCTTGGTGCTGGCCGAGGCGGACTTTGTCAACGCAGCCGTCATCAGAGATCGAGTCGAGTTGGTGTCGGGAGCCGTGACATTCTTCAGGGGCGAGCTGGCATTGATGAAGTACGAGCTGGGAGCCTTGAGATAGTCACCATTGGCCGCTAGACTGATTGGCGTGGAATTGGTAGGGAAATCACTGGCATTGATGGGCGCAAGCGGTAGAGAGGGATTATACTTGAAGGGCATCCATGCCTCCATGTAGACCTGGGTGAGGTTGCTGGTGACGATGAGGGCTCCAAAGCGGCAGAAAGCAGGCAGGCCCCCGAGTGGGCCATGCTCCGAAAGCCTTTTTCGGGAATTCCAGCCGTATCCACCGTCCCTGGAGATGTCTACATCTGGCCCAACCCCTGCCAGAATTTGCTGCAGTGCAGGGCCCTCTGGGTAGATCGGCAAAGGTATTGAAGAGGCCAGAAGCTCCAGTGATGGATTCGAGCCCTGTTCCCAGTATTGACTGAAAGTGAGGTTAAGCACAAGATTCTTGGAGCTGAAGGTAGAAGCGAAGGCCTCGCATCGTTGTTCAGCTACGGGCCCTGCTGTTGGCACATGCACAGCCGCCTCGACAATGAGGGGCAGCAGGAGACCCAGTAGGCCTATAAGTGCGAGGAAAGGACTGTACTGAACCATTCTGCAGCAGAGTTGGTCGCTGCAGGGCTTTGTGGGTATGCCGGCCTGAAGTGGGCGCAGACTTCAGCGACTGCTGTCAGGCGGGATGAAAAACGAGCGTACCCTGTAATAAGTTAGGACAAGGGAGTATCTATGGTCAGGAAGGAAGGCAAAGGGAGGGGGAAAGGTGTGGTGTAGGGGCAGAGGATAAGAGGCTGCCCTGACTGGCAGAGGAAGCGCAGGGCCTGAAGTCGTGGTTGCAGATTGAATGGTATTGAGGCGAAGTTGTGCCTGGTACTCATTCCTCAGGGCGTCAGGTCAGCTTAGCACAGCGACTTGGTCTGAGGAGTGGGGTACCTGGGCTGTCCCCCCTATCCTCGTCGGTCAGACCTTGCCATTAGCGGCTAGGGATGACCTTGCAACCTCGCTTCTCCGGTGCCGAGTGTGTGCTCTGGTGCCCCGCGCCTAGGCGAGGCAGCGGGGTCCACTAATTTCCGGGAGAACACGACGACCTGAGCAATTCCGGGCCGCGACTGGCTTCTGTGCCATGGCACCTGACGCACACCCAGATGTCTGGCCCTCGCTGCGCGCCCCTCACCCAGCTCCGTTCTCACGCCTACGAGGTCCATGATACAAAGCCTGGCTACCCTGCCCCTGCCATACCTTCCGCGGAGAATCTCATCTCTGTCGTCGGCATCACAAGCGTCTTCTCTGGACATCATCGAACCGAGTGGTGGGTGTGCGTTTGAGCGAAATGTCGTGGGAAAGCTATGGTACATTGATAATGCGGGTAAGGGGTGTTTCTGGGCCTCGTGAGCGTAGCTCGCTTCAGCCATCCGCTACATTAGATGTGAATGGCTCTACAGCCTGCCATGCAGATTGTTGTGTCAAGTATTCCACGGGTCATTGCAGGTGGAACCGACCCATTCGTTGCCGTTTTTCAACATCGTGCGGCCTTCACGCAGAGGCAGAGACGATGTTTGCCACGACTGGCGCCTCCCGGAAGCTTCCTAATTCGAGTGGCCTGCAATGCAGCGCTTCTGACCGCCTCAGAGCTGCCTCTGCCCACTCTTCTCGTACAGCAACCGCTGCCGCTCCTCCAATAGTCTCCTCTTGTTAAAGTAGTCCACCCAGCTCTTTGCGCAATTGGCCTCGTATCCGCTCCTCTTGTCCTTGCAAGGGTCCTCATCTCTCGCTGCTGTAGTCTCATTGGCCGTCTTTGGCGGTCCTCGACCATCCGATGTGTCGGTTCCGGGAGGCACGAGGATAGAATTGGCAGTGAGACAGGAGAAGTAGGCGTCCCGATGATCCCAGCATGCTTGGCGCGAGGAGCGCGTTGGGAGCGCTTGCTGAGGTGGTGCTTGGGACGATGTCGAAGCCGAAGAGGACGATGATGATGAGGATGAGAAGAGTCCCATGATGGAAATGGATGCTGAGTGTGGCGAGGACTGAACGATGAGCTGCTGCAATGTACGGAGATGGCCACTTCTACGGAAAGGCCGAGCAAAAAGTCGTGGGCCCGAAGCTGCGCTGATTCAGCGCCGACTGCTTCTCCACTTCCGCCATCGATTGACACAGATCTTCCCGCCCTCTTTCCACCTAAGCCATACCACTCACCCCACCATCAAAGACAGCCTCGTGCTACACGCATCGCCACGCCTTAGCCATGTCGCTCCGTACGGGTACGCGCTCACTGAGACGAGGGAGTCTCCTTTCCACTGCCAGAGCGGCCGCATCTCTCCCACCACAGCCTTCGCGATGCGCTTCCACCTCGTCCCCCGCCTCCCCACTCGAGCCCGAAGCTCGCACTCAGCGAACCAACCCCGCTCCAGGGCCCCCCAAGCCGAATAGCCCCTTCACCATCTTTGACCGTCCTGCAAAGGTGATGCAGCGCGATCGAGCTGCCAGAAGAGGCGAGGCTAGCAGACAGACGGACTATGTGCGGAAGGCCGCGGCTGAAAATGTTGCCGAGAGGGTGCTGGATATCAAGCGGCAGTTCGATACCATTGTTGAAATCGGGTCAGGACCAGGGTACCTGAGGCAGTTTCTAGACAAGGAAGGGACAGGGGTGAGAAAGATCATCATGTGCGACACCAGTCGTGAGATGCTCTACCGAGACGAGCACCTTGATGGCGAGTATCCCTTCGAGATTGAGCGGAGACTCATCGATGAAGAGGAGCTGCCCTTCGAGCCAAATTCGCTCGAGTGCGTCGTCTCTTCTGGAGCTCTGCACTGGACCAATGATTTGCCTGGCGCACTGGTACAGATTCAGCGGTCCCTCAAGCCAGATGGCTGCTTCGTAGGATCCATGTACGGAGGCGACACTCTCTTCGAGCTGCGCACCAGCATGCAACTGGCAGAACAGGAGCGGGAAGGCGGCATCTCACCAAGAGTTTCGCCGATGACAGATACAAGAGATTGTGCATCTCTCTTGTCGAGAGCTGGCTTCAGCATTCCGACTGTAGATATCGATGAAATCTCCGTCGCCTACCCGTCGATGTATGAGCTCATTCACGACCTGAGAGACATGGGGGAGAGTAATGCGGTTATCAATCGCAGGCCGCTGCTACTAAGAGATACTCTGCTTGCGGCAGGAGCCATCTATCAAGCTCTGCATGGAGAGGAAGGCGTGCCGCAACCAGACGGCTCAGGCGGATCCATTCCTGCGACCTTCGGTATGATCTTCCTCATTGGGTGGAAGCCAGACCCTTCACAGGCCAAGCCCTTGGAGAGGGGCAGTGCCTCGCACAGCATGAAGGATATTCTCGGTGAAGGTGAGAATCCCGACAGCCCAGAAGGACCACTACCTCAGGGTGGCGTACCCCCACCTCCTGGTGGGGGCAAGACGAGGTCTTTCTCCACTTCAGCTCGGAGTAGACAACAAGCCACCACCTCCAGCAGCAACAGCAGCCCTCTACCGGAAAAGGCTTGCTCCGCCTGCGGAACAGTCCAGCCCTTCGCTTCCGTCGTATGCCCCAACACCTCCTGCTCTCAACTCCAACCCCTTCCCTCCGACCTGGACTTCTACACTCTCCTCGACCTCGACTTCTCCTCTGTCCCCCGCAATGGATGGGACGTGGATGTACGATCGCTCAAGAATACCTGGAGGAAGAAACAGGCAGTCAGTCATCCGGATAGGATGAGTGGGAGGAGTGATAAGGAGAAGGTGATCGCGCAGAGTCAGAGTGCGCTGATTAACAAGGCGTTTGAGACGCTGAATGACCCATTGGCAAGGGCCAATTATCTCGTGAGTAGAACTCCACTCTGCACAAATCGGGAAGGGCGCAGAACTTTGAGTCGAGCTGAACTGACCAGACGTCTTTCTCCTTTCCAATCGTGCCGCTTCTGTACAGCTGGAGCGCTCCTCGCACTCTCCCGCCACGGAGTCAGACTCGCTCGAAGACCCAGCATTACTGATGACGGTCATGGAGCTGCGTGAGTCTCTCGAGGAGGCATCCACCGAGGAGGAAGTAGCGAGTGTAGCCGAAGAGAATGCTCAGCACCTTGAGCAGTCTGTTCAGGCTCTAGGAGAGGCTTTTCAGGGCAGCGGTGCTGGTAGTGGTGGTGGTGGTGGTGGTGGTGGTGAAGGGCAGGGAGGTGAGTGGGACGTAGAGGCAGTGAGGAAAGAGGCTGTTGCGCTTAGGTATTGGAGTAATATTGCCAAGGCGTGCAAGGAGTGGGAGAGGGGAAAGAGAGTCGAAGTGCAGCATTGATCCTCGTACATTGTACCAATGTCACCCTTTTACTTCACGTTCCAACTTGATCGCCGCCTCCACCGGCCACAGTGTTCTCTTTGACTGACACACCTTTGACTGACACACCGGAAGCTGACGAGGCTGGTGCAGCAGGACCTCTGAGCAGTCCTCTTCTCCTGCCCCTCGTAAGGCCTCTACGCCACTTGGCCCATTCTCTCCCTTCGCGACGTAGCCCGCTATATTTCGTCGCAGCAATCCTGCGAGGTCCCCTCATCGTTCCATCTCGCTCTTTCTCGACATTGCCACTACCACTATTACCACCACTGTCCCTCTTTTCTCTAGTAAGACTCGTAGTCTCACCCTGCTCCTCCCTCCTGCGCTGTTTCCTCTCCCATCTCCTTCCCCTCCTTCCCGTCTCCTGCACTTCGCGAACCTCACGAGCGATCCACCGCCACTCGTTCGCAAGGTCAACAGCCCTGGCCGCGAACGTAGAGGATCCGCGATCCGTTGCCCAGCGAAGCAGGATGCGGGATGTGCGCAAGGTGAAGAGGAGCAAGGGGAGCTGCTCTCTTGTTGTTGAGGGGGCGTTGGAGGTCGGGTAGAGGTCCGCTGATAGAGAGGGGGCAGGCTGCTGTGGAGCTTGTGAGGACGGGATCTGACTGCGCCTCGCCTCGGATCGAGTCGGGGAGACTCTCTGATGAGCTAGCCTGTCCATTGCGCACGCCGGGCTCCATTTCCTCTCAAAGTCCGCGACTAAGTCGAAACCTTCTTGTAGAGGTGCTCTGGCCAGTCGCAGTAGCCTCAAAAAGAGAAGTACCGTCGTCTCGTTTGGTACAAGTAGAGGAAGCTCCGGTCGAGCATATGTTGACCAGAGCGAGGGCGATCGACCGACGAATGTGGGCAGAGTTTCTTTACACCTGGTCTGGCCGTCCAAGAGAAGACGAGCGGCGTCGCCCTCTCCACAGAGCTCAGTCAAGTCGGCGTGGGCATTCTCGTACGCCCTACGAGCGCTTTCGGCATCCACGGCGCCTACGAGATGGCTTCTGACGAGCAAATTCAGGAAGCTAGCGCCCTCAGGCTCCGTATCTGGCTCACTGACTGCCCTCACCCGCCGCGTCCTGCTTGTTGAGCCATACCGAGGCAAAAAGTAGCTTCTGCCACCTCCTTCGAAGAGGGCCGAATGTTCGGATGACCAGGCGGAGAGGTAGAGCTTGACCAGCTGCTTGAGCTTGACAGAATCGCCCCTCTCGGCCAGAGAACGTAGAGCTGCTAGTGTGAGCCAGCTCGGCGGGGGCCCTGCAGAGGGAGTGGACGAGTTGGATGAGGAGGTATGCGTGTGTGCGGAGGAGGACCAGAAGTCGGAAGAAGAAGAAGAAGACCAGCGGGCGATGGTCTGCTGTAGCAGTTGCTCCCGTTGAACGAGGAGAGATGCCAATGAAGAGGGATCGTCGAGGGAGCCAAGGAAACCTGCCACGGGTGCAGGCTCAAGAGGTTCGGCATTGGCCTTGCGTTGCTCTTCCACTTCCTGCAACCGTCGAGCTTCTCGTCTGGCCATAGCGCTCATCCTGCGTCTCCCTAGAGTTGCTCCTGACCTGTCTACAGTAGTTTCACTGGTCGTCAGACCTCTTTCCAGCAGAACTCGCTTGAGTCCTTCAACATCGATCTGCCCGCCGTGCTGGTGTTCCTCTATCAGAGCCATGAAGTCTCGAAGCTGCTGTCTGACCTCGCTTGAGGCATTCACAGAGGAGAGGTAGGCTATTTTCTTGGCAATGTAAAGATTCTGGGCAGGCCCCAGGGAAGCAGAGGCGTCCTTTGATATGACTTGCTTCTGCCGCAAAGACGGTATCGCTTGTCGTCTGCGAAGATTTGCCAGGATGACGTAGGGACTGTCGCTACTCTGATCAGTCGAGCGAGGGGCAGCACCGAGGGCTCGGGCTAGGTGATCAGCATCCGGATCAGGTATGACCTGGTGATTCCTGAGCCTGGTCAGGAGAGCAAGTGCCAGATTCTGCACCTGCCGCGGTGTCTGTGTCTGCCACTTCTCTGGCAAAGGCGCACGGTGCTGCACCTCGACTGGCTTGGCAGCGAGCTGTCCATCATATTGAGAGGTCTCGGCCGTCTGCGCCAGCATCTGCTGCAGCCTTTGCTCTCCCCACCACTTGGCAAAGCTTTCGACGATGACTTTGAAAGCCTCTGCATCGCTGCGACGAGCTGCATATTTCATCAAGAGTCCCCAAGCAGGAGCGGAGTGCTGGTATGAGGCCGAAGCAGCCGAAGATGAAGAGTTGTTGATGTCCCTCTGCACGCCCTTGCCCTTGCTGTCCCTCTGCTGTGGTTTCGGAGGACCTAGCTTTCTTCTTTGTGGTGCTACAGGCTGTACGGAATGTTCAACCAACCAGACGACCCAACGGAAAGTCTGCAAAGGCCGTGTGGCTGCAGACGAATTTGAACGGGCACCTTGAGCTGATCCCTCCGCCCCGCTCCTGGGGCTGGTCGAGCTGGCGTTGCCTACCCTTCCTCTAATTATATGATAGAGATCAAGCTGTGCCTGAGAGAAAGTCGGCTGCGAGCGCTCGGCGCTGGCCGCTGCCTTGGAGCTACGTCTTGGGTCAGAGTGTGGCATCTCATCGATGTCCCTGGAGTTGGAGGCATACTCAAGGGTGGGCTCCTCGAAGGCAGACTCTGAAGATTGCCATTGAGTACGACTTGACGTGCCAGGGTCGTGATTAGCTTTCAGTGCAGAGCGACTGAAGGCAGCGATGGAGGCGCAGTCGTCGAGGCAGGGTGCAAGAAATTGAGGTGGAAGAGGAAGAGGGGACAAGGCTGCTTTGAATACCGCCTTTCCCGACAACCGCACACGACCTGAGCGTGTGCCATTGCCAACCACCCGCAGCATGACCCTCGCCCTCACAGAGATGTGATGATGCTGATACGAATGTATTCACAGATTCAGAGGTAGAAGATGATGTTGGGTAGGGAGCTCTGCGTACAGAGGTGTGCAAGCAGCCAATCCGGACTCACCTTCGGAAAGGCGCGAAAAGAGTGGAGCCGCCAATTCTGCCGCTCTCGACGGAAGGGAGGCCAATTGCTTGGTAGCATAGCCACTCCTTCCTACCGTCCCTACCATCCACCCCTGTCGTGTTCCATCGCATCCCGTGTTCCATCGCATTCACTTCTGCCATGAGTGGCTACGCAGATGAGCTACTCAACGACTTTGGCTCGGATGACGACGAGCAGGACCAGAAGCCTGCCGCCACTGCTGCGAGCAATGGAGACAGTAACGGAAAGCGAAAGTGGGAGGACGATCTGGCAGACCTGGACGATGGTGACGATGACGGCGACGATGACGTTGACCCGGGGGAACGAGTGGATGAGAACTCGAAGTTGAAGCTGGGAAAAGACTCAATTGCTCCCTCGGCAGAGCTGAGGTCAGAGGACATCAAGGACCTCGACTTTGGTCCCGAGTCTGTGCCATCCGTATCATCCATCTCCACGCTCCTCTCATCCTCAAAGGTGCAAGCGACAATAGCCAGGATCGAGCACTTCAAGAATAAGGCATCATCTTCAGCGTCTTCATCATCGTCCACGGAGGCGAATTTGGTGGCCCAGATGCAAGTAGAGGGCATTCTCGAGCACTCTGAAGAGTATCAGCTCATTGTTCGCGCCAACAATCTGGCTGTGGAAGTGGAGAACGAGATCACCCTCGTGCACAAATTCATTCGCGATCACTACAATGCTCGGTTCCCCGAACTGGACACCGTCATTCCTCGAGCGTGGGAACACGTTCGAGCTGTAGAGGCCTTGGGCAACCCGGATGATCTCAGCGCTCCCAAGGAGGGCAGCTCACTAGAGTCGCTGCTGCCTCGAGAGCTCGTAGTCCCCATCTCCATTGCCGCATCCACGACTAGCGGAAAGAAGCTGTCGCAGCAGGAGTGGGACAAGGTACAAGAGGGTTGCAAGACCGTACACGAACTGGCCAGAGTCACAAGACTCATTCTAGAGTACGTCGAGTCGCGTATGAGCTTCATCGCGCCCAATCTCTCCGCCCTTGTCGGCTCGAACGTGGCAACAAAGTTGCTAGGAGTGGCAGGAGGTCTTACGGCTCTTTCGAAGATCCCTGCATGTAACATTCAAGTACTGGGAGCGGCGGCAAAGAAGGCTTCCCTAGGTGCGCTGGGACTCTCGTCGAACCTCGGTGGCAACCTTTCTGGCGAGTCGCGGCACGTTGGCTTCATCGATCAAGCGCCCTTAATGAGCGAGGTTCCACCCGAGTACCATCGCCAAGCCGTACGACTCATCTCGGCCAAGGTCGCCCTGGTATCTCGTATGGACGTCAACCACTCCGAGCCTCTCGGCACTTACGGCTCGAAGCTCCGCGCCGAGCTCTCTCAAAAGATCGAAAAGCTCCTCGAAGCCGCACCGGCCAAGATGGTCAAAGCTCTTCCTGTACCCGTCGAAGGCAACGGACACAAGAAGCGTCGTGGTGGTCGTCGTGCCCGCAAGATGAAGGAGCTCTATGGCGCTTCTGAATTGCGCAAGTTGCAGAATCGAGTCGAGTTTGGCAAAGCCGAAGAAGAAATGGGAGCATTTGACGAGACGGTTGGGCTGGGTATGGCTGGGTCCTCCAGTGCCAGTGGACGGATCAGGGCTGGTGTGGGGGAAAATCGGACAAAGGCAAAGATGTCAAAGAAGAACCAAGGGAGGCTGGAGGCAATCCGTAGGGGCAATGCCCGTACCAACTTGGATGAGATGCTCGGACCTTCCTCGTCTTCCTCCTCCTTCCCCGCACGCGGAGCAGCCAACGGCATATCTTCCTCTGCTACCTCATCAGGCACACAGACGTCCCTTGCCTTCACCCCCGTGCAAGGTATCGAATTGGCAGATCCTACGCAGAGGGCGCGAAAAGTCGACGAGGCCAATGACAAGTGGTTCAGGCAAGGACAATTCTCCCTTTTGCCTGGAGTCAAGGGTGGAGCTACACCACTTGTGCCTAGTAGTGGTACTGTTGGGCAAACGGGAGGTAAGACGGGGTTGGGATCGGGACCGGGGTCAGGATCGATGGGACCTCCTGCTGCGCCGCGGAGATGAAGGCGCTGAAAGCCCGGTTGTGTTCTTCGCCAATGTCTACATCCTTGTACTTTTACACTCCATTAATGCCATGGACATTTCAACAAAACTCACACGACCCATGCACACAGTCGACCACGCACACGCCCATTTGCAAATGCCGCTTGACAATCAAAGTCGCACAAAGCGCTACTGTATCTTCAAGTGTGAAAACGCATTGTATGCTACAAGACGAGGGGAAAAGGCAAGGGTAACGAGGTACAGAAATTGCGAAGATGCGAATGCGAAAAGAATACGGAAATGTGCGAAGCAGTAAAGTTCTGCTGTAGAATCCCCGTCCATCCATACCAATCCAGAGAGGAACGGAGAGCGCCGTCTTTGCGCCTCTTGCCCCCTTCCAGGTCCCTTCACTCCTTCACTCTTTCTCCAGAGACACTGCGATCCGTTGCGAAGAATACGTAGAAAGTTCAGCGGTGCGCTCGGTGATTTACCTATGTCGAGCTTGCTGCTGTTGCTGATGATGCTGCTGCTGATACTGCTGAGAAGCCGCATGCTGGTATCCTTGCTGCTGCTGCTGACGTTGTTGTTGTTGTTGATGTTGATGCTGCATAAATCCACTTCCTATGCCATCGGCACCGCCACTGCCGCCTCCAGCGCTGTCGTACCCCATCCCATATGAGTTCGCTCTTCCACCTCCCGCACCGATAGAGGCAGCGTAGTACCCTCCATTGTCAGGTCGGAGAGAATGTCCCCCACCCGAAGGACCGAGCTTGGCCTCTTCGTTTATGCCTCCATCTGAAAGTGCTGGACCTACACCAGCGTTCTGTGTACCCTTTCGCGCATCGCCATAGTAGGCATAGGAACTGATCAGTGGCGCACTCTCGGGAGGCGCGGACGCAGATGCTTGATGTGCCCCCATGGAAAGATAAGCGCTTTGTAGTGGAGTAATGGGACTGTAGAGTCCTGCCGAAAGCGGTCCTCGGCCTTGACTTTGACTACTCGCCTGCCCATGAGGGCCTTGGTGTGCATAAGGCGCAGGCTGGGAGTTGAGGACATGTTGATGGGCTTGCGGAGGCTGAGATGGGAGAGGCTGGGAAGTACCGCTAGAAATCATCCGAGAAATCGAGAGCCCATTGGCGATGGCAGCCGAGGACAAGTCGCTGCTGTACGAGGAAGAAGCTGCAGGGCTTGGACCTGGGCCAGCAGCAATGGGCTCGTGGGTGTATATAGCAGAAGAGGGCGCTTGAGGATAGTGAGCTGCATATCCCGAAGGGATAGCGCTACCTCCCGCTCCTCCTCTGAGCAAGTCCTGACCACTCTCACTGTTGAAAGAACTCCCATCCCATTGATTGACAATGCTCTCTACAATGCTTCCCTCATCTCCCGTTCCATCTTGAGCTTGCAAGTCGATTGGGAATCCCATGAACTCGTTGTCCAAAGTGCCAAGCAGGTGGTCCAAGGCGGCATGGGTATAGTCACCCAAGGAGAAGAAAGGGGGCGCGATGCCGTTCTGCTCACCAGCTGTCCCTCCCCCAAGGTCGTCGTAGAGATAAGTTTCAGTGAATGTAGGGAAGCGGCTGTCATAGTCGGTGATGCTGACGCTTCCTTCGAGAATTGGGGGTGAAGGCTGAAAGTCATCTGTCTGCATCGACATCTGTAGGTCATATCGAGGGTATTGCTGCTGCTGTGCTTGCTGCTGTTGCTGATCCCAAGGAGCGTCAAAGGGAAGCGGCAGCGCGGCCTGCTGTTGCTGCTGGGGCTGGGGCTGGGGCTGTTGTTGCTGTTGCTGCTGCTGCTGCTGCGACGTGGAGGTATTCGCGACGCTCCTGCCGTCGTCAAAGAGCTTGCTGTTCAACTTGACATCGACATCACCGGGGCGGCCCCCTTTCCGTGCAGCTTCCGTCTTCTCGCTAGCCAATGGGATCTCACCATTTCCGCTGAGCTTACGACCCGGGGGCCAGTGCGCAGGGTCCCCAAAGACCATTCGTACCCGCTCAACGGCATTGGCGCACCGTACAGCGAACCGAGAACTTGCTGTGTCACCTCCTTTGCGATGGAAGCCTCCCGCATTCGGCAAGCCCGCATTCTTGCTGCTGCCCTTCTTGCTGCTACCGTCTCTATTCTTGTCACGCGCAGCTACCTCTTCGGTCTTCTTGACGATATTCGCATACCTCCTGGCGAACTCGCGCAGGACATTGCCGACAATCGCAGGAACACTCAGTCGATCTCCCTGAGCTAAGGTGACGAGGCCTTGAACAGCACGTCCAAAGACAGCAAGCATGGTCTTGTTTCCAGAGCCAAGATCTCCGCTACCAAAGGCGACGAATAGCTTGTGTTCCACACTCTGCTTGGCTGCGACGAAGACGACTGCACTGAATTGAAAGTGAGGTATGAGATGCAGATATCGAGATGAGTGCTGATAGTCGGCAAGTGCCGGGCTTGACTCGAGTTTCTCTGCTTGCTTGGCTCTTCGCGGATCCGAGCCGGTAGGAGGTAGCGGAAGCAAACTGCTGGCGAGACGCAGTAGCCTCTCGTTGACCCAGCTTGTCCACTCGGCCACTTCGGCAATCATGTCAGCTTGCTCTGGCTGAAGCGTGTCGAAACCCTCGTAGGCGGCAAGTTTGGAGAGCCGATGCTGTTTCAGTGCCAGTGTCATGATAACAAAGAACAAGACGCGTGTATTGAGACCCGCGATTGTCTCCAGTGCTTCGATCTCTGCCCATTTGAGCAAGATATTGAGGATCGGATCCTTCGAATTCTGGTCACTAGCTCCGCTTGAGGTGGCAGGTCTCGAGACAGATGCCTTGCTGATCAGTGCTTGGAGCTCCTCGAGCTCTGATTTGTTGCGCAGTTGCGTCTCCAATACATCAATCGTCATGGTCACGAGGATTCTCCCAAACGACATGATGTTCTTGGCGTCGCAGAAGTCGTAGGGATTCAATTCGTTCCAGTAAGTGCGCACTTGTAAGCTCGTTCTGGCACGTCGACTCAGGATGTGGAGAGACATTGCCAAAGCTTGGTAGGTCAGAGGTGGATGAGGAGTGTCGGATGCAGAGGAGGCTTCGGACTTTTGCCGAGTATCCCTATTGTGATATACTGATGCAAGCGCTGCGTTGTCTTTTGTTGAGGCAGACAGAAGCGGTTGGATGGCGTCCTGAAACGCGTCGATGTCAGCCATCGAAGGGAAGAGGGGCGGCAATTGAGGCCTTGTGCTTGAGAATGCCTGACTAACGCCCATGCCGCTGACGGTCAACCAGAGAGCGGCGTCTCGTAGCTTGCTCATCCTCTGTTGCAGAGGAGAGTTTGGATCCAAGGCGTCTGGCCCAGTGGAAAGATTGGGGATCACCCTGTCCAAGCCGAGGGAGAGTGCGCAATTCATTGCCGCTTGGTACAAGTGATGCCCTGGACAGTGATCCAGCTGAACGTCGACATCATGTGCAGGCTTTCCCAACTGCAGATCCGATGGTTCGTAGAGTACCAACAGCAATAGAGCCTGACAGGTCTCTCGGTTGCGAGACTGCATGATCACATGTATTGAGGAATGCCGGATCACAAAGGATGTCAGATCCGGTGGCGGATTGGGCTTGAGACAAAGGTAGTTGACCACGTTGCTGAGGAACACCCGGCCTGAAGCAGGATCAGCATCTTCCGGGACCGAGTTGACCAGCTCAGGATTGAGAAAGGGATGGGCTCGAATGAGAGCCTCGACTTTGTCTCGTGGGACCGTTCCCTCATCCACCACCGGCACACCTCGATAGGCGTAAGCGACAGTCTCTCCCTCGCGGGCACGAGCTCGATATTCTGGTGCGCCGTAGATGATCTCGGACATCAGTGCTGCGTTTCTGCCAGTTGCATTCATCAGCTTCATCCGGTAGTCGCGTGCATTCATCTTCAGTCCAGATGCTTCTGCTTTGCTCTTGACGGAACTGCTAGTCGCATCGGAGCGGCCGCCTTTTGCCTTTTCAGATGAGAGACGGTGTTGGGAGCTTGCCAAAGTTACTGCCTTCGAGAGGAGCCTTTCGTCCGATGTCGTGTGATTGGCGGCGTGTGGGCCCGAGACTGAGCTGCTTTTGGAAGTTGGCCGAGAGGAGGAGTCATTGGTCGCCTGCCTGGCGCCTGAGTTCTCGTCTGCATCAGACCATGGGCCTATAGTGTCGATCATGTCCTCCGTAGTGGCAGCCCAATGGCGCGTACGGGGTTGTTCAGTCGCAGGGACAGGGGCAATGGTACGAAGGTTGGGCACAGCTTGTTCGTAGCCGTCCTGAAGATGAGGCTCGCGCATGGAGAATTGCAAAGGTGCGGTATGTCGGTTGGAATTTGCAACGAGCGAAGCAGCCTTTCGCTTCCTACGAGCAGCATCAGAATCGCCGCTGCCGTCAGCATGCTCGGTGAGAGGTGAGCGGCCTGCACTGGCATTTGTGCGAGAAGTGGAGCGACCTTTGCTGGCAGCAATCTTGTCCTGAGGCGGCCCGTACCTTGCCGGACGATCGCCCTTCATCTTGCGATCGCCATCCCAGACGATACAATCCGTATCGAGCGTCTTGCATCGATGACACTTGACCGTGTATGGCAAGGGGTCCATCGAAGAGGGGACAGTGATATCTGGCAGCTCGCATCTGGCTTTGCGCTTACGGCATGCGAGACAGGATCGCCTTGCGTGAGTTCGGCGAATCTTCTTTGCGGCCGAAGGTAAGGAGGAATGCGACGCCGAAGGTGACATTGAATCGATTTCGTCTTCGTCGTCGCCGTAGTTGATTTCCTCTCCTCGCCCCGTGGCCTCGCCGTATCGCGGAGCATTGGCAGAGGCGCTGGTGAATTTCGAGGGCCCATTCAAGCTGGTCATAGGGGGCCTGGGCGAGGGAGATCGCATCGGCCTGGCAAAGGCAAATGTGGACGAGGGCTGAGAGCTCGACGACGAGGGAGCGTAGGAAAAGGGAGAGCGATGGCCACCGGAAGAGGTGGAGAAGGGGGTTGAGGATGAAGGCTGCTGATAGGTGTGAGCTGGGTAGCCAGCGTCTGACCCTCCTGCCATCATGCCAGGTCCTCCCCTCATTAGCGTTATTGCGGGATGAGAGAGGAGAAGATGATGAGGAAGGGAGCTACCCTTTGCGTCGTTGCGCTGATGGAGAGACTAATGATGGGCAATAGTGTAGAGGAGGCGATGCGATAAAGTCGAAAGGATGGTATGGAAGAGGAAGAGGAAAACAGGCCTGCGATGGCTGGCTAGCTCGAAGAGTAGTGTTGGTGGCTGAGGGCGGTGGAGTGGGCCCAGGGCTCTAGCCGCTGACACGGGTAGTGGGGGGGGGAGCGTGCGAGGAAGTGAGGGTGCTAGACTGTGTGCGGCTGTGGGTGTGAGTTGTGGACTGCGTGGAGCAGTGTCTGCAGCAGCAAGAGGGGTAGGGCGATTGGGCGGAGGCGGAGGACCAGGCGTGGCGTGACTGGCAGCAGCGGGCCTTAATGGGTAGCGCGCAGCTTAGATCTCACACAGATTTACCATAGTGACCGAAGAGGGGCGAGCGTATCAGCAACCAGAGGCTCCAGAGGGGATGCAGCAGCAGCGGCAGCAGCAGGAGCTAGACTCTGGAGCTACACGCCGAGACTTGTCAGCACAGAAGTGAGGGACGACAGACAACCAAAGTCCGCTACCGCACTTATCCCAGGCGTCTACCGGGGACTGAAAAAAAAAGGCAACGTCCCATGCTCTTCTTACCTCGGTCCAAGGCTGCAGCGGGAAGCAAGGGGGAGGGCTGGGCGGGGTCAGACCCGGGCAGAAGTGCACCAGCCACCAGTCGCCGTCTAGGCCGATTGCGCAAGCGAGCAAGGGGGGCACTTAGGCTTCTTGGACCTAGAACGCTGGAGAAGGATGATGCACTTTCAATCCTCTGCTCGCACACCCAAAGGTTAAAATGCACAAAGGCCGGTGTGCTTGCATCATGTAGGCGAGGGACATGATGAGAGCCGATTGAGAATTGGTCCCCCCCTCCCCCCCAGAGGGATTAAATGATACGACCTACACACACACACCTCCGGTTGTTCCGATGCTGTTGCGCCCACCTCGCCTCGCCAAGCAAGCGAAGTGTAGCTGTACCCATCCATCAGTCAGCGTCAGCTTCGCCCCTCCCCCTTTCATCTTAGCCGAGCTGAACCGGCGGGTCGCATCTACTCGGCGGCTCTGGCAGCTGTCGGCATTGTGTCATGTATCCCTCACCCCGCTTCTCCGTTGTTGTCAGCTCCTCCGTCCCCGCTTCCAGCCTGTAGGCGATCGTCTCACTCTCTCATTGCATAGTCCGGCATCGCGACACCCTGGAGCGCCATATCTGCATGGGCTTCACCCTGCTCCATCACCTCAGAAAAGGCCCGCGATTACACATGATCAGAGGCGCTGCGTCTCGAGATAGCGCGTGGAGCTTGTCCTGGTCACCGTGAGTGACGCATGCCCCGAGCCCTTTGCCCAAGCCCCCCTTCCTCCTTCCTTCCCCCAGCTTCGGATCGAGAATGAGCCTAGGGAATTCCAACGATCTTGCTCCCAAGGGTGTCCTCACAGCTCAGCTTACATCATCTCTCCCAATCGTCTGAACTCAAAGCATCGCAGCGCCTTTACTGTTAAGCTCTTGACTTTTTCTTCTTCTTCTTCTTCTTCTCTCTCTCTCGGAGAAAGTGCCCAAAGGAAGTCCGATGAGGAGGGGCGGGTAAGGCGAGCGAAGCGAGAAAGGGACCGGAGGCAAGATGCGCCACGCCCACGCCCCGCCCCGCCACGCCACGCCAGACGGTGCATTGCAGGCGGGTCCTCTACTGGGCTTCTAAAACCCTCGCTTGGCGACGCGGACGGTCATTGCTCCTACGGCATCTCTAAGCACAGCTTCGAGTAGCATAGCATAGCATAGCCTAGATGGACATACAGGGATGAAAGGAGGTGGATCGCCGGTCTCGTCGCGCCAACCTAATCACGAAAGAATGAAACTTGATCGCCGGTCACCGCTATAGCCTCTGCCGTCACTTTGGAAACGTACTTTGTCAGCGCCAAGAAGCGGAGATATGCCTTGACGTGCGACGTTGAGCGGGACGTGGCATGGTATGGCTTGACCTGACCTGACATGACAGGAGTTGTCCCCGATTTGACACTGACAACGACAAACGATACGGCCGGCACAGCGCAGCGCAGCGCAGCGCCCCATTCTCCCCCCCTCCATCCCGCTCTCCTCGCTGCCACCAGCACCATCCGGCAGCACCGCTCGAAGCCACGACGATGGGGTCACCATCGGCGAATTTTCGGTGAGGCAATCACCCGAAAGTTCAGGCAATCGGACCGAGCACGGAGTACGGAATGTTTGAGTGATCGAGTGATCGAATGGTCCGTTGACCGGCCGAGAGGTGTTGTTCGACATCGGGGCCACCACCGGGGGGTGGAGCATTATCCGCACGGCGGACGTCGGGATTCACTCTGTGGGGGACGTAGCTGGACCGTCGATCCTTGGGGGTAGAGCAGAGAGCAGAGCAGAGCAGACCGACACACTCTCACTCTCACTCTCACTCTCACTCTCACTCTCACTCTCACTCTCACTCTCACTCTCACTCTCACTCTCACTCTCACTCTCACTCTCCACCTGGCTGGCTGAGCTCCTAACAATCGGAAAAGAAATCACCTTGCATGCACAAGATACAAGAAGAAGAGCAGTCGCAGTCGCACTTCGCCAGTCACCAGGCGCCAGTCGTACATCCTCTACCTCTACACCTCCTCACCAGCGTCCGACCAACGATGATACATGTATGCTGGCTTGTAGCTTGCAGCCCGCCACGGAAGCCCGCCAAACCCTCCATTGCAGAAGATGAGACGAAGGGGAATCGCACCCACGCACGCTGCATTCAGCTCCTCTCTCCACTCCACGAATCTCTAGCAGCATCCACCAGCCTTCTTGCCAGCAGCGCCTCCATCGTCTGTCGAAGTCTGTACGGTAATTGTCTCTGATCCGCCCGTGGGCTTGATGACCTCGTCGGATGACTGCAGCGCCTTGTTTGAAACGATGCGGTAGATCTCTACAGGGGCGGCAGAAGGACGTACGTAGGGAAAAGGAGGAGATAGGGGAGCATGATCAGCAAAGAGTAGCCCATATGTGCAAGAGTAGGTATTGCTATGTCCACCTCAGCCCATGAAAGCGGCTGAGCTCCTCTTGCTGCCATCTTCGCTCGCCGTCAAGCCTGTCCCCTTTCTCGCTGCACTGCCGCCGCCAACTCACCAGTGAGGATATTCTGGAAGGCCTGCTCGACGTTGCTGGCGTCGAGGGCAGACGTCTCAATGAAGCTCAAGTTGTTCTCTGCAGCAAAGCTCTTTGCCTCATCGGTGGGTACTGCTCTGAGATGCCTCAAATCACTCTTGTTCCCCACGAGCATAATGACAATGTTGCTATCAGCGTGGTCCCTCAATTCCTTTAGCCACCTGGACACATTGACGTATGTTGGGTGCTTGGCAATGTCGTACACCAAGAGGGCCCCCACTGCACCACGGTAGTAGGCTGATGTGATGGCCCTGTAACGCTCCTGACCAGCAGTGTCCCAGATTTGGGCCTTGACAGTCTTTGAGTCTACCGAGATGGACCTGGTAGCAAATTCGACTCCAATTGTGGACTTGGACTCGAGGGAGAACTCGTTGCGTGTGAATCGAGAGAGGAGGTTCGACTTTCCTGTTCCCGAGTCTCCGATCAGCACCACCTGTGGAAAGGGGGGAGGTAAAAGGGTAAGGCGGTGAGGTGTGAGTAAGAGTGAAGAGTTTGAACGTCATGCAGTTGAGAGCAATTTCTAGTCACCTTGAAGAGATAGTCGTATCTAGAGAGTTTGCAAGGGGAGCAGGGGCGACGAGTGCGGCGTATCAGTTTGGACTGTCGCAAGTCAAGGCCGAGCTAGCCCGGAGGCTTGACTGCGCCGACTGCAGCACTGCTTATGTGCGACTCACTGAGCGTCAGCCATTATGTGTATGTGTAAGGGAAAAGGGTGGGAAAGGGTGGCAAGAGTGCGGTGCGTTTAAAGAGGTGGCTGTGCGGGTCGAGTTTGCTTGCTGCTTTGCGTAGTAGCTATATGCGGCTCGGGGTGAGTGCGAGCGTAGGATGTCTTGATGTCGTGAGATCGTGGCCGGGCAGCTGTGTCTGTGCAGTGTACTTCTCAGACAAGATTGTCGCTGGAAGTGGCCAAGAGGCGAGCTTTGTGGTGGTGGTGGTGGTGGTGATGGTGGTATGGACAGAGAGGATGGGCGTATGTGTGAGGCTTGCTTGATCGCCCGCCCGCCCGCCTGGCCGCTTGTGGGCCTTGTCTTGACTGTCCGCCTGGCTGCCCGCGGGTGTTGCTTTGCTTGTGCGCCTCTGTGCGCCTCTCCGCTCTGCGCCTGTCACTTGTGCGTGGCCTGGCCTGGCCCCCCCCGTGCGCCGCGCTGGCTCTGCACCAGGGCCATCAGCCACGCGACTCTGGCCTCCCCCGCATCGCCGAGCAGGGGCCAACGTCCTTTTCACGGCTGCACCCACACAAGTAAACGCCTGGCCATCTTCCCACCAGTCACGCATCCAAACATCATAAGCAATCCTCATACCATCACCGGACTTGGAGCATAGACGCAGACAGGCCTTCATTGGCCTCCCGCTCCTCCCTCGCCCTCTTCCCCCCCTCTGTCCGTCATGGCTCCCACGACGCCCCTACTCACGCGCAACCGCCTCACCTATCTCCTCCTCGGCCTCGCCCTACGCCTCCTCCTCCTCTTCGTCGGACTCGTCACCGATGCTCGCAACCCCTCGCTGCCATACACCGACGTAGACTACCACGTATTCACGTCTGGCGCCTCTCATCTCGTCCACGGCTGCCCCATTTCGGCAGCCGTACCACCCCATCAGGCCGACCCGTGGGACACACTTCAGGAGTTTACTGACCCACCTGGCACTACAAAGGATGCTTGCGCAAAGGGATGGCTTGCCATTGGCGCCAGATATATCCTACAGCATGAAGACGTACTCACAGCCCGGTCCGCTGGAGCAGGGCCCGCAGAAGAGAAGCGGAAAGAGCTGGGAGATGAAGCAGCTCTCTCCCTCATTCCGCCCAATCGCATAGAGACAGTGCTTTTGCCAGTTTCCATGGCTGTATTGCGGCCCTTCTTGAAGCCGCTGGCTGCTATGGGCAATCCCTACGCTCGTCCCACGTTCCGCTACACGCCTCTGCTGGCCATACTCATGTCCCCTGGCGCATGGGCAGGTCCCGGCAGCTTCGCCGAGAACATCTGGGGAAAGCTCCTCTTCGTCCTGGCCGACTTGGCTGCAGGCGTGCTGATGTGGGACATTGCACTGCGGCGCAAGAGAGCTAGGGGGCGGGTGAACGCCCCGGCGCCTACCAGCTTCCCTGCCTCCGTCTTCGGCAAGGGCGGCTCTCTGCCCAGGCTCTTGTCCCAGCCAACCCATAGCGTCGGCCTCCTCTGGCTGCTGAATCCATTCCCTGCTCAAATTGCAACGAGAGGCAGTTCGGAAGCCATCCTATGCGTCGCCATCCTGGCGTTTGTCAACTCGGCGACGATGCTTGTAGAGGGTTTGGGGATCGGTGACGATGACGATGGTCTGGATGGAGTGATTGTGGTGGATGGCAAGGCCTTCGACGGCAATGCACAGGAGGAAAAGGCTGCCCCTCAAGAAAAGAAGCAATATCTTAGCGCTCAACCACTCAGCAAGGTGAATGAGGATGACGATGGAGCCTCGTCCGCCTCTACAGACGACAACTCGACCATCCGGCCAGACGCGCCTTCTTCCCCAGCCGATGCTCAGACAAGTGCAGCGCCCCTCTCGTATCCTCAATCATCCCTCCCCTCTCTCCCACTACCCACCTTGCCGATACCACTGCTGGTTGCGCCTCTGCTCCTCGCTCTTGCAGCCCATCTCAAGCTCTTCCCCATCTTCTTTGGAGTGCCCGTCCTTTCTGCTCTGCTGCTACGGACGGATGGAGAAGGTCTCAGAAGGGGGGCGAGATGGTCCGACGCGGCGCTGTTTGCTCTTATCAGCGCATATGCGTTCCTAGGTGTAGCTCTGGGACTCTGGATGATGTGAGTGGCAGAGACAGATCTTACCGATGTGTCGAAGAGTATATTCGCTGACTCTACGCGCTCTCTCACACGCCTGCTTACCAGATGGGGTCAGCCATATCTGGACAATACCTTCCTCTACCACCTAACACGGCTCGACCACCGGCACAACTTTTCGCCCTACTTTCTCCCCCTCTATCTCATCCACACACCCGCCATCTCAGGTACAGGCTCGCTCAGCGGCGGCGCCGCTGCCGCCGAGACTGCCGCGAGCTGGACAAGGTTGGGATCATTCGCGCCGCAGATTCTAGTGGTGGTGTACATTGGGTACAAATTGGGGAGAAAGGGCGATGTGCTTGCTGCTTGCGCTGCGCAGAGTATGGCCTTTGTGGTGTTGAACAAGGTTGCTACGAGTCAGGTGAGTCTGCCGCGCGCGATCAAAACAGATGCTAGTGAAGGTCCAATTCCTAATCTCCCTCCCTCCATCACTTCGCTCCCACAGTACTTCCTCTGGTATCTTCCCTTCCTCCCACCGCTCCTCCCCTCCCTCTCTCCCACCTCGCCCACTCAATCCTATCTCCTCCTAGGCGTCTGGCTCCTCACTCAGATCCTCTGGCTCTCCCAAGCCTACCTCTTGGAGATGCAAGCACAGGACGTATTCCTGAGAGTTTGGGCGGCGGGTTTGGTCTACATGGTGGGGATGGGGTGGGTATTGATGGGTGTCTTGGAGACTTGGGAAAGAGGAAGGAGGGAAATGATCATGGAGGAGGAAGAGGAGGAGAAGAGGGAGAGGGAGGAGGAAAAGGAGAGGAGTGCAAAGGAGAATGGGAAGAGTGTAGGGCAAGAGGTAAGGGAGGAGATAGAAGCCAAGGCGAATGAGGTGCCCGATGCTCGGAGAGGAGATGCTCAATCAGCGCAGCAGCAGCAGCAACAACAACAACAGTCGCCGCATCCAGATGATGTCAAAGCAGCTCCCGTGGCGAACGAGGTGAGATAAGTGTCGGGAAGCTCCCGTGAGGCAATGTCTTCCCCACTTTTCTTTGTCGAGTCCTACTTGGGAGTATGCAAAAACAGTACCTTATTCTTCGTTTTTGGGGCATGCTTCACCATCTTCTCGCCAGTCGTACAAGCAATGTCAATACTTTATCTGCATCGCCTCGCAATAATACTACAAAACCTCTTCACATCTTCCTATTTCCTGTTTCCTGCTTCCTCGCGCTATCTCCTCCCCTCCTCTCCCCTCCCCTTCACTCCTATCCTATCCTATCCTATCCTATCCTTACAGATCCTCATCTGCACTCTCATCATCAGGGAAAGCAGCACGTAGTGTTGCATTTTTTCTCAATCGATACTGGGAGGCATCGGCCGCGCGAAATTCCCTACCGATGCCGCGCACATTCAAGACTTGGACAAAGTCCTCGATGGTTTCGCCTTCTTCTTCAAGAAGGTTGGCTCGACTTGGAGCTGGAGCTGGAGCTGGAGCTGGAGCTGGAGCTGGAGCTGGAGCTGGAGCTGGAGCTGGAGCTGGAGCTGCCCTTACCTCCAGCCCTGACACTCCAGATCGTACTTGTGCTCTGCTGGATATACCACTAGACGAACCACTGCTACCCGATTTTAGACGTACAACGTTGCACTGTGCGACGTACCTCCTAGATCCATCATCCACGACTGCATGATAAAAAGGTTGTGATCTTCCTCCCCCTTCTAATTGATCTACTCCCATTTGTTGAATCCAAGTAGGACTAGCAGAACAAATGGGATCCCAACTGACAATGACGGCTCGATAACCAAATCGACGATGTTTAAAGAGAGTGCCGACGGTGTAGAGGATATTGTCTCGCTCTTGATCTTGCTCGGCGGAAGAGGCAGAAGAGACGCTCGAGGGGTGTTGGGGAGGACGACGTGGGTGAACTTCTACCGGGAGGATGTCGTTTTGAAAGAGCAGCCCGGCGCTGGTGCGGAAGATGCGATCTGCGTCTCCTGCCTCGTCGGAGGTCTCCGAGTCGGACGAGGCTGAAGAGGACGCAGAGAAAGCGTAGTGTTGCCTCTCATTCTCTTCCTCCGTTCCAAGGTCATGATCGGGTGCAGCACGCCTTCCACTCTGCTGCTGCTCCGCCCTCTGCTGTGCCAAGACAAGCTTGTTCATCTCGTCTTCACCTCCGGGACAAAGCAGTATGTCGAGCGGATAGTTCAGCTCGATCTGGCCGATGATCCATTTTTTTCCCCTCGTGCCCAACTCCTCGGGACTGAGCTCCGTCATGATCCATGCTGCAGCGTACGTCGCGTCTTCTTCGTCTTCGTGGCGGGGAGAGGCACGTCGTGAAGATGGCAGCGTGGAGGGGGTAGTAGACAGAAGGACTCTTTTCAAGAAGACAGGCAGAGCCTTCTGTAGGAAGAGAGCGTGGTGGTCTTTCGGATGACAGGAGAGGAATCTGAAAACTTCTTGAGCAGGCGTGGAGGCTCCTGTCTTCTCCTTGAGTGCGTCTTCATTGCTAGATTGTTGCGCAGCTTGCTGCTCTCGACTTCTCCTTGCACGGGCAGTGTGTACATGGATGACTCTAGGAATGCCACGCCCATTTTGTACCGCATTGAGAATGTTGTGGGCGCACCTTCGTATCAGGTCGGCAGGGCTGGCGGGCTTCCAGTCGATTGACGCCAGCGCAGCGTTGTAGGCCGCTCCTCCTTCGGCCGTGAAGTTCTGAAGATTCTCCCGGACTGGATCTTCCTGAGACGCGTCGATATAAAATTGTCGCCGGGTCCCTGGGTCGTTGGGCAAGTCTGTCATGGCGCCTTCCTCTACCACAGCAATGATCCTTCCCGGAGTATTGCAGAGAGCAGCAGCGATACCTAGTCTCCTAGCGATGGCGCAGAAAATGAGTGTGAGTGTGAGAGGCAGCGTAGCTCGATTGTCGGGACACATGATCGATATGTGTAGAAAAGAGTTGTCGATGTCGAGGAAATTCAGAGGGTCGGCGACGCCACTGCCTAATTGCTGCAAATGAGCCATGATCTGTCGGCTGGCAGCGCGGAGCGACGTGTTGCTTTCGGATCCTGGCCGGAGAGAGAAGTAGCACGACAGCGCTATCACATCCAGGTAGCGTGATATCTGAAGGGTAAGGAAGGAAAGGTTAGGGCAACAATCAGCTTATAGCTCCGAGCGCATGTGACCTCCTGCGTTCTCCTGAGGGCCCACTCACCTCAGCCCTGTCTCCACCCCTGAAGCATGCCAAAGCAGAGAGAGCTGCCTCGACCTCTTCGGTACTTGTCATGGCCCTCTGCCATGCCCCTCCATCCCGATCTCCAGCCGTCTGGGCCCGCATGACTTGCTCATCGTACCTCAATTGAGAATCTTTCTCTCTAATCTGTCGGAAGACCTCAAGCCCTTCGGCCCTCTGAAGGTAATCGAGCAGGGTGCGTGCAAAGTGATGGAGGGCGAGGTGGTAGTCTTTGTGAGGTCTCCTCACTCCTGGGTAACTGGACAGACGAGTATGGACGTCGTAGGCAGTCGGCCAAGGGCTTGTAGTCTCTGTGCGAAAGCGCGCCATAACCTCATCGACGTTATCGGCGTCGACAGTCTGATCCCAAGCCAGTCTATGCAGGAGATCTCGTACATCTTGGCCATATCGTAGAGCTAATCTACAGAAAGCAGCCAGATGTGTCCGAGAGAAGCTGGAAGAGCTGGAAGAGGAAGCGCCTTGATCGTCACTAATGACCAAGGCTCTGAGATCTTCCACCAGGCCATGATCATGCTGCATCCTCTCTTGAAATCTCCCGTGAAAGTTGGGCAGAGGTGGCCGAGGGTCAGACGGCGGGCCGGTGAGGAGCTCTAGTGAGAGGGTAAGCCTCTGTCCTTCACCTTCTTCTGACTGCTCTTGGCCCTGTCCTTGTCTCTCAACCAGCTCCCTCAGACCATCCCTCCATCTGCGCTGCCTCCAATGCTCCCATTGCTGATTCTCCGCCTTGGCGCCACCTCGCGGCCCGCTGGGCCAGAAGGACTCGCAGTGTTCCTCCCATAGCGCAGGCAGTGTGGCAGCCTGATTCAAATGCTTAGATGCCAGAGAGACCCTATGCAATGATAAGGGGTCCAGCCGAGATAGGATTAGCGACAGAACTTCGGAGGGGATGGTATGAACATCTGCTTTCGACATGGTGCAAGGGAGCTGAGCTGAGAGTCAGGATTCGGCGGCGTACTTCTAGGAGGGCAGCAGTAACAGTTGTGAGCGTTTGCGAAGCGACGAGGTCGCCATCAGAGGAGGGAGTGAGGAGACGACGAAGGAAGCCACGAGTCGGTCAGCTGTTCGAGCTTCGGTGAGGTCAGCCGTACGCAGTGAGCCTTGAAGTGGGGGTCCAATGGCAGTTCTGGCGGCTGCCATTGCGGGGCCGGAAATGTGGAGCAGGCGATCAGGCACAGATCACCCGAAAGGCCAGGGCGAGGCGAGTTGCTCCGATCACGCCGCGAGTGCTGCATCCGAAGCAAGGAAGGAGGAGGAGTAATGGGGGAAGGAACAGGAATAATGTGCCTTGCTTCGATATAAGGCGAGACTTGGCTCTGAAATAGCGGGCTCAGGCCTTCAGGAGTCGTTTGTAAGAGCAGACTAGAGAGAAGAGGCAAAGCCTCCAGATCGCATGAGCAGTGACCGCGGCTGCGCACAAGAGATCATACAGTGACATGCGGAAGATCACGAGCATAGAACTGGACTTGCGTGGGCTATTGTATTTCGGCGACAATGCGATCATCTCCGAGGAACAGAGGTGAGGAACAGAGGTGGGAACGCCATCACCAAGAAGCATTGCCGGAAGGGACATCCTGACCGCCGAGAAGAAGTGGTGGGGCGTGAAAAAATGGCGTGTGGGTGGGTGGGCGCAAGGGAAGCGGGAGCGGGAGAGTGGCCCAGTGCCTTGGCCCCACCGCATAACCGTTCCGCCCGACGCAGACGACCCGGGCCGTAGATCTTCATCGCCGAGGCCAGCCGTGCATCATTCCTTCCCACCCTTTTCTCCCCATCCTATCACCACCACATACAACAAACCCGCAACTACCATGTTCGCCCTCACCTCCGTCCCCCGAGTAGCTCTCCGAGCCTCGGCACCTGCCAAGCAGTGGGCTGCCGCTTCCCAGTCCATCCGACATGCCTCCACCCTCAAGGAGGCCGTCGCTGAGGCCATCCCCAAGAAGCAGGAGCGTCTGAAGGCACTCAAGGCCAAGCACTCCAACACTTCCCTCGGTGACATCAAGCTCGACAACCTCCTCGGAGGTATGCGAGGACTCAAGGTCATGCTTTGGGAGGGTTCCGTACTCGACGCTGAGAGGGGTATCGCCTTCCACGGCAAGTCCATCCCTGACTGCGAGAAGGAGCTGCCCTCTGCCAAGGACCTCGGCCTCAAGGGCAAGGAGATGCGTGAGTAGTCTGCTTATATCGCCGCACAGCTACATGCGAAGAGTCTGGAACAGGAGGGGGTGCCTGCAAGGCATTGTGTTAGGCACACCAGCAGCTCTTGAGGGAGAGAAGCTGTGTGAAGACGGCGTTCTTCCCACTTTCTCTTGCTGAGCTGATAGATTCGTTGCTGACCGTCGTTCCTCTCTTTCCTCGCCACGAATGCTCCTCAGTCCCCGAATCTATGCTCTGGCTCCTCCTCACCGGTGAGGTTCCCACTGCCGACCAGGTCCGTGGCCTCTCCGCTGAGCTCGCCTCCAAGGGCAAGCTGCCCTCGTACGTCGAGAAGATCATCGACTCGTTCCCCAAGACCCTGCGTGAGTAGACGATAACTTCAAGTATGATATATGTGATGACTGACGATCTATTCTCTTTGCTTTGCTGCGCTCAACAGACCCTATGACCCAGTTCGCTGCTGCCACCGCCGCTCTGAACCACGACTCTGCTTTCTCTGCTGCCTACACCAAGGGTATCAAGAAGGCCGAGTACTGGTCTCCCACTTTCGATGACTCCATCGACCTCATCGCCAAGCTCCCAGCCGTTGCCGCCAGGATCTACTACAATGTTCACGGCAAGGGAGATGGCAAGCAGGCCATTGACCCCAACTTGGACCTGATCGGAAACTTCTCCAACATGCTCGGCTACGGAGACAGCGTCGGCATGACCGACTTCCTCCGTCTCTACATCGCCATCCACGGTGACCACGAGGGAGGCAATGTTTCTGCTCACACCTCACACCTGGTTGGTTCCGCCCTCTCGGACCCCTTCCTCTCTTACTCAGCTGCTCTCCTCGGTCTGGCTGGACCCCTGCACGGTCTTGCCAACCAGGAGGTGCTCGTCTGGTTCAAGGGAATGCAAGAGTCGATTGGTCAGGAGGCCAGCGACCAGCAGATCGAGAAGTACCTTGAGGACACCCTCGCCTCTGGCCGAGTTGTCCCCGGTTACGGCCACGCCGTTCTGCGTCAGCCCGACCCCCGATTCTCGGCTCTGTCTCGATTCTACGAGCAGACACCGGAGCTGCGAGACCAGCCCCTGGTCAAGATGGTTCAACAAGTCTCCAAGATCGCCCCCGTTGTCCTGGGCCGATCCAACAAGATCAAGAACCCTTTCCCCAACGTCGATGCCGCTTCTGGAGCCGGTCTCACCGCTTACGGTATGACCGAGATGAACTTCTACACCGTCGTCTTCGGTGTCTCCCGAGCTTTGGGTGCCCTGCCCAACCTGGTCATGGCCAGGGCTCTTGGTCTTCCCATTGAGCGACCAAAGTCGATGTCGATTGAGGCCCTCGAGAAGAGCCTCAAGTAAGAATTGGAAAACAGCGTAGCTTTTGGTGCGTGCCCGGCATGAAACGTCAGCTCCTCTCCCAGCTTGTAATTGCCTTGGGCTCATCTAGGGAATTGTAGGCTTGCTTTCACAGTCGTCTACCTTTTGGTATTGAATGAATAGAGTACCCTTATCATACGTATGTCTGAAGCTTCGCTAGCTGGGTGCTGAGTGCTGGGTGCTGAGTGATCTGTTCCTAGTCTGAGTTTGGCTGCGTCCGGTCAGCGCGTGTGTAGCCTCGGAGTCACAACGACATTGATGGCAAGCTTCAGTGCGATAGTCAGACGCCTCATAAGCGATCTCTACGTCTCTGGTAAGGCGCACTTGACAATCTCTTCCTTTTGAAAGCTGCCGTGAACCCACCTGCTTTCGTCTCCTCGGGCGGGGGCAGTGCGAGCGGCGAACCCCTCTTCGCCTGCTTTTCTTCTCCCCCTCCCCCTCTGGCCCCTCCACGTGTGGGACAAAGTGTTGGTCCAGGGCGGAGACGCCGCACTTCCGACGCGTTGCAGGACGGACGGAGGACGTCGCCGGCGACTTGAGTCGAGTTGAGCGGACGAAGGACGCCCCCCCTTGCCGGCGTGCATGCATCTTGGGATTTCCCAAGTAGCACGCAGGAGAAAGGGTCCTACCGGCCACGCACCCTTACCAAGAGAACGCAGGGGTTGCACTACAGGCAGACGGTCAAGCCATGGCGCCGGCATTGCTCATCCCTCCCGAGGGGAAAAGGAAAGAGGGCTGAGACCATTCAACGTTTGTTCCCCTGTCCTTCGTACTAACCACTCCTTTCAGACTTCCTCCTTCCACCCTCTCTCACTCGGCTGTGTAGCAACCCTTTCCCCGCTTAGCTCGGCACATCTGCTGAGGCTAGGAGCTCCCACCTCTACTGGATGCGCTCTGACCGTCTGTGCAGCCTCAAGTGAATACAGCAGGGACGGCCGCCCCTCCCTTCCCCATTCACTGCCTCAGCCTCAAGAAGCTCAGCGCCGTCCTTGTACATATGCTTCAGGACCCTCAACACTCTGCTTAGCTCTCCCTCTTGTAGATACAGATACAGATACTCTCCGCAATGACCTCTCATTTCGCTCGCCCTCCGCCGGAGAGCACACCCTCAGACCTGGTGTCTCTCGCATCGGATAGCAGTACCTCCGCCAATGCCACCTCCATCGTCTCAACCCTCCAGCAGCGCTTTCGTTCAGACCTTCCCTATACTCGCCTCTCGCCCACACAACTCGTCGTACTCAACCCTCTCAAGAGTCTGGCAAGCTCCAGCGAGGCATCTGCTGATGACTACAGGAAGCAAACCTTCAGCGATGTGAATTGGGAGGCCGAAGGAAGGCCGCCTCCGGAGAGCGCTCTGGCGCCCCATCCTTACGAATTCGCTGGCAGGGTCTACCACACGATGCGGAGGACCGGATCTTCCCAAGGAGTGGTATACGATGGCGCCACCGGCTCGGGTAAGACGTCCACTGCTCAGCTCTTCACTTCACAGCTTCTCCGTCTAGCTAGCGCCTCGAGCAAAAGGGAGCACAAGATGGCAGAGCAGATCCGCAGCCTCGATGTTCTATTGAACTCCTTCGGATGTGCGCAGACCACCGCCACCAGCAATGCGTCCCGCTTCAGCCGTTTCCTGGAGCTACACTTTGATACTTCCGGTCGTCTGGGAGCTGCACAGACTTTGACCTTCGGTCTGGATAAAAGCAGGGTCAATGCACTAGCTTCGGGTGAAAGAACCTTCCACGTCTTCTACCAGCTACTCGCTGGCGCTACTCATGAGGAACGAGATCTATTCAAGCTCGACGACGTCACGAGTTACTCTCTTCTCGCATCTTCTGGTTGCTACCGATTGGCAGGGGGACCTTCGACCGACGACAGTGTTGGCATGGGCGCTTTGCGTGCAGCTATGAAGACGCTCGGCTTCAAAGAGAAGCACTCCCAAGCAGTCTTCTCCTTTCTCTCTGCCATACTTCTCCTGGGTAGCATCGAATTTGGAGATCACGCAGGCAGCAGTTTCTCGCTTGGCGGAGAACCTGCGCAGGTGACGAACCCCAATGTTCTCGACGACGTGGCAGAGATGCTGGGTATCAACCCCGAAGATCTAACGCAAGCGCTGACCCACAGGTCTCGCTTCATTCGGCAAGAGTCAGTGACCGCCGTTCTTGACAGCGCTGGCGCTCGAGCTCAGAGGGACAGCCTAATGCGGGACCTCTATGCCACCTTGTTCGCCTTTGTCGTCGAGACTGCAAACCATAAGCTCGCCCCTGCTGACGACGCTGCGTATGCGGCCAAGATCGTGCAGCTAGACATCCCTGGCTTTCAGCAGTCGAGCCACACCGGCAATGCCTTTGCCAACTTTGTGATCAATTCCTCTGCTGAGTGCTTACGCAATTGGCTGTCTCGACGCGACTTCGATGACTCTGTTGGTCCCAACGCGGCTCTCGCGAGAGAAGGCATTCGCCTGCCCGATGTAGAGCACAGCGTAGACGGCAAGAGATGCGTGGAGATGCTCAGAGGTGGAGTCGTGGGCTCTGAGGTGACAGATCGTGATCCGATTGGCCTCTTTGGACACCTAGCAAGTGCTGTCGATGACGTCTTGTCCGGTGACGCCAGAGAAGAGGACGACGCTTCCTTTCTCCAAAAGGCGGACAGGATGGCGCCCTTCACCCCTTCATACATCGCCTCGACCAAAGCTCAGCCTCAGAGCCGGAGTTCAGGAACATTTGCCGTCAACCACTACAGTGGGCAGTGCAAGTACGACGCCACCAGCTTCGTCTCTCGGGAGATGAACGCCTTTGATCCGACGTTCCTGCAGATGCTGCGTCGCTCACAGGTCGCTTTTGTCGCGCGGCTCTTCGTCGGACCAAGCCTGGCGACTATTTCGCACCCCTATGACCCCAATTCTATAGTCGGGGCCCAGGTTTCTGTTCGACCCCTGCGTCGACCTTCTCCACTGTCCGAAAACGGCGGTGTTCAGCCGCTGCTGGACCCTCTCAAGCCGTATGGTATCACGAGACAGATGAACAGCACTCTCAGCGAGATACTCCGCACTGTGGACCAAGCTGGTCGAGTGTGGCCTGTCTTGTGCATACGGCCTAATGACATCTCTCAGCCAGGTTCATTCGATGCACGGAGTGTCCAGGCTCAAGTCGCAGCACTGGCCTTGCCAGACCTCGTAGCTAGGAAGAAAGTCAACTACGTACAGGGTCTAAGCTACGCCAGCTTCTGTGAACGCTATCATGAGTCAGTCGAGCCTGCAGCTGCTGCCGTAGGGGGAGTGACAGAGCCATCGGAGAAGATTCAAGCATTTGTCATCGCGAATGGGTGGAGAGAAGCTACAGACTATGCTTTCGGAGCTACCAAGATCTGGCTCGTCTATAGCGTCTGGAGAAGGATGGAAGACAGGCTGAGAAGATCCGAAGTCGCAGATCCTTCGCCCATACCAAAACCTACCTTGGCAAGTGGTCATGGCGATCACACGGCCTCTTCCTCCGCCTCAACTTCGTACCTTCCTCGCATGGAGCGTGAACAAAGCTTGCCGGACGTCTTTGACGACGAGCAACCAGCCCTTCCAGCTGCGAGCGAGACTGATTCAATGCTCCTCAGACGATCCTCGGAGGCTGCGCCTACAAACCCATTCTCAAGCGTAGCAAACGGTGATTACGACAGGGCGCTTGCGGATCACCAGCTTGATGCGGGTTCTCTGTACGCTAATGAATGGAACGACAAGCGTGCCTATGGGGATATCAACCCTCTGCTTGCTGAGAAAGCTGGCGACAGGGTGCCTCGAGCCATCGATGCGGTCGAAGAGATTCCGACGACTTCGATTCGACGATGGTGGGTTCGCTTCACCTGGCTGTGTACTTGGTACATACCTACCTCGCTTCTGGCTAAGTGGGGAGGCATGAAGAGACCTGACGTCCAGATGGCATGGAGAGAGAAGGTGACGATCTGCAGCATGATCTTCTTCCTCTGCGCAACTATTCTGTTCTACATCCTGGCGTTCGGAAAATTGCTCTGCCCCGATTCTGACAGGGCTTGGAATACAGACGAGCTCGCCACACACGCTGCTTCAAATGATTACTACGTCGCAATTGCTGGTACTGTGTACGACCTGAGCAAGTTCGTCAAGCTCCAGCATTCCGATACGTCTACCGAAGTCACTGAGGATGTAATGCTGGAATTGGGCGGTCTCGACCTCACTGCGTACTTCCCAGTGCCCATGACGCTTGCTTGCCCTGGTCTGGTCACGAGCAACACGTTCACGCTGGATGTCAATTCCAATTTGACGGCTACCTACACCCAAGCCGTTCACACCTCGGGAACACTTCAAAGTGACAGCTCTTCGGCGCTGGCGAACAGCACGTGGTACACAGACACTCTGCAGCCCTTCCTCAAAAAGTACTGGAAGGGCTACTACGTCTTTTCCAACTCTGATCTGGCGGAGCAGAGCACCTGGAGGACATGGGCTGCCATTGACTCCAAGGTCTACGATCTGACGAACTACCTTGACACGGTTGATACTGCCACCAGCGGTACTCTCGAGAACCAGAATGTCAACTTTCTCGACTCAAGCATCGTCGACCTGTTCGGCCAGTCGCCAGGAGGAGACATTACGAAGGACTTCAATAGTGTCATCTCGAGTATGAACGAGACATATCGCGAGCAGAACCTCAATTGTCTCAACAATGCCTTCTACGTTGGCAAGACTGATTTTAGAGATACTGCAAGGTGCTTGGTACAGAACTATCTCCTGTTGGCGTTTTCGATTATCCTCGTTGCTACCATTCTCTCCAAATTCATTGCCGCATTGCAGCTCACTACCAAGCGCAATCCAGAGCAGCAGAACAAATTCGTCATTTGCCAGGTCACTTGCTATACCGAAGGCGAAGAGGAGCTGCGCAAGACAATTGACTCGATCGCTGGTCAGAAGTATGACGACAAGCGCAAGCTCATATTCATCATCTGTGACGGAATGATCATCGGTAGTGGTAACGAGCTTCCCACGCCAAGAATCGTTCTGGACATCTTGGGAGTCGAATCAAAGGTCGACCCAGAGCCATTGATGTTCAAGTCAATCGCCGAAGGCTCCAAGCAGCTCAACTATGGCAAAGTCTATTCTGGACTATATGAGTACAATGGCCACGTCGTTCCTTACATAGTTGTCGTCAAGGTCGGGCGTCCAAGTGAAAGAGTTCGCCCCGGCAATCGAGGCAAGCGTGATACGCAGATTCTAATGATGCGATACCTCAATCGGGTCCACTTTGATGCGCCGATGTACCCACTCGAGCTGGAGATCAATCACCAGATGAAGAATGTGATCGGCATCGATCCGACCTTCTACGAGTACGTCTTGATGGTGGATGCCGACACGAGGGTGGAGTCTGACGGCCTCAACAGGCTCGTCGCAGTTGCCGCCGATGACTCGAGGATCATCGCCATCTGTGGAGAGACAACGCTGGACAACGAGCATGGCTCTTGGTGGACAATGATACAGGTGTACGAGTACTACATCTCCCATCACCTTGCCAAGGCCTTCGAATCCCTCTTCGGCAGCGTCACCTGTCTTCCAGGTTGCTTCTCAATGTATCGACTTAGGAGCGCCGACAAGGGACGACCAATGTTCATCTCCAACCGCATCATTGATGAGTACTCGGAAAATCGAGTGGATACGCTTCACAAGAAGAACCTCTTTGCCCTTGGTGAGGACCGTTACTTGACAACGCTCATCCTCAAGCACTTTCCGACTTTCCGAACCAAGTTCACAGCGGATGCTAAAGCTCACACTGCTGCTCCAGATCGCTTCAGCGTTCTGCTCTCTCAACGTCGACGATGGATCAATTCGACGGTACACAATTTAGCTGAGCTGCTGCTCATGCCGGAGCTCTGCGGTTTCTGCCTGTTCTCAATGCGCTTCATTGTGTTCATTGACCTACTGGGCACAGTCATTCTACCTGCAACGGTCGTCTACTTGCTCTACCTCATCATTACCGTCTCGACAGGGACGTCAGCCTTCCCTCTTATCTCCATTGTGATGATTGCAGCAGTATACGGGCTTCAAATGATCATCTTCCTATTCAAGAGGCAGTGGCAGTACATCGGCTGGATGGTCATCTACCTCTTGGCTTTCCCAATCTATTCATTCTTTCTGCCAGTCTACTCCTTCTGGCACATGGACGACTTTTCCTGGGGAAACACGAGGATTGTCGTTGGTGAAAAGGGCAACAAGAAGATCATCGCCGGTACGGATGATGAGCCTTACGACGATTCCATGATTCCCTTGAAGCGATTCAGCGATTATCAGCGAGATGTGTGGGACAGAGGCTACAGTGGCACGGCAGCTGATATGCCAAGGGATGGCGACAGCTTCGACTCTCTTCGTCTTCAGCAGGGAGCATTCTACGCTCCGGGTCTGAACGGCAGCATGATGTTCCAAGGGGCGCATACCGGAAGAACCGCCTCCCCGAGAGGTTTTTCTGTATACCAGAGTCCCTTCGATTCTCCTCTGAGGGAACCTAGCCGCCCTGGCAGTATGTACAAGTCGCCCTCATATGCCGGGTCGGCGACTGGCGCATCGGAGCGAGCAAGCGGTGACTACTTCCAGTCGACCAATGTTCTCGAGAAGCCGAGATATTCGCGCAGCAGCTCTCATGCATTCAACGACGGCTCACGCTCACGTTCTCCTTTGACGTCTTTTGGTGGACCACTTAATTCCTCGGCTTCTCAATTGAATATGGCGACGCCAGGCTCGATGGCTCGTGCCTCCAGCCAGATGTCGATGAGCGGTGGGATGCCCCTCTTGCCGCATATGAACTCGATGCAGGGTATGCCATCACCCGCCTTTGGTGTTCAATATCCATCCATGTACGGCTTTCCAGCTGCCGGAGGCTTCCCGACAAGCAACTCTGGGATGCTGCCCAGCCAGTCGATGGACATGCTCAACCGGCAAAGCTCTGGAATGGCCCTCGCTGCGCAGTACACTGGTGGATCTGCTTTCAATCCGCGCTTTTCCACGATGACGGGAGGCGCTGGCAATGGAGGCGGCATGGCCAATCCCTTTTCGTCGACACACAATCTGGGCAGCTCAACACCTGAGAATGTCCTTCCGGTCAGCCATAGCACAGATCCGAGCGAGGAGGAGCTCAAGTCGGCCATCATCTCCTTCCTGGGAGCTCAGACGGACCTGTACAGTGTGACGAAGCGCAACGTGAGGACTGCTGTGGAGGATAGCTTTGTAAATGCGAACGTAAAGGAGAAGAAGGCGTTGGTGAACCGACTTATCGATGAGGTGCTGGAGGGCAAGTCGTAGAGATGTGGGCAGGGAACAGAACGGAACGGAGCGGGATGTGGCTCCGGAATGACTGCGACATAGAGTTCCTCTTTTCCTTGGACCCCCTCCACCCGCCTTGTCTCCGTTACGATCTGTAACAGCATACGAACATTGCCTTGCCAGTGACCCTTTCCATCAGAAGTATAGATGTGCATCTCGCACTCTGCGAGCTACCTACCCCGAAAAAAATGAGCGTGGGGGTACGTGCCTCTGTGTGTGCGGGAAGAGGAGAGGGCGAAAAGTGGAGCGGTGTGCGGTGTGTGAAAGCACCGGGCCGGTTGCGAGGGGGCCGAGGCTGAGCCTCAACGCCGGCCGGGTGAGTGGCTGCAGAGGCAGAGACAGACAGAGGCCTCTTCCCCAGACGGGCAAGGCAAAGGGAGGGGGGGCTATCGCGGCATTTCGCATCCCTTGCTACCTCTACTCTTCCTCCACCCTTTCATCGTCCTTGTTTCGATCAATACGGATACCCTCTTTGCACCTCCTCAATAGGTCTTGCTACCCCCACAGACACAAAAGTGTAAAACGGTTTGAAGAGTGGAAGGTGCTGATACCCATACAGAGAGAGGCGCTGGGATTCTCGTCGCTCCTATACCGGTAAAGCCTCCGTGGATCGGATCTTCCTTTCATCACCGAGAGATTCTTCTCTTCCTCCTCCTTCGCAAGGTTGCTACACTTTCTTGTTCGGCTGCTCCAACCTTGCTCGGTACTCTGGAAAGCGTCAGTGATACTCTCCTTTACTTCCATCGACCTACGTTGCCTGGGCTTGTGCATCGCAGCCAAGCTCCTTATAGCCGCCGAACCCATATATTGTAGACGTACATCATGGCAGAACCTCTGACACCCTTTGGAGATGCCTTGGCGGGAGCACTGGGAGGTGAGTGGCTACCTAGCAGGGACACGGTGGCATGATCTTCCATCCGCAGCCCTCTGACTTTCGAGCCTTCCCCTGCCCTCCCCTCTCTGACCTCGCAGCGGTGTACGCTTCTACCCTTACATACCCCATGGACACTGTCAAGACGCGCATCCAAGCTGGTACCGTCTGGAAGGACCACGTGGTTCGCAAGGACGGTCCTGACGGTAAATCCGTCACTGTGCGGAAGAATGTCGGTCTCCTCGATGGCATGCTCGTCATTGCTCGCAGTCGCGAGGGAATCTCTGGACTGTACAAGGGTCTAGGTGCAAATATTGTCAATGCCTTCAGTATGCAATTCGCCTACTTTTATTGGTATTCCTTTATTAGGAACTTCTACCTTGCTAGACTTATGAAGCGAAATGGAGCCACAAAGGCTCCTGTCATCGGTACGGCCATGGAGCTCGCTCTGGGCGCACTAGCGGGAGCTGTTGCACAACTCTTTACGATTCCCGTGGCAGTCATTGCTACTCGTCAGCAATTGTCTTCTAAAGCTCCTCCTACAGGGAGCGTCTCATCAGACGAAGGCAAAGGGTACGGCAAGACGACCATTAGCGGTCGGCCAGCAGGCGCAGAGCGAGATGAGAAGAAGGACCTCACGGCCCCATTGAAGGTGGCCGCCTCTGCTGTGTCTAGCAAGTTGGGAGAGGACGACTCCTTTGTAGGCGTCGCAAGAGAGATCCTAAGGGAGGACGGCGTGACGGGTCTCTGGCGTGGGTTGCGCCCCTCGCTAGTCCTAACGGTGAACCCTGCCATCACCTATGGCGTCTTTGAGCGAGTGAAATCTCTCCTCCTAGCCGCCTCGCCAGAAGGGACCAAACTCACACCCTGGCGCTCCTTTCTAGTCGGAGCCCTCTCCAAGACGCTAGCAACCGTAGTCACGTTTCCCTATATCCTAAGCAAGATTCGACTTCAAGCCAAAAATACACCTTACAAGGGAGCAATTGATGTTCTTCGTAAGATTGCTGCAGAAAAGGGAATTACAGGATGGTATCAAGGAATGCAGGCACAGATTATCAAGGCGGTCATTACACAGGCAGTCTTGTTTGTTGCTAGAGACTATTTCACGGGTGTAGTCAGGGCGATGATGAATAGGCGGAATTTGGCACAGGTGCTACCTCAGGCAGCAGCGGCTGTAGTTGTGGGACCGACAAAGTAAGATGGTCAGAGGGTAGAGGAGGGGCGGAGGGGAAATCTCCCATACGTAATGTCCTATTGCTCGCTAGTCTCGTTGTGCTTTGTCAATTTCAGAATGGATAGACGCCCTAGATTGAGCTTTTACATTGGACTGACATTGACATGCTACTTTTGCTAGGTAGGTAGACGAGCCAAAAGTCAGACGTCTTTGATATTTGCACATTGGTTACCATGGATGCAAGGAGAATGGAATGCGTAGACATACACAAGAGGGAAAAGTCCGCCTCTTTTCCCGTCCTTCCTCCCTCCCTCCCACGTCCCCACCCCTTGCGCTCTGCTCCCACTCTCAATACCCTTCTTTAACCCTAAGTGCCTCTCCCTTTGTCCCTCCCGTCAGCACCTTTTTGAAAGCAGCCATCATCTCACCCTTCAATTCCGGCCTCTCCTGTAACCTCCTCTTGAATCGAGCAATCACCTCGGCGATACTCTTCACCTGTCCACCTCTAACAAGAGAGATTAGCTCTCCTTCAAGAGAGGAAGGAGAAGGGGGGATACCTGGAAGAGAGGTACTTGTGGAAGAGGGAGAGGAGGAAGAGGTGTGGGGTGGTGAGGAAGGGCGGGAGGGGGAGGGGGACGTCTTGAGTCGCTTGGCCGAGGGGTCCTTGTTAGAGGATCCAGAACCGGCATTGGGAGCGCTTAGGTTTGCACTTGGACCTTGGAAGGAAGAGGTGTGCGACTGCGTGGGCGAAGCGGGCCTCTTGAGGCTGCCACTTGTGGCGGAAGAGGTAGAGCCAGAAGGAGCAACGTTGCTGGCGTCTGCACCTGCAAGGGGTGAGCTCTGGCGCGGAAGGTGGCTACTGCCGTCAAATCCTCTAGAAGGGCTCGGAGAGCGAGAACCATGAGGGGAGCCTCCCCTACTCCTTGCTCCGCCACCACTCGAAGATCCTCCACTACCGCTTGGAATGTTTGTGGTCGCCCTCTTGGCCACATCGGCATGGCCTGAACCAGCTCGATGGAGATGCCCTGAGCTGTTGCCCCTCGGGAGTGGCTTGTTCTTGTTCTTGGAAGGACTATTCGTCTTGGACTGCTGAAGGGTTGAAGGGACCGGAGTTGTGCCTCTGGAGTTCTTGCCCGAAGGAGCAGTCGAGGACATGCCTGTACCGCCACCACCAGTCGAGGGTGTCGCAGTGGATGTTCCAGCTGCAGTACCCTTGCCCAACCTTGCGGCCTCCTTCTCCTCACGTTCCTTCTCCTCTCTTGCCAACCTCATCGCTTCCTCTGGATTGGCCATGGCGACTTCTTCCTCCTCCTCCTCGTCATCCGACACGTACGGATTGTACTCTTCGTCCGACTCATACTCTTCGCCCATGCCGCCCTCGCGCTTAGCCAGGGCTTTCATGATCTTCTTCATCTGCTTTCCAGAACCAGTGAGCTGGTCATCTTCCCTCCGACCGCCTCCGCTGGAAGCCTCTCCCCACATGTTGCCCTGGGGTGCGTCAATCTCTCCGCCGCCTTCCCCGACCATGCCGTCATCTTCATCGTCTTCGCCCCCAAAGCCCGCCTTGGCCATCTCTCGTTTGAGACGCTCCTCCATCTCACGAGCTTCATTGTCCTCCACGAGCTCTGCTTCTCCGCCCATTCGCTCCTCATCATCGGCAAAGTCTTCCTGGTAGTCGAGCTCGTCAAAGGTACCGCCTTCGTCATCTCCTCTGCGATGCGAGTATTCATCGTCATCGTCATCGCCTCGGCGACGCCCGCGTGAAGCGCCACCGCTGACGGCTACAAGACCTCGAGGGCGAGAGGGGCCTGATCCAAGCGAGAGACCTCTGAGCTGTGGCCAGGAGTCATCATCGAGGTCTTCCTCCTTCTTGATCCTGACACCCCCTGAGCTCCCGCCACTGCCACTGTCAGAGCTGTTTCGGCCTGCTCCAAAGACTCCCGGCAAGCCTACCCCACCCACGCCCATGCCACTTGCAGAGGAGCCTGAGCCAGGACGTGAGAGAGGATAGGAGCCGGGCAAGCCGCCATTTGTGTTGCGGGTAACAAATTTGCCAGGCGCCAGCTCGCGAGACTTTTGCTGGCGGGCATACTACGAGATCAAGATAGAGGGTAGAGTTGGTGATGTCAGCATCGAAGGGGAAATGACTTGCGCCATCTTTCACTATCAGACTCACCTCCTTCTCTCGCTCCTCGTCGCCCAGATTGTCCATGAAGCGACTTTTCTGCATAAAGCGGTATGTCCTGCGTATGGGCACAACCTTGAAGCCTCCCTGATTCCTCTCATCAAAGACAAACAGCACCTGAGCAGACGAGGACGCATCAGAGGAGAGCGACGCATCGTCTCCCTCAAGCTTCCCGACCCAGGGTGCATGCTGAATGACCTTGGAGTCTACAGGCTTTACGTCTTCTTCGCCGTCTCCAGTCTTGACAGTCGAATCGTCGGGTACGCCCACGCCGCCCTCTTCGAGGTGCTTTGCAAGTGCAAAGATGCTGTCCTTTCTTCCCACCCTGCTAGACTCCCAGTAATTTCCCGTCTCGTAGTCTTCTAGGACCCAGGGCAGCGTTTCGTCATTGTGGATACGTCTGGCCGTGGCAGAAGCCTTGTGGATCTGTCGGACTCTCTTCTGTCCCTTGCCTCTATGAGCATAGGACCGACTGGAGGCGGCGGCCGAGGGCGCTACCAAAGACGAGTCGTACTGGGCCGAAGGAGTCTTCTCCACTGGCTTGAGCTTCTCCACCTGTTTTCGATGCTCGGTCAGATCCTCTCCGGCTACAGGCCACTTGAGTACATTGCCGTTGCTCAGTCTGATTGGCTTGCCATAACGGTCCACGACTGGGTCGCCTGCCTTTGCGGCGGGTGCCTTGATTCTTGGCGGGTGCTTGCGGTTGAGCTTGAGCGGAGGCACAAATTGAGCCTGATCGGTGGGATCGGTGCGATTGTGGTGGGCGAAGCGAATGAGATGATGCAGCCAGGGTGATTGGGAGGAGGTGGACAGGAGAGGGATGTCACGGTAGGTGGTTGGGGGAGGAGGTGAGGGCGAGCGCTGCTTCTTGACCGGGTTGCGGGCGGCAGGAGCAGTGGTGCCCGGCTCGGTCTTTACGGTACGAGGTGGAGCAGCAGCAGCGGCGCCGCTCTTGATCTGCTGCGACATGGTATGCTCCCTATGACTTGAGGAGCAGCAGCCAATGTGAGGAGCGGAAGGTACGAGGTGTGGGATGTATGCTGTTGCCGATGGATGTGCGTCTGTGGCCCGCGCGGATGTTCCTGTCTGCGTGTCTCCACCTGCCTTTGGCTGCAAAAAGTGGGAAAGGGGGCCAGTCCGCTCAACGAGAAATGATTACAAGGGACACAGAGTAGAGCAGACATTCTTCATTAGCCCCAACCATCACCATCACCACCACCACCACCACCACCCCTCACCATGTCCTTCCTCGCAACCTCCAGTCGTCTCGCTCTCGGTCGCTCAGCCACACGTGCAGCCTCGCAGCGTCTGGCCCTCCTACCCAAGCTCGCAGCCTCGGCCACTGCCACCCAACTACCCCGATTCAGTGCCACCCCTTCCTCTTCCCACCCTTTCACCACCTCCCTCACCCGCCTCGGCTCAGGAACAACAGACGTAGAGCTTGCCTCTCGTCTAGCCCAAGAACTCACCTACGAGCAAGAGACCCAAGCTTCCTCTGCCTCTTCCTCTTCAGACGCAGGCGAACCCGATTTTCTGCGAGACTTCAAATCCACGGGGATTTGGAGTATCCAGGATATTGCTGGGTCCGATGAGATTGCACTAGAGCGAGACTTTGGAAACGAGAGGATCAAGGTGCTGTTCAGCATTGGAGATATTGACACCAATGACCCAAGCGAATTTGAGGATGCTGAGGAGGGTGAGGCAGCGCAAGAGGAGGGCAAGGAGGACGATGAGTCTCCTGCTTTCCCCGTGAGATGTGCCATTTCCATCACAAAGGTGAGCAGACAATGAAGCACCTCGCACCAACAGTCCTAGCAGTCACCTACGGTGGAAGAAGCTGACCCTCTCCTTACCTCCCTCTTGCCCACCTTGTGACTTGCTAGGCCAACAAGGGCGCCCTCACCATCGACGCCCAAGCCGACTCTGGCGTATTCCGCATCGAGAACATCTCCTTTTACAAGGACTCCAAGCTAGCCACTGAGCTCACCGCCGAAGCAGATTGGAAACGACGTGGACTCTACATTGGACCTCAATTTCCCACATTGGACGATAGTCTTCAGGCACAGTTTGAGACTTATCTCGAGGAGAGGGGAATTGGAGAGCATTTGGCACTCTTTGTGCCGCTCTTTGCAGAGTACAAGGAGCAGAAGGGTGAGTGGAGCTGAACGGCGAGGGTGTAAATGGGTGAGAGTGTTTGCTGACCGTTGCCTTTGCACTCCTTTGTCCATCTCTTAGAGTACTGCCACTGGCTGGGCAATGTCAGGGACTTTGTCGAGGCTTGAAGATGCAGCTTTGCAAGAGAGCGGGAGAAAGTAGGCTGCAGTCACAGGGGGAGAGGACGACAAACGGTCGAGAAGGGACGGATACCATTCATCACTTGTAATACAACAAAAAGGAGTCCCACGACAGTGACTGCTCAGAACGACGACGCCCAATAAACACACTGCTCTACTATACCTATCCATCGTCCAGTCAAGTGTTCTTGAGCGCCTGAGATATCCTCACGGCAGCGTCGGGTGTCGAGCCGGATCGAGCGAATAGACCACTCCATTGTTCGAGACCTTTACGAGGTGCTTTGCGCGTTCCAGTGCCATTAGACACTTGTTCACTTTCACCTGAGGCAACTCTGGCGGCTTGACAATATCGGCCATCCTGGCTCCGTGTGGACCGGCTGCTATGAGCGCCATGAGCACTGCCAAAGCTAGACGGCGGGCGGCCTGTTGGAGGGCGAGGGAGGAGCGCACAAGGTACGTCGAGGCGTCGGTGATCAGTCGAGCTGCCTCCCCGACTCGTTCTTCTCTCCCAGATCGACTCACGGGATCGTTGCTTCTGTACTCTAGCGGCAAAGTCTCAATGATCTCCTCTGCATACTTTTCCCTCTTCTTCTTCTGCGCCAAGGTAATCTTCGGCTTCACAGCCCCTCCAGCAGCAGCAGCGCCTGTCGCTCCAGCTCCAGCTCCAGTCTTACCAGTCGTACCCGCCCCAACGCTTGTCGTACCCTTCTTCATTGCGCTCTTCAATACCGGCGTTGAGTTCTTCTTTGGAGTAGTGGTGCGCGAACGTCCTGGTGGGGCGGTAGCGGCCTCAAAGCTGATTTCATCTTGTGTGACGTACGTCTGATCTGCTGGGTTGTTGTACCCTGTCCCAGAGCCGGAGGCCAGGGCAGTGTTATGAGCGGGACTGTAGGGAGATGTTGTGGGTAGGAGGGCTTGGTCGCGTATGAAGGCGGCTGTGAGGGGTGGAGTGGATGGTGCATGTGAGGAGCAGAGTGTCAATACCGCCTTTATTCCTCCCACCACACCATGCCAGGCCAGCTCTCCCACTCACCCTCTCTCTCCTTTGCATTCTCAAAATTCTCCTCCTGGGGCGCCTCTGCCCACTCAATACAATACGCCGCTACCTTCAATCCATACACAAACCCTCCAAACCCTTCATTAAACACATTCAATGCCTCATAAATCTCTGCCAACTCGGCCAAATTGGAGGAGAGGATGGAAGTTTCGTCGGCTAGATTTCCCAAGGGTCCTTCGAGGAAGGAGAGGGGAGTGCTGGATGAGGAACTCGAGTTGGGCCCACCACGGGAGGAGGAGAGGGCGGAGATGGAGCCGCGGGAGATGCGACGGAGGGGAGTGGTGGGACGGGCGGTACTGGCCATCTTGGAGGTGTGAGCGGAAGCGATGACAGGGAGCTCCAGTGGATGATGGGTAGGGGAAGGGGAGACAGTCAGTCCACTTGGGTGTTGGGAGGATGAGGCGGACAGGCGACGGGAGTGCAGGTATGGAATATGCGCCGCCCTGTTGCTTTCCACGACTCGATGGCCCAAGCTCTGCTGCTGCCGCCGCCGCCTCCGACGCGTTGCGCCGCGCGTTGTGTTATTTCCAGCCGACGGGTGATATACTACGCACACGCTCACTCGCAAGGACAAGAAAGAGGATGATCAAGACGAGATCTACGAATGAAAAGAGAAGGGGAGAGAAGACAATGGATGCATAATTATACAAGGTTGCGCTGGTTGCCAAGAAGATTCGTGAAGATTTGAAGACAGACTTATTGAAGTGAAGTGCCTGAAAGACTTGAAGGTAGGGTATATGAATGGACGGAAGAAAGCTGAGCTGAAATTGTGGTGATGCTTCTCGACAGACTCGTGGGTATGCCGAAGATCATTTTGGAGGAGCCAGGCATCGTCCTTGAGATGCCGAGCTGTGCTGCGAAACGTGTGGCTCGTGATTTGTAGCTGCCACAGCCAGCAGGAAGGCGCCGTGGGGAAAGAGGTAACACACGTCTACCCCTCATCGCTCCTCACTCTGAGGAATGCGTGCCCCAGACACTCCTCTGCAGTCCAACGACGCGTCAAGTCAACGTGTAGACAGACTCGGCAGAGGTCTAGAGCCTCCTCGACCTCATCGAAGTACGCGTCTGGGTCTGGGTCGTCAGAGGGCGGATTCATGATGGAAGGATTGAGGTGCTTGATGAAGTCCGTGATACGCCAGCCATCAGGATTGTCCAGCGGGACAGTGCAGTTGAAGGTACGGTCTACAAGAAGAACTCAAGGTCAGTCTGGCTGCGCCTGAAGACTCCTACGGGTACAAGTTCGACACTGGCAGCTTACTCACTGTGAAGCAGAGCCGCCCTGGCAATCTTTGCCTTGCCAAAGATGATCATTAGCTCAAGCAGAGCCTCCATGTCACTATTGGCATTGAAGACCGGGAAACGTCGCGTCAGAAAAGCCAAGAGAATGATACCGGCTGACCAGACGTCCACAGCGGGCGTCTGATCTTGGCACTTGAGCAGCACCTCAGGAGCTCGGAAGCCTCTTGTGCCAGCTCGATTGGCTCGAACGCCAGACCTGATGATGTGATGCGAATTGGAGTCAGCATACCAGCACGTTCCCACTGTCAGCCTTCCCACATTATGACTCACCTCTTGTCATGCTCCTTGTACCCGAGAGGCCCAGCTTTCTGAGGCGGAGGGCCCATCATGGCCTTCTTCGCATGCCTCGAAGCATTCATCGTGTCGGGGTGCAAGTCGCCTCCAGGTGCAGTGTGAGTCGAATTGACTGAAGTGTTGATGACGATAGATCCTCGAGGGGCATCAGCAGTCGGGCAAGTGTGGTGGCACTTGCCCTTCCAGTCTTGGGCCTCGAAGCGCTCAGCTAGACCAAAGTCACAAAGGACACCCTGCTGAGTCTCTGGGTTGAAGAGGAAGTTGGCTGGCTTGACGTCCCGATGCATGACATTGGCAGCATGGGTTGCGCTCAGTGCATTGAACAGACAGCGAAAGTAATTGCGCAGAGAGCCTAGTGAGATGTCGCGGTAGTAGTGCTAGGTGGTGGAGAAGGAGAGCCAGGAGGAGTTAGCATGGAGTCTGCTGTGGACATTGTCACCATCCGTGCTTACCCTGAAGTCCTGGTGACGCGAGTACGGCATGACAGCGATGATCTGGTCCTCTCTTCTGAAGGCCGTGATCAAGTACGCAATATTGGGAGCGTGTCTGAACAGCAAGCAAGCAGGTTGGGGTGTGGAGTCGAGAACAGGTCAGGTACCATAGTGGAGCCCCTCCTTTCTCCGCAAGACTGTCACTTACCGAAGCTCTTCCATGACCTCCAGCTCGTTGTAGATGCGTTCTGGAGAGCTTGTGACATAGATGCGCTTGAGAGCAACATAGACTCTCTTGCGCGGGCGAGGTTGGCCATCATTGTCCCAAGGGGGATGGGGGAGAGTGTGGGTCCAGATGAAGTTGTCATAGAGGTCATGGTAGCGATCTTCTGCCTTGAAGACAGAGGAGAAAGTGCCTGAAGAGCCAAAGGAAAGTCGAGGGTCAGCGGCTCAGCACAGAAGGGGACAGGCTCTGTTTGGGCCACTGTCAGGCTCACCTTCGCCAATCTTGTCTACGATGGAGTATTCCTCGAGCTCTGGGATGGCAGTCTGCATCGCAAGTATGTCTTTGGCTACCACGCGCTTGTCCTGTAGAATGCGATGAGACGGAGCGCAATGGCCCAAGCCTAGGAGGTCAGTGGACGGACATGAGTGTTGATCAGTGTCTGGCTCCTGACTTACCTCTGAGTTTCTATCGTCCCCGTACGAGCTCTGCCTGCCACTCTCCTCATCGTTGCCGAAGTCGTGGAAGAACTCATCGGCTGTATCTCCAGCCTGATCTTGTCCGTTGTAGTCGACGACAACCACCTCGCGTTTCACAGCCTCGACTTCCGAGTCGCCTCCCTCGTCTACCACCCTCATCCCAGTGTGCTCGCCGTCTAGAAGGGACTGGTTTTCCTGTTGAGAATCGACTTCGTCGTCTTCGTCGTCCTCCTCATCATCGTCCTCCTCATCATCACCGTCTTGAGAGGAGGCAGAGACTTGGCTGTCCGAGCTGAGGGAGGCGTCATCACTTTCCATCTGACTGGCCGCGGGTGGGAAAGGAGAAGGTGTACGGGAGGCTGGTAGCGACGTTGGGAAGGGCGAGGCAGCCAGGGTACCTCCGGGTGAGGGAGCGGGGCTCATCTTTGAAGCTGTGAGATGAGCGGGTGAGACAGGGGTAGGAGGGAATAGAGGAAGGAGCGATGAAGGGCGCGATGAAGGCGAGGAATCTAAGGGAGTGTGTTAGCCTTGCATCACTTGGTGGGAAGGGCAAGGAGGGGCAGGGCAGGGCGGGAGCTATGAAGACGTGGTAGGGTCAGGGTAGGGGGATGAGACGCAAACAGAGGGAGATGTGGTGGGAGTGGGAGGTGCAAAGTCAAGGTGAACTCAGCACACGAATGCCCTTTGATACGAGGCAGAGCTAGGAAGACTTGCAATTCCTGACCTGACTTGTCGAGCAACACACCACCGCCGCCTCGCCTCGCCTCGAAGCGCGTCGCCACTTTGAATTGACCGACGTACGACGGCAATCTCCGCTTCCGCTTCCCACTTCCGCCGCCCCTGGCAGCAACGGCAGCAGCACCACCACCATCAGTACCTCAACCCCGATGATCCCCCTTCTCTGCAGCGGACAGGAACCACTTGCCTTCACCTTCTCGAGATCTTGCCTTCCACCCTCCGCCCACGCCTTCGATCAATGTCCTGACTCTGTCCCTAGCTGCCACCTCAGAGCCAACTTTGCGAGTAGAGACGATGCCCCAGTTTTTAGTGCTGGGAATTCGCAACGCTTCCTTTTCCACCAGCCAGCCACACAGAAGGTGGAGGTGTGACACGTACGACAGGTACGCGACATTGCGAGATCCCCCTGGTGTCTTTGCGCTACTCGCGCACGCGGCTGAGGGCCCACTTGGGCTTGCGCTTGCTTTGGCCTTGCGAGGCACTGGGGCGTCCACGGGTGGACCAAGACCTAGCTCCAACATCTGTGACTTCAGCAGAGATCGTTGCTCCTCGCTTGGCGTAGCTTCGCCACTGTCGAACACTGGCAAATCTAGCAGCTCGGCCACCTCCTCCCTTGTCACGCTATACTTTGCCTTGTTGAACCTCACGCCTTCAACTGACCACGCACAGCATGGGATGTTGAGCATCCCCGCACAGCTGGGAAGGGCAGCGGACAGCAGAGGCAGGATGGGCGTTAGCTCATCAGCGTGATTGCCAATCAAAAAGCAATGTGGAGGGAACAGCGACAAGTCGTTGCCCGATGCGTCTTGAGGTGCTTCGAGCAGGTCTTGAATGAAGCGAATTGCATCCAGTGTCTGCACTCGCAAGTCGGCGCATCGAGTGCTGACCTGCCCTTCTATTGTCGATGCTCCGGTCTGAAAGAGCTCCCACGATTTCCGAGGTCGAAGATCGAAGCCGTGTCCTTCATAGCCCTCATTGTTGAGCAGCCACACAAGCAGCCCATTCCCACAGCCTACATCGACGAAGCCGCCCGGTGGTCTTGACCACGACTGGCTATCCGTAAGCCAGGGTCTCTCCTTGAGCCCTACGGTAACTTCTTCCTCGCCCGCGGCGCCGCCAAACTTGATTCTCCATAGGCACATGAGCCAAGCAGCCAACGCCAAATCCTCGTGTACGTGTTTCTCCGGATCAGTGCCTTCGCGCCATTCCTTGACCAGGTAGCCAGCCCAGCGGTGCTTCAAGTTAAGGTACACGTCTTGGTACATCTCTTTTGGAACCAGTCGATCTTGCGGAACTCGAGTGACATAAGAATGTGAGACTCCCCATGTATGCGTATGAATGGTTTTGAGAAGAGTAGTGCAGATGCGTCGGATCGTCGGAGATAGCTGGGCCGAGCCGAAAGGGAGAGCCGAGATGCTCAGAATGTTTGCGGCCGCAGAAGAGTCGTCCGGTATTCCACCCGTGTGCGATGAATCGCTGAGGTACGCAAATGCCAGAGCCTTGACTGCAGGATGGTAGAATGGCACCTGCTCAGGATCCGTCATCGCTGAGTGACGGCTGAGCCATTCTTTTGTACCAGCCACAGTGGACAGGTCGAATGGTCGAGCCACGGAGCATTGCAGTGGTGTGTAGACGACGAGTCTGGAAAATCCAGCAGCATCACTGCTCTGGAAGAAGCTGCAGAGCTGATCCAGATGCGAGTCTATGCCAGGGCGACGCGGGAGGAGACGTCTTACGAACTGCCTGTGAAGCGTCCACTGCAGCTGCCCTTCTTGAGCTCCGAGAGAAGCGTGACCCTCTTCGCTCTCCTTGACCTCGTCTAGCAAAATGTCTGCCCTGAGGATATTGGACGAATTGCGTTCGGGATGTCGTACCAGCTCCAGCATGACGGTGGACCATGATTCGACATCGGCGACGGCCTTGCACTGGATCACGTGCTCCCACTGCTGTCCTTCCCCTTGCTGATTGGTGGCCCACAGTCCATCGCTGGGCAATTTCAGCGACTTAGCTGCTCCTGTAGACTTTGTCTGTTCATGTTGTGCGGCGCCCAGCGTATGTTCAAAGGGCGGTCTTGGCGGGATTGCATTGAGTACAGGTGGAGCGGTGTGTATGGGTATGTCCGAGTACCATGATGCCATGCCTGTCCAGTGGCGCACGAGGTGACTTGGCTGCGTTGCCTCTTTCTTCCTTTTCTCCGTTCGGCACTCGCCGCTACGCAGAAGCCGCCGCGTTGTGGCGGCCGGGTGAGAGCAACTCCACTTGACACGTCCACTCCGCCCGGGTCATCTGACTTACGGCCGAGGCATGCCCAAGGCTATAAGAGCCCCTCTCTGCCAGAGGAGACCTCACCCAACTTTCTTCTTCTATACTCACATACATCTTCAGCGTATCAGTTTCATACACAATGACAACTACTCAATTCCCCGCACCTGGCGCCGCCAATGCCGTCAGCATCTCCCCCATTGGCTTCGGAGCTATGGGATTCCACGCCTTCTACCGTAGCGGCGCTCCCGAACAGGCAGAGTTTGAAGCGTTTATGAACGAGCTCCTCAAGGAGATTCCCAACCCTGTCCATATCGATACTGCCGCCATCTACGGTCTTTCCCCAGATGGACGAGAGAGCGAGACCGCCATTGGCAAGTGGCTCGCTAAGTCCGGTCAGCGCAAGAACGTCTTCCTAGCTACCAAGTTCGGGTTCGACAAGAACTTTGCACCAGCCGCAACCGCTAAGGACGCTCATGCCAGTCTCGCTAGGTCTCTTGAGCTCCTGCAGACCGACTACGTCGACCTGTTCTACATTCACCGACCGGACAGGGCGCTCGGAATTGAGGACACCATGAAGGGTCTCAAGGAGCTCAAGGAGTCTGGCAAGATTCGCCACATTGGTGTTTCTGAATTCAACCAGGACGAGCTTGTTCGTGCGCACAAGATTGTCCCCATTTCGGCTGTACAGATCGAGGTGAGCCCATGGACTCCCGAGCCCCTCTACAATGGTACGCTCGAGTGGTGCAAGAAGGAAGGAGTGGCCCTCGTGCCTTACTCGCCTTTGGGTAGAGGATTCCTCGCCGGCAAGTTCAAGAGCGAGGATGACATTGCCGACGATGACTTCAGGAAAGGCAACGAGCGCTTCCAGGGAGAGAACTTCAAGAAGAACCTCGAGCTCGTTGACGACATTAAGAAGATTGCCGCCAAGAGGTCCGCCACACCTGGACAGATTTGTCTCGCTTGGCTCCTCGCACAGGGGCCCAATGTCTTCCCTATTCCTGGTACGACCAAGGCGCAGAACATGAAGGAGAATGCGGCAGCATCGAAGATCAAGCTGACAAAGGAGGAGGAAGAGGAGATTACTGGAATCATCAAGAGCTTCAAGGCTTCCGGGGAACGATACCCAGAGATGATGCGAGCCGCTCTTGCCTTCTGAGCAAACCAAAAGGTGATTCACGTATGATCCGGGTCTGTCCCACTTAATGTAATGGAGATGATCACATAGCTTTATTTCGCGCATTGTATGTTGTGATCCAAGCACTGACCAATGAGTGTATGACCGATGTTGATTTGCCCCCACCTACTTCGCCCGCTGTTGGTATTTACAGTTTCCCCTTCTGTTCTGCCGCTACAGCCTCACCCCATAGATTTCGTAACACCATCATGAGTCCCTCTTTTCCCTTTCCAGCGTTGCTTCCATACCGATCGAAGCTGGTATCTTCCAACTTCTTCCCCGCCTTGGCCATGATAGAGCTGTTTGACTTGCTAGTGAGCTCGCAAGTAATCTTGGCCGTCTGTTTGAATACTGTCGATCGTGATTCAGCGCCGGAAGGAGAAGACGAGGGGGATGGGGTATAGGTGATGTACTCTTTGGCCAAGAGGTACTCTGATAGGGTCATATTTGTAGAGGTCATCTCCACTTTTGATTCGGCGGGGTCGATGACCATCACTTCCCGCACGTAGGTGTCTTCCGCCAAACTCAAGAGCTGGTGAAATGCAGACATGGACAAGCGGGGTGAGTTCACTTTTTGCAGAGATCGTCGTGATCACAAGGCTTTGTGATCTCACTCTCTCACACTCACCTTGACGACCCACCGCGGGGCTCCTTGTCTCACGCCCAGCACCCTTTCCAGTCGCAGCTTCCCAGATGCCTCATCGAATTGCTGGTCTATTGTGTCTACCGAGACGACGTGATCCGCACATGGATTCGGATACTTGTGCAGTACACCTGCAGATCATCAGATGCGACGAGAAGAGGAAGGAAAAGAGCGGGAGCAGGAAGATGTTCAGACTCTCGCATGCAGAGAAGATTGGCTCCTCCTTGTTCGCTTGCACGACACCTACCTAAGGCAGTCTCAACCCAGGGGTAGGGAAATGAGACCTCGTTTGTGAATATCCGGGGCATCTTGATCTGGTTTGGGCGCCTATCTGGAGAGAGTGTGCAACGACTGAGGTTGACTCAGGGCTGTATCGCGCCTTCAAGATGTGGGGTGGAGCCCTATCACGGACGACTGGGAATTCAGAAGCGCGAAGTGCTGTGGGGCTGCCGTGGCATGTGAGTCCTCTTCCTTCTGGTACAAGAGCGCTGCAAGGTCCGTCCGAGCGAGATGAGAGCAATTCAAGGACTTGAGCAGGGGTATACGAAGATGCAGGGTGTATATGGGAAGCAAGGGGTAAAGAAGGAGGATGGCTTCCATGACACGTTCTGGCGCATGGGCCTAGTTCCTGCGTCTCTTCTTCCTTCCAAGTGGTCCATGCGAGAAGGGCGCTTCCGATCACTCCCCACCTTCTGAAGACTTCGCCTCACCTCACCTCAGCTTGCTCTGGCCGCTCTGGTAGCATATACTGACCATCATGGTAGCAAAGTCGGACCACAAGACCAGTGTCCTCTTTTGCTGTCTGGGTGAGTCTTGCGTGGCACCGCTTGCCGTTGCAGTGAGACATAGCAGCCATGCTTCTCACGCACGTCCTGACATTGTGTCCTTCCCTCCTTTGCAGGCAACATTTGCCGCTCACCCATGGCAGAGGCAGTCTTCCATCATATTGTCACAGAATCAGGTCTCGGCGCTCACTTCGACAAGATCGACTCGTGCGGTACGGGAGCATATCATGTCGGGGAGGAGCCAGATGAAAGGTGCTAAAGATCCCCATATAGATCATCCTGTGCACAACAGTATTTGACCAGCTTTGACCCCTTGGGCTTATCTACCAGAACTGTAGCAGTGCTTTCCAAGAAGAAGATCGCATGCAATTCTCTGGCTAGAGCCGTGAGCAAGGACGACTTTCACAGGTTCGACTATATCTTTGGCATGTGAGTCTGAACAGCAAATGTTGAATGTATGAGGGCCTACGACGTGATGAGGTGCGGCAATTTGGCTCACGGCCCCCCTTTCATCTACCGGCTGCAGGGATACTAATAACGTGCGAAACCTCAAGAGTATGCAGCCGAAGGGAAGTAAAGCTCAGTAAGTCTTTCACTATGGCCGAGATGAGATAGGAGGTCCGCGCCAACTAATGGCTCTTGGGCCTCCTCTGCCTGCCTCTGCCTTTGTGCCAGGGTGTACATCTTCGGCGAATTGTGAGTACCAACGAACATCGCTTAAACACAAGGCCACTGCTGACGAGGCTCATCCATTTACCGTGACAATTCCGCTCTGAAGCGAAGATAAGAAAGCCATAAATGACCCGTACTATGGTATTGGCGGCAGCGGCTTCGAGTCGACGTATGAGCAATGCGTCAGGTGAGTCAGGCACAGACGTAAACAGAGAGCGGTGGTCTCAGTGACACTCTTGCTGAGCAGCCCTGTCTGTTTGCCGCTCTACCCTTTGTGCGTCGAGTCGAGTAGATACTCAAAGGTGAGTCCTCCGCAAAGAGAGCGAGGGGCCAGCCTAGTGCCAGCGGCAGGCCACTCATCAGCCCTTCCACTGACGCACAAATCCTCGCACCGTCTCCACCAGGCATTTCTGCAGCACCTTGGCCATGACGGCGCCAAAAGTCTACTGTGATGGCACAGAGAGGCCACACCAAGCGGAGGCTTGACCGGCAATTTCGGGTCAAATTGCGCCCCGCACACGGGCCCTTTGTCCGGAGCCACCCTCTGCCGTAGCGCTCGGATCCATAGAAATTGCGCCTTGTCCTACGCAACGCAGCAGTGACTTGAAGCGGGAAAGTGGTACACAAGCAACAAATGGATCCGCACCACAAACGCCACCGCCCATGAATGCGGGAAGCTGACGCAGCCAGAGGGCCAACAAGAGGATATTCTCGCTCCACCCGGCCATGTCAATCCCAATCCCATCGCAGGGGCCCCAGTGGCACATGCAGCGGTGCTAATGCCCTTCGCCTCTGGCAAGTCTCAGCCGGACTTCGTGCTACACACTTCACTGTCTGATCCTCGAGCGCGTAAGGCGTCTTCGCGGCCTCTACAATGGCATATTCTAGACTGTCGAAGTGCTCTGCCTGTGTCCGTCACGTTCACTTTTGTTTGTGAAAGAAGATGCCAGCTGAGTCGATCACGGGCAAGGCTATATAGTCTACAGGTCTCACTGGGTCTCATTCCCTCGACTAAACCTTACTTGATCTATTCCATACTCCTCTTCACCTCTTCTCACCTCCCAGTCTACAAAACACCCTTTCGCATCAACCACACGCCCTACACCCAGGGGCAGCACGCACAAGAGTCGGCTATCAGAGTCTTGCATGTACCAGCCCTCCGCACGGTTCAACGCGGCAGTCAGCGCTTCAAGACCCTCTGGAGATAATTCGCAAGCCCCAGCCGATAACCACTTCGCCTTGGGTCAGCATTTCAACAAGGACGCTCAAGAGAATCTCCTAGCAGAGAGCGAAATCAACGAGCTCAGCTCGGACTCCACACCCCAAACCGGAGACAACACAGCCAGTGAGTCCCGTCCCCGGACCTCGGCCGAGTCGCAGTCGGTTGATCTGAGCCAGGCAACATGGGTCTGCTCGAAGAGGACGATGGTCTCATTGATGACTCTTCGTGTGCACTTCTCGACTACGATGACTTCCCGTCGCCACCCGTGGCCTCTGCGCCTCTGGTTGGCGGCCGGTCATCGTCTCGTCACTCCGACGCCACCGCTGTCTCCCCAAGCTCTTCACCGCCTGAGGTAGTCATTGTGCACGGAGGAAGCTACTCGAAACCTCAAGCTCCAATTGTACCCAAGAGAGGTGACTCACGTCCTCCTTCATCTCAACCAGCCAAAATGTCCAACGAAGCATCGCAATTTGGCATCCACAATGCGTGAGTTCGCTTCGACACCCTGCGTGTCCACTCTCAGCCTCTGACGACTCTACCTATTGCAAATCTTTCCAACCCCCTCCAGTGCATCATCGGAAGATGTTTTCCGTACATCCTCTCATGTGTTGGAGGATGACTACGATTACAACAGCACCGATGAAGAGGAGCAAGTGCTCGCTACTGGCCACGACCACGAACAGCAGCTGGCTCAAGCCACTTCGCCTGTCAGCCTCCGTCGACGTTCCACTGAGCGTGCCCCACCTCGCGGTGTCGCCGAGTCTCACCTGCCTCCCACGCCCCCGCACTCGACCCAGGACAGTGTCTTGAACACGCGAAAGGCAAATGCTACCAGGTCCTCGACTACTTCAAGCGCCGCCGCAGGTTCCCCATTGCGTCAAAGGGCCGGTACCGGAGAAGACAAGAACAAGTACTTCCCTGCTGCAGCTCTCTCCTCCGACATCTACAAGACAAGTGAGAAGCGAAACGACAATTCTGCTCGAACACCTACAGTCCTGGTCGTGGACAGGAAGAGGTCAGTGGCGACTGACCACCAGAGCGACAAGGCAAGTAACAAGGTCGAGGTTGATATGCAGTGGTCTGTACAGAAGCTTCTCAACGAGGACGTATTCACGAAGGTCGTCAATGACCCTCAAGGACGACATCAATTCCGCACTTTCCTCGAGAAGGAGGGTACCGAGGGTCTTCTGGACTTCTACTGCGACATGACTGGCTTCGAATCTCAGTACGAGGGCAGGAAGCAGATCACCGAGGCGATGTTCGCGTCTTATGCCTCGGACGATGCGGATGTCAGGGTTGATCTGCCCAATGACATGCATGAGGATCTCTACACCACACTCAGGCAAAGCCTTGAGATCAAGGCGGCCTTCTCACCCATGCTAGAGCATGTTCGTGTAGGTCTGTACAAAGACCAGTTCCAGCGCTTCATCAAGTCAATGCTGATTGATCAGTACCGAGAGAAGCTGGGCAACCTTGAGTCATCTGAGAATTACTCTGGTCTCTCCGACTGCTTCTGTCTCACCAACCCCCGTGCCGGTACTGAGAACCCCATTGTACTGGCCTCGGAGGGATTCCTCGCCGTCACTGGCTACACTCGTCAGGAAGTCCTAGGCCGCAACTGTCGTTTCTTGCAAGGTCCTGCCACTTCCCCCGACGCCATCGACCGTATCCGCGATGCTCTCAACGGAGGCAAAGGTTGCATGGAGCTCATGCTCAACTATCAAAAGGACGGCACTCCCTTCTTCTGTCTCCTGTCTATCATCCCTCTTCGTGATGCTCGTGGTCAACTGGCCTACTTCATTGGAGGTCAGTGCAACGTCAGCGAGACCCTCGCTTCGGGTAAGACTCTCGAGTATCTCATGGGCAAAAACTCCGAGCATACCGCCAAGGTCCACACGCACGCTGCCAGTGGTACGGAGCTGTCCCCAACTCTGGCGCGATACTTTGCAGGTCACCACCTCAAGACTGGCGGTCCCACCTTCAACGACAACCGCTCCGTTGGCAGCAGTACTCGTGACAGTGACTGGAGTCGCTCAAACAAGACCGGTCGCAAAGCTGCAGGATCTTACGACCCTTCCAAGTTGCGTGGACCTTGTGGTGCGCCCTTGCTCGCTGGAGCCCTCGCTGATGGTTCTGCCTCTGCCAACAATGGTCTCCTGGCCCGGATCACCGGTCGCTCCTCCAATGGCAAGTCTGGTCAGGATATTCCAGACCTCAGGCCCACGCCATCACCAACCTCCTCTTCTGCTCCCGCCCCACGTCAACTCACTGGACAGCGACTATTGGGTGCAGAGGACTTGCTCCGACAGGCTCCCGCCTCTACGCTCAAGGATCAGCTTTGGCTCTTCACCAACCTCTATTCGCGTATCATCATCTTCAAGCGTCACAAGCGTGAAGTCATCTTTGTTACTGCTCCCCTCTTGGAGGCTCTTGGCCTACCTTGTGCAACAGATGCCGATAGGTACGATTCGGGTTTACTACACTGCGATGTCCTCTCTTTACTGCAGGGTGCTACAAAGAATGAGACGAGGGTATTGCGACAGGCAGTTCAGGACGCCATTCATTCTGGAAAACCAATTAGTGTCATGACTGGATTGAGAAGACGACCGGCCAAGACTGGAGTCAGCAAGTTGCTGGCTGAATCTTCGGTCGAGGCAGCTTCGGATAGGGTTATCAAGTATACCGCACTCCACGTCACGCCCCTATACGACCGAGACGATGCCACTTTCGCTTTTGTCGCCGTCCTCGGGTAAAAGTTCACCCCTCAAGTCGAACCCCCTTTGTGCCCATTCGTGTCGCTTGCTTTTGACTCTGCTGAGAACATGGCTTTTCTCCCTCTTCCTTTCTTTTCTTCTACTTGCTTCCTAAGCCTTCTGCTCCATCTGCATGTCGTCTGTCACTCTCCTCTCCCTTGCTCTTCTCACCGAGAAATCTTAAACCTTTTGCAAGAAAGCATTACCACCTCAGAGTGTGTGACAGCATCAGCATCCTGAGCGGTACGACGAGCAAAGGATGGAGGCATTGGTTCACGACGTAAGAGGATATGTTGACATTCGCAATTGACAGAGAGAGAGAAAAGACAGAGGAGAGGAGGGAGGGGCCCATTTTGGTCTCAAAGTCGCCCGTCTGTGTAAAAGATTCGTAAAAGGAATACAATCGCTGCCTTGTTCGTCACCATCCCACCGCTCCAGACGTCCAGGGTAGGTCTGCAACTGCTGCCCGACCAGGGCCTGCTCGACCGCCCCTCGTCTAAAGCTTTTGACCTTCCCCATTAGCAAGCAAGACGTCTAATTTCTCAACGAGAATCCCTTCTTCTTGGCGCTAGCGCTGTTGTAATTCGCCTTTTCAGGCGTGAGGGGTCTTCCGCTCTCCAATCTCCTCTTCTTCTCCTCTAGCTCCAGCCTCTGCTTCTCCAGAGCCTCCCTCATCTCCTTGTGACGGGCGTAGAGTTCCTCTTCAGACTGCTTGAGCTTCGTTTCCTTTTCGGCCACCTTTTGCTGGAAGACGAGCTTCATCTCGTTCTCCATCTTGGCCAGTTTGGCGTCGTGCAGAGCTCGCTCTTCTGCCATCTTGGCCGCGGGGCTGTGGAAAAGAAAAGGGCAATCAGAGTGAGCTTGAACATTCTCTCCTCTGAGAGAGCTCGCTCTTACCCCTACTCACTTGACCTCCTTGAAGACAGAGTAGTCTTGAGTCACGCCCATAGCCGTGAGCTTGTCACTCCTGTACTTCTCGTAGAGCACATTGTGAGTGTGTTCCCTCAGCTCCTCCATGTGGGATCGAATGAGCATCTGCCTCAGCTTCACAAAGTCGCAGTGGTCCTCGTTGTCGACCTCGACGAGACCCCAGGGGTATGCGCGACCTCGCACGCGTCTGCCATCGGGAGTGTCGATCTCCGTATCAGCGCCAATGATAGCAAAGGGGATCTTTTGCTGTAGAGGAAGGGAGTGTAGAGGCGTGTTTAGCTGACGCTCTTAGCTCAAGGACGGCGCCTCGACACATCACTCACTGCAATTTCCTCATTTTCGGCCAATGTCTCCTCGTCTTCATTGTCGTACACTGGCGCACGGAAGATCTCAATCTGGTGATGAGCAATGTCGGAGAGGATGCGTTGCTTGAAGAGAGCAATCTCCTCATCGGTCATAGTATCAGACTTGGCGATGACAGGGATGAGGTTGACCTTCTGGTGAAGCCGGCGCATGAACTCAATGTCGATCTGGCGAAGACTGGTCGAGAGCGAGGAAAGAAAAGGAAGAGAGGCCGGTGAGCTCAACAGGGATGCAACCTTTACCTGCTGTCGTCAACTCACGCATGGCCGGTGGGTTGGATGAAGTAGATGCAAGCGTGGACTCGGTTGTCGGTCAGCCTTGCACGGTTGACCCTATTTTCCTGTTCCAGGTAGGCATCAAAGCGAGCTTCGATGTTCTCAACGATGGGCTGCCAGCTGATCAATGGAACAGTTGGCATAGTTGCAGAGAGGTATCAGCGTGAGATCTTGCTGCGCCAACCCCTTGCAATCCAGCTAAGATGCTCACCTCTGGAAATTGTTGATGAAGTCACCGTAACCGGGGGTATCCACAACGGTCAATCGCAGACGAACTCCGTTTTCCTCAATGTCTGCGCATCAGGTCCACAATTGGGGCGAATAGTTCAGCGGTTGAGCTCATTTGTACTGCTTCACCCCTCGTCTCCTCGACTGCCTCGTCTCACGCACCAGCGCTCATGCTCTCAATGGCAACCGTCTGCGGCCTCTCCTCTTCAGGGGCTGGGACCTCCTTCTTTGGATACATTCGGTGGTTGAAGAGGGTGTTGATCAATGTAGACTTGCCGAGACCGGATTCACCTGGCGTGAGAGCAAACGAGGAAGAGGGTGACAAAGAGGGGGAGGAGGGTCAGACTCGAAGCTGCTCAGAGTGACCTCGCCTTGCCTCAGCTCGTGTCGCTAGAGGGCTGAAGCCGAGTAGTGACTGCCTCTATAGCTTGGGCACCCTGCATGTCCTGTTTCTGTTACTCACCTACGACCATGGCAGTGAATTGGAACCCCTTCTTGACAGACCTTCGGTGATACTGATTGGGCACATTGGAGAAACCAACGAAGCCTCCGAGTTTCTTTCGGCCATTGGCGGCCGGATTTGGCTGCGAGTAGCCATTAGCAACGGTAGTCATGGTGACGAGGGCGCGAGTGAGGAGCTACAAGCCAGGTAGCTGGCGTGGTGGGTAGGAGCAACGAGTGGGTTGGTGGGTGGGTGCACCGTTTAAGGGGGAATATCTGAAGTGATTGTTCTTCGGCAGCAAGCGTCGAAGGAATCTATCTCCGAGGTGATGGCGTAGGGAGTGATCGCTGCGGCTGAAGGAGTATGACAGCGGGCGACGAGGGGGAGGCTGGAGGGGCGTATGAAGAGGGTTCGATGGTAGGACGAGGCAGCAGCAACTGGCGAGGAAGTGTGACGCCTGGATCAGCGCCTGATGGAACAAGGCACACACACACAAGCACACGCCCCCCCGCCACTTCACACTCCGACAGTGCTGGCCCCTCTCCCACTCTCTCGCGCCAGGCACACCCCACGCCGGAACGGAAGCAGAGACTCAGACGGGCGGACGCACCACATTTCCTCGACGACGAGCCACCTTCCTTCCGCCTGTCGCTCACAGATACTTCTTGCTCTACTTTTGCGTAACGTCTACCTCCCTTCTTCGCCCGTTCCCCTTGGCCTCTCATTCTCGCCCCACGATGAAGCTCACACCAGAGCTCATCACGGCCACGGGCTCTTACCTCAATCCTCTGCAGGATCGAGAGATGTCCCTGCGCGGGCACAAGATCCCCACCATTGAGAACCTCGGCGTGACAAGGGACCAGCTCGACACTCTTGACCTCACAGACAACGACCTCATCACCCTCGGCAACTTCCCCCATCTGGATCGACTCGCGCACTTACTACTCAGCAATAACCTCATCTCCAGGATTGAACCCCGCTTGGCCTTCTCCCTGCCCAGACTTACGACGCTCACACTTGCAAATAACCAGATTGCTAGCTTTGCACAGCTTGCCCCGCTTGCCAGGTTCCCTCAGTTGGAGTACCTCACGCTGATAGGGAATCCAATCGCGAGGGAAAAGTACTATAGGGAGTGGGTTGTGTGGAAGGTCAAGACGGTGAGGGTGTTGGACTTTAAGAGGGTCAAGGACAAGGTGGGTCGCAGAGAGGAGCAGCATAGAAGGCCGAAAGCTTTAGCTCAATTGAGCCGGGTTCCATTGGACGGAATGACTGACAATTGCTATGTCTCACTGTCTACCTCAGGAGCGCTCTGTAGCCAAATCGCTCATGGAGACATCAGACGGCCGGCCCTCTACGCTTGCTCATTCACTATCCGCTCCCAAGGGCGGAGAGGCAGAGGGAGCCGTTCCGCAACAACGGACAGCAGCAGAGGCAATTGCAATGAATGGTGCAGCGGGTAGATTGATGACAAAGGAGGAGAGGAAGAGGCTGGAAGAGGCAATCGATAAGAGCGAGAGTTTAGAAGGTGAGAAGCGAGACTTGCTCCGCGGAGAGAAGCTGTTACCGACAAGCTCACGATGTTCCTCGATCTTGTTTCCATCTGACAGAAATTCGAAGGCTGGAGGAACGGCTGCGTTTGGGCTACGCCATCGAGGATTCATCGTCGACAGCGAACAAAAAGGGCAAAAAGTAGAGACACGTCGTAGTCATCCAATTTGTGTCCGGCCTCCCTCGCCTTGGGACTGGAGCGAGCGTATAACAATTGTACAGTATTAGCAGACAGGGAGAGCTCGTGTGAACAGGGTCGTCATTGAGAGTCTCAGATTGGAAGAGCAGCAGAGGGCGATTCATCGACAGGCTGGAGCAATGAGTATGCTGCAGTCCTCTACGCAGGTCCGGACCTCTGCATCGAGCCACTGCCACTCTTCCCTCTGTCGAAAATCCTGAATCATCGTTGCAACCCGTGGGTAGACGAACGACTCGAGGTCAGGATGGAGATTTGCCTATGAGGAAGGCGTAGAGCGGGCATTGCAGCAGCGAAACAAGACGGTGAGGTGAGCTGGCGTGGCCACCAATGGAATGCTCGTCTTGAGCTGTGCATCTCCTGTGGTCATACTCACCGGACATGCCCTGGAGGAGGGATCGAGCCACCGCTGTACCATCTGCCAGAATTGCAGCCAATCCCATCCGGCATCGGAGCGGGAGACTTGCTGAATGAGACGCCAGTACTCGACTTGCCAGGGGAGGGGAGGCCTTTGCTCCTTTCTTTCTTCCTCCTCCTCCTCCTCCTCCTCATTCGAAGTTGCTCCCGATCTCCCCTTCTGATCAGTCTCCCACTGCTTCTCACCCTCCAATAGCATCTCCCTCACATCCTGCAGCGCGCCCTGCACCTCTCCCATTTCCTCCTTGATACTCTCATACATCCTCGGCAAATTCACCGCATTACACCAATTGTGATTGAGCGAAATCGTATCCTCGAGATTCTCCACGGTGTGAAACACGTCCGAAGGGACAAAGATCGTCTCTCCCTCCTCCTGAAGCACGACAGTACTGCTCTCCGGCTCCTCTAGACTGGCCCGCTCTGCAGCGCTCAGAGGAGCTAGGCCACGACCTTGTTCGAGGAGTCGGCGGAGGAGCGGGGAGAGTTGCGGAGAGTAAAGGACCCAGCGCTTGCGACCTACGAGGTTAGTGGACCAGGAGTAGGAGGTGTACACGTCCCTGTGTAGGCCGGTAGTGGTGCCTCGAAGTCCGGCGTAGCAGAAGCGGAAGTCGTCTGGAATGGCCGCGGAGACGGCGGCGGCGGCGGCTTCCTCGCTGCTCTGCTGAGGGAGGAAGGACTCGTTGTTCATCCAGTCGTCGAGGAAGAGATCGGGCGTGGTGTACGGGAGGACGGGATTATCTATCTGCTCCCTGCTGTGGCGTAGCTTCTCCTGTCGCACAAGGTGCCAATCCTTGATGTAGATCAGCGGCGCAGGGGGAGTGGTGTCTTGCTCCTCCCCCGTCGCTTGCTCACGCAATCTACATGCCTCGTGCAGACGACCCACTGCCTCGGAGAGCGTCATCTCCTCTCTTTCAGAAGGTCCACTCTCATACTGACTGGTCCCAGCAATCGAATCTCTTGACTCTCCCGCCGTTGTGACCACTGGAACAATGTGATCTCCATATTGCTGCTTGAGCAAGTCAAATGCTGGATGTAAAGAGGAAGATGAAGTATCGGTATTACTCTTGCCAATTGTGTGAGAGGATGTCTTGGCCCAGTGCTGAGCAGGCCAGTCGCTTATCAGATCGGGTGGGAGAATGCAAGGCTTGTTGGGTAGTAGGAAGTCCCGCTGTGCGGGTCCGACAGAGGCAGAGAGAGAGAGAGTGGAGGTGGTGTCAGGGACCCAGATCCTACTCTCTAAGCACAAGTGGACTGCGACTCACCAGGAACTCTTGGTAGCTGGGAGCATGTTGCAGTCGCTCGACGACAAAAGGCTCAGGAAGCAGCCCAGCCTTGCCCTCCTTGTCCTCCTTGCTTGCCGGTGACGGGAGGTGTGCCATGCATGTGGCCGTACGAAGGCAGCGTGGCCTGTGAGCCTCTTGCAGCCAAAGAAAGCGGAAAGGGAGACTTTTTCGAAAAATCAAATCTTCCCGATTCAGCCACCTCTACCCTTTGCACTTCCACCACTTGCCACTGTTCCCTCCTTATTCCATTCCACTAAGCTCGGTAGCTCATTGGCCTTCCTCAATCACCATGGCCAAACCTGCCAAGAAGGGCTCTGCCGGCTCCTCCTCACGGCAGCACGCGCCCAGCGTATCCGACCCCCGCTTCAATCGTCTGCAGACGGACCCCCGTTTCCTCCGCCCCCAAAAGGAAGCCTCAAAGGTACTCGTCGACGACCGATTCCGCGGACTCCTCGATGGCAAGGATTTTGGTATCAATCAGGATGGAAAGAAAGGGAGAAATATTGATAGATTTGGAAGGAAGAAGGGAAAGGGGAGTAAGGAAGAGGAGGAGATGAAGAGGCTTTACAGGCTTGAGGAGAAGCGGAGCGCTCAAGACGCCGAGGAGAGTGGAGAGGAGGATGAGGAAGACGACGAGGAAGAGGAAGAATCCGAGGGCGATGAAGGATTCGTGGACTATGCTAGAGGAGCAGCAGACCTCGAATCTTCCAGCGACGAGGATTCCTCCGAGGACGATGAAGACGAAGACGAGTCGAGCGAAGAGGAAGACGATGTTGCCATTGGCTCCTCGAATCTGCTGCGAAAGGAGCGCAGAAGGCAAAGAGCTCGAGGCTCATCGGCTTCCGACAGCGATTCAGAACAGGATGAAGACGATGAAAGCGTCTCTTCCGTCGATCCCAAGATTCTCGCTCAATTGGACGCCGAAGCAGCGGCAGCTATTCGCCAAGGCGAGGCAGAAGGCTCTTCGGACGAAGAAGGGGCCGCTGCTTCATCCAGCAAAGCATCCAAGAGGGAGCGCCGCAAGAAGAGGGAGGAGAAGGTGCCGCTCGGAGGGGAGACCCGCCGGCTGGCCATTGTCAATCTCGATTGGGATCACGTGAGGTCCCTCGATCTCTACAAGATCTTCTCTTCCTTGGTCTCGCCCCTTGCCACACGCCTCCCAGGTACGACAAGTGCCTTGGATGCTGAAGACGGTAGCGGCAAGTTGAGGCGCAACCAGGCTTCAATCCAAGTCAGGGGCACTGTGGAGCAAGTGCGAGTATACCCTTCTGAGTTTGGTCAGGAGAGGATGAAGAAGGAGGACATCGAGGGTCCTCCAAAGGACATCTTCAAGAGCGGACAAGATGCTGCAGAGTCGTCTAGCAAGTCAAAAAAGAAACGCAGCAGCAAGGGCAAAGGCAAGAGACGCGACGCAGATGAGGACAGTGACGACAGCGATGTGGTGTTCGAGGTCGATGATGGAGGAGAATTCGACGAGGAGGCTCTTCGCAAGTACCAGCTGGACCGACTGCGATACTACTATGCCGTCGCCACATTCGACTCAGCTGCTGCCGCTCGTCACGTCTACGACGAGGTAGATGGAACCGAGATGGAGCGGACGGCCAACGTCTTCGACTTGCGCTTCGTACCCGATGGTATGGAATTCCCGAGTCATCCGATCAGCGAAGGCGATGATGGCTGGAGGGACGAGGCTAAGCCTGGCATCGACGACAATGTCACTTACAAGGGTGTAGATTGGGCAACGGATGCGCTGCGTCACTCCAAAGTCAGGCTGACCTGGGATGCTCCGGATCCTGAGAGGCAGAAAATCATCAGACGGGCCATGACCAAGGATGACCTGAGAGACGATGACTTCAAGGCATACCTCGCCTCTGACACTGAAGATGACGACGATGAAGATGCGGCTGCACAAGGCAATGGCAAAGCAGCAGCAGGGCGAGATCGCTTCCGAGCTCTGCTCGGCATGGACGATGGTGCTGGCGCGACTGCCTTTTCAAAGAAGAAGCACGCCTCTGCTTTTCAGGATGGACGCGGATCAGACGATGAGGGGGCCGCTCAAGGAGACATGGAGATTACCTTCCTCCCGGGTCTATCGGAAGCTGCTGCTCGCAAGGCCAAGGGCAATGTCAATAAGGAGGATGGCGAGGAGACTACGCTGGAGAAGTATCTCAGGAAGCAGAGGGAGAAGAAGGAGAGGAGAAAGGCAGCCCGGGAAGGCGAAGGAGAGGAGGAAGAAGAAGCTACTCTCAGCAAGCCCAAGGAGAGCGATCTGGGCTTCGATGACCCCTTCTTTGCCAGTGGCGGCGAGGAGGAGGACGTGGATCTGGACGAAGCTCTTGCGCAAGAGAACAGAAAATCCTCTTCTAAAGCAGACAAGAAGAAGCCATCGAAGAAGTCAAAGGAGGCCAGGGATGACACCACGGCAAGGGCCGATGAGCTTGCCTTGCTCGTCGACTCGGAAGAGGCTGATGGTGGTCGCAACCACTTCGACATGAAAGACATTCTCAAGTCCGAGTCCAAGTCGGGCAAGAAGCTGAACAGATGGGAGCGCAAGAAGGCCAAGAAGGCTGGCCTCGATGCAGTCGCCGGATCAGGCCCTGCTGCTGCTGCTCGAGTGGGTGCAGCTCAAGATGGGTTCAAGCTGGACGTGAATGACGCTCGATTCGGCGATTTGATGTCGAATCATGAGTACGCTCTCGATCCTACACACCCGAGCTTCATGAAGACGGACAATATGAAGAAGCTCATGGAGGAGAGAAGAAAGCGCTCTGCCCGTGAGGGGGGTGAAGACGGAGAGGCGCAACTTGGAGGAGGTGGAGGAGGCAAGAAGAGAAAAGGCAATGAATCCCAGGGAGGAGGAGGAGATGCTTCTGAGCTGCTGCGCAACCTGAAAAAGAGGCAGAATGGTCAGATGGGCAAAGCCAAAAAGGGCACCAAGTAGAGTTGCCCTGATGTGTGACTCACCATAATCTCAAATGTACTTGTGCCATTCTATTTGCGGATCTCTGCGCCCAGACCAGACCAGACCAGACCAGACCAAGAGGCCCGTGCAGTGCAGCCATCGGAATGGAATGACTCGCAGATCTTCGTAAAGGTGACTCGGGACGAGACTTGACTCTGCTTCCTTCTTATTTCCTCAATCCTCCTCCCTCTTCTTCATCGGTACCAACCCCTCTTTTCATCCTTTAGCATGTCCACCTCTCCAAGGGCTCGCGGCTTCGTGCAAAATGACGTCTTCTCCTCCGTCCCTCTACTGGGCAATCCCGTAGCAGTCGTCCTAGACGGACGCGGCCTCTCCACAGAAACAATGGCTCTCTTTGCTCGATGGACAAACCTGTCAGAGACTACCTTCATCCTTCCTCCTAGCGAAGAGGTGAAAGCTGGAGGAAAGGCAGACTATCGTCTTCGAATCTTGACCCCATTTGGAGAATTGCCCTTTGCGGGGCATCCTACGCTGGGGAGTTGTCAGGCCTGGTTGGATCACATTTCCTCTTCTTCACAGGGTCAGCTCTTCGCCAGTGGTCAGTCGGACATTATTACGCAAGAGTGCGGTGTAGGCTTGGTCAAGATCAAGCGAGATGGTGCGACGGGGAGATTGGCGTTGGCCGCCCCTGGTTTTACCAAGTACCAGCCTGGTACAGAGGAGGAAATCAGGACGGTTTGTCAGGCCATGGGCATTGAGAGGGGAGATGTCCTGAAGGCGCAATGGATTTGTAATGGCCCTCGATGGTGAGTCGAGTCCAGTCGCATTCGAGCGGTGCAAAGCAGTGCAGTGCAGAGCAGCAGGGCTCACCTTTATCCTCTTCGATCCTTTCCCTTTTCCCCTCCAGGTTCGGTCTCCTACTACGCTCCGCACAAGCAGTGCTGAATGCCTCTCTCCAATCTGGCGGTACAGACCTCCTCGCCGAGGGAGGTGTGCCCTTCATCGGTCTCACAGGACCATACCGTCCTGCCGCTGCACTTTTGCAGTCCGCCGGCCTCCTGGATGAAGCCGCCGTTGCGACCTTGACAGAGGAAGTCGAAAAGGACGGGACGCCTTCAGCCTCCTTGCCCAGTGCCAGTCCCACTGAGGGCGCAGCACAAGGAGAGGCGACACCCCTCGCGAGCTGGGAGGTGCGCGCCATCTTCGAAGGGATCGAAGACCCGGTCACTGGCTCACTCAATGCTGGCTTTGCCCGCTGGCTTGTCCAGGACGAGGGACTTGCGCAACGAAACTATGTTGCTTCGCAGGGAAAGTGTATGGACCGAAGGGGCAGAGTGTACGTAAATGCTGATGGCGATGCGGCAAGTGGGAGTGAAAAGGGAGAGATCTGGATCGGTGGAGACACGAGTGAAGTTATCCGGGGCGAGGTGCGGCTTTGAGGATAAGAATACAGGTCAAACTGGATCGGAATATCTACGAATCTAGCAATGATACCATCACGTTCTAGCTCAGCTGCACGATATCAAGTGCGTTCGCTCTCCCTCTATTGCACCTAACCCCTCGCCGTCCGGTCTCTAAGCATCCTTGACCCTTGCCTTTCCCTCTCCCTCACTCGCCACCCTCTTCATCAACCCCTCTCTCCGCTTCTCTCGAGCCTCGATGGCCAGTCCAACAAAGACAAGACCGACGCCGGACCATTGGTAAGGTGTGAGGTGGTGGGAATAGACGATTAGGGATAGGAGCATGGTAAAGAGTTTGCGGGTGACCTGGGGAGTAAGAAACCGAGAGCGAGAGAATATTAGCGTGTTTCTTGCAAATTTTCGTGCTGCTGCCGGTCGCTGGTGACTTACTGTAATGCTAACGAGAGTAAGACTGCCAAAGCGCTGTAGCGTTTCGAAGATGGCCACTTGTCCAATTGCTCCTGCCATGGCATACCCCAGCAGATCCCTCACCACCTCTGGATGTCTTCCAATAAATGCCATTGCCGTCTGTAGCTCTGAACTCCCACCTTTACTACCCAGCGCTGCCCCAATCAGAGGGATGGAGTGGAGTGGTAGGAGGAGGGAGGCGCCCACGAGGAGCGAGGAGAGGGCATTCATCACGAGCATCATCTGTGGTCCGCTGACCGTATACCGATGGAACACCTCATCCTGCGTTGAATTTGTAGCTCCATCCAACAAAAGGTTCAGCGCTAGCAGCCCAACGCCAACGAGACTGTCCCCCTTCCCAGGACCCTTGGCAGAGCGCTTCTTCTCACTCTCGGCATTGAAGAGCATGAAGATGGAGATGCCGATCGTTACTAGTGTCACCACGCCGTACTTGTACGCTGGAAACTTGCGTCTGTATAGTAGCACATTCATGATTAGCACTGGTACCAATTTGCAGGATTTGGCTAAGGTGAGTGTCGGGTAGGAGATCCCGTGTGCGAGGGAGTGCAGACCAAGTTGTGAGGAAGTGGACTGCAGAGTAGCGATGAGGAGGTAGCGTAGCAGGAGTGGTGAGACTAGCGACGAGACATTGTCAGGGATTGGGAGAGCATGACCATTCTGCTGCTTGGTCTGGCTGCGGGTCACTGCTGGAGTAGGCTTGGCTAGCCGTTCTGCACCCCTCGAGGAGAGGGCGCCCAGTCCCAACCTGTCCAGAAGTGGCCTCTGATCGCTCTTCGACCGATTGAGCGTTAGGTATACCGCAGCTACTAGTGTGGAAAAGGTGGCTTGTAGCCAGTTGAGCAGCAGTGGAGACCGGAAATACTCTGCTTGCTGTTTTTTGCCTCCCAGGGGCGACCAGGACGAAGGGTCGTGATGCGGGGTATATGGAGTAGTGGTGAGACGCTCTTGAAGGAGGGCCCAGAGGAGGAAGAAGACGTAGATTGATCCGGCGCAGAGGCCCAGAGAGGCGAGAGTCATACTCAGAATGGGACGTGAGAGGAGCCTCAGAAGACAAGGTAGATGGGAAACGATGTCAGTACGATGGACCTGCTAGTAAGGAGCTCGTTGTGCATACGTGTGTGCGTGTTGCTTCTTCTCCTTCCGTCGTGCGTCAGGACTCCGACCCAACACTTCCGCGGAAATGCCACGCGACACACAACAGAGGCCAAACACAGACAGACAGACACAAGCAGGCGGGAAGGATGTAAAGACGGTCTAGTCCAGAATGAATTCAACGTTAGGGTATGACTATGCGCGATGGAGGAAGACAAGGGCACCCAGGATACTCGCCCTCACTTGCTTGTCGAGGCTGCAAAGGCTTCGTTGAGGACCGCGAACACTGCCGAGCCAATCAGTCGATGCTCTAGCGCTGTACTTTGCGGTGTCAGCTGTCAGAGAGAGAGAAGAACAAGAAGAGAGGACTGTCAGTAATCTTACGACCTCGTTGATCTCATGCGTATTGCTCGTCCGTACAACTCACCTTGTCGGGGTGCAACTTGATCATCGCCCGCGTATATGCCTTCTTGACTTGAGCATCGGTAATCACTTCGTGCATGCCCACCTTCTTCCAGCCAAGTGACTCCCACACTACATTTTCCAAGCTACTCAAAAGAGCCCTGATGTTTGTCTCCTTGCCAGCTTTCCAGGCATTGACCCTTGCATCAATCGAGTCCTTCAGCGAGTCCGCCGCCGCCTCTTCGGCAGCCTGAGCAGCATTCGCAGCTCGCACTCTATCACGACCTGCCTGCTCAGCTTTGCTCACAGCTGAGACTGCAGCGCTCTTGGCCGCTTGGCGAGAAGCCGTCGCCCTTCTGGCGCTAGCAGTCGATCCTGGACCGCCTCCAGCACCGCGATCACTACCCATCATTCCTCTGCACCTCTTGATACCGTCTTGGGCGCTCTTCATGTTCTTGAATCCGCTCGCTGCCCCGCTTCCTTGCTCCTTTTCGTACCTCTCGAGCAGTGTCCAGTCCTTCAGAGCTGGGATCCACTTCTCCAGCATCTCGCCAGCTTGTGCTCGCCTGAGCAAAGCCTTCGAGTAGGCATCTCGTAGGTTCACCTCCCCACTCAAAGGGGCAGGCAGCGCTTCGAGATTGGAGGGCTCGAACATCGCTTCACCTCCTGAGCATATCAGCTGGAGAACAGCGCCAGCATCTCGGCTGGCAGCTGGAGCATCGCCGTTCTTGAGCCGAGCATTGGAACGATTGTTGAGAAGAGGAATTCTGCGCAGTGATTGCTCGCTGAGACGCTCAATGGCGGCAGAGTAAGCCGCCTCTGCCTCACCATATGCTCCCTGCTTGAAAGCATCGTTGCCTCTCGTCTTCAGTGACGCGGCAGTGGCATCCATAGGTGAAGTATCATCCGGGCAGAGTGATCGGGCAATCTTGTTAATCACGGGAGTCTCGCGGACACTCCTTGCGGCAGGCTGAGGGGCTGTGCTTGAGCTTGGACCAGAACGTGAACTGGCCGCCCAGCGGGCAGAAGAGAGGTAAGCCTTGGGCCCCGCTTCTTCTTTGGCCGCGGCAGTTGAGGCTTTGAAACGAGCTGAGGGCGGAGCATCGTCCCAGAGATTGCTTTGCTGAGCGACTGGCTCTGCTCGCGCAGCCGGCTCGCCAGGGTCCTTTCGACGATTCGTCGAAGGAACGAAAGAAGGGGCGACCTCGTCCTCATTATCAGAGTCCTTGAAAACTTCGCCTCCACTGCTAGGCGGAGCCACTTCCTGGCTGGTGTCTCCTGACTTGGCCTCATTCTCTGCCATCTCTGCCTCCACCATCCATCTAGGTTTGCCTTCCCACTCCTTGCGCTCTGATGGCTTAGGTGAGTTTGCACCCCATCTTCTAGCCCAAGCTTTGGCAGCTGCCACTCCGCCGTCGATGGCAGGACTGGCTCGTCCGCTTCCTGCAGCCTCCGCAACATTGCTAGGAGTCGCTCTGCCAGAAGAGTTGGCCCCAGATCCCAGCTGCCGTTCTTCGAGGCTCTTTTGTGCTTGAGCTTTTGCAGACGACCAGAATGCGTTGGCTTTTGTGAAGACCGTGGCACCCAATTCTGAAGCTTGGGAGTAAATCTGATCGGCTTGCTTCTGCCAGCCGAAGTCTTCCTCTCCTGCACCAGCGGCGCCATTGCGAGGCGAGCGTCTTCCAGCGGGGGACGATGAAGCAGGAACAGCTAGACCGTCGTCTCTGCGGGGAGCTGCTCTGGTCTGTTTGCCTCTACGAGCGGCTCGGCGCTGCCTTTCTCTCTCCTCATACTCTTCCATCTCCATGTCTCTGCCGTCTTCACCCTGTAATTGCTGTGCCATGCGGCGATCCTCGTCCTCTTGTGTTCTGCTCCCTTGTCGTCCCCCATTCAGGAGGGATTCGAGAGCAGCCTCAACATCTAGGCCTGTGGTCGTTTGCGCGAGGGCCTTCCGAGCTTCCAAGGGTGAGAAACCCATCTCTACGATCTGACCTAGAAGATGAGGCGGCGGCGAAGGTGGGCGGGGGCTAGCAGCAGGGGCAGCGCGCTGAACTGACGCTCGCGGACGTTCGTTGTGAGTTGTACGTGTCGGTTTCTGTTGGACAGGCTTGCCAAGTACGCCAAGAAAGTCGTCGTCGCTCTCATCGTCGATGGTCGAATGCACAGCAGGAGGCGCAGGGGAAGAGGCGCCTCCGAGTGCACTGCTCTGGCCTTCGCCGGGATCTTCATCAAAGGAGAAGTCGAAGGGATCCTTCGGCGTCTGTCGGCGAGGCTGCTGCTGGAACGCGAGCTTCTGTGTACCACCCACTGGTCTTGAAGACTCTGGTGCTGAAATGAAAGCGTCTAGGGCGTCGAAGGGGTCGACTGCTGGCTTGCTGAGGGTTGCGCTGGTCTGCTTCGGCGGCTGAGCTTGAGAGGCGGACTGGCCTAGAGATTCCCAGTCTGCGTGAGATGACCATGCATCGCTGGTCTTGTTATTCAAGCTACCTGGACCAACTTGCGACGCTTTTTGTCTGTCTGCCATCGACGCATTCGCATTCGAAGCGGAGGAAGGTGTGCCGAAAGAGGACAGGAGAGAGGAGAAGGCATCGTCGGCCGCGCTGGTTACAGGAAGTGGCTTTGTTGTAGCTGGGACAGCTGCTCTCGGTATTGTTGGCGAAGGTGCGGCAGAGGCCGAAGGGAGAGATCTGGTGAGTGCATCAAAGTTGTACGACGAGTATTGCTTCGACGCTGCTGCTGTGGGTGCAACATGCGCCTGAGGACGAGACGAGGCTGCTTGTTTGCCCGAAGAGGCAGACGAAGCAGAGGAGTCTTTCTGCCAGTCGAGGTCGAAGAGATCGTCCATAGCGGTGTAGCAGAGGACTCTCGGAGACCACGACGACTGTAGACGGTGTACTGGTGATGTGGTGTGACCAGGTCGCTAGAAGGAAGAACAAGGAGCCGAAGCACGAGGGAGCAGAGTCCAACACCTGCGAAGCCTCGGAGCTGGCACGGCCCGACACGGAAGTGGGGGCCGGGGGGAGGTGTGCGCCAAGCGCCAGGGCCTGTGTTCACACTACCGCCGGTACCCTAGTGCTATTTGCCATGCTCCACACACACAGAAGCATCCTCACTCCTAGACACATACACCTTGCCGTACCCCTACTATCCTAGGACCCTTGATCATGACATTCCGCGCCTTGATGTCTCACCTTTGAGATATCACTAGCCGCAACGGAAACGGCAGCTAAGGGGCCCATCCTCTCTGTGCCAAGACCGGTCACTATAAGAATCCTCTTTCGAGGTCATCAGAAACTTGGCCTCGACCATACTACCATAACCAATCATGGTGGGCTCACACGGCCTTGGGAGCCCAGGTTCAGCCTCTGTCATGGAAGGTCTAAGCCTTTCCGCTACTCCGGCTTACATCCGCGGCCCGGCCTATCTCAAGCTGCCGTTGCTCACACTTGGCTCGTTGGGAACGCAGATTGTCTGGAGCGTGGAGATGGCTTATGGAACGTGAGTGAAGAGGAGGGCAAGCGCAGTACCTGGCGCTTCAGGCTTTATGCGAGACCTAGCTAATGAATCTGATCTGCGCTGCTTTAGACCATATCTCCTCGAGCTCGGTCTCAGCAAAGCTGCAATGGCAGCTGTGTACACCGCAGGACCCATATCTGGTCTGGTGGTGCAACCACTGATTGGGGTCCTCGCAGACAGGTCAACTCACCGTTGGGGAAGGCGTCGGCCCTATCTTCTGGCTTCGTGTCTAAGCTGTTCGGCATTTGTCCTGCTCCTAGGCTATGCACGGGTCCTCGCTGAACTCTTTGGATTACCATCCGCGGTTCTCCTGCTTACTGTGATAGCCATCTGGGGTCTCGATTTCTCAGTCAATGCCGTCATGGCTCTCAATCGGGCTCTGATCTTCGACATGCTACCCGCCGAGCAGCAAGCAGATGGGAACGCATGGCTGGCTAGACTATGCGGCATCGGCTCGATCCTGGGCTTCTTTGTGGGGGACATAGACTTGCCCAACTCATTTCCCTTTGCGTGGCTGCCATCCTTGGGCTCTTCGAAGGGCATGACTGCTAGCGAACCTCAAGTCCGCTGTCTCAGTCTGCTCACCGTCACCTTCATCCTGTGCACCCATGCCGTTGTAGCATGGGCTGCCGTCGAACAAAGGCTCGAGCCAGTACCCGGGTACCGCAATCGCGGCTCTCCTGCCTCTCAAGCTGCAGAGCTCAATCCACTGCGAGTACTGAGCCGGACATGGAGAGACTTTGCGCAGACCGCGATGACACTGTCCACGCCGATCAAAGAGGTTCTGCGCATCCAGACGTTGTCGTGGCTCTGTTGGTTCCCCCTGATGTTCTACACGACTGAGTGGGTCAGCAGTGTCGCCGTCAGTGGTTATCTCGCGGATCTTGCGAGTAACGGTAGCAACCAGCAGCCTGACATGAAGAAGCTCAAAGCCCGTGGTACACGAGCTGGCTCCCACGCCCTGTTCCTTCAAGCTCTCGTGTCGTTCACTTGCTCCTTGCTGCTGCCCCAGCTGCTTCCCACGCCCGACAGTGAGCCCTCCAAGGCTTCGGGCCTACCGCGCCGCGCACGTCGGTCGTCGTCGTCATCGTCATCGTCGTCTTTCGAAAGTCGGTCGCGAGTTTCACGATGGCTCCCGGCGTTTGCCCAAAACTTTAGCGGTGTGAGGCTGACAAGCCTGTGGACGTTGGCTCACTTTTCGGTAGCGCTCGTCACCTGGCTCACATGGCCTGTCGCGTCATCCAAGAGCATCGGAGCTGCAACGATACTCATCGCCATGGCTGGCTACTCCTGGTCTGTCACTAGCTGGGGACCCTACTCTCTTCTAGGTATACTCATACAGAGCGGTCTCGCTGACACCCAAAATGGAGCTGCTGGAGCTTATCAATCCGTACCAATGAGTGACGGTTTGAGCAACGGGACAGAGGATGACTCAAGGGAGGCAGAAGAGTTGGCATCCAGAAGGCAAGAGGCAGTAGACGAGGACGAGGAAGCCATCCTCTCTTTCGACCCCTCTCGTCCACCTGATGACTTGATCACTGCGTCTGGTGAGGCGGCTGGATCGCATCAAGCAGGTACTATCTTGGGTATCCACAATACTGCCATTGTCATCCCACAGCTCTTCGTCTCGCTCCTGGCTTCGGTCATTTTTGCATTCTACGACAATCGTGGTAGCTCTACCACAGACCAGCCAGGCAGCGCGCCTGCTGCCGCTCCGGCCACGAGTTCGAGCCAAGGGGACACGATCGGTCTAGTCTTTCGGCTCGGAGGCATCGCATCTATCGCAGCGGGCTTCTACACGATCAGGCTTGCCAGACAGTGGGGAGACGTCATTGCCGGTGCAACTGCCGGTGAAGGTGCTAGCAGTGAAAGTGGGAGCAGGAGAGGCGGAGGGCGGAGGCTGTCTGCTCAGTCTGCGTGATCTTCGGAGCCAGCGCAAGAGACTTGGAGATGTCACGTCTGTCATTGTTTCCTATTGTCATGTGTGTAGAGTTTGCGTTAATTTCATGGTAGCGACGGCACCCCTGTCCGATCGTAGGCCTGACAGCTGCAGTGACCGCACCTCTGCGTCTACCCCTTTGTTGCGGCTTCGGGCGCCCAAGAGGGCGTTCGGACCTCTTTGACAAGAGACCGACCGAAGGGAAGAGCGACCAAAGGGGCTTCTGGAAGCCAGTCAATGATGTTGATAAAGTCTCGCAAAGCTTCTATTCTCATTGGTTCGTTCCCTCCTATCGCATTGCCGCCTATACCTAAAGTTACGCTCGTCAGACATCGATTGTTCTTACGCAAAGTGAGTGAGGGAGGAGACAGTGAGAGACTACACCACGTGAGGAAACTGCAATCGCATCAAGCCACCGATGACAGCCCATCTCATGAGCCTAGTGGACGATAGAGCATCACTGCTACAGATTGCCTGCTCGAAGGGCGATCTGCTATCGTCTGTCTCGGCCGTACCACTGCGATCCGGAGTTGCTCTGGCGAAAGCGGAGGCGCACAGCCACAAGTCGGCGGGCGACGGAACAGGGGGAGAAGCAGCCACGCCATGCGGACAGGCAAGGAGCAACCTTTGGGTTGGCTGGCTTTCGCGCTGGCACCGCGCGGTCGACGTGCCTCGTCCGCCCGCCCGCCCGCCTGCCCGCCCGCCACGCCCCTGGCTTCCTGCCGGCGTGCTCGCCCGCCTCACGCCCCGTCCGCCTGGCTGCCTGTCGCCCCTCGCCCCCCCTCGCCCACCTTATCCTACTCATCACACACACACCTTCCCCCCCCCTGAAAAACACACACCACCATCTCCAGCTCACCCGCAAACCGCTCGAGTCTCACCGCTTAGCACACATACCCAAGTCTTTCCTCAGCGCACACGACTGTCCCTCCTCTTCGATTCACACCACCTTTGCTCCCTTCGAAAATGACCGACGACCAGAGAAGCAGCGCCGTTTACCTGGTGAGTGTGGGAAGATGGCAACAGCAACCTATCACGCGTTTTCCATCGCGAGGCGATCATCATCACCATACTGACATCTTTGACCTTTTCATCTCGCCTTTCCCTCGTCTTCTGTCCTTCAGGCCAAGCTCGCTGAGCAGGCCGAGCGATACGAGGGTGAGTGTTGACGAAAGGAAGTGCCTTCTCGCCGTGTTGGACTATTGCTAGCAAGGCACGTCAGCACGTTGGAAGCATACAGTGCAGAAGACGCACTAGTGGCCTTCACTGGCCTCAATGAAGTTGCAGAGAGCAGCGATGAAAGGCTAGGCGTTGGAACACATCTGGCTGGACCGAGTGTGTGGTGAATCTAAAGAGTCCGGACACGCGACCCCAACCATTCATCCAACGGAGGGTGCATTGGAGAAGCGATAGCAAGCTGAAGAGCTCAGCAGCTTCCTGAACTGCTTCGATCGTCATGCATCGTCCACGATTGGTGGAGCACCCCTGACTGACGTGTATCTCTCCTCCTCCACCCTTCTCTTAGAAATGGTCGAGAACATGAAGAAGGTCGCCTCTTCGGACCAGGAACTCACTGTTGAGGAGCGAAACCTCCTCTCCGTCGCTTACAAGAACGTCATTGGTGCCCGACGTGCTTCTTGGCGAATCGTCTCCTCCATCGAGCAGAAGGAGGAGTCAAAGGGCAACGAGTCCCAGGTCACCATGATCAAGAGCTACCGTGAGAAGATCGAGGCCGAGCTTGCTCAGATCTGTGAGGACATCCTCGAGGTTCTCGACAAGCACCTCATCCCCTCTGCTGCATCGGGTGAGAGCAGGGTGTTCTACCACAAGATGTGAGTCTGCAGAGAAAGTGTAGCGAGTAGTGTGCGGCTGGCGAGATGCTTTGCCTTGCAGGTACAGTGGGGCGACGCTTTCGAGTGTGTACTGACCGCACTCCCTCATTTTTGCTCACCTTCACAGGAAGGGAGACTACCACCGATACCTCGCCGAGTTCGCCACTGGCCACAAGCGCAAGGACTCTGCTGACAAGTCTCTCGAGGCTTACAAGGCTGCCTCGGATGTGGCTGTGACTGAGCTGCCCCCTACCCACCCCATCCGCCTGGGTCTGGCCCTGAACTTCTCCGTCTTCTACTACGAGATCCTCAACTCGCCCGACCGTGCTTGCCACCTGGCAAAGCAGGCCTTCGATGACGCCATTGCCGAGCTCGACACCCTCAGCGAGGAGTCGTACAAGGACTCGACTTTGATCATGCAATTGCTGCGTGACAACCTGACTCTCTGGACCTCTGACATGCAGGAGTCTGAGAGCAAGCCCTCTGAGCCCGCTGGCACCGACGCCCCAGCTCCCGAGTCCAAGGGCGAGGAGGCTGCTTAGATGTCCTCGGCTCGAACGTGAGGCTTGTAGGAGAAAGTGGGGACAGGGCGAGCTCTAGACGGGCGGTGGCGGTGGAGGAGAGGAGAGACGCGAGAAAGAGAGGTGTTCGCAAGAGCAAGATGTCAGAGGCAGTGTCGACGTTGTTCGTATTTCTTGGGTCGAGTCGAATCAAGATCTTCAGTCGTACCTCCACGTGATAGAAGGCGGAGACGCGATTCCTGAGGCGGTGAAGGACGAGGGCAAGCTAGGAGTGGTCGAAGCCCGTCAAGTCTTGGCTCGTCTATCGAACCTTCAAGATTTGCTGAGCATCTGGACTTCGTCAAAGTCAACTTGCGGGCTGTCTCCTATCTCCTCGCTGTCACCCCCCTTTCTGGCTTCCCTCTGCCCCAAACCGACTTTCTGCTTCTGAGTGAGAAGGCGCACAAGCCCCATGGCTTTGTCCCTTCTCGTCGCTTCTCTTTCTTTCTCTCTCTTTGCCTCTCGATCTCACCGCCCCCTGTGCTACCCCAACCTACTCAGATCCTCAATCCTCTTCCCTTTATTCTGTTCTTTTCCGCCCCCTTTGTCTCTTTTCCCCATTTACGTCTTACCGCGAGAAGTCAAACATACGATTTACCAAAGTCTTGCGTGGACTAGAGCAAAGTGAGAGGGTGAGCGCGAGCGAGAGTGCAATGAGAAGGGGAAGTTGGTCACAGGACAGATTGCCTTGATCGATCGACCAAGGGTTCCGATGACAGAAGCCTCGGAGAAAAGCGTCCAAGAGCAGCGACGGAGATGACAGGAGCGCACGCATAAGCTCACCTTTACGCTTCGGAAAAGCACTGACGATGCTTCTAGAGCGCATATCCGATTGAGGGCGAGCTCGGCTAAGTACCATGTGGTAGGTGATGGATAGCATTAGGCTCGCAGCTGGACGGTCTCTTCTCTTCACTTTCTGCCTTTACCAAAGAAGCATCACCCCTTTGCTTCATGGCAACGAGCCGCAATCCTCGGCTGAGCATCCTCTCGCCTCACGTATCGCGTGTGTGTGTGTGTGCCTGATCGACTCGCGCCTCCGGAGGTGGACTGTCGAAGGAGACAGGCACAGGCCAGGCGAGGCCAGACCTGACAGAGCGTCCACTCTACCGCGCGCGCATTGCCCCTGCGTCGCTTCGCCTGCTCCAGTCCCGGCAGGCGAGTCTGTGCAGTGCCGAGGGAAGCACAAGACGACGAGGGATGTCGTCTGCCACGGACCTCGCCTCGCCTGGCACGCCCAAGGCGAGTTGAGCCCCCGCCTGCCTCTGGCCCCTCCCCCGTTCCCCGTTCCCCAGGATCCAGATCTCTCCTTCCTCCTACTCGATCTATACTATCATATTCTCGTAAACGCTATCCAGGCCCCGTCTTGCTCTAGGTAGTTGAGGTAGTCTGATTTACTAGTGCTGGCTTAAGGTGAGTCAGGCAGGACCATCCGACAGGGCGCCTGTGGGAAGCAGTACTCGGCCAGAGAGCAAGGAGGCCTGACTCAACTTCTTCCCGGATTCATCCCTCCCGGCCTCATTGCTGCGTTGCCTTGTTCGTCTCAGTAAAAACGTAGTGTACAAGAACAACCCGAGCAGTATGTCGTTCAACCGAAGGAGAGCTTGCTTTGTCTGTGGTAGGCTGGGACATCTGGCAGATGCCTGCTCTGCTCCCAGCCGTCTCTGCTTCCAGTGGTACGTATCGCTTCGCAAAAATCGGTTGCAGAAGGGATCAGGAGGTTGCAGAAACTACACGGCGCTGACAGGCTGCAGCTCTACCCATTGCTTTGCGCATATATCACAGTGGAGAGCCAGGTCACGAGTCTTCTGCGTGCGAGTCTCCACGAACGGATGACCACAAGCAATGGTGAGCTGTTATGATAAGAGGCATTGGTATCGACTTCGGCTGGCCTCTGAAAACTAACCTCCTTGCATCTCTTCCTCTCGCAGCTACGGATGCGGTGGCGTCGGACACATCAAGAGTGCTTGCCCTAGCGGCCCCAAGCCTCGGGCTCCCGGTGTTGGTGCCGGTCCCGGAGCTGGCCCTGGAGCTGCCTCTGGCTGCTTCACCTGTGGTGAGTTGTAGTGATAAGGGTCGCTTCCCCTTGTGACATTGTTGCTGACGGCCCTCGCTTTGTCTCATCTTTGCTACTCAGGTGGACCTCACTTGGCCAAGCAATGCCCTCAGACCAACGGTGGTGTGATCCGACCATTCCCAGGCCGAGGAGCTCCAGGAGCTGGTGGACCCGGTGTTCGCTGCCACAACTGTGGAGGACCCAACCACTTTGCCCGGGACTGCAAGTCGGCCCCCATGGCCGGCCGAGGCCCTGTTGCAACCCGCCCTCCCAAGAAGTGCTACAACTGCCAGGGCGAGGGACACCTTGCTCGCTTCTGCCCCACTGGTCAGGGAGCTGCTACAGCAAGTGCCACTGAGGGCAGCGCCCCCGCTGTTGCCGAGACTGCTGCTTAAAGCCGACGTCTCCAAGGGCCAGCCAAGGACGATGAGAGAAGGAGAGATGTGCGGCAAAATTCATCTCGTGGCAATGGCGGCAGAAAGGTCGTAAGAAGCTGGAGTCGTTGACTTGCAGTCGTTAGCTTGCAAGGGTTGCTGCTTCATCTATTCCTACTTATTTACTACCAGCCACGAATGACCCTCATGTATCTGATTACCTCTTAATGCCGCACAATGAGGTTGACCATCCACACCGTCGCCCAAAGTAGTGTGTGTGTGCATGTCAAGAACCCTTAGGAATGTCTGGATGGACTCCGTCACAGTGCCGTCTCTGAGCTCTTCCATAGGTCTGCCCTGCGTCGCGAGTCCAAAGGCAGCTGGGCGCGGAAGCACAAAGGGACGACGGACAGGGACGTGCGCCGGGCCTCAAGCTGGCGGCAGTGGCCTTCTCTCTTTCCTGTGGCTGCCTACTCTCCCTTTAGCCCTCCTCTTCGTTCTTGTGTCGTGTCCGCATACCTCCCTGAACTCGACCTCGAATTGATCACAAGGGATTCCCAAATCATTCACTGAAGGGCTCCCATAGATCATAAGTGCTCTGCCGGCAGAGGTGGTCCCAGGCTCCACGCGCTCAGCTAGCCCCTTACCTCCACCCACCCTTTCCCCCACGAGCAAGGCCAAGACCCCTCCCATTTGCTCACCGCCATCATCTCTCGCGCCTCGCAAGGTCCTAGGTCAACATGGCAAGCACTAATCGCTTCATGATGCGCGGCTTGACGCAGTACATTGCCGACCTGAGGGCATGTAGGGTGCGGGAGCTAGAGGAGAAGAGGATCAACAAGGAGATGGCGCATATAAGACAGAAGTTCAAGGAGGGAAATTTGGATGGCTATTCGAGGAAAAAGTACCTCAGTAAGGTGAGAAGAGCCAAGAACTCCACGAGGTGAGGGGAGAAGGGCTGTCTTGCTGACTTAGCTTGCATTCACAGATCGTCTTCACGTACATTTTGGGCTATCCGGTGGACATCGGCCATATGGAGGCCGTGAATCTTATTTCTAGTACAAAATACTCGGAGAAGCAGATTGGATACCTCGCTCTCACTTTATTGATGCACGAGAATTCGGACTTGGTGCGGCTGGTGGTCAACTCCATTCGAAAGGATCTGGATGATCTGAATGAGGTCAATAATTGTCTGGCGTTGCATGCCATTGCGAACATTGGAGGGACAGAGATGGCGGAGGCTCTCGGACCTGATGTACACAGGCTACTCATATCACCGTGAGTACTGTGGCCTACATTTACAGAAGAACCGAACCCTGGCGCTCAGTCCTGCTGACGCTCTTCCGCTGGTCACCTCGTAGCACATCTCGCTCGTTTGTGAAGAAGAAGGCTGCGCTCACTCTGCTACGACTGTATCGAAAGAACCCCGAAGCCATTCCTGCGGAAGAGTGGGCACCTCGCATTGTGGCCATCCTTGACGACGAGGACCTTGGTGTGACCACGGCTGTGACCAGTCTGGTCATGTCCCTCACACAGGACTTTCCTGAAGCGTACAGTATTGCATATCCAAAGGCGGTAGATCGAATGGCTAGACTTGTCATCGAAGAGGACTTTTCCGAGGACTACGTCTACTACAAAGTCCCCAACCCTTGGCTTCAGGTCAAACTCCTACGTCTTCTACAGTACTGGCCTGCCACCGAGGAGCCGACGGTCAGGATGACCCTGGACAATGTGCTACAGACGATCTTGAAGCTGGCCTATACCTCTCCGAAGAATGTGCAGCACAACAATGCTCAGAACGCCATTCTCTTCGAGGCCATTAATCTTGCGATTCACCTCGATCCAGAGTCTAGTATCGTGACAAAGGCCTCGTCGCTGCTAGGCAGATTCATCTTGTCGCGGGAGACCAATGTGAGGTACCTTGGTCTAGACACTATGGCTCATTTGGCGGCGTGCGCTGAGTCTCTAGAGCCTATCAAGATCCACCAAGGCACAATCATCCTCTCCCTTCGCGACCGAGATATCAGTGTCCGGCGGCGAGGGCTTGACTTGCTGTACTCAATGTGCGATGTGAGCAACGCCAAGGCCATCGTAGGAGAGCTTCTGCGCTACCTCTCTACTGCAGACTATGCTCTTAGAGAAGAGCTTGTGCTCAAGATTGCCATTCTCACGGAGAAATTTGCGACCGAGTACAGCTGGTACGTCGACACTATCCTGCAGCTAGTAAGCTCTGCAGGAGACCACGTTGGAGAAGAGGTGTGGTTCAGGGTCATCCAGATCGTGACCAACAATGAAGACGTGCAAGAGTATGCTGCGACGAAGGTCTTCGAGCATCTGCAGTCTGCTTCTTGCCACGAAAACCTCATCAAGGTCGGGGGCTATGTTCTGGGAGAGTACGGGCATCTCATCGCGAACAACCCTGGAGCATCCCCCATCGAGCAGTTCCACGCATTGCATTCTCGCTCACACCTCTGCTCGCAGCCGACGAGAGCGCTTCTCCTTTCAACGTACGTCAAGTGGCTCAATCTCTTCCCGGAAATCCGTGAGCAGATCATGTACGTCCTCAATCGCTACACACACGTTCTGGATGCCGAGCTGCAGCAAAGAGCTTGCGAGTACGTCGCGCTGGCTAAGTTGCCAAGCGATGAGCTCCTTCAAGTGGTGTGCGACGAGATGCCACCCTTCCCAGAAAAGTCGTCTCTTCTCTTGAACAGATTACAGAAGAAGCATGGTGACACGGGCGACAAGCGCACTTGGATCATCGGAGGCAAGGAAGTCAATCGCAATCGTGACGATGTGCGGATGGAGTCGCTCAAGAAGGGACAGGTCAACGGAGGCGCTATGCCCACTGGCGGTCCGGCACATACAGTGATACCCTCTGAGCATGCTCCTGACTTGACAACGGCAGATGCAAACGGCACAGTCAACGGCACGAATGGCGCAATGAGCACTTCGATGGATAGACAAGATAGCAACGATTTACTCTCGGGACTCGAGGGTCTGGACCTGACTTCCTCTGCCGACACCGGAATGGGACCTACTGCGGAAGCAGCTGATGGTGGGAATAGCGCTGATCAAGCTTTGCTTGGTGGCAGCAGTAGTGCAGCAAAGTCCGGCTCGACATCCCCCATTGTCACGCGGGAAAGCTCATCGTCAGCTTTCATTGCGCCAGCCATGACTGGCGGCGGATCATCGTTCGGTGGACCGCCGCAATTCACGTCTGGCCATGAGAAGTCCTTCCATCGCATCTGCTACTCCAACGAGGGCGTGCTATTCGAGGATGCTCAACTGCAGATTGGTATCAAGTCCGAATTCCACGGCAAGCAGGGTCGTATCGCTCTTTACTTTGGTAACAAGATTTCCGTCGGCTTCAGCTCATTCAGTCTGCAAGTGCGGTCACAAGAACCAGAGGCATTGACCTGCTTCATGACAAAGATGCCCCCTTCCTCCCTCGGAGCCATGACACAGGTGCAACAAGTGCTGCAGCTAGAGTGTAAAGACTTCTTCACCTCTCCTCCCATCCTGCGGATCCAGTACCTGGCAGGCTCAATGCAAGACCTCACCCTACGTCTACCCGTAGTCGTGTCAAAGTTCATCGAGCCAGTCCAGCTAGGGTCCGTGGACTTCTTTGAGCGGTGGAAACAGATTGGTGGTCCGCCCCGCGAGGCCCAGAAGATCTTTGGCAACTTCAAGCTGACTAGCAGCGGGGCGGTGGATGTTGCTAGGAACAAGAAATTTATTGGAGGGATGCGACTGGGTGTGCTCGAAGGTATCGACCCGAATGCAAGCAACATTGTTGCGGCGGGTGTGCTGCATATGACTAGTGGGAAAGTGGGATGTCTGGTTCGGGTGGAGCCTAATGCTCAAGCCAAGGTGAGGAGAAGGTGGTGGGGCAGAAGAAGCGAGCCTCACAATGCCGGTACTGACAATGTCCTGTCTGCACCTTTTCTGCGTCAATTGCAGCTATGCCGAGCGACTATTCGCACTACCAACGACCTAGTCTCTGCGGAGCTGCTCAAGCTGATTGTGTCTGGTATGACTGGCGATGCCAATGTCCTACTGAACTCTGCCTGATGCGTCCACCTCGAGTAGATACCGTCTCGATGTCCACTTTCTGCGTCGTCGCCATTCTCAGGGGAAGGCGTGCCATCATCATACCAACTTTTCGACATCGTTCACCTTTGTTCTTGTGTCGCCCCAGCTGTGTGTGTGTGACGTGACGTTGTGAGTTCACCCGCGTCAGGGGTGCAAGCGCTCTCCTCGGGATGCAAGACACGGAGAGGTATAATTGTGATGAATTGCAATTGAGATTGGACATGCATCATCTCCTCCACCACCAGAGGAATACCTGACAGCCGAATGAGGGACAGATAAAGCAGGGGTGAGGGTAAGTAATCTGTGCTCGCCTCCGCTCTCGCACTCTTTGTGTGTGAATCTCTACTCACAAACAACCAACAAACAAAGAGCAAGAATCCCATCATGTTCCAAAACCATCCTCCTTGTCTCTTTGCCATTTTGTTCATCCTCTGAAATGTTCCCCCTAGAAAGGCGCTAGCCCCACTCATTGCCTCTCCGAGTGTTCCCAGCTCCTTTGTTCCCTCGCGTACCTCGTTTCCAATACCCAACGTGATGTCTTTGAGGATCTTGACACGGTCCGATAAGCCCTGCAGTCTCTCATCGTTTTGCTCTTCGAGCTGCTCCGCCTGTCGATCTGTTCCTCCCCACCATTTCGAAGAGGAGGAGGAAGAAGTAGGTGCAACAGGCGACTCGTCGAACTTCTTACGATCGTACTCTGACCAGTCTTCTTGTGGCAGTGAGGCGCCACCTCTTTGGTTTTGAGCCGAAGAGGAAGAAGAAGAGGCAAAAGGATGGCGGGAAGAGGCAGATCCTGCTGAAGTTGAAGTTGAGGCCGAAGTGGAAGCGTAGGGTTGCTCAAAGGGAGAGGCGGTCCTTCCTATTGAGGGAGCTTGTGGAGAGGCAGAATAGTTGCCATATCCGTACCCGGCTAGCATGGCGTTGCGATCGGAGACGCCGCCAGCGCCGTATCTCCGCGACATGTTGGGAGTTTCTCAAAGGAATGAGTCGATCCGCAGGAAGCGTAGGGCAAGGTTGGCAATGGAGGTGGACAGCGATGGTGGCCCCTTGTCCTTTGCTGCTTGGCTGGTAGGCTGTGACTTGCTTGCTTGCTCGTTTTGGCGGAGGGGCCACCCAAGCAGCTGAACGCGGGGAGAGCCTCCATGCTTCCGTTCCGATGCACCGCGCGCAGCCCCGCCCAGTCTGGAATGGCTCCAGCTCACCCACGCAACAAGGCGCAACCAACTCCACCCAAGAGACACGCATGGACTAGAAGCAGACACATACACAGCATACAACCACCTCGACTCACCACTCCTTTCCTTTTGTTACTCACCACCAACCACCCCTACAGCCATCATGTCCTTTGACTTTGGCTCTTCCAACAGCAACAGCAACGATCCCACTTCCGACTTTGTCTCCAAGTTCCCCGACCTGGACGGAGAGGGAGGCGATGCAGCCCTCACTGCTGCTGCCACTGGCACTGGCACTGCTGGCGGAATGAGCAGTACGGGCGGAGGTGCTCCTGGTGGATGGGGAGAGGAAGACGATATGGATCTTCTTGGTGGGGGAGCTTCTAGTGGAAGTGCACCCGTGGGGAATGAGAAGCCGAGGGATGAGAGGGAGGCATTTGAGAGTAGTTTCCCGGAGCTTGATGATCCGGATTTGAACGGAGGAGGAGGAAGCAGCGCGCCTATTGATGCTCAGCCCACTGTGAGTAGACTAGCTTGGAGAGTAAAGTGTGGACCATGACCTTCTGTCCACGTTCTGGGCGACGTGCGAGAAGCTGATCACTTGAGCAATACCGTTCCCTCACTAGGCCTACGCTCCACCCACTAGCACCAGCAACGGTTACATGGCTCCCCCTCCCACCGGAGGCGCCAGCAATACCCAAGTCTCCGGTCGTGGTCCCAGTCCATCCCACTTTGAAGCCTCGTCTACAAATCGCTTCACCAATCAATTCGACGATGAAGAAGAACCCGAACCTATGCGAGAATGGCGTCACACTCAAGGAGACTTGATCGCTCGACGTGATGCCGAAGGAGAACGTCGTAAAGCCGAAGCCGTCTCTCAAGCAGAACGCGATATTGATCAATTCTACAAGGAGTATAATGCTAAAAAAGAAAAGAGTATTGCAAAGAATAAAGAGGTGGAGGCGGAATTTACTGAAAAGAGGAACAGGGAATTGGCAGAGGGGACTACTTGGGATCGGATTACCAAGTTGGTTGAATTGCAGAATTCGCAGAGTAAGACGATTGCTCCTGGAGGACCGGGAAGTACGGATTTGTCCAGGTTCAGAGGTGAGTCTACGGAGAGCTGGGCAGAGAAGAGAGATACGGGAACAGCAGACGCTCACTCAGCCAGTCCCTTTGCGACTCCTCCTTGCCCATTTTGATTGCCAGAGCTGCTGCTCTCTCTTCGCAGGGAAGGAGAAACCGCCCCCGCTGCCGGTGGCTACTAGATGTTGATGCCATTCTCCCCGAGACTAGCAAACACCTTGTTCGTGTAGGCACTCAAGAAGAATGATGCTTGATCACTGCAGAGCCAGATCGGGAACAATGGCTGCCCGATGGCAATAATGATAATAGCTTTCGCATCTGCTACGAAGCCCGAAACGATGTGTGGGAAGAATGTACAATGTCGCAGTCTTGATCATATCTCTCTCTCTTCTGCTCTCCGCTACTCTCTCCACCTAAAGGAGTGGTCAGCTGAACTAGTTAGCGCTCACACTCATCGCCTCGAGTCCCTCCTCGATTCCTCCTCCTCCTCCCTCCTCACCAGTCCGACTCGCATCCGAAGCAGACAGCAACGAAGAGTCTTCCGTGCCGTCGTCACCACGTCCACGAGCGCTTCGCTGGCGCCTCCGATGGTGGTGGGAGCGCTTCCCGCTTCCGGGGATCTGCAGACCTGGGCGACTGGCCGAGAGGGCTAGGTGAGGATGCTGTTGATGCTGATGATGATCCTGGCTTGATGAGGTGAGAGAGCCTTCCTCCTCTTCTTCCTCCTCCTCTTCCCCGCCAGAGGTAGACTCCTCCTCCTCCTCGTCCTCGTCCTCTGCACTCTCCTCATCCGAGCCCTCTTCTTCATCACCACCAAGTCCCACCGGCGCAACATCCCTCCATTCCCTGTACAGAGGCGCGACGAAGCGCTCTGCAGTCGAAGAGAGACGATAAGGGTCAAAGGGAAAAAAGCCCTCGAGGTCCTTTGCTAGGAAAGCCCTGGTGCCTGCAGCGCCCGCTGTACCGCCCGTGGCATTGTTGGGTGTGGACAGCATGCCTCCTCCACCTCCTCCCACCTTGGAAGACGCAGCAGCAGCAGCAGCAGCAGCCCCATGGCCGCTTTGGGAATCGGTGCTGACTCCCATACCTGCGCTTCGTCGATTATTAGCCTCTATCAGACTCCAGCAGTAGAGGAATCCTACGTGCTGGGCGACTGCTGCGAACTGCCGGACTACCGTGCCAGAGCAGTGCTGCAGTGGGTTCAGAGGAGAGAGGACAGCACGCTGTAGGATCGAGAGACCCTGCGACCAGCTGCTGGTACTTGTGCCGAGGCCCGCGGCTGTGCCGGTCGAGGTGACACCGTGTGGATCCGTGTCGATGTTGCTTGGCACGTCCAACTGGATCTCACCAAGTGCAACATCTTGTGCTGAAGATAGAGAGGAAGAGAAGGACGAGGGACCAATACCGGGAGCTTCTCGTGCTTGTGCATCTGCATCTGCCTTGTTATTGGCCAAAGAGAGATGCTGACCTCGGTGCATGGAAGAAGGCATGGCGTACGAGGAAGACCCAGTCGAGGAGAGAGACCCGATCATTAGTCCTCCATCGACCTCGTATTCGTCAGCATCCCTCTCGTTGCTAGAGGTGACGCTAGCTGCTTTTGAAATCTTGCGTGGCGTGGAGCTGCTCGTAGCAGCGCCAGCAACCGTACCAGCGACTCCCGAACCGGGCCCACCAATCTTGAGGTCTTGCCATCTGAAGCAGAAGATATAGAAGACTGCCTGTGCCACGGCGTACCAGATTGCATGCTCTTCGCTCCCAGGAGGGGCGACTGCAAGTCTCCGAGTCCGCTCGTCGGCCATGTTGACGAGTCCGATGGAGTTGGCGAGGGTGATTGCGTTCGAGTAAGCTTCCAGATGGGCTTCAAGATACGAACACAGATTCAGGACCACAGTCCTCGTGTAAGTCGGTGTGATGTAGTGCGCCCGGGAGACAAAGGACGCCACGTAAGACGCGGATGCTTGGCGTAGCACTAGCGGCTCTGCACGCTCGCGTTGACCGGAGGAGCGATCCATGCTGTCATCTTCGAAGCCGCCCACACCAGACCTGGCATAGATGGCCTTGTGGATCAGGAAACCGAGGAAGTAGTCCGCAAAGTCGGTCTCTAACGAGCAGTACCAGAACAGGAGGAATTGTACGTGTCGACACTTGAACGTCGGCAGGATGGAGCGCGAGAATAGCTGCAGGAGATGATGGAATAGGGCGTCCCTGGTTGCCTCAAACTCTTCGTCTACCTCTGGTGTTGTCCGTAGGGTTTCCTCCGTCTTGACGGAAAAGGACTGTGGCCGCTCCGAGGTTGGAGTGACATTGCCCGACGAAGGGGCAGTGGTACCGAGGAAGTCGTTGAGCCAGGTAGACCTAGGGTCCAGCACTAACTCGGATGGACCTGTCTTCTTGCCCTTGACTGTGCCCATCTTCTCGAGGTGCTCGAGGCAGACCTTCATGAGCGCGTCAAGCTTGTCGACCAGCTCCCTGACTTTACGTTCCTTCTTTTCCTCCTCACCGTCCGAATGGAGACCGCCCGCTCCATCACCATCGACGTCTTCGATATCTTCGTCCGAGAGGTCATCGAATCCCGTCCCTCCCTCGTCCCCCGAGTCCGAGCCCTCTGACGAATCATCGTCGTCGATCACCCGGTCAAATGGATCCAAATCGGAAGCAGCAGAATCCTTTTCTTCACCAATGTCGCTACCTTCGCCACCGCCCTCTTCTTCAAGCTCGTCTAATTCGATCTGGATCTCGACGTCCAGTCCAATGGCCCGGTCTGCCACGACCCTCCAAACAGTCTCTGCGACCTGCCCCTCGTACTGCGTGATGAAGAGGATATTCCGAGCAAAGGTAGCTTGCTCTCTCTTGCTCTCTCTCCTGTGCGGGAAATGCTTGACTAGAAGCTGATTCAGTGTGGAGACTGAGGTTGGAATGAGGGTGAGGACTGCTCGAAGCAGGAGGTGGGTTCGGGTGTACAGCAGCCGACGAGTAGGCTGTGTAGGTGTCTGCGAGCTGGCTGTTGCATCGGCTAGAGGCGCGCGCTGATTCGGTGGCTGCAGCGGTAGCCAATCTGATCTCCACCTCAGAGCCTTGACGATCCTGTTGAGGACGTTGGCGGCCCACTCTGTACGAGCGCTGACTAGGGCACAAACGAAGCGACACCAGCTCTTGCAGAATTCATCAGTGGCGCCTGCCCATGGTAGATCCAAAATGTTCTCAACGAGCTGAGAGTGAGAAGCCATATCTAGCTTTGAGACATGATGCGATAGAGCTAGCAGCCACAAGGCCAGAGAACGTGTACCTGAAGGATTTGAGGGGGAGAGAGCTGAGGATCTGAATTGGGACACCAGATCCCAATATGACTTTGTCGAGCCCTGTGAGAAGAGAGACAGCAGGTGGAGATTTAGCATGAGCTCCCCTATCCCGGTTTCTACCATATCTACCCGCCGTGACATTTCCCTCTGTACTCACCCTATCCCTCTCGAGGAAAGCATTGTCCACGAAAGCGGTATACATGCTCCTCTTATACTTATCAGTGGCCATAGGTGCAGAAACGCCTGGATCGGCCGTTCCTCCCGGCGGCCCGGACAACAACCTTGCGCTGGCTGCCAGAGCAGATTTGACCGGCTGAGCGCCCGTCCGCCCGGTAGAGCTGCCCCTCCCACTGGGACCGCCGATACTGCTGCTGCTGCTGCTGCTTCCCACTCCATCCTGCTCTTCCTCCTTCATGCGCTCCGTCAATGATGAAGACGAGTCTTTGCGAGACCGCCGCTCGGCTGCTGACCCTGTGCTGAGCTTCTTGGTGGGTTTAGTGGGCGGAGTAGCGCTGTAGACGTTGCCCTCGTCCTCCTGCGCTTGCTGGCGCTGCTTGCCATGGATAATATCCTTCGGGCCTACAGAAGGAGCCGAGCCGGAGGAGGGAGGGAGTATCGAAGTCGAGGGCTGCGTTGTACCTTTGCGGGGCCTCTTGACTCCTTTGGCGGGGATAGGATGCGAGTGTGCTGAGGATGATGGGGTGACGGCAGGCGCCATGGCTTGCAAGGCCAGGGAGGCGGGAAGGAGTGGCAAGGTGGAGCAAGGCAAGAGTAAGCCGTGCCAGGTATCGGGCTGCACGTGTGCAAAAGCAGAGGTAGAGAGCTGAGAGTCGCCCCGCCTTTGCGAGTCTGCGTCTGTAAGCAACAGTGGTGCTTAGCAGTGTGACTCTGGCCTTGCGTACCTGCGAGTATCGAAGAGGCAGACTTAGGAAGGAACGTAGCCTCGTCAGACGACTTGCAATCACGACGCGGAGAAATTTCATTTGCAACGCAGCCAAGTCAAAGCGGAAAGGGGAAAATCAAATCAGCCCCGCATGGACGTGTGCATCATCTTACCATGCTGCCAGACGACTGACCCAGGATAGGACATACCGACAAGCTCTTGGAACTGGTCAAGCAAGGCCTTTGAGGTCGGGCAGCTGAGTCATAGCTGCTCATGGCGCCGCCTCCGCCCAAGCGAAAGCTCATTGACTTGGTGAAGGACGACGCAGATGTGCAGCCAGCCCAAGCTCACCGGCCCTCGCCTTCGTCTGGAGCCAAGCCAGGCGTACCGCCAAGCGCTCACGATGCCGCCAAGAAAGGGGATGAGGAGGACTTTATGTCAGACGCCTACCTCACCTCCATTGCCAACGCTGCGAATGCTCCGGCATCCAAGGGTCCTCGTCGTCGTCATCTGCAGGCTGCTATTCCTCAAGAGCCAAAGGATGAAGAGACGCAGCGCTTCCTTGGTCTGAGCAAGAATCTTATGGACAGTGGCAAGGAAGGTCCACTGGCTGGGGAAGACAACAAGGCGATGCGGATGATGATGCTCATGGGCTATGAGCCAGGCAAGGCCCTCGGTGTGGACCGTAGGGAGGAAACAGAGCAGAGGGAATTACCTGACGAGAGCAAAGAGGCAACCGTGCACGAAGACGTCCCGGATCCCAAGGTCGACCCCTCCTCCGCCCTCTCCGGACCACTCGCAACGAAAGGCCAGGGACCCCACCTTCTCGAGCCTCTCCTTCCCAACACCTCCCGCCTCGGCTCAGGCGTATCGGCCCGCAGAGGTATCGGCTCCCTCTCCACGCTCATCTCCCGTGCCGCCCAATCGCACGCCGAAGCGCAGGCCCGCGAAGTCCAGCAAAGCAATCAGCTGCAGGACTATCGCGCTCGCTCTGCTCTGCTGGCAAAGGAGACGCACGAGAGGAAGCTCCTGGAAAGAGGAAGGAGGACCTGCTGGGAGTTGGACACTCGAGAGGCTGATGGGAAGGTGGGAGGAGAGGAAGAAGGAGAAGGGAAGGCAGACTATTCGCCTCTTTGGCTGGACGAGAGGTGGTTCACTTCCAAGAGCGAGGACTTGCCGGCGGAAGTGGCACAGCTGGTGGAGAGGGCGGTGGGAGATGAAATGGTCGACAAAGAAGAGAACAAGCCTGAGGAGGCCGAGCGAAAACAGGAAGAAGGTTCATCAGACGCAGGAGGCGACATACCGCCTCCTGCCCAGCCCGTTACGCGACGGGTCCAGACTCGTCAGTTCCTCTCCCTCCCCGTCTCCGCTCGCCTGGCGATCACACTCGATCATCTGCGTTCGCATCACCACTACTGCCTCTTCTGTGGGGTGCAGTACGACTCACAAGAGGACATGGAAGCGACCTGCCCTGGTGAGGAGGAGGAAGATCATGATTGAAGGCAAAGATTGAGTGCGTTCGTCTCTTGTAAACGCTAATTGTATAGTACATGTCACCTCATCGCGCGTGCCAGCCTTTGGTTCACTCGTCTTCGTCATCCCTGCTGGGTCCGCTGCCTCCTTCCAACGCTCTTCTGAGCATCTCCCTGACTGCCTTTTCATCGCCGCCGAACTCAGAGGTTCGAATGGACAATTGGTATGAGACTGAGCAGCAGAGGGCGAGCGATTGGGACGGAGTCTTCGATCAGTACTGTACGCAGGGTCTGTTGTGTCAGCATGGGAAGCACCCAGTACTTACGATCCTCAATCTTCCTGAGAGACTGCGTCGTGACTGCCTGCTTTTTCCTCATGTCCTGCACCAGAAAGGTGAATGGCTCAAGGGCTTCTCTGATCTCTCTGAGCAAGCTCAAGACGCTCCTGACTACACTGGCAGGGTCGCTTGTGCCTTTGCCACCACCTCCGCCAAGTGCATTGGTAGCAAACCTCATCAGCTCTCCCGTCAGGTCTGAAATGCCTAGGAGGTAGCGATGCGAGGGGACAGGAAAGAGGAAAGTTGCTGGGATCGTAAGAGGCTGGCCATTTGAACCCACAATTGAGGTTGAAGGAGAGATGATGAAGAGGTCTTGCACTTCTTCGAGGGTGATGAGCTTGCCGTGGAGTAGAAAGTGGTGAAAGGATATGGCCTCAATCTTCAAGCGACATTGACAAGTCAGTCTACCATCCTAGGGGTCAGAGCGAATCTTCATACACTGTGTACTCACGAACTCTTCCAGTCCCCCGCCCAGATTCCTTTCGTACCTGATACATTGCTGCCCGATGCGGTCCAGATCTTCCTCATATGCTACCCTCTTTACGATGTTGACGATCTCATCGATCTTGCTTTGAGCCTCCTTCTCCATCTTTGTCGGCTGGCGGGGCGGGTCATTGGCAGCGGTTGGAGTCGGAGGAGGCATGCGGTGGAGGTGAAAGATGAGCTTTTTCGAGAGGTTCGTGACGTCCCGCGAGGTTTTGATGAGACGTTCTCGACGATCGTTCTGTTGAGCATGGGGATGCAAAAGGGTCGAGCGGAGCATGTACGCACTCAGTCAGCTTTAATAGCATCTGCTTTCGAGAATGTTTGCGTACTTACGTGTGCGTCAATCTCGCTTCGGTAGCCATCGAACGCCGAAGCAAATTGCTGAGACCTTGTCACCGCAGACGATGGCTCTCCGACTTGTATGCTTGACTCTACCGCTGCTGTCATCTTGTATCGCTCCTTGGTAGCGAGGAAGGATGTGTGGGGGCAGAGGAGACTACTAGAAGTATGACCCTCACCAGCGATGAGCCAAAATCTGTCTATGCACAGGCAGACACGGAAGTGGAGAATTGCTGCAGCCGTCAGATCTTCCCATCCTCGGCGGATTCAAGGTCGCTACTCTACTTTCAAAGGTCACCAGTCGTAAGACCCACCCTTGCCGTCAGTAGAGGCACGCCATGATTCCTTCTCTGCAGCGGCTATCCAAGCCGACTGACACAGCGGCGTCGTCGTCCAGTGGAACGCCGCGAAGACCGCCGCCTTCAACACCCAGGCCGACCTCTTCTACTCATGCGCAGAGAAGAGCAGCTGCCTTGGAACGTCAGCCTCCCATCACCTTTGCACCTCGCAGAAGCGGCGCAAGTGGTGAGGGCGCCTCCAATACTTCTTTCTCTGCGGAACCGACAAAAGGAGGCACAAAGAAGACGCTGTGGCAGAGTTGGCTCTCCCTTACACCGCGGACCAGGATGACAATGGGAATTGCAGTAGCGCGTAAGTAAAGGCTCACATACAAAGGGGGCAGATTCATTTCAGCGCTCATATCGGCAGCGAATCCGTGCCTTTTCCTACCCATCTGCAGTCTTCTCTGTCACCGGCATGATGGTTTACAAGCAAGTCGAGTATCTCGTCCCCGTGCCCAAAGCTCAGAAAGAGGCTTCGTCGCCGGATGAACCTCACAAGCCCAGACTCTTTGCGATCACTGCAGTCGATCGCAAACCCAAGGCGCCAGCTCAAGAAGATGTCAAAACAGCTTCTACAGCATCTACTGCTCTGCTGGCTTGTCTGATGCTTCCCATGGCCGCCAGTAGGTTACGAATGGGCACTTTCAGCAAAGCAGGGTCTAGCTCACAAACTCAGGGTAGAGCCTGGAATGCCATGCTTGCCAGGAGGAGCGGAATGGTGGAAAAGAGCAGAACTTTTTCGTCTGGTCGTCCTGTGCGTACTTCTCATTGAAGATCTGGCAATTGATGTACTTTCTACTCACTGAGCTCCGTGACTTCTCCGCTTGCCTTCACAGCTTGCCCAGCGTAGGAAGGGCTCCTCCGTCGCGACTGTCTATCTCTCTCGCTCCTTCTCGCCGGTGCCTGCCAAGGCTAGCGCCTCTCCTCTGTTGCCTAGCGATGCTGACTCCTCGCCTGGCTCTGCAGACGAGTCACTGTCGATGCTGCTGCGAGGAGGCTATATCCGCCAATCCTCCTCTGGCATCTTCACTTTCCTCCCTCCTGGTCTGAACTTACTCAAGAAGATTGAGACGATCATTGCAGAGGAGATGGAAGCGATTGATGCTTCCCGGATAGATATGCCCACGCTTCTGTCTAACAAGTTGTGGAAGAAGAGCGGCAGAGATGAGGCGATGGGGAGCGAGCTGTACAGGCTGAAGGACCGGAAGGGCGGAGAGTTCGTCCTCGGGCCGACATACGAGGAGGAGGTCACTAAGCTCGTAGGAGGAGAGGTGCACTCCTACAAGCAGCTACCGGTCAAGGTCTACCAAATGAGTGCGTAATTTGCAGTCATGATGCTGCTGCTGACAGAGAAGCTGATCTTACATTCCGTATCCTCACAGCTCGCAAACATCGCGACGAGCCTCGTCCTCGGCTGGGACTGCTGCGGACTCGCGAATTCGTCATGAAGGATATGTACACCTTTGACGCCTCAATCGATGAAGCCAAGAAATCTTACCAAGAGGTGCAGGGCGCATACGAGCGCATCATGGATCGGCTATTCAGCAGTGACGTCGAAGTGGATGTGAAGCAACAGAATTGGAGGATAGCTCAAGCAGACAGTGGAGCAATGGGCGGAATACTGTCGCATGAATACCACGTAGAAGATCCGGGTGAGTAACCAACGACACGTGAAGAGGCGCCCGAGTGATCTGCGGTCTGACGAAGTCATTTGCTTCTGACAGCTGGTGAGGATGACCTGTTGGTCTGCTCCTCGTGCTCTTATACCGCCAATTCGGAGCTCGCTGCATCGAGACCGGCGGGAGACACGATGCCGCTTGTCTCGGCCGATGTGGTCGTCCGTCTCTACTCCCTTAGTAACGATCCAGTCAACGCAGGCTCCTTGCTTGCGCTTGTGAGCGCTCGCAACTCCTCAATCAACGAAGTGAAAGTAGCAGGGGTGCTACGGACGGTTTCGGCCGGCTCGAAGGCGGCGGTGCAGCAGCTCTACCCCACCAAGCAGGGCGAGATCCACTGGGATTGGAAGGATCGGCCGGAAGGTCCTGTTGTGAGATTTTCCCAGATCAAGATCCTCGCAGACCACTCTTGCTCCTCACTTTCGCCAGACGACATCACCGAAGCGGTCGAGGAAGCCGTCCTTTCGTACAGCGACCCCTCCGGCGACGCACCTAGCTCAAGCGATTCGCCTCGCTTACTTGACTTCTTCCCTTCGTCTCCCTCTCAAGAAGATTTTCTTAGCTACCACGACGTCCGTCTCGCCGAATCCGGCTCAAGCTGTGTCAGTTGCAGCTCCGGTACGCTCACGCAGAGCAAAGCCATCGAAGTAGGCCACACCTTCATCCTCGGGACTCGCTACTCGCAATCTCTTGGCTACCAGTTCGCCGCACGACCCGAGGTGGATACAGAGACGGGAAAGCAAAAGGCGCAGGAGAGGCGCTACTTCCAGATGGGATGCTATGGTATTGGAGTTACGAGACTGATGGGCGTTCTCGCCATGAAGGCTCGAAGGAGCTTCCTTGCTCTGCAGCAGACGCAAGACTCAGCAGGAGTGGCTAGCAAGGGTGACGCGTCTGGGGAATCCAAGCCAGGCTTCCTCTGGCCAAAGCATCTTGCTCCTTACTCGCACGTTATTCTCCTTCCCCCCTCCGCTGCCTCGCATCCACAGAAGGAGGTGGAAACATTACTAACCCGCTTTCAGCGCGAGCAGGAAGCCGCCCCTGGCGATGAGGGCGAGCACACCATCTCTGTGCTGGTCGACGATCGGCCCAACCTCTCCATGGGTGCCAAACTTACGGAAGCGGACTTGAGTGGAGCGGGAGAGGTATGGGTAGTGGGAAAGGAGGGGAGCAGGAGAGTGAGATGATCGTCGAGGTGGCGAAGATGGTCCGATGTCAGTGTCGCCTGCATGCCTTTTCAACGCGTCACCACTCGTCTCGACAAACATCAGACTGCGACGTGCACTAGTTTACGTTGTGAGGTGGCATCGAATTCTGCCACTCGCCCCACTACCTCTTCGCACCTAGGCTGAAGGGGCTCGCCGGCCGAGGACTGTTCCTCCCACTCCCTGCACCACCAACGGCCGCACCAGCGGGTCCGAATCTCCTGCCACTGCTCTGCCTCGAAACGACCTTGGCTCCTCCACCCTTCGAGTCTCCTATCCGACTAGCGGCACCGGTGACGAGGTCCTTGATGAGCCCATTGTACATCTCTGAGTCGGCTTGGAGAGACTCGCGCAGCGTCAGATGATGTGTGAGGAGGAGGGAAGTCGAGGTGATGAGGTGCGAAAGCTCTTGTGAGAGGGACCGTAGCGAGGGAAGGGTGAGGAGGGAGAGTTGGTCTGCGTACCCGAGGGCAACGGGGAGAGGTGGTCAGTGCTGATAATGGAGGTCATTTGAGAGACGATGTGGACTCACCTTCACTGAGATTCGAGACTTGCTCCACTCTTTGCATATCGACTTCGGGCAGTGGACCTAGACCCAAGTCTTCCCGCCTCTTCTCGGCTATCCTCTCTTTCCTTCCTTGGTCTCTGCTTTGGCTCCTTGGTCCGCTTGCTTGTGTCTGCCCGGCTCCATTTGTAGCACCAACCCCGGCAGAAGATGACGATGATGTAGAGTCTTGCCTGATAGGAGCTTTGAGCGCTGCGCTATCTGGTCCGCCTCTTGGCGCCCGATCAGAGCCATTGTTGAGATTGATAGCGAGGGGTGGAAGTCGACGACTGCTACCTCCCGGGGACGAAGAGGAAGTAGAGGAGTCGAGGTACATGATCTCGTCAAGGTTGATGGGCACGCCCAACGATATGTGAAGATCTCGTCTTGTCCGGGAGCGTAGCCAGTCCACTGGTTTCAGCGGGGGAGGATTGACGAGATCAGCGTAGATCTGGCGGCTACTCTCTCCGACGAGAATCTGCGCTGGTCCTTCGGCCTGCCGTATCCTCTCTTGGCTCAGCTCTGGGACTTGTCCTGCACCGAATGGCTCTTCAGGCCCGCTAGGAAACAGCGGCGGCGAGAGAATCGAATTTATTTGAGTAGCTATGGATTGTGAGCTTGCGCCAGCGGGAGTGAAGCGTGGCTGCAGCAGGGAAAGGATCAAGCATCAGCGGCAGCTCGTAGCTCACAGCAGCCACTCTGAGGTCACTTACCCAGTCTGAAGTACCAGCTGAAGGTAGTGGTGAGACGGGAGCTTCAGCAGCCCGACTGTCCCCAAAGCCGTCCTCCTCGTCGTCGAATGCAAGGTTGGTACCACTCGGCTGGCCGTCCTCTGGAAAGTCGCCAAAGTCGCCGAAGTCATCATCGTCCTGGCCGGCAGGCAACGCCATGCCAGTACTATGACCGCCAGGTGAGTCGTCAAAGTCCGCGAAGTCGTCTTCGCCCTCCCCGTCATCGTCGTCGTGATCTTCATGGACTGCATCGTGAGCAGAGGCGGTTGCCAACGCAGTGAGAGGGGGAGCTGGCTCAGCTTGCGATGCGGCTGATGGCTCTGACTCGTCTTCTCCTAACGCTGCGATGTCTATTCCCTCAAGCTTCGCTGCTGTGGTAGCGACTGCTTCTCCTTTTGTGGTCTCCTCGAGGGCATTTGAGGAAGGCGAGGGGGTCGGCAGTCCCCAGCCAATGTCCTCTCCGAGGTCATCAGCAAAGAAGCCCTGTGATGTGGGTCGCTTCGACTCCGGCAGAGCTGGTGAGTCCGACTCAAGGTCAGGCGACGACCAGATGTCGCGTTCGGAGGTCTCCATGGTCTCCAAGAAGCGGAGGGACACGGGCGCTGGCGGCTATGAGGTCGATGCGGTACGAATGGAATATGAGCATGACCAGGAGACCAACACTGCTCAGGCGCGGAGCCGAAGTGGACCCCGGCCGAGGCCGGACGCAGAGCCGAGGAAGCACTTCTTCTCGCCGCTACTCCCGCTGTCGCATATAACACTATCCTTCTCTCACCGCATACATCACAACCACCACTTTCAATCATGACCAAGACCTACAACGTCGTCGTTCTGCCCGGAGATGGTATTGGTGCGTTGAAGAGCTAGTGTCATCGCCGCTCCTTACCCATTCTTGACTTATGTCCGCCCTCATCCTCGCAGGCCCCGAGGTGACTCATGAAGCCTCTCGCGTCCTGGAGTTCATCTCGTCCAAGAGCTCCGACTATGAGATCAAGCTCACCTCGGTAAGTGGAACAAGAGGGACAAATGATACGGTCGGCCTTGAGACAGCTCTGACGTTCCTCGCCATTGCGTCTTGCTCATCACCTTGCAGCAAGATTTCGGAGGAATTGCCATTGACAATGCTGGCGTGCCCCTTCCCGAGGCGACTCTCAAGGCTTGTGAGGCTGCTGATGCCATGCTGCTAGGTGAGTGGTCATGTGAGGATAAGAGCAACCCGAATTTATGTGCTTACATCGCCTGCTCCTCCTCCCCCGTCAGGCGCTGTCGGTGGACCCAAGTGGGGTGTTGGCAAGGTCAGGCCCGAGCAAGGCCTTTTGCAGCTGCGAAAGCACTTCGACCTCTACGCAAATGTCCGCCCGGCCCTCTTCCCCTCCAAGTCTCTCCTGTCCCACTCTCCCCTCAAGCCAGAGATTGCCGAGGGTACCTCGATGATCGTCGTCCGAGAGCTCGTCAAGGGACTCTACTTTGGTGACCGCGTAGAGGCTGATCTGGACACTCCCGGCTCCACGGGTGAAGCCTCGGATATGATGGTCTACAACAAGAACGATGTCCAGCGTATTACACGTCTCGCTGCCGCCCTCGCCCTGCAGCAGACACCCACTGCCAAGATCCACTCCATCGACAAGGCAAACGTCCTTGCTTGCTCTCGTCTGTGGAGGCGAGTTGTTACAGAGACCATCGAAAACGAGTTCAAGGGACAAGTCGAGGTGGACCACCAGCTCGTTGACTCGGCTGCCATGATCATGGTCTCCAACCCGCGCAAGCTCAATGGCATTGTCCTAACTGAGAACATGTTCGGTGACATCCTCTCAGACGAATCCTCTGTCATCCCGGGATCCCTGGGTCTCCTGCCTTCTGCCTCCCTCGCCGGACTACCTGACGGCAAGTCAGACTGCAAGGGGCTTTACGAGCCCATCCACGGAACTGTGAGTTGCTGTGGATGAATGCAAAGACCGTTCGCAGCCAGTCATTCTGACCCTCTTCGTTTACTTTTGTGCATTCCTCCCAGGCCCCTGACATCGCTGGTCAGGGCATTGCCAACCCCATCGGCACCATCCTATCAGCAGCCATGCTACTGAGGTACTCTTTCGGTCTCGGCCGCGAAGCAGATGCCATTTACAAGGCTGTTGAGACTGTACTGGATACCCCTGACCTCGGCGGACTGGGCCTGAGGACAGCTGACCTGGGTGGAAAGGCAAAGACAGGAGAGGTCGGAGATGCCGTCCTGAAGCAGTTGGAGAAGCTATTGGCCTAGACTCAGGTACCTTCTGTCGATGACTCGGTAGAACGATGGCAAATTTCCCGACTTGCCATTGCGCTGTGACATTTCTGGACCTCACTTATCGTAGCCTAGTCATTTTCGCGAGCAAGGGTAATAAGATTCGTCCGGTACAAGTACATTAATGTCACATAGCGTCTGTCTCGCACAGCTTGCTCCTGCAGACCACCGCGGCTCCCCTACTTCGAGCGTCACTGTTAAGCCTAGCTTCGGCCCTGTGTTGTCTGACCCTCGTTGCTCGTCTGCTGTGTCTGGTTGCCAGTGGAGGGCGAGGATGTTTCGAGGTCTTCAAGATTGAAGGCAGCATTGCGTCGGTACTATCAATGCGAGCAGAGCCGTAGATGTCACAAAGCAAGGGATAAAAGTGAGTTGTTGTGATCGGACAGGACCCACGCCGAGAGCTGTGCATCTCCCTTCCATCGCACACAAACTGCGCACGGCGATGCTATCTGCCTCCTGAAGCTCATCGTACTCACATTCTCCCACATATCGGCTACCTCTGCGTTGCCCTCGTTGTACACGTTGATCTCTGCTAGTGACCGGCCCAGCTCCTCTAGAGACTCGTTGAGTAGGTCAACATTCTTGATGATTCGCGAGAGGAGGAGAGTCTGCCGTTGTTCCTGTAAGAGCGAAGTGTCGTGGTGAGGAGTGCGTCGATGGTCAGTCACTACACCGTCGGCACATGAGCGAGCCTGCTATACGTACGTGGGGATTCTCGATGTGCATCATGTTCGTAGTGAGGGCGTGGTGATGCCGATCTGTAGAGCGGATGGGATGGTGAGCTTGGAGGTGTTGCTTTGAGCTGCGTCTCTCAACGCGACTCGACCCAGGCGGGAGGGAAGCGGGAGCGCAGTGCCGCGGCCCCACTCCAAGGGGACACGTACGTCAAAGCTCGGCGATCACTTCTTCCGCCTTCCTTTGCAGCCTACGACTCCTTCCTCCCCACAACGCCTCTGTCTTCCTGGGTCTGCCGCTGTATCACAGTAGTGGTACACTGTTTCGAGAGTCGAGATGTCCAACATCGCCATCGTGTCGCCCGACATTGCGTCGGTGTCACTTCACGTGCCGAAACCCCTCGTGCAACACTTCTACGTCCTACCATTCCTCTTTCTCTACCCTCTTTACTTCTACACCTACAACCTCCGCTATGACGACTGGGTTAAGTCTGAAGAGTGGACCTTCGTCTACTCGGTCCTGCTCTTCACCTCTCATGCTTTGGCGTACCTGATCACCAGGTGGAGCATCGGCTTCAAGGCATGGGCTACCACAAAGCCGGTCAAATCCCTGCAGCAGGCATCCCTCGTGCGGGTCATCCCTCACCCCCACAAGGGAGAAGGCGAGATGGTGCCCCTCAAAATATCGTCATCAGAGGTCTCTTTCGTCTATCAGGCGGACAAGTACATTCTTGCTGTGCCCGATTCCAAGGCACCAACCACCGCGGTCAACCGTTCTGCAGACATCACCGAGCCAACCTTCCGTCGCTTACCCTACCCAGCAGACTCTGCGCCGCCACTGTCGCACTTCCAAGCTTCGCGAGGACTGGTCTCTGAAGAAGACGCCCTACAGACCCTCAACACCTACGGGGGCAATGTCTTCGAGATCCCCAAGCCAACGTTTGTGGCTCTGTTCATCGAACATGCTGTCGCGCCTTTCTTCGTCTTTCAGGTCTTCTGTGTCGGACTCTGGATGCTGGACGAATACTGGTACTACTCACTCTTCACTCTCTTCATGTTGATCATGTTCGAGTGCACCGTCGTTTTCCAGAGGCTGCGAACGCTCAATGAGTTCAGGACCATGTCGATTACGCCTTTCCAGATCTACGTATACCGATCTAAGGAATGGCTTCAGGTGCCCACCACGGAGCTGCTTCCTGGAGACGTTGTCTCCATCACTCGAACCAAGGAAGATCTGGCGACCCCTTGCGACTTGCTGCTGTTGGGCGGAACTGCCATCGTGAACGAAGCAATGCTCAGTGGCGAGTCTACGCCTCTGCTCAAGGAGAGCATTGAGCTCAGGGAGGGGTCCGACAAGCTTGACGTCAATGGTACAGATCGCAACTCGGTAGTCTTCGGTGGTACCAAGGTTCTGCAGACCACATCAGCAGGAGCGGCAGAGTACAGCAGCGTATACACTCAGGAGGGAATGGTTCCACCCGATGGAGGAGCAATTGGCCTGGTGCTGCGAACCGGATTCGGCACTAGTCAGGGTCAGCTCATTCGTCTCATGGTCTTTACCAATGAAGGTCGAGTTACCGCTGGTAACATTGAGGCCTTCCTTTTCATCGGTTTCCTCCTCATCTTCGCTATCGCTGCTAGTTGGTACGTCTGGACAAGAGGTCTCGAGATGGGCAGGCCCAAAGGCAAGCTCCTCCTGGACTGTGTCCTGATCATCACCTCTGTCGTTCCGCCTGAGCTGCCAATGGAGCTCTCTATGGCTGTCAACTCGTCTCTCATGGCTTTGAGCAAGAAGGCCATCTTCTGCACTGAGCCCTTCAGGATTCCATACGCCGGCAAGGTTGACGTTTGCTGCTTCGACAAGACCGGTACGATCACCGATGAGGATCTCGAGGTACAAGGAGTGGCTGCCATTGGCGCTAAGCTTCCACGGGACCTGATTGATCTGCAGCAGCTGCCCCGAGAGACTACTATCACTCTTGGCGCTGCTCACGCTCTGGTTCTGCTTGAAGACGGTATGGTTGGTGACCCGATGGAGAAGACGACTCTGGAGGCCATGGGATGGCAGCTCGCACAGGGAGACGTCCTGAGTCCTAAGGACGTGCGCCAGTCTGCTCACCGTATCGAGATCAATGTTCGTCGCCGCTTCCAGTTCTCCTCTGCGCTCAAGAGGATGTCGACGCTCAGCTACGTCTCTGACTTGGGAGGTGCAAATCGCAAGCTTTTCGCTGCCGTAAAGGGAGCACCGGAAACTCTCAAGGGCATGTACAGCAAGATCCCCGACGGGTATGACGAGACGTACAAGGGCTTCACGCGACGTGGATCTCGAGTGCTTGCTCTAGGATACAAGTACGTCGACAAAGTCTCACCCGATGGAGTAAAGGATCTGACGAGAGATCAAGTTGAGAGTGAACTGGTCTTCGGAGGGTTCCTGATCTTCCACTGTCCTCTCAAGTCCGACGCTAAGGGAGCTCTGCAACAGCTTCACGACTCCTCTCACCGCTGCATTATGATTACCGGTGACAATCCTCTGACCGCCGTGCACGTCGCAGAGGAAGTCGAAATCGTCGATAGGGAAACCTTGATTCTTGACGCTAGGGAGGGCGCATCGAAGCCCAGCGAGCTGGCTTGGAAGACGACTGACGAGAGCAAGATCATCAACCTTGACGCTTCGGAGGCTCTCGATGAGTCATTGTTCGACACCTACGACATTTGCATGACCGGCGCAGCAATGGCCCAATTCTCGAGCCAAATTGAGAAGTGGGAGAAGCTCGTACAGAACACCTGGGTGTATGCTCGTGTCAGCCCTTCGCAGAAGGAGCTCATTCTTAATACGCTGAAGCGACTGGGCTACGTAACTCTGATGGCTGGTGACGGGACCAATGATGTGGGGGCTCTCAAAGCTGCGCACGTCGGAGTGGCCCTGCTGGATGGTACGCCGGAAGACTTGCTAAAGATTGCAGAGCACCAGAGGAACGAGCGGATGAAGAAGGTCTACATGAGTCAACTCAGTCTTTCGCAGCGCTTCAACGCCCCGCCGCCTGTTGTTCCTCCTACACTCAAGGACAAGTTCCCTGAACTGGAAGCAGCAAGGGAAGAGGCAGTCAAGAAGATCAAGCAGGCCAAGCTTGCCAACCCCAACCAGGCTCCCCCCAAATTCGACCTCGCCAGCCTTCAGGCCAAGATGCAGGACATGGACACCGAGGACGGGCCACCTCAGATCAAGCTAGGAGACGCCTCAGTGGCTGCTCCTTTCACTTCAAAGCTTCGCAACGTCAACTCCATTGTTCAAATCATTCGTCAAGGCAGAGCTTCCCTTGTTGCCACTGTGCAAATGTACAAGATCCTCGGACTCAACTGCTTGATTCAGGCATACTCCCTCAGTGTCATGTATCTCGACGGTATCAAGTTCGGTGATTACCAGGTGACCATCACTGGTATGCTGCTAAGTGTCGCGTTCCTCTTCATCTCCAAGGCCGAGCCCAAAGAGAAGCTCTCGAGGGAGAGGCCCCTGACGACAATCTTCTCCTGGTACATCTTCTCCTCCGTCATGCTGCAATTTGCTCTTCATCTTGTCTCGATGCACTACGTTTCGAGGACTCTGGTACCTCTGTACGAGGTGCCAGCTGAGGAGATTGACGTCGAGGCCAAGTTCACGCCCTCGCTGCTGAATTCGGCCGTGTTCCTGATCAACCTGTCTCAACAGGTCAACACCGTCGCGGTCAACTTCATCGGTGAGCCATTCCGTGAAAAGATCACTGCCAACCGTGGTCTCTATCTGGGTCTGCTCGGATGTGGATCGATAGCAGTAGCAGGAGCTCTCGAGCTCTTCCCGGAGCTCAACGAGTGGCTGCAGCTGGTCAAGATGCCCACTCCCTTCCAGATCCGATTGGTCGCCATCATGCTGGTCGACTACATTGGCTGCTACGTCATTGAGTGGATCACCCATGCCACTTTGGCCGACTTGCGGCCCAGTGCCTTTGTGACCAAGGGCAGGGACAGGAGGGATCAGAGGCGCAAGAATCTCATTGAGAATCTAGAGGCAGCTACGGAAATTGCGCTCAAGAGGGGTGAGGTGGAGAAGGCGGCATCTACCGTCGTCAATGGCGCTTCGACGGCGAGTGGAGTTCAGGTGAATGGAGGCAGGGCTCAGAAGAGGAAGTAAAAGCGGCATCGCATGTGGATGATCAGACGTAGGAGGTATGGCCGATGTAGAGGTCGTGATCGTTAGAGCTCCCAATGACAATATTCCGGATCTTGCGCTAGTGATGCTCTGTCATGCTTATGGGATCTCGTGATGTCAGCCTCAGAATGTCTTGCCCGCTTACCTACGCTTGCGGCCATTGCTTACCGTCGATCGTCTGCAGTTCAAATATCTTGGGTGCAGCAGTTAGAGCACTCACGAGGGGAGATCAGCATCCTCCATATCCGATCCGCGCAATTACCGATGCAAGCCGCACTTGCCGAAGTACTGTCGGTACGCCTTTACGAGTCTTCGGCCCGAAATTGCTATAGCCCGAAATTGCTACGTCCACGCTTCTGTATCTCATCGTGGTGAGATACCATCTGCTTACCCACTCCATTACTCTGGTGCCGAGACATGGGGAAATTGCGTTCCCATGGTCTTGGGGGGTGTACGAAACGTGGCTGAACTTAGAGCTCGGAAGACCGAAGGAAGCACCGAATTGCCGGACTACTGTGGAGGTGAGGGTAGCTCAGCACGCTCCTTCCGTCCTTCAGTCGTCACTTCGAACAGCTCCGAGTTGCTCAGGTCCGGTTTGTGGTATGGCGAAAGAGGGTCTAGGGGACGTTATCACTCTATGCGAGTGGATCGAGGCGTCGAGTCCGAGCGAGTAGACGGGGTAGTGGTTTCAACAGCCGTCAAATCAGCCGGTACTCCGTCCATGGTACCGAGTGCCCAAGTGCCCAATTGCGAGGGACTGTAGCTACTTTTGGGTTTGGAGGCTTGCGTGGGAACAATTGTGAGAACAAAGCAACACTGGGATGAGGTCAGGGCAAAGTGAGATGTGAGGTGCGCTGATGATCTATCTCCGGTGGAGCAGACGAAGGTGGCTTGCATTGGAGGCGTCACACGCGGGCACTACCCCAGTCAGGGTCCAATGGGCGCAGCGTGGCTTGCATAGAAGCTGCGTCGGCACTGACGCCCGTGCATAGAAGCCCGTCCGCATCCGAAGCCATCTCGTGGTACCCTTCGCCGCTTCGGGTGGTCCTGCCTCGCCAAGACGGACCTACCGGCCGATATAGACGCGCTCTCGGACATCGACGACCCTCGTCTGGGGAGAATTTTGCGAGCACAGGCCCCATGCTGGAAGATAGGGAAAGATAGCTCGGCCTCGGAGCCCGAGGTGGCGGGTCCCCAAGACCTGCAGTCGCAAGGACGACAATTGAAGAGGAGTCACTGGGCGTGAAACTGCACATTGGCATTTCTACTGTATATGTGCCTCTACACCATGCCGAGACCGAACCTCGGGCACGCAATTACCTTGCACGCCTCAGTCTCCTTCCGGTGTGTTGCTGGACATACACAGGACGGAGGTGAAGGCTGACAGGCATTATTGCTGTCTGAGTAGCTGGGATAGCAAAAGTTCAGGTACCGGCGGGCAGCCGAAGGGAGACAACAAGATGTCATCGACAACTGAGCAAGTTTTGGTCATCTGCTTACTTTGCTTACGCTTATAAGTCACCATGAATTAGCTCGAGACACCCTTGTGATACCCCATCATTCTGTTCCCTCCCCACATCGCCTACTCTCGTACCACAGATTCCCTGACCATGTCCACCCACGCGGTCTCTTCATCTTCGCGACTCGCAGTCAGGAGGAGGTCATCGCTGACAGAGGCAGACCTGTTGGCCACCAGGCTGGCAGTGACCAGTCTCGTCCGAGCCATTGCAAAATCCGGCGTGCCGACGTCAGAGGCAGCCGTAGAGGCTTCTCTAGCAAAGCGTACGGCTATGGCTGCAGCAATGGCTAAGCCAACGGCCATGGCCCCAGCTGCATCGGCGTGCGCAACTCCTAACGGTACAATCACGGTCACACCCACTACCACACCGAGGAAGAGTGTCATTTCAGGTACTCTCGAACGACTACGTCGAGCAAGCCATAGGAAGTCGCTCGAGATTCACAACACATCCGAGAGCAGCCTGCAGCATCCCACAGCTCCCCTGTTCTCGTCGCCCTTCAATGCCGCACGTGCGAGGGCCCCATCCATGCCTTCTAGCACAGTTGTCGCTGTCTCCCTGGATGCTGAGCTGGGTGAAGACTATCATCCCCCTGCCCCAGAAGTATCGACACGTCCCAGGCTGTTCCGAAGTACTGGATCTGATCCGCTTATCTCCACACATCACCTGCCGCACATTTCGCTGCATCTGAAGCACAAGCGCAGACAGAATCATACTCACGAGGACGAGGATACCACAACAGGGCTTCCCAGTGTCACCGAGGGTGTCCAGTCTTCCTCCAACTTGTTCGCAGCCGCCTTCGACCTTGCAGCACCTCACGACCAAGGCACTCCTGGCTCATCAAGAGGGACTTCGATCGCGTCGAGCCTCGGGGAAAGTCCCAGATTGCAGAATCTTGCTCTCGCTACGGGCTTCAGGCAAGCATACACTGAAGATTCCATCTGCCCGATCCAGAAAGAGACGAAGCGTCGCCCACCTCCGCTCAATCTGCACCTAGGAACCTCAACGGCAGAAGCAGACCTGCCGCTGCCAGTGTCCGACCGCTTCGAGGACTCCTTTCCGCCTGAAGGTCAGGTGAAGAAGATCACTCTGCAATTGGAAGATTGGCAAAAGGAGCTCACGGTGTCGAATGTACCTCCTCGACCTTCTTATACACACACCTCTTCACTCTTCAACGTCGCCCCTGCAACATCCTGGCCTGTTCAGCACCTGCGGATGCGATCCAGGGCCTCGTCCCTTGCCCTAAATCATGAAGCGCCGAGGACACGCACATTTGTTCCCGCAGACTTTGCCCAGTCAACAGAGGAACGTGAACCACGGAGAAAGTCGATGCTCGCTGCAGCGCCGCAGGAGAATCACAAGAAGAGCTTGAAGAGGCCCACCGTCCCCACCTCTGCCTCCTCGCCATTCATGTCATTTCGAGAAGACTGGCAGCATGAGAATTCAAGGCTGTGGTAAGACTGCAGGTGTAGATGTCGTTGGTCAAGCTGTCTCAATGTTTCTCCCGTGTATACCAAATAATGTAGTCCTAGTTGTGTTGTACCTGTAATCCTAAGCTCCACGTTCGCACTCGATCACGTTTGACAGCCAAGCCGACTTGGCCATTCGCACTCGCATTCGACTTCGCATACGCTCCGCTTGCTTGCTTCCGTTCCGGAACTGTACGCACGGGCGTGCAGCGTGGCCTTTGGCTGTCTCCCTTTCCGTTCGAGTTGCGCGCTTGGAGGTGGACTGCCTCCGCCCCGCCTGGAGGATGCAGCAATGGTCAAGGCGAGCGGGAGGAAGGGGAGGGGGGGGGGGGGGGAAGATCACCCTCGCCGCCTACCATCACCATCGTCGAGGCCATCATCCCGACCTCCCTCCCTGTCACGACATTGACCTGCTCTTGACAGTCACCTGTCCTTCTTCTCACGCCTCTCCCTCCCTCTCTTTCTGCCATTACCGCCTCCCCACCTGGGCGCATCACGCCGTCATGGCCACGACGCCCTATTCCTCCGACCTGTCCGACTCTGACCGCGATGATGCTGGTCCTTCCACCCGTCGTCATCTCCAAGTCTCGTCATCCAAGGCAGATCCAGAAGTCCTAGCCCCTATCGTCGACCCACTACTAGCATCGCGGAGAGTCAACTACTACCACTCTCCCCTCATCGGAAGCTTCTCGTATGGATATGGACATCCCATGAAACCGCAGAGGATGAGAATGGCCCATTCCCTCATTAGTGCCTATGGACTTGATCAGTGCATGACACTCAGGGAGCCAAAAGAGGCGGACAAGGTTGATATGACCAGGTTTCACACGGATGAGTACATCGACTTTCTCGAGAGGGTCAATCCTGATAACGGCATGGCGCTTACAGGCGCCGGTACAAGGTGTGAGTGAGAGAGCTGGCTCAGACGCGAGCGAGACTGGCAGGTAAGCTCAAGAACTGACCCTGTCATGAGACACAATCCTTCCGCTACACTCCCTGTCCACAGTCCTCGTAGGAGAGGACTGTCCGCCCTTTCAGTCCGTGTTTCAATTCTGCTCCCTCTCCAGCGGAGGATCCATCAGCGCTGCCAATGCCATCAACAGCGGCTCAGCAGACATAGCCATCAACTGGGCTGGCGGGCTGCATCATGCCAAGAAGCGCGAAGCTAGTGGGTTCTGCTATACCAACGATATTGTTCTGGGGATATTGGAATTGCTGAGGTGAGTAATCGGGCCAGGACACGGATGTGCTGCGAGCTCGGCTGACGCAGATTACTTCGCTTTGATCTTTCCTTTTCGCGCAGGGTCCACTCCCGGGTGTTATACATTGACATCGATATTCATCACGGAGATGGCGTTGAAGAAGCCTTCTACTCTACGAATCGGGTTCTCACCCTCTCCATACACAAGTTCGGAGACTTTTTCCCAGGTACTGGAGACGTCAAAGACGTTGGTATCGGGCCGGGCAAGGGATATGCTGTCAATGTACCTCTGCGGGACGGTGTCGGAGACCGGGAATACCAGTCGTTGCTGTTCCAACCGGTCGTCCAGCATATCATGGAGTGGTACCGCCCTGGAGCTGTCGTTCTGCAATGTGGAGCGGACTCTCTCGCAGGAGACAAGCTCGGATGCTTCAATCTTTCAATGAGGGGCCACGCAGCATGCGTGTCCTATTTGCAATCATTCAACGTGCCTCTCCTCATGGTCGGGGGAGGTGGCTATACCGTGCGGAATGTTGCTAGAACCTGGACATACGAGACTGCTCTGCTCCTTGGCAGAGAGCCAGATGAAGACCTTCCCTTTAACGAGTACATGAACTGGTTCGGACCCGAGTACAAGCTCGACGTCAGACCTACCTCGATGGAGAATCTCAACTCGGATGCCTATCTTGAAGGTCTCAGGAGCAGAATCATAGACACGTTGAGGGGCTTGCCGTTTGCTCCGAGCGTACAGATGCAGCCTACGCCCAAGTATGCGCTGAATGCCCACGCGGAAGGCCAGCTGAGCGACTCGGAGGAAGAAGGAGAGCTGGAGAAAAGGATCAGCAGTGAGTACACGTCTGCACATCAGAAGCGGCAGGATCCCCGAGCTGACACTTTCTTCTCAAACCCACACAGAAAGAGTTACTCGAGCCCGCATACAGCAACAGCTTGATTCGCCGCTATCCGACGCCGAGTCTTCCCTTGACGAGGAAGAGGAAGGACAAGGGCAGGAGAACGGCTCTCGCTACTCTTCTGCCGCGCGTCAGGAGACCAAGAGACGCGACCGCTCAGACCGGACCCTGAAGCGACTTCTGTGGTCTGGCAACCAGTCGCTCGACCAGGCCAACGGACGTCAGCGAAGCTTCTTCGAGAGGGAAGGAAGTGTCATGTCTACGGCCTCCTCCGTTGCCGGACCGGGCAAGAGCTGGCTCGGCATGGGCTACTCGCCCAGCGGCCTCGCCAACGGCGGAGGAGGGATGGGTGGCCCTCCCGAAGCTCTGAAGCGCATCTTGGCCAACGCAAACAGGCAAGGCAGCTTAAGTCTTGGCAGAAATGGCGGGCCGAGCGCGAGGAACAGTCGTCTGAGAGGTCTCGACTCCGATATGGACCTAGACTCGGAGCTGGACGATGAAGACGGAGACGAGGATGTGCGGATGGATGAGAGCAGTGATGATGGCGGAGCCTCCTCGGACGAGGAAGGAGCTTCGGGCTATCAGAATGGCGCTTCACACAAGAGGAGAGGAATCCGCGGGGCTGCAGGTCTCGAAAGCGTCACCTCTAGCTCTGGTCCCTCACGGCGGCGGACGAACGGCGACTCATCTCTCAATGGCGGTTCTGGAAACCTTACTAGAGCGGGTAGACCAAAGAGGAGCTTCTTCGATAGCGCTAGACCCCTCCTCAATGGCCGCGCCAATGGGGACGGCAGTAGAGGCAGCCGCAACGCCTCTTTCGCACCACCTCTACCAACTCAGGCGCAACAGCAGCAACAACTCGACGGAATCTCCGAGCCCACAGCAGCCACGACGACGGCAACGACGACGACAATGGAGCAAGACGCCACGGCCGCCCTTCAAGGCTCCGAGTCCCTCGACCAGCGTCAGCGCGAGCTTGAGCGGGGCAGGCGGGGCGAGGGAGGTGGGAGTGATGTCACTTCCCTTGTTGTCGGAGGCAACGGTGGTACGGACTTGTCTTCTGCTGCTGACGGTAGTGGTGTGGAAGGGTCAGGGGAAGGCGCAACAGGTGGAGCTACGGCGGTACAGCAGGGCAAGGACGCTGTAAGTGGAGCTGCGACTGCTACTACTACTACTACGACGACTGCTCCTGGCTTCTCTTGGATGGGAGAGGGGGGAGGAGCTTCTTGAGAAAAGCTTTCTGAACTTTGAGGTTCGGAAGGGATGTGTACAGTACCCATACAAGTAGCAAATGAGAAGTAAAAGTAGCACTTAGTATTCGCACGAGCACGAGTGAGCATCGAGGCATTGGAGAAGAGATTGTGCGGACTGTGATTGTCGCTATAAGGAAGGGTCAGGATTGGCTCACAGATGTCAAACAGGAGCTCATCAATCAGAGATGTGTCGATCAGCCAGTACGGGATAGGTCCGTACTGCCATCTAGTCATTTTGGTTGGAGAAAGACGCGCATGTCTACATGACACTGGTAGCGCGCCGGTGCTCGGGAGCTCAAGCGCCGACAAGTGCGGCATCAGATCCCTGCACTCCATTCACCTGACCCCTAGTCGCACCTCCCAATGTGGCCAAAATCCCATCAATAGCCCGATCCCATTCTTGCAGTCTCCCTTCCAAAAGAGTCCACTGCTCCCTCCCAAAGGTGCGGTAGGTAGAGCGGTACACTCTCAGACTCTGGTTTACCTGGGAGAGCTTCCCGCTGATGAGACCGGCGCGGATCACATCGATGATCCAGCTCTCCACGTCAGAGGAGGGGACGTCGATTGCAGATGAGAGCTGGGAGTAGGGGACTTCGGCTGTGGAAGAAGGAGCGGAAGGGGCAGAGGCACTTTCGTCCGAAGAAGTCTTGACAGCTGAAGAGGAAGAGGACTTTGCTGCTTCGACTGCTCTTGAGCAGAGAGAGGCAACCTCCAGCAGCCGCACCTTGCGCTCAACGACGGACTTGTCTACCTGCAGTCGAGAGAGGTCAGAAGCATTGCTGCCTTCTGCGATCCACTTTGTCCAGTCTTGGTAGGAACCCTGCACCAGGAGCTTCAGTAGCGAGAAGAGGGATGAAGAGGAGAGGGACGACTCGACTGCCGAGAGCTTGAGGAGAGCATCGAACTCGAAGATCTTGGGCAGGGAAAGAGCAGTAGCGAAGGTCTTCTCGGCTGCTGCCTTGGTAGCCTCACTCGAGGTAGCTGCTCCTGGTGTAGTAGAGAGGTATGTGAGGTGAGCCAACCTGAAGTCGTACGACTTCTGAGTGAGGTTGTCGCCCGACGATTCGAGCTTCGAAGCAACCGTCTCCAGAGCTGCAGCCTTTTGCGACTCGGGAATGGACCACTGTGCGAGCCAGGTGGGGAGAGAAGCAAGAGCGGGGGAGAGGAGGTCGACTTCGTCGTTGGAAGCGGCTAGGTCGAGCATGGAGAGGAAGATCTTCTCGCGAAGGGGAGAGGTGGAGGGAAGGGTGTTGAAGATGTTCGACAGGCTGGAAGGGAGAGCGAAGGGGTAGCATGAGAGATCAGCTAAGCTGTATGAGATGTGGCATAGGCTCTTTTCCTTTGCTCCGTTTGAGCACTCACATCCTGTACTTGACCATCTCCCTAGCGGGCGATGCTGCAGAGGCTGCGCCGGACTCGCTAATGACTGCTGAGATGTGCTGTTCTGCTAGCTTCTGCGATGTTTCAGCGTCAGCTACCGATAAGATCATTGCCGAGAGGAGATTGTGTGCTCCTTCTAGCTCTATTGGGACGAAATGTGGCAGATGGAATCATGCAGAGGTGAGTACAAGAGGTGAGTACTGTTCCGTCCTGACTCAAGCAAGAGGCAGCTGCAATGCTCTATCGCTACGCTTACTCACCCCTCTCGGTACCATCTCCCAGCGTCTTGACCTCTGCTGCCAATGCCTGTACCACCTCATCCCTCTTTGCTTGATCCTCTCCAGCTTCTGCAGCCCTTGTGCTCCAAGAGTTGATATAGTCGGATCGCTCTGCCTCTGGCTTAGACCTGGACACGAGTGCGGCAATGTCCAGTGCCTGATCGGCCAGAGAAGAGTCTGACAGGACGATGGAGGACATCCTGTATGTGAGTGTGTGAGTGTGTGGTGTGTGAGGATGTATGCGTGAGGGTGTTGGTATGGTAGACCTTCTTGATTGCCTGCGTTGGATCTTCCTCGCTGCCTGCTCCTGCCTTCCTCGCCTCTGAGCCAAAAGATGAATTCTTGGGCGGGCAGTCGAGGCGCGCTCGGCTCCGAACCCCTTTCTCCTGTCGCGCCACGCTCAGAGGCCATGGAAGTTAAATTGAGCGTGTGTGGGCCAGTGCACAGACAAAAGTCGCGACTGGCTCAAAGGGGAAGCCCCGTCTGACGTCCTTGCCGTCGTCCATCCGTACAGCCACTCACACCTGGCAATGGCGTACGTAGCCCCAGGGTATCCTCGCCATATGGCAAGCGAGGATGACCACTACTACGCACAGTATACGGGCCACCGAGGTGGACCGCCATCAGAGGGTGAGCAGCCTTCAATGGCGGACGATCAAGAGCTAGCATGGTACTATCATCAGCAGCAACAGCATCAGCTATACCTCCAGCAACAATGGGCGGAGCAACAGCATCTGATACATCTTCAGGCGCAGAGCGGATATCAGACTGATGACTTCTACGATGAAGAGACGGCAATCAAAAGTGAAGCAATCGAGGCAGCGTATGATCAATTGTGAGTAGCAGAGGACCAGGTAGCGAGGCGTGCCTGTCAGACCCACTGACACATCTCATTCATGGTCCACTTTTCTGTGGCAGCTACGACGACTTCATGAGAGCAGGACCATCTGTTCGTTCGCCGCCGAGAACAGGCGCTTCTGCACTGGCCCCAATCACAATACAAGATGACCATGAAGCGCCGGGGTACACCGAACCATACCAGGCCTACCCTCGGGCTTATCAAGACATCCCTGACGACTACCGAAATGAGCAGCACCCAGAGGCCTTTCCTTCGCGACCTCCACCTCGAACGCATCACTCGCTCCCCATTGCAGCATCCTCCTCCTCTGCTGTCACTTCCTCTGCTTCCTCATCTTCGCTCGACCCCAGAATGGTACGCTCCGAACGTTCCACGCCCCTGACATCCGACTCCGGCCTATCGGCGAAGCTGGGCGTGAAGCTGAAAAGGGGGCGCGAGCCAAGGATCGGGCGAGAGGAGGGAAGGGTCATTGTGGCTCGGGAAGAAGAGCATGAGGCGAAGCCTAATGACGCGAGCTCGAGCCGATATGGCGACTCTGTACAGAGTGATATCGGGTGGGCAGACCAAGCCGCTGCCTTCGATCATGAAAATTTCGATGATGAGTCTACCTCTCCATCTACGGGTAGTCTTGCTACCCTCAATCCTACTCCGACAAGAAGGAAGCCTGGGCGTCCACGCGGTTGGCGTGAGCTAGCGTCCATCAACCCCACTCCTCTCCCCCTCACGCCAAAGAAGCTGCGCAACGGTAGAGTGAGGAATCGCAGCCGTGAGAGCAGTGCAAGTGCGAGCTCATCCAGTGAAGAGGACGGCGAGCAGGATCGACTCAACGAGGTGCGACATGAAGTCTATCGGCCTCAATACCGTCTCGCTAGGCCCTACCGTCGACGTGTGGCCGGCGCGGACGCGGACAAAGGGAAAAAGTCTCGAACCATCAAGGAACGTAGTCTCAAGATCAGTCTATCAGCTGATTCTGCGGAAGAGAACATCGCTTTGCCTGCTCAAATTCCCGCCACACCTGCATGGACCAAGCCCTGGATCCTTAAGAATGAGACACACGAAGAGGACGATGCGGTACCCAGCTACCCAGAAGTACACTACTTCATCCGCTGGATGCACGATCTTTACCATGCACGAAAGTCTGCCCGGGGTCAGACGGAGCTGATGGAGCAGTGGGGCTTGAGCTCACTACCGCCCAACAGTCAAGAAGAAGCGACGAAGCAGCGTTCTCCAGCGCGAGCAAGGGACGGGAATAGGGCGATTGATACTCCGAGCAGCAAGAAGAGAGACGCAGAGGACGATGAAGACGATGCAGCCGTCGCTTGTCTCCTCTTCTCTGACGAAGCCGAACGGCCAACACCAAGGAGGCTCGAGGCATGCCCTCTTTCGCCAATGGCTTCCCCAGGCCCAGCTCAAGCACAAAAGAGCCGCACGCCTTCACCATCTGGAGCTACTGCCGCCTCCCCTCCTTCCCCTCCCCACGCCATCTCCACCACTCCCGCTCCCGCCCCCCTCTGGCTCGCGACGATCGCCACGCGCATATCCATCCTCGACACTGCCGAAAAACCCTCTCTCTACGCACGAGCAAGAGGCACACCGCAGGACTACCCGCGCTTGCTACGGGAGCAGTTCTCCACGCGTGTTCTCAGAGGGGTGGAGAGTCAGGGCGGGAGAGAAGGGGGTGAGGCGCCACCCGCAGCCGCCGGCGCTGCTGTTAGTGCTGGTGCCGGTGCTGTCCCTAATCCTAGTCCACTCGAGGATCTACAGCGCGTCAGTATCGCCCTGCCTCTTCCTGCTGCGGGGCGGCCCAATGGCCGCAGGTCCTGGCCCTCATCACTGGAGACCAAACCCCTCTGGGAACACTTTGTAGCGCGCTATCGCCTCAAGAGGTCTCAAGGGTGCTCACACGAGGAGGCTCTTTGGTGTGGACCTGCTTTATCTTTGCCTGTGCTTTCACTAGAGAGAGAGGAGAGGCACGAGGAGGCTAGGCAGAGAGGGGAAGGGGAAGAGGAAGAGGTGCAGGAAGAGGAGATGAAGAGCACGAAAGCGAAGAGGGGGGCTCCTTTGATCCTGAGGAGGAACCTGCCTAGGGCTGTTAGGAAGAGAGTCTAGGCAGAGGACGAGGGAGCGCTAGTTTACTAGAGCAGGTCTACAGAAACGACACGACACGACACTAGGCGCCAGCTTTTCATGAGTTTGTAAAATACTTATTGCTTCCTCCATTCATGCATGCAAGGTCATTCCATACTCTATTCCCAGTCTGAAATGTCGCCTCGCATACGCATAAACGTGTATTTCATATCCACTCGCACTATGCGTATCCAAACGCACGCGCACATCCATGTCCATATCCATTGCGCTATTCACGCTGCATTGCTCAGCCCAAAGTGTAAACAGAACAACAACAGATCGAGATTGAGATTGAGATTGAGATTGCGGCGGAGACAGAGATTGAGACAGAGACAGAGACAGGAGGATCAGCGTCTTCTCCCACTCCTCCTGACCGGTTTTCCCACCATTGCTCCTCCACCTCCAGCTCCACGCCTCGTAGCAGTTTCATCCCCATCCCCATCCCCATCCTCCTTGTGCAGCCCATCTTCCACTCCCTCTTCCCCAGCACTACCCTGACCTCTCTCCTCATCCTCATCCTCACCCTGATCCTCATCAGCTGCGGTACTAGTACTAAGAACACTCATACTTCTAGTCCGAGTGCGGAGATTTCTTCCTTTGCTTCTACTTCTACTTGCACTTGCACTTCCAAAGTCCAATTGATGACCAAGCGCATCCCCTTGTTCTCCATCCTCCTCTCCGTACCCATACCCATCTCCACCCCCATCCTCGTCCTCGTCCTCATCTCCATCTCCAAAGCGGGATGAAAGAACAGAAGAAGCGCGGGAAGAGCCTCGAGTGTTGCGCGATTTGGTAGTGGCATTGGTATTGGTATTGGTATTGGTATTGGTATTGGTGTTGGTTCGACGAGCAGACCTGCGAACAGGTGTAGACTCGGTAGGCCCTACTGCTGCTCCTGCACCTCCCTTTGTGGCAGAGGCAGAGGCAGAGGCAGAAGGAGTCTTCGCGCGAGTAGTCCTGCGCGGTGTACCTGTACTCGCACCCTTCTTACTGCTGCTGCTGCGAGAGGTGGGTCGACCTGCCGAGGGAAGCTCGAGCATCTCAGGCGGGGCATCAGCATTCCTCTCTTGTTGTTGTTGACGTTGCGCAGACTCTTCTTCTTGAGCATCACCCTCGCCGTCTTCATCGCTTGGCGCTGCGCCTGGGAACGAGCCAGGCACGGATTCGGATTGAGCTCGGGTGGAGCGGCGGGTCCCCGTTGCTGGCGTGGTTGGAGCAGCAGTGGACTGCTTCTTTCCACCTGTGCTTCGCGGTGTCTTTCTGCTTGCAGGGAGGGCTGGAGCTTCCTCGTCCTCTCGTTGCGGAGCAGCGTTCACTAAGCTACTCATCGTCGTGCTCTTCCTAAGTCCCGAGGCACCTCGAGTCCTACTGGTTTGCCCCTCCCTGGCCGGAGCCGGGGCCGGACTGGCAGAAGCATTCCTAGCATTCCTAGCCCCAGCTGGCGTTTCGCTCTTCTTTGAGCTCACCTGGTGCTTCTTGGTGTAGCGTCGCTTGGGAACCTCGAACCCGCCGCGACTGTGCTGCTGCTCGAATGAAGCGTCTCCACCATCTTCGACTGCTCGCGCTCCTTCTCCTCCGCTGGCAGAAGCAGAAGCTGAAGCTTCAGCGTCCAGCCTGCGTGTGGCAAGACTCCTCTTTTGTGGGAGGAGAGAGGCAAGAAGAACACTCTCGTCACCTGGTGCTGCGCCTGCTTGGCCCTCTCCATTAGCTTGAGATGCGAGCTGCGCGGCCAGTCGAGCATACGGGCCTTCTTCCGACTCTCCCGCCGCTGCATCACCGGAACGTGCCTGAGCTGGCGCTTGTGCCCTACCAGGTGTAGGAGTGAAGCGTGTGCCAGAGGGCGAAGCACGCGAGAAGGATGCCTCGCCACGACTTGCTGCAAATGCGAGGGGAGACTGCGAGATGAGGGGGACGTGTACTCGCTGATGGACGGGGGTAGAACGTTGTTGAGGAGGTGGGGGGGTTGCTGCCATTAAGAGGCGCGATGAGGAAGTCGATTCTGCGAGGCGGTTGTGCATGTAGCCTCTGATGGGAACGTTTGAACTTGGAGTACCGGCATTGAAGCTGGCAGTTGGGGCTGGAGATTGTGCGAATTCTGCTATCGTCTCTGAAGCGACGACGTCTTCTTCCATCTGGTCGTCTCTTGAGGACGATTCAGCGCTCTTCTCCTCCTCTGCCACCCTCATCTCTTCCAATTGACTCCTGACCACCTTTGGCAACATCTCCCTTGCCAGCCTCAGCATTTCCCTCCTCTTCTTGCGCCTTTGAGCTCCTGCTTCGCCCCCTTCTTCCTCGACTGTAGCATTTCCCTGCGATTCTTCCGCAAGACTATTGACCTTGAGCGCGTCCAGCACTCGACCTGCATTGAGCAAACGTACCAGCAGCGTATCCAATGCAAGCTGACGAGCTCGAAGCAGTGCCGAAGAGGAAGTCTTTGTGCTTGGGCTTGCGTTGCGGCCCAGAGAAAAGGCGACTAGTGTCTGCACCTCGCTGTCCGAGAGCGGCAGAGCGATGACTGACTGCAGCAGAGAGGAGCGGATGTGGGTAGTCTGGCTGCTCTGCTGAAGTTGAAAGAGCCACTGCCACAGGGTAGCAAAGAGAATCTTATGCTCTGAAATGGGTCTCTCTCTAATGAGCTCCAGTGCGCCTTGCAGACCTTCGACGATTGCCTTGCCAACGACGACTGCTTCCACCACATCTAGATCCGCCTGTGTCTCGGGCAGAATGGGCTTGGCGATTCTAACGTACTTGATCAGGCATTCTGCTTTGTTGAAGGGTTGCTCATTGCTCCTCAATGGGCTCAGTGTCCTGAGTATATGGTTCGCATACGCACTCGAGTTGGCATTATTGAGCCAGGGAACAGCTTCATTGTGCAATCCCTTGTCGAACCTCCAGAATCCTCGCTCGACGCTGTCCGTCCAGAAGGCGGGGAGGAGGTGGTTGATGGCAAATTGCGCAATGATGGGAGAGCGTGGAGCGAGAGACGAGAGGGAGGTCACGGCAGATGCGTACCCTGACTTGTCCGCAGGGAGGAGGTGGTAGTCGAGCAGGAGGTAGTAGAGGAGGGCATTGCGGCGCAGGGTATCAAAGAGCGAGTCCTGCACTGCGAGGATCAGCTCGCCGAGCTCTGGATATGTCCGTGGTGGGTAGAGGGTAGCGTCTACACCTGCCGAGGTGAGGAGCGAGGAGATGATAGAAGGGGAGGTGGGGGTGGGCGGTATGGGGATGGCATCGTGGGCTGACTTGCGGGGAAAGTAGGCCAGCACGGGCGAGTGAAAGGGAATGTCCTGATGGTCGTCGATGGCAGAAGGCATCCTGCTGCTGCTATCGCCATACTCCATCTGCGGCGAGGACGTGGGTGAGAGAGGATGACTGATAGCGAGGCAGGACTGCTTTCCCTCTCGACCTTGGACCATGACCACTTCTTCTTGCCTTTGACGCGCGCCGAGGCGAGGCGCTGCCTGTGCGTGCGTGGGTGCGTGGAGTGGATTGGCTGTGTGTCCGTGTGGCAGCGCAACCAACACCTTCCATTGCACCTCTACCACCGCATCACCAATACCAATACCCACCACTCTCCCGCCCAGGATGTCATCTCTCACCTCGACACTCTTCTACAAGTCTGCCTTCCCAGGCTGCATCGCACACGTCAGCTCCCTTAACTCTCCCGGACCCCTCGATGTATGCTTCTCCGTCCGAGCCCACCTAGCCCTCTCCCCACCCAACACCTCTGCTGCCCGCTCTCTCATCGATGCCCACTCTGCCCCTCTGGGGGAAAGCACCACCAAGGCTCTGCGCATCTTCACAGACGTCATCGAGGCCGTCGCTGCGAGTACACCAGGAGCAGGCGGGGAGGAGCAGGAGGAGGATCGCGATCTTGGCAATCAAGTTGTGGCTTTAAGCGAGGTGCACGAGGCTATCATCGAGGGTGTAGAATACTTTGATGGAGAGGAAGAACAAGTGGAATGTCTCCTTGCTACAACACAATACCTAGATCAGGATCCCATTGGTGCCCTCGAAACACTAAAGGTGAACTCTGCCGCTGCAGGGGGAGACCCACAGAAGAATCTGGGCAGTATTGCCCTCGCAGTGCACATCCTCCTCCTCATCCACCGACCCGACGTAGCACAAAAGCTGTACGACTCCGCTCGAACCTGGGCCGAGGACTCTTTGGTAATCCAGCTAGTAGAGGCTTCTCTAGGCGTTTACAAGGGTGGCAGACCAGCCCAACAGGCCTACTACGTCTACGATGAATTCAGCTCCCTCGCTGCTTCTTCTGAAGAGGGTAAAGGGGGTAGATTGGCTAGTATGAGAATGGGAAGGGGAGTGGCATTGATGAGAAGGGGAGAGTGGAAAAAGGCAGAAGAGAGTGTAAGGGAGGCGGGGACTTCGCTACAACAGGGAGGTGATGCAGAGGAGGGAAAGAATGGACTGGCAAAGGAAGTCAAGGCGAATCTGGCTGTACTGGCTGGCTACCTCAACCCTCAGAGCAAGCTCGGTAACCCTGGACAAGAATACCTAAAGTGAGTAGAAAGAGACGTAGTCGACGTAGATTGCAGTGATAGCGAGTTCTAGTCTGACCCGTGATACATCTCATCCCGTACAGCGGCCTTGCAAGCCCTGCACCCCCTCATCAACTCTCGACGTCTCTCTCAGAGATGGACAAGAGGTTCGACGAACTCGTGGCCAGCAGAGCAGTAGCAGCCGCCAGCTCATGAGCAGCAAGCGTAACGGGGGGGACCGTGGGCTCCAGATTGCAGTGCTCGATAGATAAATAGCAGACTTCTCATACCGCAGTATTGCGACCGAAACGCAGTGACGCCTGAACTTCTTGGTATTGCTCTCTTCTCCCCTCCTCTAATACCTCTCTCTGTGCAGCTTCCCCACTCTCCCTTCTCCCTCCCCTCACGCACTCACTCACTTTCCAACATACTCCTCACGCAACATCCTCTTCCTCTCGCGTAGAATAAACTTCTCCGTCTCCTGTCGATTGGGCACCACTGGTTGGGAGAGCTGCGAGGCGTCCAGAGCGGGGAGGATCTGTGCTAGAAGGTCCTCCTGAGGTCGAGGACGCTTGGAGTTGTCTTCCTCTTCCTCCCCAGCGGTGGAACTCTTGCGCTTCCCGTCCTCTGTGAGAGGGGCATCGGCACCGGCTGAGGACGACGATGTTGGGTCCTGTGTCGGGTCTGTCTTTGCTGGAGCCGTAGTGCTGCTGCTGCTGCTGCTGCTGCTGCTGGACGAGGAGGCCATGACTTCCCTGAGATTCCGAGCCTTCCGTCTGGGCAATTCCATCGGCAATCCAGCCGCGTCGGCCGAGCCACCAAGAGCCTCTGCCACCTCCTCCAATCCATCCTGCCACATTTCCCTCTCCCTCTCCTCCTCTTCTGCCAACAAGACCCCATCCTCTTCGTCTTCGTCACCCCAATATGCTGGAGGCTGGTTCATAAAGCGACGATACTTTTCGGCTTTGTAGGATTCTTGCTCTTGGGCTCTGGCGGTGGACGAGGAAGAGGAGAGGAGCTCCTTTACGCCTGGGAGATCTTTGGCTCGGCCGAAGTACCTGTACAGCGAGAGAGTGAGGCAGTGGAGGAGCCAGCAAGGCAACGTCAGTAAATATGGTCTCATATCATGTCACATCCTTGCCAGCTCAGTGGTCCTCACTTGTACCCTCTTGTACCAGGAATCTCCCTCCCTGCATCATCAACCATGGACCGAATGCCGCGCTTGTAGTTTGCCCCTCCAAGTGCAATGATCTGATTCTCCCAGTGATTCTTCTCCCGCAGCAGCTTGTTGATCTCATCATTGATATCCCGCACTTCATAGTCCGTCAAGCCGACTGTCAGAGGGTAGTAGGAGAGGAAGACAGTAGAGATCAGTCAGTGTCTCCCGCCCATTTCATCATCTCATCTTCCGCTTCAGCAACTCACAATCCTGAATCTTCGAGACCTTCCTACTAATCTCCCTGAGTACATCTCCCCTCCATTTCTCACACTCCCGCAGGTCTTTGACTGAGCTCGCCAGTCGGGGACGTCGTTGGTCTTTAGATCGGCCGAGGGAGATGCCGAGCTCTGCTGCTTGCGACTCGCGGAAGCGGTAGAGCATAGACTGGGCTTTCTCTTGATTGCGCGCCATGGTGGATGGCGGGTCGAGAGTGGGGAGAAGTAGATGAAGGGAGACCAGTACACCTCAGATGGGCCAAGGTGAAGATGAGATGGGTTGTAAAGGGAAGCAGTCGTGCGTCGATGCGGAGGGATGGACGGAAGTGAGGCTTGGCCCAGGCGCACAGTCGATGGGAATTTTGACTTGGACACAATTGGGATCTTCCGATTCTCCTGCGAGTTGCCATACGCAATACCCTACAGTCCTCAGCATACCATGGCAGCCAGCGCCAGCCAAGACAAGGGAGAAGGTCCCAGCCATTCCAGCACAAGCGCAAGCAAGCACGCCTTCATCTCCTTTCCCGGCGCTCTCTACACGCACTCCTCCGTCCTGCGGGCAGCTCACTCCACTCTCGCTCCTGCAGGATGGACCCTCCACGAACGGGCGCATAGCGGGCAGACAGATGAGGATACGGTGCAATGGGTGCAGGAAGAATCGGGGACTGAGAGCTCCAGCTCCAGCTCTAGCTCTAGTGCACAAAGGACTCTCTACTTGATGGACTACGACTTGATCCCCTTTGATTCCATTCACCCTTCACGAGCCTCGGGCAGCAGCACCTCTGCCTCCTCTGCCTCCTCATACCCGATTCGCAAGGCACTCATACGGAAGAACTGGCTCTACAGTAGTATCCAATCGCACTCTGTCAAAAGCTCCTCCTCCTCCTCAGCAGCAGCAGTGGCGGGTCAAGGGTCTCGATCTGCCCTCTCCTACCTGCCGCGCACTTGGTCTGTAGACATTCAATTCGCAGACGATCTAGACGAGTTGCTCATAGATGAGCTCTACGACCTCAAAGAGATCCTCGACAAGGCTGAGGGCGAGGGAGAGGAAAAGAAGTGGTTTATCCTCAAGGCTGGAATGGCCGATCGAGGAATGGGGATCAAGATGTTTGATAGTCTCGAGGCGCTGCAGGGGATTCTAGAGGAGTGGGAGGGGGACGAGGATAGTGACAAGGGGAGTGATAGCGAGGGAGAGCAGGAAGAGGAGATTGAGGGCGAGGACGAGGGCGACAATGGTGTCCTACTAGGGCAGCTGCGGCATTTTGTCATTCAAGTGAGTTGCGAAGAAGAGTTCTGAGAGGCTCCCTTTCCCCCTTACTCACCCACACTTTCTGCTCTTTCTCTCTCTCAGGAATACCTCTCCCGTCCCCTCCTAATCGCCCCCAACTCCTCCCATCCCACATCGTATCGCAAATTCCACCTCCGAGCCTACGTCCTCTGCATCGGCGGTCTACGCGTCCATCTCTGGGACGAAATGCTAGCCCTCTTCGCCCCTGCTCCTTACCAGGACCCCACGGAGGATTGCGACCCGAAGATTCACCTTACAAATACCTGCTTGCACGCGGATGGGTCCCTTACAGAGGATGGACGCTTAGCGCAGGAGAATGTTCACCTACTTTCGGACCTCTGTAGAGAAGGGGCGAGGTATGCCCCAAGTCGCCCAGGTGGTCGTACTGGAGGCAAGCTGACAGGGGAGGATTGGCAGCGACTCAAATCTCTCGCAAAGGCCACGATTGGCGCAACTTTTGAGGCTGCAGCCAAGGGGAGTGGTTCCACCAATTGGCTCATGTGGGAGGGATGCTGGGAGGTGCTCGGTGTAGACCTCATGGTTGGTTGGGAGGGGGAGGGCGAGGGGGAGAGGGGAGGGTGGAGAATGTGGCTCCTCGAAGTAAATGCTGTGAGTACTCTCTCTCCTCCTTCCCTTAGAAAAGAAAAAAAGGAAAAGAAAGAAAGCATTAGTGGGCAGTCGCTAACTCCTTCCCATCTCCGGGTCTCCCTTTGCCTTGATCAGCAACCGGACTTTGCGCAATCAGGTCCTCGTTTGCAAAAGACTATCGACGACCTCTTCTGCGCTTCACTAAGACTTGCCGTTCTAGGAGAGACCCTGAATACAGAAGCAGAAGCAGACGCGACTTCAGGGATGAGTCTATGTTTTGAGGAACAGATGAGGGGAAATTGGTAGACTAGATAGATGAGGGCTGGGCTAGGCTTCAGTTGGGCTGAGGTTTCGGTCTGGTTTCTGGTCATCAAGTCGAATAAGATTACTAGACATGAGGCTATAAGACGTAAGATGCAAGCATTGTGGGACCCTGCACATTCCTTTCAGTGGCCCGTCGTCAAGTCCTTGCCTCGCCTCGCCTCACCTCGCCTCGTATTAGACGCCTGAGGAGCGTCTTGTCGAGAACGAACGCCCGGAGCGACCTACGTCCTAGCACGAGCCTTCTTGACCCTGAGCGGCATCTGCATTCCCACTTTTTCCTGTCCCGTCACAACTCCCCTAAGAACAATTTCCTGCTTCGGTTCGATATTCCATCCTTCTACCCTCTCAAAATCGAAATTCCTCACTAGACAGGCCAGTAGAACCTTGAATTCTACAATGGCGAAGCGTTGACCAACACAGGAGCGGGGGCCAGAGAGGAAAGTGAGGATGTGCATGGGCAGGCCGGAATCTCTTGCCGAGGCGGGGAGATTTTCTGGTAGCCAACGAGAAGGGTCGAATTCTCTTGCCGTGGGACCCCAGACGGGCTCGCTGAAGTTGACCACTTGCAGGGGGATGATCAGGTCTTGATTCTTAAAGACGCGAACAGAGTCGAATGTACCGCTGCCGTCGCGGAGTGCGTAGCTCTTTCCCAATGGAATCACATCGTCCTTGAGACACATACGTGCAGTGGAGGTGACGGGGGCGTAACAGCGGTGCATCTCCTTTGTGACACAATCGAGGTATTGCATGTTTTGCACTTCGTCGTAGGAAATCTCCTCTTGGTCACCGAAGACGGACTCGATTTCGGCGCGCATCTTGCTGACCACTTCAGGGTGCGTGGACAGACAGTAGAGGGCCCATTGCGTTTGCGTAGAGGTCGTCTCGTGCCCGGCGAGCATGAATGAAGTCATCTGACCGAGGAGCTCTGGAGACGGGGGAAGAAAGTCGAGGTGAATGGGAACATTATCAGGTCTGGCATGCGCAGAGAGGCCCATCGCTCGCACTCACCATCATCATCCAGCTTCTCGTTGGCACGCAGGTCGCTAGCCATATTCGCCCTCATGGTCAAGTGCAACAAGTCCTTTGCCTTGCCTCCATCAATGTCCTCATCGAATGCACTCTTGCTCAGCCCCTTTTCGCCCAGTGCTGCCATCTCCTTCTTGATCTCCTCTCGCTTGGCAGAAATGATCTTCTGCGCAGCCCGCTCCATGGCCAAATACATGTTCCGGCGATTGTCAGCTCGCTTCGAGGGAAGCTTACGAATCCAGCCCATTCCTGGGCGAGTCTGGAGGAAGATCCGTAGGATGTCCGTTACCTTGAGACCCGACGTGGAGCTGAAGAGAGCATTGAGTGTGGAGCCGAGATCATCTCCATCCCCTGAGTCCTTTGATTCGAGGGACTTGAAGTCGTAGCCGAAGCCATTCTCACCGATGATGTCAAGTGTGCATTTGCCAAGCCAGAAGCCGACATCAAAGACGGGCTCGCCCTTGCGAGAAACTTTGGAGGCGTAGTCTGACTGGCCGCCCAGGAAAGATTTTTCGGCAGGGCCCTCGGTGCGGTCGATGAGCTCTTCGATGACCCGGACGAGGTGCAGGGAATGCTTGAAGAAGGATGGCGTGAAGGAGCGTACGGAGGAGACGCTGAATGCAGGAGCTACTACACGTCTTTGGCGGCGGTGAATGTCGCCTGGAAAAAGTTCAAGTACGGAAGAGAAGAGTAAGTCAGAATCGGCTGGGGGCATACCGGTCACGCCAGCTATACTGCCACTACTCACCTTCAGCGCTGAGAATTCCCTTGCCTAGCAGCTCGTCAAGGAATTTCCTGCTGTCTCCCGGCTTGGGGTAGTCATAGGCCTGCTGCTGACTGAGGATGTAAAGCAGTCCCTTTACATCACCGATCCAGAGCCTAGGGTGGTAGAACATGGTCCGGTAGCAGTAGACCCAGCTTCCGGTCTCCTCTGCATATGCCAAGTGAGCCTCGGCAGGAGGAGCCTTTCGAATCTGAGAAAGATGTCCAAAGATGGGGAAGCTCCATAGGCTGCCTGTGTACCGTGGTCGGGGGATGTTACGGTATTCATCGAGGGGGATGACGTGTAGGAAGATGATGCGCTTGAGGGATCCGCCGAGGAGGAAGACGACTGCGCTTAGAATGGCGAGGATGGGGATGGCTACTAGACTGAGCAACACGAATGCAGGAAGGGGCACTGGTGGCGTCGAGTAGGAAGTGAATGGGAGAGAGATTGAGTAGGGCGCGAGGAAGGGGGAAGAGGAAACCATGATGAGAGTAGGCTTCGCAGCGATGGCGGCAAGAGTAGTGAATATCCTTGCAGCTCGTTTCAGACGGCTAGACAGAAGCCAGCAGGACGGACTGAGTGGCCTTGACTGGACGTGTGTCTCCGAAGTCTGTTTCTAGGTGACTCTTAGAGATAGATGGGATGGGATAGGATAGATGGTGAGGAAGGAATGGATACGCAGGGTAGAAAGGACGTCTGCCTCCCTCCTCTCTCTCTCTCTTGTAAGCTCGACACCGGTATCGGATGTCCCTCGGCGCACTAGGCTCGACTGAATGCCGGGCCAGGGAGCCAGACGAGCGAGGGAGCGGCGCTGAGCAATCCGGTGCAGATGCAGATGCGCACGCCCTGCCTGCCTGCCTGTCTGGGCGCGAAGCTTCCCTGCAGCCGAGGCGTGGCGTGAGTGGAGCCCTGCATGTCTCTCCACCCGCTTTGCTGATGAAGATAGTCAGATCCGCCCCAAGCTCCGCCGGAGGGCAGCAGCACCAGCGACTCGGCGGGGAGTGGAGTGAGAGGAGGGTCGAGGAGGGTGGCAGTGATGGGATCGTAGGCAAGTGGATCATACCGCAGCTCGAGCTCAATGGCGAGGAAGTAAAGTGCGGCGTATGACGCCAGGTGAACAAGGATTCTCGGCCGGAAGGGCGTGCAGCCTGTGCCTGAGTGCGGCAGGCGTGGAAGCAAAGCGCCGAGGTCAGGGCAAAGGAGCAACTCGGTGCCGTCGCCGCACGCACCTCGTATCACACACTCGCCCCTCCTGACCAAGTCATCACAACTCACCAACACCTCCTGCTTCATCACGTAGCCCCCAATGACAGCTTCACGTAGAGGCTCGGCGCCCAGCGCTGCACCCTCTCGACGGCAGTCTCTCATCTCCAAGCAGACGGCACCCGTGGTCAATGACCTCAGACCCAGCGATCTCCTCATCTCGCGTTTCAAAGGTGAGTCAAGACATCGTAGGGTAGCGTGCGCAGCGTCACATACACAATGAGAGCTCCACTTAGAGGCAGCATTACCTACATCTGACATGAATGCCTTGTCTGGTGTGCGCAGGATGGAAACAGGTGACCAAGCAGCTGACCACCTACATGGAGGGCATCGCTGACATCGAGTACAATACTGCCAAGGAGTACAATCGCCTAGGAAGCGTCATACAAGTGCCATTCCGCGAGGGCAACCAGTTCCTTGGCGAAGGAGGTATGCAGGGTGAGTGCCGAGACTTGAGATGAACACAATCCACCACACCAATCACATCAGCTCACCCTCCATGACCGCCGCAGACATCTTCACCTCCATCCGTGACCAGACGCGCAGAGTCGCAGATCTCCACAGCGGACTGGCCAAGACCGTCGACAGCTCTATTGTGCAGCATCTACACAGACTCAATGCAGAGATCAAGGCTCACATCAAGAATATTCAGCTCGACACGGGCAAGCTGGCAGATCAGGTCGCGGTGCAGAGGGAGCTGAGCACCACGTTGATCGCACAGCTGGCAAAGAGGTGAGAGGTGATAGGACGAGGGTGTTTCAGCTCAGAGAATCATTGCGATGGTGCTAACATCATTTCCGCACAGCATCACTGCTCTCAAGAATACCCCGCTGTCCGTCAATGCTAGACAGGACCCCCACTTGCTCAACGCAGCCGTGCTGGATCAACTCGTCAGACAGGTACATGCCGAGAATCAGCTGCAAAAGTCCATCCGTAAGTGTTGAGCTCCGATCACACACATTCAAAGCACTGTGCTGTTGCTGACCGCTTGTCGTGCTCTCGTCTCAACCCAGTCATCATGCAACAAGCATCTGCCCACTTCGAGGAAGGCATCGTCCGATCTCTGCAAAGTGCCTGGGCCACCTACGATACCTGGCAGACCCAGACTGTCGCAGAGATCCAGAAGACCTGGGAAGGACCAGCGCTCGAGTTTCGCTCCCTCTTCCCGAACAAGGAGTGGGTAGCATTTGCTGCTCGATCTGATTGTCTCCTGGATCCTGACACGCCTTTCCGCAATCCAGAGGCAATCGAGTACCCCGGCAAGGGCGATCCAAGCGTCATGGCTGTCCACGAAGGCTTCCTAGAGAGGAAGAAGAGGTACACCAAGGCGTACAATGGGAGCTACTACATCCTCACTCCTGCCGGCTTCCTACACGACATGGGCCAGTCGTCAGATCCTGCCACGCTAGCGCGGCGCAACCCCACCTTCTCCCTCTTCCTGCCGGAGTGCACCCTGGGACCTGCCTCTGCCCTGATGAGCAGATCACACAAATGGCACATCACCGTCACCTCTTCCTCCACGCAGTCAGACGGATCAGGAGCGCGTCGCTCCAGTCGTCTCTTCTTCGACAAGAAGCGCGAGGTAGCATACTCTTTCCGTGCTAGAAGTCACGAGGAGATGATAGAGTGGTGGAATGACATCAAGCAGCTCTCCAGGGTGTATCTCACCAGCAGTGAACCGATGGACCGCAGTGGGATCGTGCCTGCTGCTGTCAGGGCTGCGGGGTATCCTGAGCAAGACTATAGCGACGATGAGGTTGACGATGAGGAGGGGGAGGAGCACGGCTTGGAAGCAGGAGAAGAAGAAGAAGAAGATGATGAAGACGCCGGTGGCTCCTCCGTCGACGAAGAGACAGAGACGGAGGACAACAGCCTCGTCGAGAGTCCCATGGCCTCTGCGCCACCTCAATCTGCTGTCCGCTCGTCCCAGCGAGCAGTACCGCAGCGAAGGGTGTCTATACAGGTGCAGCCTCGAGAGGGGAACAGTACAGCCGTCGATGAGCCTGAAGCTGAGCTAGAGGTAGTCGGCGAGGGAGTGCCAGGGTACGGCTCGGGCCCATCTGCCTCTTCCGGGATTCAGATTGGGCCTGGTGGGTACGCAGTCGAGAAGAAGGGGTAGTGGGAACCCGAGACACAATAACGATTCATCCGCTCTCGCTTTGTCAAGAAGATCCTATAATTCCATTGCCTTTTTAACGACACCCCACACCTCACTTGAGCTCCTCTTTCAACTGCAGCAATTCGCTCCACTCCTCCCTCTCCTCCCAATCCTTGAATCGCGCCATGAATGTCCTCAAAAGACTCCTCGCCTTGAACTTTCCCTCCTTCTCCTTGTCCATCCTAGCACTCAACGTCTCAATTGCCTCACAAGTCTCCTTCACCTCCACTACCACCTCCTTCCACAATTCCCCCGTCAAATCCGCCGCAACTTCATTCAAGCGTGCTACATCTCCAGCAGGAGAAGAACGGAAAGCGGCCAAGTGAGCTTCGAGTGCTTGAGGGTATTGGCGCGACCAGAGGAGTAAGCGGGCATGGGCTCGATGGAGACGTGGGTGGGAGAGGGCTGGGAGGAGGGTGTTTGTGAGGAGGGAGAGGAGGGAGGGGTACAACCCGCGTCCTTCGTTGGGAGAGCGACCTTTTAAGGAGGGCACTGCGGCTGAGGGAGGCGCACTGCCGTTCATAGGCACAGGGGCTGCCACGGGCACGGAGACTGCGCCCGATGTGGCTGCTTCGTACCCACTAGCATTGCTAGCTTGCGCACCTGCTGGTTGCTGTGGGGACGGCTGTAGCTGTGGTTGTGGCTGTGGTTGCTCAAGTCCCTCTGCCTGCTCCAGCCTGCGCTTCTCCTCTTCCACCTCCTCCTGAACCTCTTCAACCGTCTGTCCGGGAGAACGAATGACCGCATCGACCAACCGGTCCAGCACCTGCCAATCCACGTCTTCCTCTCCAATTCTTCCCCCTCCACCTCCAGCTCCATTGGAGGCAGAGCGTGACTTGAGTTGTACGACTTTGGCGAGGGAGCGACAAGCCTCGTTCATCTCGCCCACATCGACGCTGACGATCATGTAGTTGGACCAGACTTTCCACGAGTCGGGATTGTGACGAAGGGCGTGACGGAGACAGCGGTGCGCGAGCGTCTTGAGGACAAAGGGCGTGAGGACCTCGCGACGGGAAGCGTCCCTCTCCTGGTCATCATTGCCATCCTCGAGCTGTGCTTCGTCTGAAGAGCTGAGCTCAACGCCCGAGTCTGTGCGGAGGGTGCGGTCGGACTCGTTTCCGCCGTCCTCTCCTCGTCCCTGCTCCTCCATTTCAGGATCGTCCGCCTCGATGTCTTCGACGGTGGCACCGTTTACCATGCGCAGGTAGCAGCTGGCAAGGTTGTTCCAGGCCTCACCGTCCTCCTCATCGATGGCAGTAGTCCTACGGAAGGATCGCGCGGCTTTGCCCCACTCTTCCCTTCGCATGTACGCACAGCCGAGCATGAACCAGCTGCGCGCCATGAGAGAAGAAATCTTTAGGGCTCTGTGTAGCCAGGAGACGACTAGTCCGTAGTCTGGTGAAGCTTGAGAGAAGTATAGCCCGCCGAGGGAGCGCGCAGCGCGTGCCGAGCGTCGTCCGGAGAGCTCCCAAGCCTTCGTGTAGTGCGCTTCTGCTTGTGCTGGCTGTAGGTCTCCTAGCAAACACCACAGCTTTGCCTGACGGGCAGTGTTGAGCGTGGAAGTCATTGCAGCAGTCGCGGGCGAAGAGGAAGAGGTGGACTTGCGGCTCACAATGGCTTGCGAGGCCTCGACTTTCTTTCCCGAGAGGAGATCTTGGATCACCTCGATGCCTTCCTCTTGCCGACCCATGGATCCAAGCATGTGCACAACTTCCTCCCACAGCTCAATCTTTTCAAAGATCTCCAATGCCGATCTGAGCACACCCAACGTAGCGTACCTCTTTGCCAATTCGGCCTGAAGCTCCCATTTTGGAGGTAGGTCGAGCTGATAGAAGTACCGCAGCCGCTCTTGGGAAGTCGAGTCTGAAGTCGGCATCTGATCCAGCAGTGCTTGCAATTGCAGCACGGCTCGTTCTGCAGTACGAGTGCGTGTAGCCTCGAGACGTGATCGGAGGAGAAGAGCCATGGTGTAGACTGACCAATTGCGAGGATGCTGAGCAACTCTGGCCACAAAGGCTGAAATCTGCGATGTAGTCAGGCCATGCTCAGGAGCTGCGTTGCGGATCGCTAGGGATAGCGCCAGGAGTACAGCCTGGTCCAAGGGGGCGAGGGGCGGCTGATTGGCAGGATCTCGATGGGATATGGATTCCGAAGAGCTGTTCGAGGTGAATCGCGTCTGCTCGAGGAGTGTATCGTCGTTGAGCTGGTAGTTCGCAGGAAGGTCTGATCGTTGACCTGATGCAGGCGCTGCCTTCCAACCTGTAGAAGGTAGAGGAGCCACCTCGTCCTCCCCTTCCAGAAGAGCAGCTTCTTCCCTGTCTGCGCCAGATCCAGCATTGCTCTCAGCCTCTTCGCCTTCTAGCTCCCTCGTACTCTCCGCCAAAACGACCAGAATAGTCTTTTCCTCCTTTTGAAACTTCGTCTTCTTTCCCATTGCGCCAGTCAGCTCGTACTTCAAGCCCGAGGCCTGTCCAGCCTTGACAAAGTACTCGTTGGCCTCCTTGTCTTGCCCAACTCGCGATAGAGCCAGACCGCGCTCAAGTAGTAGTCGGGCGTGTAGAGCACCCGGTGAGGAGGGGCTGCTCGTTGCATCGGCAGAGGCAGAGGCAGAGGCAGAGGCAGAGGCAGAGGCAGGAGCAGCTGCAGCACGGCTAGCGAGCTTCTCCAGAAGCGCATCTACGGGTGCGAGAACGGACCGAGGGAGGGGTACAGCGGTATCCAGTATGCGGTTGTGTATGCTGGCAGCTCTTAATCTCCACCAGGGAAGAGACTCGGGCTGTTCCTGAATTGGCAGGGTACGGCTGAGGGTCTTGAGCACATCGAGTGCGACGACGAGATAGATGGGCTGCTCGCAGAGGTGGTACGCAGGCTCACCTTCGCAGGTGAGGGAATCGAGAGCCTGGGAGCGCAATCGAGCCTCGAAATCCTCTGACTGCCTCGTCTCCGCCTCATCATCGTCTTGCACAGAGCGAGGAGGGAAAGCGGAAGGGTTTGCCCAGCGAAGGAGAGTTGCTGGCTGGATATCCTCTGGTACAGCGGGTCCCGTCCAATTGAGCTGGACGAAAGCCGCAAGTGCCGCTGCTGCTAGCTGGATAGCATCGAAAGGAGAGCTAGACTGGTCCCACTTCAGACTAGCAGGAAGAGAAGAGGAAGAGGCTGCATACTGGGCCAGGAGACGCTGGGCTGTCTGGGTGTGGAAGGATGGCGAGAGCTCCCCTTTGCACAGCGAAGAAGTGGACGACGCCTGCGCTGAGAGTGCGATAAGATCCCACTCCGCAGATGAAGTCGATGCCGAAGCTCTGGGAGAGGTGGCGTCAGCCATAATGGTATACCGAAGCCTTGAAGTGACGTCGTCTAGCAGAGGAAGCGGAAGAAGTGGGTAGTCTAGTGGTGGCCGGCTCCATCTTCCATCGAAGATCGACTCGGACACTTTTGAATTTTTTCTCTTTCCGCACGCGCTTTCTCCACTCACGCTGAGCCGCCGGGCGAGGCGTTCGTAGCCTGCTCAATACACATTGCAAACAGACGAGGGGCTAATTGGATGGTATATGCATTCCGCAGAAAGTGGAGCAGAGAAACAACAAAAGGGGTAAACGGGAAGCTGCAAAGAAGTACAGAATCGAAATAGGAAGTGTCCAAAGGTATGGTCCAATGCAAAAGGGGGGGGAGAGTGGAGCTGCAGGTCTCACAGAGAGCGCGGCCACAGTGGGATAGGGGGGGAGGAGGAGCTCGAGGCTTACAAGACGAAGATGGCAGCAAAGACGACGACAACGAGAGATGCCAAGACGGGAGCTCCGTGCATGAGCACAGAAGCGGCGCCGCTCGTGTTGGCAGAGGCCGCCTGTGCTGCAGCAGAGGGGGTAGTGGTAGTACGCATGCTCGAAGCCATGCTGCTGGCGACAGCCACTGCTGGGGTAGTCGAGGAAGTCATGGTGGAGACGGAGCTCGATGACGACATCGATGAAGTGCTCGAGGACATGGTTGTGGAGCTGGAAGGTGACTGCATGCCACTCCTGACGACGCCCGTGGCAAAGTCAGTAGCGCCGTAGAGCGCAGAACCGTCGGTTCGGGAGCAGGAGCTGGTCGCGGGAGCCGGATGGGGGTTGGGAACTGTGGCTCCGGTCAGGGTCATGTCCTGTGCAAAGTAGGTTCCGTGGTGGTAGGCAACGTCCTCTGCATCGTCACTGTCACAGGTCTCGAAGTAGGAAGTGGGGTAGTCGGCGGGCATGTTCCAGCTGGAGAGAGATTGTAGAGATGCCGGGATAGCGGGAACGGTCAGTCTCTCTCGGACTTTAGAGTTGCGGTATCTCCAGGCGCGCATATACTCACTCGCAGCCCAGGACGTCGTATGTGTGTCGGCACAGAGAAGTGGCCCTGTCTCCGTCGTAGCAAGCTCGGAAACAGTATTGGGTAGCGCTCATGAAGGACATCCACTCGTGCATCTGTTGGCAGGAACCGTTGTTGCAGTGGAAGACGAGACCGCCCACTGGGTTACCTACTCCGGTGGCACCTGTCGGGGGGAGAAAGGAGAAAGGGAGTACCATATCAGCCACGGGTTCTCACAGCATTGGTAGCATGGATTGCGACGGCGCTCGATTGAACTCACCATGCGGGTCCAGCTCTCCACCTGCATCATTAGCTACGACGTTCATACTTGTGAAGTCTCCGTACCCAGACACCTGAACGTACGAGGGCGCATACACGAATTGAGCGCCGTGGATGGTACCGTCGGGAATGACCCTGGTACCTCGTCCAGACTTTGTGCAGTAGGATACTACAGTCGCTTCAAAGTCCGCGACTGATCCTTCAGTAGGAGGAGCCCAAAGACAGAAGTCTGTGACCGAGTTGAGATACTATCCGAGGTTGGGTGGTGCATGGGGAGGAGTGGTGTCAGGCGCGTACTCGCAGCCGCCTCACAGCAGCGCGCCCGGCTCTACTCACGGCATTTTGGCACGTTGAGTCCTGGCTGCTGTCAGTTCCACACTTGTTAGTTCCCGATTGTCCTTGTTCGGTGGTCTTGGGCAATCCAGAGGCAGAGGGGACATAGGTGGCCGTGTAGCTTTGAGCGTATGCACTGGCGGTTGCCAGTGCGGAAACGAGGAGCAGGCGCGAGAGCATCTTTGCAAGACTAGAGCAAGCGAGTGAGTGAGCGAGTGAGGAAGAGAAGAGGAGGAGGTGAGGAGGAGGAAGCAAGGAAGCTAAAAAGACAGCAATCGCAGAAGTATAATGTAGTGACTTGGGTAGACTGTCAACGGGGAGGTTGCTTGTATCAGCTAAATACTCTAGGGTCAATAGGCTAAGAGGGACATGCCTCTCAACTTGGGCCGCTGAACTCCGCCGACCAACTTCCTGAGGATTCCGGCCTTGGGTCCTGCATCGTGCATCTTCCTGCATCTGCGCCTGCCTCTGCTCCCAGGCCAGACTCAAAACACCTCATCTATCCTTGCCGCCGGATTCCCGATCAAACTCGGGTAAAAAGTCCGATAGAATGCGCGCCTTGGCTCCCTCCCCTGCTGCTCCTCCTCCTTCTCCTTTGGCCAGAGGCGCGTGGAACCTGATTGGTGAATTCCAAAGGGGGGAGTCAAGCCTCTCTGCAATGCAGAAAGGAACCGAAGGAAGGGAGCAAGCGTTTAGAGATATGCCACGCGCCTGCCTGCCTGCCTGCGTCGGTCCACCCCGACCGGGACTATACCAGCTTCCTTTCGATCAACACCAGCGAGCGGGACTCGGTTGATTCCTCGCACCTCCGCCCGCCCGCCCGCCCGCCTGCCTGCCTGTCCGCCCCTATCCCGCCAGGCAGGGGCTCACACCAGAGCGGGAGAGACCGACACAACGTGGCCTTTAATCGTCGCCTTTGTCGGTCCTTTCGGCCCTTTCGCCGCGGGAGCCTCGCCGATGGCAAAGCCGTGAAACGCTCTCATTCCTCAACCCTCCATCTCAGCCTCATGCTTATGCAAGAGGGAAGGAGAGTACAAAGAGTCATGTAGCTTCTATCTCCCCTATGCACGGACTGCACTACCAGTACCCCGACATGTTTGCTGCTCGTGGCCAGGACGGGGACCAAGTAAGATTGCCGGGGAACTCGGCACTCGGCACTCGGCTACTACATGTTGTGGACGCACTTGTCCCCGTCCAGCCTTTTTACCCAGAAGCGCCTTTCCAGCCAGCCTCTCGGGCCAAGTAGACCCGTGCCATTCTCCTCCGCCAACTAGCCTCCTCAATCCTCGGACCCTGGCATAAGACATGCCAGAGTCGTGCATGGGAAACACAGAGTGGGCGGACGGACAGATAGACAGACAAGCAAGACAAACGGAACGGAGCAGTTGACACGATTGTGATTGCATAGCAGGTATTGAGCACCGTTGTGTTTCGTCTACTCGGCGAGCAACAATCTCCTACGTCGCCGTCCTATGTTTTCTTCGCGTTTTGCATACCTCATCGGCATTACGCGAATCGATAAACAAATTCCCCCTCGGACTCACCTCCACTGTCTCCCTCTACAACCTCGAGATGATCTTCTCGGTGAACTTCTTTGTGCCCAGCTTTCCACCCAAGTCACCCGTCGTCTCTCCATTGGCAATAGTCTTGAAAATGGCCGACTCAATTTGGTCTGCCTTGTCGAACAGACCCATGTGCCTAAGCATCATGATGGAGCTGAGCAGCAGGGCAGTGGGGTTGGCCATGTCCTTGCCGGCAATGTCGGGGGCGGAACCGTGCACGGCCTCGAAGATGCTCGCGTCCTTGCCGATGTTGCCCGAAGGGGTCAGACCCAGTCCACCGATCAAACCGGCGCACATGTCGGAGAGAATGTCTCCGTAGAGGTTGGGCATCACCATGACTCGGTCCGAGTATGGCGAAGGGTCTTGCACGATGCGCAGGCAGGCTCGGTCCAACAGGTCCTCGTCGTAGGTAATGTCCGGGTACTCCTTGGCCACCTGTCGGCAGGCGTGCAGGAACATACCGTCGGACATCTTCATGATGTTGGCCTTGTGCACGGCAGTGACACGGTTACGACCGTTTTGCTGGGCGTGATGGAAGGCGTAGCGAGCCACTCGCTCCGAAGCCTCGAGGGTGATGAGCTTGATCGACTGCACCACACCGTCTACGATCTCGTGCTCGATACCAGAGTACTCTCCCTCGGTGTTCTCTCGGATCAGCACAGTGTCGACATTGTCGTAGGGGGTCTTGTAGCCCTCGATGGAGCGGCAGGGACGGACGTTGGCGAAGAGGGAGAATGTACGACGGAGAGTGAGGTTGAGAGAGACGTGTCCCTTTCCAATGGGAGTTGCGAGGGGACCTGACGAGAGGCAGAGGAGAAGGAGTGGACAGGAAGAGTAATGTCAGTACAGGCAGGGCAAGACACTCCAGATTTGCCAGCCTTGGGGCTTCCCTCTACTGACCCTTCAATGCCAGCGTGGTCTTCTTGATAGACTCCTCTGCCTTCAAGGGAATTCTGCTTCGGCCATCTCGGATCTCAGGGGTGACATCGACTACGGGTGGGGAAGGGGAGCGGGCAAGGGGGGTGATGTGAGCTTCAGAGCGCTATGAATCTCCTGCCAGACCGTGCTGTGAGCTCACCTTCCTCCCACCTAGCAGCGAAGGTTTGAGTATGAGTAAAGGCTTGGGTCAGAAGGAGGAAAGTGTCGGCAGAGTACAATCAGGGCGCACTCACTTGATCGGCACATCAGCAGCCTTGTAGATCGACTTGACTGCATCAGATACCTAAAGATTAGCAGGGCGAGGTCAAGGGGAAGGGCCGATGATTGAGTGAAAGGCGTTCTGATGCCACGATTGCTGTACCAATCTGGGCAGCCGTCGGCTGACTCACCTCTGGGCCGATACCATCACCAGGAACTGTATGCGAGGAATGAGAAGAAGTGCGAGGGTATGCATCATCAGCACAACAGGCCCTGCACGCAGTCCTTCTTCTGTGCTCTTCCAGCCTTTGGGAGCCCTCAAATCCTCCGTCTTACGCACCCAGAGTGACCAAGTACTTTCCATCGTTTCCGGGCTTCTTGGAGTATGCACTGGTAGGGGCAGCAGATGCATAGGCCCTGGACACTGTGAGTGAGAATGCACGGGTGGAAGAAGAAGCGGTAGCGGATCGCAGCACTGGGCGCGCAGTGGCAGCCATGCTGTTGCGAAGGGAAGGGATAGCGATCATCTTGTGGGAGCCTGATGAGGAAGGGGGTCGGTGTAGTAGGCGACGGTGATGAGGAGAAGAAGAAGAAGAGGAAGGTCTTTGGTTGGTATCCGCGAGTGGCCTGTAGATTGTCGCCTGTTCGCCTGGGCCGCCCTGGCCCGCCTTCCGTGGTTCTTCTGCGCCTTTTGCTGCCACGCCATGGCCGATCTGCTCCGCCCTGGCTCAACCCACAGGCCCGGGTGTGTCGGGAGAGGTCGCGCGCGCCAGTCAAACATCTCGGTGGCCTGGCTGCACGCCGCGATCTTCCTACGTCCTGTCTTATCCGCCCTCGATCAGAATAGCGAGAGCCCTGCCCTTGCCCTTGCCCAAGCTTCTGATCCTCACCTCACCTCACCTCACCTCTTCACCATCACCTTCGCCATGTCCGCCTTCAAGTCATCCGTAGCGCGCAGCATCGCACCTGCCCTCCGTTCCACCGCCTCGCCCTCGGCCGCCGCCCGCAAGGTCCTCACACCCGCTGCATCCCAGATCCTCTCTCCCCGAAATGCCACCACCCTCGCACATTACGGTCCCAAGGTGCCAGGCAGGGTGAGTCAGATTGGGGAGGCTCAGAGAGACGCATACACTCAGCTTGCTCTGCCTCACATCACCCCGTACTGACATGCCCTTCGACTTCCCCCGTGTGTCCTCTTCTTTAGACACCGACCAAGTACGGAGGTGTCTACACTGTCACCCTGATTCCAGGAGATGGAGTGAGTTCAATGCGATGCAAGACAGTACATCTGCCTCGATCGCCAGACTGCAGGTGCTGACATCTTCCTCGCTCGCTCTCGTCACCCTCGCAGATTGGAAAGGAGATTACTGGATCCGTCAAGGAGGTCTTTGCCGCCATGAATGTGCCCGTCGAGTGGGAGGAGTACGATGTCAGCGGAGAGACCCACGGCTCTGAGCGCCTCTTCAACGAGGCCATGGAGAGTCTGAGGAGGAACAAGGTCGGACTCAAGGGTGAGTTTCGAGCGCATGGGCAAGTTCAGCTGGAAGGTCAGCATGAGCTCAACGCTGTTCTCTCCGCCTGTTCTGCTTCTATTCGTTTCCAGGTATCCTCTACACCCCCATCGACGCCTCTGCTCACAACTCATGGAACGTAGCCATGAGGCAGCGACTGGACATCTACGCCTCTCTCACCCTGTGCAAGACCCTCCCCGGCTACCCCACACGTCACAAGAACGTCGACATTGTCATCGTGCGAGAGAACACCGAGGGAGAGTACTCTGGTCTGGAGCACTCGTCCTACCCTGGCGTCGTCGAGTCGCTCAAGGTCTCCACTCGGGCTGCTGCCGAGCGGATCTCGCGCTTTGCCTTTGACTTTGCCTTGAAGAACGGCCGAAAGAGGGTCGTGTGTGTGCACAAGGCTAACATCATGAAGCTGGTGAGTTGCTGCACAAGCCAGCAGAAGGGCGCAGTACTTCTAACGAGTAAGGAACTGATCGCATCCCCCCTACCTCCCTTACTTTTCTTCCACCTTCAGGGAGACGGTCTCTTCCTGAACACTTTCCGCGAGGTAGCCAAGCAGTACGAGTCATCGGGCATTACCACTGGCGACATGATCGTCGACAACACTTCTATGCAGCTGGTCGGCAAGCCCGGCCAGTTCGATGTGATGGTCATGCCCAACCTGTACGGCAACATTGTCACCAACATCGGTGCTGCCCTCGTCGGTGGACCCGGTGTCGTGCCAGGAGCCAACATCGGCCGTGACTACGCACTGTACGAGCCCGGTTGCAGGCACGTAGCCAAGGACATTGCTGAGCAGAACAAGGCCAACCCCACCGCCATGCTCCTCTCGGCGACGATGATGCTGCGACACCTCGGACTGGACCCCCAGGCCGATGCCATTGCCGCCAGTGTGTACAAGGTCATTGAGCAGGGCAAGGTGCGCACGGCTGACGTTGGTGGCCACTCCACCACTAGCGACTTCACAAAGGCTGTGCTGGACCAATTGTAAAGAGATGGTCGTAGGGAGGGCAGAAGGTAGCCATGTCAGAGAGAAGATTTGGTGATATTTTCTCTGTAGCGGTGCGGTGCCCGTCGAGGCATTGTTCTCGACCGTCGTGAATGCCAGATGCAATTACAGGAATTTAGTCATACTGTGCCGCTAAACTAATTTCATTGAGAAGGATAGTCACTGCTTGCTCGCTAGCTATCGCGCTGACCTTCGAGCTGCCGTCGGCTTCTAGATCGCAATGCAAAAGTCGATCTCATCGTAGGTGGGTCACGCCCGGAGCGACGGATGACCCTGGAGAAGACGTTCCCCGTTGGCCCTCTCCAAAGTACTGCACTTGTAGAAACCTGATTGACTTGCCCCAGTGAGTCGACAGTCTCTCCCTGTTCGGCCGCCGTGGTACCAGCTTCAAGCTGAGGCTCACCATTCGTTGCGTGAGGAACTTTGTTGCGATCCCGGACAGTGTAGACGACGCCGATGATGGTCATGAGTGTCCAGAGGAAGAGCTCTGAGCCGTAGATCGCAGTAGCGTAGATGTCCAACGGGGAGGAGAGCAGCACTGGTTTCTCGTTGTCGTTGACAGAATGGACTCGCATCAGTTTCAGCGACGAGAGGTTCGCACTTGTACCACTCAGGCTGACTCACCAATGGATAAGAGGCTGGTGAGGTCCCCCATTGCGTCTAGGAAGACGAACCCCCAGCTGATACCCCTCACAGTATCCTCGGTCCAGATGTCCCAGTAGTGTCGCAATACTCCAGCAGATAGGCTGACAGCAGAGAGCACAGCCATGGCCTTAATGAAGGCCTCTGGCGCTTCCCCAGAAGGAGCCCCCTTTCTGAAGCCGAGGATGACGATCAGCTGGACCGCTGCGAACGCAAAGGTGAGTCCGAGCAGGCAACCTAGGCATCTCTTCACAGTCCAGCCATGACTATAGTACCGTACTTGTGCCCACGTGATCAAGGAAAGAGCCGTCAGAATCTCGGCCTGCACTTGTAGTGCAATGGGCTGGTGAGAGAGGATGTTGTGCAGGGCGAGGGGGAGACCGGCAAAGGCCCAGAGGAGCATCATGGCTTGGTGCAGACCGATGGTGTGGTGCCGGGAGTAGTTTAGGTAGATCTGAGGGAGGAGCTGTGCGAAGTCATCGGGAATGGGGGAGCAGGAGAGGTCTGGTGAGGGACTGTGCGAGATACGGAGCGCACTTTCGGGGACCATCGCCAAGGATACGGACCTGGATGGACCAGAAGACGGCTCCAAAGTATGCCAAGACGGTGGAAGCAGTCTCAGCAGCAGTCATAGTATCGAAGTCTCTGGCGTCTTGTACCCCAACTCCTATGCTGCCTTCTCATCCCTAGCCAAGCACGAAGTACTAGAGATCACGGTCGGTAGAGCGATCTGGCTGCGAGGGTTCTTCTCATTCCGCTATCAGATTCCTCCACCTGCGCTTCCGTCTTGCTTCCGATCCGGAGGGTTCCCGTTGTTAGAATCGGTGAAACAATGGTATTACGGTAAGGAGAGAAACAAGGGTGGTAGCGAACTGAGACAGAATTAATAATCGCCGTTCGGGTCCGAAACGCCGAATCGGCAACACCCGTCCCTTAGAGAGCCTGCACCCCATTAGCGAGCAACATCATCAAGGGTACCGATGGCACAATACGGACGCAGCTTCACTTCCTCGCATCGCATAAGCTCACACTGCGCATCTGACATCCTGTGATGCATCACATCGACACGTTTCTCGTCGACGAGGACTAGTATCATGAGAGTGTTAGCAAGCAGGCTACTACTGTACATTGGTCCTCCACGGCAGTCCCTCCAAGGGCATCGGCCCCGCACTCAAGAGCTGGATCAGTGAACGAATCGCGTGTCTAGCCGGCTCGTTCCCTGCTCCTTGTTGGTCACAGTATACTCTACGCGCTCATCAGGTGTGAGCCTCTTCCACTCGGCCTCCTTTTGCCGGTTGCGGTAAATGTAGTACAGCTTGGTGAGCCAGCACTGCATGATAGCCCAGGCGGAAATGGCAATCAACCCCCACGTTCCCCGGCGGTAGTATGGCGCATCTCCTGAGCGGTAGATCTGGGTTGCGACAATCGAGCCGACCTGGTAGGACATGTTGTATAGGCAGACTGAAACAGCGCGATTCCGCACACTGTGGCAATTCTGCGACAGCCAGGAGATGACGGCAGGATGGCAGTAGGGAAAGGCAGAGATCAGGGTGAGGAGCGCAAAGCGTACCCAAGACCAGTAGGATGACAATGATGCAGGGATGGTGACCAAGGCAATCAGTAGCGGGAGTGTCCAGATATTGGAGATGGACGACAGGATGCTGTACTCGTTGAAGCGCCTGGTGAGCCATGGCAGCCAGAGACAATTGATAACAAAGAGGGCTTGCGAAGGGATGGCCAGCAGGTTCGAGTTGATGGTAGAGAAGCCGAGCTGCTTCAGAGTGGCCGAGAGATACGTCTGTGGTGGCTGGTAGGGAATGTAGATGACCAGTCCCAGCAGGTAGATAGGCCACAGGTCCTTCTCGCTGATGGCTTTCCAGAGGCTGTACGCCCCCACTCCCTGACGGTTGTGCATCTCTCCCTTGGTAGGGTCATCGCGGAGGACGCGATTGACAGCAATGTACTCTTCTCGCTCGTTGAACCAACCCGACTTCCCACGGACAACGCCCTTGGTGCTCGTCACACTCGGAGGCATAAGGAAGAAGGCCAACACACCCACGATACCCGAGATAAGACCTTCGAGGGCGAAAAGCCATTGCCAGCCGTAATGTCCATGGATGCCTCCCAATTCAATGAAGCCGACGGCCAAGAAGCTGCCGATGATCTGGCTCATGCCGAGTACCGTGTAAAACCAGCTCAGGCGGGCATTGAGCTCCTTGGCTGTGTAGAAGTAACTCAGATAGAGGCACATGTCAGGGATGAAGCCTCCCTGAGCAGCGCCAAGGAGCCAACGAGTGACGAAGAAGCCCGTGCGACTGGTGATGGCGAACTGCGCCGAACAAATAGCGGACCAAGAGATAATCTGTATCGGAATCCAGACGTCGGCCCCAAGCTTTTTTGAGATCAGACCGGAAGGTAGTTCCATAAATAAGAAGCTGGCAAAGTAGATGATTTGCCCATTGTTGAAATCGTTCTGGGTCATACCGACATCCTTGAGGAAATTGTCTGGCAGAACACGGTTGATGTTGCGTCGTATCAAGTCGAGGGCGATGAACATCACCCATACGAACAACATGATCCGTACATCGAGCTTCCTTACAAGGGCCTTTTCCTCCTCTTCGGTCCAAGTAAAGTCTGGATCAAAGCGATGACGGCCCTCGTACTTGCTCTCATCATAGACGTTCTTCCAGTACGCAGCTACCTTCTCATCACTGAAGTTTGTGCCAGGAGCGGTGCGAATGTCATGCCGGTTCTTGACAGCCAGTCGAGCGGCGGCAAAGAAGCCACCATCGTCCGCAGATGTTTGGCTTGGTGTGCGAGAGACACCTGCGCTAGAGGTCAGCTCTTGCTTGTCGGCAGAAGACGTCGAAGAACGACTTTGCTCCCCGGCTGGTGGAATCCCCGACATACTGAATGGGACAGGAGAAGGCAGGACGGGAAGTCAAGGGGGCAGCTGCTGTGTTGACGGGAAGGAATGAAAGCAGACTGAAGGCAGGCAAGTAATATAGCCCAAGAGTCTCACACCCTCTTCCGCAGGCGGATGCTCGAAGCCACATCAAGATGACGGTATCAGAGCGTCGGTCATTAGCAACGTTCCTGAGATCCCAGTCAGCTATCTCGCCAATCGTAAGTCGGATGGCGTGGCACAAACAGTAAGTTGCGTGGCCGGGGCAAAGCACGACTGTACAGCTCGACGCCGTCGCCGTGCCAGTGTCCCGTCATTGGCACGCGCAAGCACGCACCTCTTGTCGACGCGCCTGAGTTCTGGACGACTGTGGCTCGTGCGCCCAGCATAATCTGGCGTGATAGAACGGAATCGAGGTGATAGACAGCGATACGACATCGCACGAGAGACTGGTGTATATGAGGCCTCTGTTGCGTCTTTGCCGCTGAAAGGCAGAGGAGACGATGAATCTCTGTTAATCGAAAGCGCCTCAAAAGGGAAAGCAGATAAGCGCTCATCGCTAAAGATCTGGACGCCCTCTTCTTTCTTCAAGTCCGACGCTCACCGTCACTCTGGCACTTCTCCGCGATTGCGCCCCTCCAAAATCCTAGATCCACAAGCTTGGTCATCATGCGCTTGTCAGCTCTCTTTCTCGCCTGCAGTCTCATCTGGTGCGATGTAGTGTCGGCATCGTGGCAATTGCTATCTCGCCCTGATCTCCAAGTTCCTCGCTTGAACATTACACACCCTGCTCAAGCCGGTCTGACAGCGCCTGGATACTTCTTTATCGCTCCTTTTGCCGGCGGCAGCGATCAAGAGAAGCATGGACCTCTTCAACCTGGACCTTACATCTTCGACGATCAGGGTCAGCTGGTATGGTCCGGCTTCGCCCAGTACTTCTCCATCTGGACCGTCAACCTCCAGACGACGACGTATCACGGCGAGCCTGCATTGCTGGCTTTTCAAGGCAAACACAATGCTGCCCACGGGCATGGGCATGGGCACCTCAAGTTACTCGACGCAAAGTATGATGTTATCCGTGAGATTCGCGCGGGCCACCATCGCTTGATCGACAAGCACGAAGGTCAGGTCATAAATGATGGCAAAAGCGCGCTTTTCCAGATCTACCAGCCGGTACCGAGAGATCTGTCGGCCTACGGCGGCGATGAAGACCATCAGTGGATCGTCGATGGCATCTTCCAGGAGGTGGACCTGGACACAGGCGATGTAGTCTTCGAATGGCACTCCCTCGAGCACGTCCCACCCTCGCACTCCAATATCAGTTTGACATCTGGCCAAGCTGGCAATGGGTTGGGCTCCTCTGAAGCCTGGGACTACTTCCATATCAATTCGGTCGACAAGAATGACGAAGGAGACTACCTTCTCAGTGCCCGTGACGTCAACTCCGTCTACAAAATCGACGGCAAGACAGGCAGAGTCCTCTGGCGGCTCGGTGGTAGGAACCAGCACAATGACTTCCGTCACCTCGACAACGAAGTTGCTTTCTCCTTCCAGCACCACGCCCGATATCAGGGGTACGACTCGCAAGGTCGCGAACTTATCTCCTTGTACGACAATTCAGCCCACGGGACCGAGACTGACACTGGCAGTCAGCTTCACGATGCTCCCACCTCTTCGGGCAAGATCCTCGCTCTTGACCATAAGGCCAAGACGGTGGCTACAGTGCGAGCTTTCTACCCGCCGTTTAAGCTGCTAAGCAAGTCGCAGGGTTCCACTCACGTGCTTCCCGGTGGCAACGTCGTCGTCAATTGGGGATCAGAAGGTGCCGTCACCGAGTTTACCTCGGACGGGACGGTCGTCTTTCATGCATTCCTTGAGAGTGGACCTCTTGGAGTAGGCGTACAGAACTACCGAGCTTTCAAGAACGAGTGGATTGGTAGGCCATCGGAAGAAGCCGCCGTTGCTGGTCTCGTGTATGGAGCTGAACAGTGGGCGAAGGCGACAGGTGGGCAAGTGGCCACTGGTGAGAGTCGTTCCTACAAGGTACTCTTGGCCGCTTCTTGGAATGGCGACACAGAAGTCTCACACTGGCGCTTCTTGGGCAAGGACGTCGAAGGCAACCGCATCGACCTTGGAGGCAAGGTAGCACGGGTTGGATTTGAGACTGTGCTTCAAACCAAGACTAGCGAGCGTTTGACTTGGGTGAGGGCACAAGGTTACAATGCCAAAGACGAGCTCTTGACAACGACTCGCTGGGAGCCAGTCGATCATGAGAGACCTGTACCTCCTGCCTTTCGGCGTACAAAGGAGCTGTCAAGGATGGAGGAGCAGCAGGAGAATGACCGATTGGACGGGGTAGCTTCGCAGACGGGCTCCTGGATCGTATTCCAAAAGCAGGGATAGAGGTGCCGTGTAGCTGTCTGGGCTCTGGCAGGCGCGTGTAAAGGTCGCGCTGAAAGGCTGTGACGCAATACTCCTACGCTCGTACACTTGTTGCATTGCATTTTTCAGTTTTGTTCTGCTACGAAGATCGTTGCATCCCTACCCCTCTGGCCCAGAAACTACTAATGAAAGCCAGGATTGAAAGCACAATACATGCGCTGATGGCTGCCTGGATCCCACCGGAGAGCGTCTCTGTGACTTTGGTCCGAGTGGCTGGTGGTAACCCCTGAATGACCTCGATGGAGTGTCTGACGGCGTCGACGATCTGGGGTGTGTTATGAGCACAGGGGAAAGAAGCAATGCATCGTCATCTACCGCTCCCTCTTCATGAATGTCTTCCTCTTCGGCTTCACCTACCTGATCTGCATCTTGTGTATCCTTTAACACTTCTGGCAGCCACGTACGAAGCCACTTCTGCAGAATGGCAGCCGAAAGAGCAACACCCGCTACATTCCCCACACTACGGCATAGGTAGACTGTAGAAGTTGCGACTGCCTGATCATCATGAGGATAAGCGGCAAGCATGGTGAACAAGCTTGAAGGGTTGATAAGACCTTGACCGATGTTTGCCGGCAGCAGAGCAAAGAGGTAGATGATTCCTATTCGTGGCTTCGTCTCTCCAAAGAGGAACCAAGGGATGACTAGCCCAAGGATGAGAATCGCGCAGCCGCTCTTGACTAGCACACTTAGGTGGCCGTACTTTGACATGACCACTCCTGCGATCACTGCTCCTATTGGGAAGCCCAGAGACGGGACGATTAGACGTAGACCGACGATGTTGATTGGTTCGAGGAGGACTCCTAGGAAGTACATAGGCGCCATGAATAGGAATCCGTACACTGCCATGCCAGAGGTGAAGTTGGTGATGATGTTGGAGATGGCAAGGGTGCCCTTGAGCATTCGACTTGGTAGGATGGGAGCAATGGCACGTGTCTCTACTCGATAGAAGAGACCAAAGAGACCTAATGCTGCAATGAAGAGAGCTATGGTGATCGGTGAAGTCCAATCGAGCTCATTACCGCCCATGGACAAGCCTAGGAGCAGCGAGGTGATAGCCCCAACGAGGGTGACGGATCCAGCAACGTCCACTGGTGCATCTGCCGGGAGGCTTCGGACTGCTGGGTCTTTCACTAGCGCCCAGCCTCCGAAGACGGCAGCAATGGCCATTGGAACTTGTAGCAAGAATGCAGACCTCCATCCAAAAGTGTGAGCAACGATTCCTCCTACAGAAGCTCCAGCAGCGCTTCCCAGACCATACATGAGATTATTCGCCGACTGATAGAGCCCACGTCGGTGGAAGGGTACTCCGTCCGAGAGGACAATAGTAGCCATTGTTATCAATCCACCGCCCCCTATGCCGGTCAAGGCACGGGAAAGGTTCAGAACCAGCATGCTCTTGGCAAGACCGCAGAGCAGACATCCGAGTGCAAAGGTGCTGGTTGCGAGAAGGAAGGCTTTGCGTCGACCAAAGATGTCTGAAAGCCTGCCGTACAGAGGTTGGAAGGCAGTGGCTGTTATGAGGTAGCTGAAAGGTGAATCAAGGCGAGGCGAAGAAGGGGAGACTCTTCAGGTAAGCTCTCTTCACACTTCGGCTGCATCATCGAGATGGGTACCGCTGAGCATCGCCTACTGCCCTCACCTAGTGGAGACCCATACAGCATTGTTAGCTGAGCCAAATTCTGATCCGATGATGGAGTAGGTAGACGCTGCCACCGTCGAGTCGAAGCCGGCGAGGAAGACGTTGCACCATGTCACTGAGGCATGGAGAGGAGGCGGGGAAGAGTGAGGCAAGATGAGTCTTTGCGAAGATGCTAGCACAGGGGAAATTGAGGCATGAAGGACAGCTGCTCACCACTCTGAATGAGCCTCAGGTTCCAAGTCGGCTTCCAGTCATCATCATCGCTTGCATCAAGGGGCGCGGCTGCTGAAGTGTTGCGGCTCGCAGCGGCCTCGGGTTCCCAGTGAGCAGCAGAGGTCAGCAGGGGCGTCCGCTCCGAGGGGAGTTGCTCAATCATGGTCTTGGAGCCTGTGAATGCCTAGCTGTCCAAAGAATGGAAAGGCGTACCGACGTGAGGGAACAAGGAAGAGTCTTTGTAATGAGCAGTCACATTCCCTGTCTTGAGAAGTTCTCGTCGACCATCATTGCCATTGAGAATGCGTCCACGTTTGGCCCTCCGAGGTCAGAGCAAGAGCAACGCCCAGTGCAGCCTAGCCCAGCTCAGGCCCTTCTCTGTGCCTGCAGGCAACTAGTCGAAATCTCCTTTTTCTCTCTCTCCTCCTCTTCTTTGCACCGACAGAGCACTTCTCCATTCTCTTATTGACGCCATAAAGAGTGAGTAGTGTGAGATTTCTTGTGGCGCAATCAGAGTGACAGATTGCACCACGCGCCCCCGCCTTCTGCCAGTCCAAGCCAAGGCTGAGAGGAACGCGTCCAGCTCGTCTCGCACTTCCGATGGGGCCGCGTAGATTGGGGGAAGCACTGATGGCAGTCCACACCCCTCACACCCACACCTCAGACAGCTCATTCAACTCAAGAGGAAGGACTCGCAGAGCCAGCCGCCGCATCATATTCATTTCACCCAGTCGTTGCGTTGCGGTTCTGTCCAGGCTATGCGAAACTTTGTACAGTGCAAATGGCTCTACAAACGGTTCCACTCTATTCTCCTCTTCCCTCGCCCCTCACTCCTCGCCCTCTCCGCTGGGCTGTCCACCTCACAACTTGGCGGCAGATACTGGCAGTGTAGACAGACATATCTGCCGCCACTAGAGCTCACTCACTCAATCAATCAGCTGGTGTTGCTGGGGTTGGACAACTTCTTAATCTGGCCAAGGAGGTACTTGGTCGTCTTGAAGCCCGCCGCAGGATCATCTTGAGGTACCATGTGTCCAGCATAGAAGTACTCGATAAAGGTCAATCCACGCTCGTTGTGGTACGTTCCGCGCTGTCCAGCTGCAGTCCTGAGAACACCACTGGGCTTGACCTGGAAACCCTGGTGGCCAGACCAAGTCATGTTCTGAATGGCCAACTTGCTACCATTGGTGAGCAGGAGCACATCACGGTCTCCTCCACCAATGATCACCCTCTCGGAATTCTCAATGACACTGGGCATGACACTAGCCTGGGGCAGAGCCTCGCCGATGTCTACCCAATTGTCGCTTGTGCATTCGACCCAAGTCCTGTTGGGATCAGCGCCAATGGCCGCCTTGAAACCGGTGATGTTGTTGAAGATGTTGGTAGCCGAGGGCGAAGCTGCGTCAAGGGGATAGCCCAAAGGATCAAGAGGGCTTGGGCACTTTGCCGTAATATCGTAGACGCTGGAGCAATGAGCTCCGTTCCAAAAGCTGAGCAAATTTCCCCAGACGTCGTACACGCTAGAGTTCCAACCAGAGGGAGCCTTGATGGGACCCTTGGGAGGGTACTTGAGGTGGTCCTCTACAAAGGTATTAAGACCCCACTTCTTGATCTTGCGCTCTACCTTTGCCAACTCTGCGTCGGTGATGGTAAGAGTCTTTTGGTAATGCTTGGCGTATTCGAATGCAGGCAACTGCTCCATGTACGTACTGAGAGGGATAAAGTGCGGAGAAAGAGCATGCAGAGTCAGCACACGCCACGGTCATTGGTCTACTACCAGGCGCATAGAACTCACTTGTCCGCCCATGAAGGGTCGTTGATATGAATACCTTTAAGGTTGATACCACGGTTGTTGTAGTATTTGGGGTGCTCGTAGATGTGGTGAGCAATGTAAGGGATCATGGCGCCAGCAAAACTTTCACCCGTCAGCCACAGACGCTTGCCCTGGAGGTGCTCAAACTCCTTGAAGAAGTTGACCAAGAAGCCTGAAAAGTCTTTGGCGATACCGCCGTAACCTTGGATTTCCAGACCAGCCTTGGAGAAGCCGGTGTTGCCGGGCTGATCAATCCAGATGGCGTGGGCTGCCTTGTGTGTAGAGTATGGGTTCAGGTAGGGCTTCACACTGGTGTTGGCTGCGTAATACGGGAAGATCACTGGGCCGTTTTCTTGCCAAAGACCTTCCATGCTGCCTGGAAGACAGCACGCCAAACGCAACGAGAGGAGAGACAGACGTCAGCAGAAGTACTTCCGATCAAAGTGTATCACCGCTCGCAACCCTCGGCCTTACGCACTGCATCCGGGACCACCATTGATCCAGATGACCACGTCGTCATCCCCTACATCTGACTCGGGGGGAGTGTAGAAGAAGTAGAGCTGCCTTTCGTCGGCACTGTTGGTGGCATTGACCGAGATATAGCCGCCGTAAGAACGGGGAATCTTGAAGTCTAGACCGGGCAGATGGCGCTTGAGGGCGAATTTGACTGAGGGGGTGAAGAGGGGAGACAAGGGCGTTCAGGCGGGCCAGGTTGATCGCAGCAGATGTCAGACGCAAGCGTATGCCCGTGCCAAGCGCGGTATTGCATTCACTCACGGTAATCATCGGATGAGCGGCGGATCTCCTCGAGACTTCGCGTCTCCAGCATAGCTTCAAGATCGTGAGGCGCGACAGGGCTGGCCGTCACTGCGACAGAGGCCAGCAGCGCAGCGAGCACCCATTGAGTGAGGCCTAGGAACTTCATACTGGCGTACAAGGGGCGTTGAGAAGGGGAAGGAGTGAATGTCCGTGCGGGGGCGGGGAAATGTCTAGGGTGGAAGTTGAGGAAGAGTGTTCCTTGACACGGGCCGGAACAGGATGGCTGGTATCGTCTGGTGCGAGCTCCCTATTTGAGGTCCAGAGAGCCGCCGCTGTCTTGCGACTGTTATCCTCAATGATAAGAGGCTACCAGGGCGTACGCTCACTCCAAGCGCATGCGGGCGTTGTCAGTAGCAAGTAGGAGCAGAGGACGATGGCAAGTGTTACTTTGCTCGACGGGTCCTTTCCAAAGGGACGGAAGCACTTTGGCGGGTTGCTGAAGCCTTTCTCCCTCCCCACACTACTGTTGTACTCGCAGCGGAGATGGGAGGAAGCACATTCCAGTGTCGCCTCGCCTACACACCACGGCGGCTTTTGAGGAGAGGCGCATCACGAGAGAGCAGCAAGCAGTGGCCTCACCCTTGGTCCACACCATAGCTCCGCGGGACGCCATGCTGACAGATGCAGAAGCAGCATAGTACGCTATCAGCAAGGCATTGACGCCGCCTGCTGACTGTTCCGAAATCTTTCGATATAAGATATGGTTCGGGAAGCTCTCCATTCTCCCACCGGCTGATTCTCCCTTGGTAGCCTACCCGCGTCGGGAATTTCGCTTGACGGGGCCCGACAAAGGCGGCGGAGTCTCATCGGGACGCCACGCGATGCATGTCAAGGACGCATGCCTCCGAAAGAGCAAACAAAGGATGTCTTGGGGGTAGGGGGAGGTACAGAACGCCCTCTCGACGACCCTGTGCGGATAGAACGGACCTCAGCTACTCACAGAGAGAAGCAGACGGAGGCACATCAAGTCGTATTGACAGAGATAGCGAGGTAGATGGAGCACACGAAAGTCGTAGTGACAGAGATAGCAAAAGGAAAAAGTCAGAGGATCGGCAGTCTCGCTTCCGGCTGCTCCCACAGCCTCTGCTGCAGCCCATCACGTATCGGCAGAGACGACTCTCTCAAACTCCCTCGCCAGCTCCTTTCGCCTCTTCCATTCCTCGGGTCTCTCGCGCAACGTGGCATCAGAAAGCAGCAGCAACTTCTTGACGCGGTTTACCAGGCCACGCGGGCCATCCACGGGAATCTCGAGGGCATCGTAGCGGTGCACGTATCGCTCGAATTTCTGCAGGTCCTCTGGGGAGAGCTCTTCCCGAAGGCAAAGGTAGAGGCGTCGATGGGCACCACGTCGAGCTTCGGCTGCCGCGATTGCCGAAGTCTCTTCTGCTACTGAAGCAGAGGTAGAGGCACAAGACACGTCTTGTATGATGCTCTGGTTGGTAGACTGGGACAGAGGCAACGAGGTCGCGTACTGCGTAGACGAGGAAGCATCTCTTTGCTCTTCCCGACCAGAGCTGGACGGAGGAGAGAAGTGGGAGCCCGGAGCAAGATTGACCTCGTCAGAGTCTCGTCCTCTAAGCATTTGAGCGGGCACATGACGCTCGTTGTAGTGATTGGCTAGAGCCGATGTGCGACCATCTGGAGGGCCAATGATTTGCTGAGGTGCTAAGTTCTGCTCGCTCTGCTCTCCTTGACCTTGTCCAGGCGCACCGCTAGGTCGGGATGAAGCTATTCGCGCCTTTGCCACGGAGCTGATGGAGCTCTTTCTGCCTGTCGTGGCCGGCAGAATGTTCTGCTTCCCGTCGGAGAAGACATCGTCCTTGACGATTGGGATCGCATCATGAACGCCGACACTACCGTTTCGGCTGCTGGGCATCCTCGAACCTCCTCTCCTGACGGGAATCTGCCCGGTACCACCGTCGCTCGAGTAGTTTGACAAGCGGGAGGTAGTGACGCTATTACGGCGCGATTGCATTTGCGCCAGCTGCTGCTGCTGATGGAAGGAGGAGCGACGCAGAGGTCGGACTACATTGGTCGCTTGCTGTCCGTGTATTGTCGCCAGAAGTGGATCGGTAGAGGACCGAACATGGGGCCAACTGCCTGTCATGCCATTGCTGCTCGTGACTGTCTGGATACTGGCTGCACTGCCGCTTCTGACAAAGGGATACTGCGGAGCTGCAAGACCAAGAGCCGAGGTACTTCGCACGAAATGGGAAGGGTATGCATTGGTAAAGATTGCTCCTTCCAGAACTTGTTTGTCCGTGCGATCAATCCCTCGAGGTCGGTTGTCCGTTCGTGCATCCAAGCTGGGAGGGCTGGGTGCTCCCTCTCGCGTGTGGTTCAATCTGGAATGCGGTCGTCCATAGGGCTGCTCATCATTGTGCAAAAGAGGTTGCACGCCGTTGGAATGCGACCCCTTGATGAGCTCGCTACTTTCCCCTTCGCCAGCATGAGCACTACCGTTGTCGTCGACACAGCGAGCTTCTCCTGCAGATCCACCCACATGCTGCTTGACTCCTTCGTCTGGTCGACGGTGACCAAGGCGAGACTCTCGGCCACCTTCCCTCGGAGGAGGAAAAGCTTCATCTCGAGCTGCCATATTGCCACTCCCGTAATGCTGAGCCTGGCGACTGCTTGCCCGAGAGGCAGGGCGGGCAATCGCTTGAGACGGTGCAGTTGCTTGCGCTGATCGATAGAGTACAGGCTGAGCTAGTGTATTGTCAAGATTGCCAAAGTCCAGAGGGCTAGGAGCTCGAAAGTCGCGCTGCATTCGCTCTTCGTCGTCCGAAGAGTACCTGATGTTTGAAGAGTGGAAAGCTGCACGTCCATCTTGCGGAGGACCCACCATATGAGTCCGACTCTGGCTGCTGTCGGTTACGGAGCTTGGAGGGGATGGTGGCTGGTAGACATTCTTCAATACCGACTGGACGTGTTGCTCCATGTGTTGGGAAGCCATGCGCGAGGCTGAGCCGGTAGGAGCACGACGAAGCGAGGCTGCGGTGCTAGCGGCGGATGAAGGAGCTCGAGCCGCAAGACGCTCCTCTAGCGAACTCAGCTGAGAGGGAAGAGCACAGCGCGCCAGAGTCAGCTGCAGACTACATCATGCGATGCGGCTCAGCAGCTCTGAGGATACTCACCCTGCTCTCGACTTCCCTGCTCCTGTTCTCCCTCTCCCGATACATCTCCCGCAAGTCTCCATTTTCCGCCTCCAGGCGCTCAATATACTTGGTTTGCGACTCTACTCGTGCCTCTAGCCGTTGTGCTTCCATCGTCTGCTGTGCACACGTCTCCTTCATGAGCGAGTGATCAATTTCGAGGGCCTCGAGCTGAGCCTTGAGCTTGGCAGCGTAGCGCTCCCATCCTTGGCACTTGGCTGCGAGACTATGGTACTGGGCAGTGAAGGCTTGCTTGAGGGTCGCGATGTCAAATTGCAGCTGCGAGGCAAGGCGAGAACAGTGATCAGCATCAGTGTAGCGCCTGCTATGGCAAGCTCTCGGTGTGCCGTACTTACTGTCTCTTCAGACGCAGCTGTTGCAATACCCCTGCCTTCTACTGATGGCCTCGAAGGTCGCTGTGCGAGGCATTGATCAGAGGCAGATCGCTTGTCCGACATCGATGGAAACGGCTGATGTGGACCTTTCGATGCAGGAGCGCTCGGCAGTCGATGCCCTTCGCTTGCATTAGACTGGCCGTGGGGCGCAGTACAAGGACCAGTCCGCTCGCTTTTGCTGATGCTCTGCTGGATCGGAGGCGGAGCATCAGGCGTAGTTGAAGCATTCGCTGCAATTGGCCTGTCTGAGCTGTTGAGCTGTTGCGAGTGTGGTGTATCCTCTTCAATCCGACCGCTCTTGCCGTCAATACATTGAACCTTCTGACTATGGAGAGCTGTCGTTTCCGATTCGGTCGTGATTGAGATTTGATTTGCCATGGAAGTTCCGGTTCTGCCCGATTGACTGACTTGGCAGTGGTTGTGATCAGCCGCTGTAGATACGTGATTGGTATTCACTGGTGCCAACGGGGCGCGGGTGGTCATCGGCAAGGAGTACTGTACTTGAGCCGCACGAAGTATGCCGGCTATGTGCTGGCGGAGAACTGCGATGCTGAATAGCAGCGAATGGAACGAAGGGGCGAGGTTGAGCGGAGAATGACTTGCACCAGCGTCCTAACGGTAGCCGTCAACTCGGATGGAGCGACCTGCCTGGAGAAAGGCGGCTGCTGCTGCTGCTGCTGCTGCTGACGACTGTGGACGATACCGGTACTCGGAGCAAGATGGGAAGGAGGTGTGCCATGTTGGGCGTCAGTCGAGCAGCAGCCCCTTGATTCACGGGTGCAATGTGATTTGCTGCGAGTATCTCGAAGGCACGACGCGGCAAGGCATTAAAGTGTTGGTCTGGGAGCAAAGGACAACACGGCGCGTCGTATTCGAGGTCTCGTGCTGCTTGGGGCCATTGGTTCCGGACGGTGAGTCCAAAGGGGTCCGGTGTAACAGGGTAGATCTATATGAGCAGAGATGACCCACATCAGGAAGGTATCGGACTGGTACAAGGCGCTCTTTCTGCCACGGGACATCCGAGGTACCATGCAGCTGTACCGCTCGGAGTGCATTAGCTCCGGGCAATCGCAAGGGTCCTCTGGCTCTTGGCGGCAGCCCCGTGTGGTCTCTGTTTGCTTGTGACACGGGCTGAAGTTTGTCATGTGCCTCGGTGGTCTACCATCCAGCTGTCGATCATGAGGTCTGCTGCCATCTCGTCATCAACGTGGCATTCCTTGTTCTTCCCTTCTGAGACAAAAGATCGCCCCGCACAGCAGCTCCGCGATGCTGCCCTTTGTTCGCGTCACGCGCTTCCGCTCCGCGATCGCTGCGCTCTCTCCTTGTCATACGGGCCGCCACAATCCTTTTGTCCTCTACCTCGGGGACTGTATGTCTCACGAAGCGGCATCGCAGGACAGATGAGACAGACTTGCCTCGTGCAGATGAGTGTGGGAGAGTCCTTCGAGAGGAACAAGAGTCGAAGAAGCGAGTCCGTGCCAAGCAAGGCATGCCTCACAATGCTGCAAGCATAAGCTGTTGGAGTGTGGCTTACAGAATCCCGGAACGGAAGCACTTTCCAGTCACGTGACCCCCAGGTCCTCGCCGCTGGCACTTCTCCCCGGTCACTCC